TTAGTCATGGGGCGTGTGATGCGGGGTCTTTCCCTGAGAAGGTGATTGAGGTTCTTCAGCGGAGAATTGCGCGATATCCGGCTGGGGAGACGCATTTCAATCTTATGGCGGTTGTAAGGGATCCGAGAGTTGCGGCGAGGGAGATTGGGGACGTGGAAACGCTTGAGAGGGAGGAGAGGAAGAGGGCTGCGTGGCAGTGGGAGAATACGCTGCGAAGACATAACTTTGTTGGCTTTATTGGGGAGATGATGAAAGGGGTTGTTGGGATGAAGGATAAGAAGGATTCTGAGGGGAAGGCTTATGGAGAGTGGGTTGAGAACGCTAAGAAGGAGACGAGGAAGAAGCTTGAGATGCAGCGTTAGATGCTCTTCTCTTCTTGTACTTGTGGTTGTTCTTCTTTGTCCTTGAGCTTTTCTACGTCGGCATTTCAGATACCCTTGGCGAAGCAGGACGATGATAATGGTCGATACGAAACAAAGATCTGGTATGGTATTCGATGATGATGTTGAAACCCCAACGCTAGAGTGCAGTACATACATAGGTGTGATAAATCACCGAAATCGACGAAGTGCTATGTACTGGCGTCCACATCGTAACTCGTAATGATGATGTGCAAGGGACATTCTCCGTCCCGTTCCTGAATATAAAACATTATTCTCCCCGGGCTTAGAGCCAAACTGACAGCCACTCAATACTCCACGAGGCGCGACTTGATATGCTCAACCATAGGCGCAGGCAGATCCTCCGCCTTGACCAAGCCCAGTGCCAGCAGGTCAGACCAGAAGAACATAATCCGGTCCTGGGCGTAAGCCAGATAATCGAAATCTCCTTCTTCGTCGATGTCCGCGTCAACAGGCGGCCTCTCCTCGCTGTGTCCGTTGCCGTTGCCGTTGCTGTTGCCGTTACTGTTACCCTCGTGCTGTCCGTTCTCGCTGTGTCCATTGGCAGCTGCCATCTCCGCGATACCTTCTTCCATGCCGGGCACCTTGGCCTGCACAATACCCCATGCAACCCACTGCGCGGAGTTCATCACCCGCCACAGTCGGGTCTGCTGCATGAGGAAGCGCACCTCTCTATCCAGCTCTTCGTCGTTGGACTTTTCAATCTGTGCGAATTGAGAGCTGGACCCGTCGGCTGCCTCGTCGAGGTCTAGAGGCATGATGCCCGTTGCGGTGCGACCGCGGATGTTGGGCGTGGCCAGGGGAGAGATGGTTCCGCCGCCGACGGCAGGTCGGTGGGTAAGGTAGGTCGATACGAACTGGTATTGCTGGTCTGGGGTTGGGTAGGCGCGAGTGTTGCAGGCCCAGGAGCGTTCCTCGTCATGGTAGTTGTAGCACCACTCGGTCTGTTGCTGTTAGATCTAGGGCCTTGCTTCTTTGTTGCTAACATCGGGGACTCACAAAGTGGTTGGCGAACTCCAGGCCAGGGGTATTGGCGGAGGAGTATTCGAAGTCGATGACAACGAGCTGCTTGTGCTCATTTGCAGGCAAGAGCAGAGGCGACTGTGTGGCTGGCTCCATACGAAGAAGATTGCCATACTGGGTCTAGAGACGAGTCAATACAACATCTCGCAATATCCACGAAGAGAACTTACATCATTGTGTGCGAACACCAACTGGCGCTTGATCTCAGCAATTCCACCAGACTCAGCAATTAACCAAAGCCGGTAATTATCCACGGCTTTGCGGAACATGTCCCATGTCACACCGCAGACAAAGCCGCGACGACGCCATGGTTCAGATGCGGCTTTCGCCTCATTCTGCGGAGACTGGATTTCCTTGTCGAGCCATGTGGTCACTTGCTCGCAACGATCCACCCACTTGTCCCAGTTCTTGAAAATCATGGGTCCGCCTTCGCGTTCTTCTTCGAGGAGTTCCATACCCTCGTGCAGCTCTCTCATCCGCTTGGCAATCTGCTTTGCCGTTTCGGGCATGCGCAGTTCCTGGGGTGTAAGAGGACGGGCCTCGAAGTACTCTTCGAATCGACCATTTAGGAATGTGCCCAGAACGCGAGGACCGATGTTCTTCCGGCCTAGGCGGCGGAGGATCTGTAGCTCCTTCTCTCGATCGATCAGATGATCCACCTGCGGGCCATAAATTCGGAGGAGAAGTTTCCTACAATGCCGATTAGCTAGGGCTTCAAAATAGGGGGGATGTCGATGCTTACGGTGGGGGTTTCCTGGACACTAAAGTAGACTTGCTGTCCGTTTTGGGGGGAGGCAGGTTCTTGGGTGGTGCAATTACATACACGGCGTTCGTGAGAGCACCGCTAAGTCGAACCACCTCAATATCGCCAGCCAGATCCGCCGGGACTTTGCGCCAGCCTTTAAGTTGCAGCGTATGTACAATGCGCACGATCTCAGTCTTGAAAATCATCCAGCCCTCTCGGTCCTTGGCAGCCTTGACATTGGCATTGGCGTCGGTATCCTCTTCTACTGCAGCGCCACCGGTGTAGGCCAGTGTCTTGGAGTTGTCCAAGTAGGCTTCCACGCCTGGCACGGGTGCCTCGACATCTGTGGCTTCTGAGTCGGAGGCGGATCCTCTTTGCAGGCCCTTATAGCGACGCCGACTTTGGCGTTTGACCGACGCATTCGAGCCGATGGCACTGCTGGGTCGGTTCGTCGCATACTGAAGGAGGATCTTCTCCAGTTTATCCAAGGAGAAGGAGCTTTCGGAGGGGTTGGAGTTAGGTCTTTCTATGGGACCGTCCTCGGCGGGCGAATCGCTTGTCGCATTGGAGGAGACTGCTTCGGATTTCCGTGCCTTACGATTGTGTCGTCTGGTTTTCTCATGGTGTAACCATTCGTATACTTGGTGGAAGAGACCCTGGGTATCTTCTTCGGGTCTGTATTGCTCTCTACCCTCTTGGGTCATTGCATCGTTGACGCTCGAAGGGCCGTCGAGAGAAGGCATGGAGGAGGTGGGAGGTTGCGCAATGGGCTGGGATATGGAAGCCCAATACTGTTTCAGAGAGGCGCCGTCTGGGGAATCGACCGTCCCACTTGCGTGTAAGGCCTTGGTCAAAGAGCGGAGATCCAAGCCTGTTCCCGAAATCGACGATTCTGTGGGAATTAGTATTTGGATTGAGAGACGATTCGAGGTGCTGCTGGGGGCAAGAGATGTCGAGTCGCGATGGAGACAGAATTACAAGCCAGGGGACGTGTGGTTATATGGGACGAGGACGAGATAGTGGATTCCTAACTACAAAGCGGGCAAAGAGATGGAGCCTACCTGTTAATTCGGGACCAGGAGTATTGTCTTCGGTGAATGACGGCATGTGTCCACGCGAGCCAAGAAAGGGGCTGGATAGCTTATCGGCAGGCACGCGACCAGTTTGAACTGCACTTCCAGGCGAAAAGAAGGCCCAAACCCTAGAAACGAGAAACTTGGGAACAGAAAGGAGGCAAGGTGGGGGATAAATTGGACCCCTAGAAACAGTTTGATAAGCGAACGGAAATGGATGTGGGTACGGAGAACTGGTCCCTTGGGTTGCAACCCAACTGCAGTGGGACCTGGGAAGATGAGCCGGAAGTGATTCAATTAACAGAATACATGTAGGGAGTACTGTAACATTATCGTAAAATCGAAGTTCGAGGAGATGTTTGGACAAAATAGAAAGTGGCGAAAAATTGGCAGTTATCACTCAGGTGACCCAGGTGCCTGGCGGATCTGGCAGCTGTCTCCATATCTGGGCAAAACAGCCAGGGATCTCCGATTCGGCAGGAGGTCACACCATCACACCACTCATTGTTTGATAAGTTATCTTTGCTGGACTAGTAGTAGTGGATCCTTCACACCGCAGACTTCGTCTCTTGCTTGGACTGGCGCCTCGTATATATCACGGCAGATGGGAGATGGCAGATGGCAGATGGCTTTCACTGTAGCATGTGGGGAGCGGGCTGTATCGGCGCCAAAGGAAGCTTTCATTCGGATTCTCGCCGGAGAGTTTGGGGCGTTCGTCGAGCCCCTCATTTTGACAATCAGGGCGTATCCTGAAAAATTGCCAATGTCTAGCTTTGGGTTGTTAAGTCAAAGAGAAGAAGAGGAGAAAGGAGGAAGAGGGGAGATGAGAGATGAGGGGAGCACGAGGTAAGTTACCGTATTGGGTGGTGTTTGCTGGCCTCGGAAATCGGACCATATAACCTATATCATTAACGATATAAGTGCTATAAACTACGAAACGCCTCGCTTTCTAATTTAAATCAAAGATGTTCAGACATATATGACTCTATTTTAGGATTCACTTTTTAAGGCAAATTAGAATGCAAGGTTATTTCTGCAAGTTCACCATACTATACCAACCCAAACAGTTTTAAAAAACGGTAATTTATGTTGATTAATTAGCAGTGTTCCAAGAATTTCCCGTAAAGTACAGTAACTTACGTCACATTAAAACAAGTGCTCTGCATCGTACTCTCGAATAGAGGTTCATCAGTCTTCCAGTGGCTTATAACCGCCAAGACCAGGATTTTATGCAAGAATAGGAACTATAGGGGCCCATTAGGCCCCTATCGTGGGCCGAGGGTTGGGCTTTGGGCCCGAGCTCCGGCCTCAACGGTGGGCTTTGCGGAAGACTAAATTCTACGCGGCTTTAGTAAGTGGGATGCTGCAACGCTGTCCGATTCATGGTAGACAAGAGATTTACATCGGTATCGGAACGCAGAAGTAGGCTTCCAACGATAGTAATTGTCCATAACACGCAGCATAGATGAGTACTTGGGAGCTTAGTGGACATTGCCAATCATCAGCAATGGCGGCAGGGGCAAAGATGAAGTTGATTGAGAGTGAAATGATCTGCAGCCTTGTACTGGATCACAACAACAATCACTATTATCGTCCGTATTAGCGTTGGGACCTTAGAAGCTAAGGGCAGACCGCTCTGTGGCTGGGGTCCACTATTTTCCGGTATTGGAAATTTGATTTCTCATTAACCTCCACTCCTTCCATGTCCCGCCTGTTTCCCAGAACGGAACATAATTTGCGATATTTTGTCTATTCGCTATGCGCGGCGAAGTACGTGCTGTCCTGTTGCCTTTCAATATTGGCCCGTATTGATGGTTTTGTCCTCATCCATTGATATTCCCACCGAAAAAAATCTCGAGATACACAATTAGGTCTCGCGGTGTGGCATTCGATACTGTTGCGTATAAGACTAACCCAAACGCTTGGAGAATGAACACTAATGTGCTAAATGGCTAGATCTGTCATATTCACCTCGGCCAGGCTGGTATCCAGTTAGGCAACGCCGCCTGGGAGCTGTAAGTCTTCACTCTTTAGAATTCGCTCAACAATGGTTAACCGGTCGGTGATGATACAGTTACCTTCTCGAACACGGCATTTCGCCTGATGGCCATATAAATCCCAATCCGGCCGACGAGATTGGCCTTGACAGCTCTCATGAGACGTTTTTTACCGAAACTGGAAATGGCAAATACGTGCCTCGGTCAGTCTTTGTTGACCTTGACCCTTCGGTAGGTACTAAGTGACTAGGGTCTCGAAATGGAGTCAAGTTGACAGATGGATGATTACCTAGCCCATTGACGAAATACGCACTGGTATTTACCGCCATCTGTTCCACCCGGATCAGCTGATAAGCGGAAAGGAAGATGCCGCCAACAACTGTGTGAATTCCAGATCCCTTGAAGCTATGTGCTAAAGCAAACTGATACGTATTAGTTGCTCGTGGCTACTACACCGTCGGAAAGGGACTCATTGACGGCGTTGCTGACCGGATTCGCCGTATAGCCGGTGTGCATATTGAACACTCACTCCCTTGATTTTTAGCCTCTTTACTCATATCCTCACAGATAACTGCTCCTCCCTTCAGGGATTTTTGATCTTCCACTCTTTTGGTGGTGGGACCGGCTCTGGTTTCGGTGCGCTTTTGCTAGAGCGTCTTTCTGCTGAGTATAGCAAGAAGTCGAAGTTGGAGTTCGTTGTCTACCCTTCTCCCCGCGTGGGAACTGCTGTGGTAGAACCCTACAATGCCGTTCTGTCCACACATGGCACTATTGAGAACTCTGAATGCACTTTCCTCATCGACAATGAGGCTGTCTTTAGTATCTGTAAGCGCAACCTGGATATCCCTCGCCCTGGGTATGAGCACCTCAACCGACTTATCGCCCAGGTTGTTAGCTCTATTACCTCTAGCTTGCGTTTCAATGGTGCCCTCAACGTTGATTTGAATGAGTTCCAGACCAATCTCGTGCCGTTTCCACGGATTCATTACCCTCTCGTTTCATATGCTCCTGTCATCTCTAGCAACTGCAGCGGCCACGAGAGCTTCAAGACCAAGGATATAACCTTACAGTGTACGCTTTATGACCTTTTTACCTTTTTACAGTATTATTCCTTCATACTAACTGTTTTGCAGGCTTCGAACCTAACAACCAGATGGTTATCTGCAATCCTAACAATGGCAAGTATATGGCTGTGGCTCTTCTATACCGGGGGGACGTGGTACCACACGAATGTTCACAGGCTGTGGCCGAAGTTAAGGCCAGGTCTTCTTTTAACCTCGTCGAGTGGTGTCCAACTGGCTTTAAGCTTGGAATCAATCACCACAAGCCTATGAGTGTACCAGAGAGCGAGCTAGCTTCAGTTGACCGCTCGGTCACGATGCTCTCCAACTCAACCGCCATCGCGGAGGCCTGGGGTCGTCTCGACCACAAGTTTGACCTCATGTACTCTAAACGTGCCTTCGTCCACTGGTATATAGGTGAGGGCATGGAAGAAGGCGAATTCCTCGAAGCTCGGGAGGACCTAGCGGCTCTGGAGAAAGACTACCAGGAGATTGCCGATGACACTTTTGGCTCGGACGGAAATTTGGATTTTGAATACTGATTGGGCTCTTTCTCTTTCTGTTCCTTCGCTGTGTAATCTCACTGCGATCGAACACTCTAAGAACGCTTGAACTAAATATGCAAGGCGCAAGAAGAAGGCTATGGCCTTGTCTTTACCAACCATGAAAGGGACACATCGTTCGGCGAAGCTAAGCTTTAGAAAATGCCACATCTTGAATCTTGTTGTGTCCACCAACTCTTTGTGATGATATTTTACTCCATTCACTGCCAACTGGCTTATCGCGTGCTATAATCTAGACTCAACCGTCCCATGTTGTATATCCACTAACTAGCCAATTGGGGCGGGCGTTGTTTATATTGTCACGATAGACGGGAACTTGTATTTGACTGGGGCGCAGCAAACAACGGAATGCTCGGCGCGGCTGCATCATACGTAATCACAAGCATGCGCTACTTGCTACTTTCAACAAACAGGCTCGAGACCAACCATTTTGATTTTTCCTTGATTTTAATATTTGTTGGGTGACTTCATCCTGGCTATATCTCATTCAACAATCAAACATACTAATAGCCATTTATATCATTAGATGTCATTCCCTGCGCGTCCCTCCTGCTTTTCTCCCACCGCCAAATCCAACTTATTGAGACACATCGTTTAAAATCACGATGATCGGGACATCTACTGCTGAGTACTTCTTTATTCGGATGTGCATCGTATTCCTTCACAACATTACACCGATCAGTATTTTATACAGTATTCATTTACTCGCTGTCCATTTTTTTCACCTGCCAACTTATCTTGGGCGCGTATCCTACCCTATCCAAATCTGGCTCACTGCAGAGGCAGTCTTTTTCACCACGGTATTTTTACCACTCAAATATGCACTCCACCGCTCTCCTATCTGCCATCGACCTTTATCAACGGAGTGCCGTGATAAATTGTTCATGAGTTGCAATACGAATGTGCCAAACCTGGAGAAACATCTCAGCCGGTGGCTTATGGTTGCAGGAACTGAATCTATCAAGCGTGATAATGTGAAAGACTTTATCAGATGGTCTTTCTTCGGGCCTGCATACACCCTGGAGCAAGCCCAGCAGGATGAGGGGGATATCGAGTCCTATACAGCAGAAATTGAGAAGCTGATTGGACGAAAATTACCACCGGGAAGAATGGACGTCAAAGGCCTAGGACAGCTCCTAGATGAAGCAGGTGGCTTACATCGAAGTCTACTATGGTACACTGTTAGTTATCACTCTCTCCTCTATGTGTGAGGGAACCCTGTTAGACTGACACTTAACCCGCTTAGTGCGTCTTCGTGGTTGACACGATGACGTACTGCAAAATGCTATACAATGGGTTCGACTTTTATCGCAATTCGTTTTCGCGGTTCTTCACCGTCTTTCCATTTCGGCCTCTGACGATACTCACGAAGTTTCGATCACCAGCACCACACCTGACATACTGGCATCGACGGCATACTTCCAAAAAGCGGCTACCCGTATTATTCATCCATGGTATCGGAGTTGGCCTGTACACTTACACGAGCTTCCTTCGAGACCTCAACAATGAACTAGAGTCGGAAGCGACCGACGACAATGAGGTTGGCATCATCGCACTTGAGATCATGCCAGTAAGCTCTCGGATAACCTATCCAGCTCTGGAAAATGATGTGATGATTTGTGAGATTATGAAGATAATGCGGTATCATGGATGGAACAAATTCGTGCTTGTGTCTCATTCTTATGGCTCCATAATCGCTGCACACCTTCTTAAGTCCGATCAGTGTGCTCCCCTCGTCGGGCCTGCCGTCTTCATTGATCCGGTTTCATTTCTTCTCCATCTGCCCGATGTGACATACAACTTCATAGCCCGTCGGCCAGCACGGGCCAATGAATACCAGCTGTGGTATTTTGCAAGTAAAGACATAGGAGTTGCGCATACATTGGCAAGGAGATTTACCTGGGTTGATAATATCCTTTGGAAGGAGGATCTTGGGATAAAGACCGAACAGCACCAGCACGGTAGAAATGTCACTGTTGTTTTAGGCGGTAAGGATTTGATTGTGGACACCGAAACAGTGGGGCAGTACTTGGTGAGCTCATCATCAGAAGTTAGGACAGCTGAGAAAGAAGCAACACCTGCATGGAAAAATAAACCCTGGATGGGGTGCGGGCTTGAGCTGCTGTGGTATGAACATTTGGATCATGCCCAGGTCTTTGAGTCCGAGACTACTAGGCGGCCAGTCATTAAAGCCATCTCTGCATATTCAAACACAGGATGAAACTGTTGTATTATTGGCGACAAAATCATATATAATCTGAGAGGTTTGGAAAGCCAGGTCCAAATCTAACCCTGAATTATGTCAATATTAACTTAACTACCTTACGATTACTACGTGAGACCGAATCTATAATGATCCGATGCATGCATCATTATGCAATTAGAATGGACCCATAAATAGCAGGAAATAGGGGTAATCGAATACAGAATTCTTGACATTTCTAAGTGGTTGAAGAGAGCACTGGAATTGACAATCTAACGTTATAACTTAGTTATACCTCTCACCCTCTCTCGTGTTAAAGCCATTTGTTTTCTTGGTGCTGCTTTCCATATTGCCTCTCACGAATTTATCAAATCTATCAAATGTCACAATATTAATTACTGCAACCATCACTCCTGACGCCGTTATCTCAAGATGGTGTTTACTCGAAACCTCAAGGGATATCAGGAATGCGAGCCGACATTTTCTTGACTTTGGGGGAAGAAAGAAAAGAATAACCCTGATGCTGATGGGTAGAAATACCGCTAAAAGATACATAATAGGAAGATGTGTAGAATTGCTTTGCAAACGAGAAGCAACAGTTTGAATAGACTGTAGTTCTATTTTCCACCCATTGGCAACTCCGCGTATCTTAAAATGGCCTTCTTCGGCGGGTAGCCAGCTCTCTGAAAAGCACACAGCTGGTCATCGATATGGTGAGATCGGCAACGCCTTGATTGGTTTGCCGCCGTAAAGCAGTGAGAGAGCGTGAGTACCACACCAAAGCTTCTTCGTAATAGCCATGGCGCACATTGGCTGGATTATTGAATAATGGTTTTGAATCGCAAATGGGCGGCCTTCTCGTATAGCGCACTAAGTGAGATGACTGCATCCCATACTGCAGGTTCCAACCGGCAGATCTGCAACACGGATCGGCTCCAGAAGTTAAGATCTGACGCACCAGCAAGGGCGCGCCCTGCTGATGAAAGTAATAGTCAAATGCATGGCGCTCGCGCTGTCCAAAATGAGATGACGGATGCGAAATGGCCAATGCTGGGCGAAGAGACACGGTGCTGTAAGCACACTGTCGACCTGTTGCTAGTGCATCTCACGCAGTGTGGTTTATCCTCTCCCAACCGGATGCGACGAATTCCGGACGATTATCAGCTCTATCTTCTCGGGAATGACCCTCAATGAAAACTTGGTTCCTCACGCGTAAGACTAAACTGACTTGCAAGTATTGCATCCTGAGTTTGACTTCCTGCTCCCAATCCGATCGGACCCTCGGGATGGAGACACGACCAGATTCTCCCTCGAGTTACCATTTTAAGGCATTCAATGTGAGTGTTGAGTCTCAGCTCCCTCCAAAAGGGGCCCGATCAGCGAATCAGAACGGCGCGAGCCGTCATTACATTGACGCCTCAGGCACAATCATGACCCTTACACCTCTGGCATTGACCCGCAACGCTTTTCACAGTTGCAAGATCTTGAGCAATGTCGCCTAATATTGCATGGACTATACTTGTGGGCATATTTCCACTATTCGTGATCTACCTGTGGAAAATTGTCACATACTACAGAACCAAGCAATATGCGCACTTACCCCAGCTTCCACCATCATTAGTGTGGGGTCATTTGGCCACCGTCGGTAAAATCAGGAACAACCACAGACCGAATGTTCACGTCGGTAGGACTAAACGTTTCTTTAATCTGGCAGCATGGGTCTAACTGGCAACTAGATGAACTCTTCCAAGATATGCACGACCAACTCGGCAACCCTCCTCTATTTATTGCTGATTTCCGACCAATTACCCATGTTATGTGTATTGTTTGCAACCACGAAGTCGCAGAGCAGATTTCGAAAAGCTCAAAGCTTTTCCAGTACAGTACTCCAAAGTCACCCACCATCCGGTGGTACCAAGATTTGTTCGGAGCAAGCTCGATTCTTGTTGCAGAAGTAAGTTGAGGTAGTCGGCGAAGAGATATACGATCTAACCATCATATAGAATGAAGAATGGAAAGGTCTACGCAAGCGATTCAATCCAGGATTCTCGCACAAGCATCTCATGAGTCTGATGCCCTGTATTCTCGACAAGACCCAGCTTTTCCTACAACGCCTGGACCATTACGCCACCACTGGTGAGGAATTCTCACTTGACGATCTATGTACAAACTTGACATTCGACATTATCGGTAAATACTTCTTTCTGTTCCCTCACAGATATGTGCTCTAACCTTGTCTACAGGCGCGGTCACCATGGATACTAACATGGATGCTCAACTCGAAGAAGCAAAACAAGGCGAGCTGGTTCGACTTTACCGTGAACTGGGCTACAGCTATCGCCGCAATAATGGTAGATGGAAGTTATTGCTTCCCTTCCAGAGACGTGCTATGGGACGTCGGCTTGATAGGCTTCTCAAAGCGATCATTACAGAGAAATTTGAGGAAGGATCCAATCCCGACAAGTCATCTCGCAGTGTACTCGCTCTCAGTCTGGCAGAACATCCTAAATTGACGCCAGAGATTCTGACCCAGACTTGTGATCAACTTAAGACTTTCTTATTTGCTGGCCATGATACGACCAGTATCGTGTTGCAATGGTCATTTTATCAACTGAGTCGGACTCCCCGGGTTCTACGCCTCGTTTGTCTCGAATTGGATGAAATATTTGGAACCGATAGCTCGCCATCTGTTGTTCGGGACAATCTTTTGGAACGTGGGGAGGAGCTACTCCAGAAGCTGACCTACACTTCTGCCGTAATAAAGGAGATCCTTCGCTTGTTCCCACCAGCTGCCACGGCACGTTCGTCACCTCCAAACACCGGAATGACCGTTCAGTTACCAAATGGCGAAGAACTGTGCCTGGATGGTACAATTTTATATACCTGTCATAGTATCATACAGCGTGATAAGAGCGTGTATGGTGACGAAAGCAACGAATTCATCCCCGAGCGCTGGCTGGGAGGAGTAAAAGACAGCGCCGCCATCCCCCCGAGTGCATGGCGTCCTTTCGAGCGAGGACCGCGCAACTGCATTGGGCAGGAGCTTGCAAACATTGAGGCGCTGGTCATTCTCGCGTGTGCGGTACGCCGGTATGATTGGGACAAGGTAGGGCTTGGAGCCTTCAAATGTGATGATACGGGTGCACCAATTATGAAAGCAAACGGGCAGTACGATGTCCATTCAGAGCTGTACAGTGTAAGTGCTTGGAAGTTTCTGGATGCGGTAGCTATGTGCTGATAACATTTAGACATTGGAGATCACTGCGAAGCCCGTTGATGGAACGAAGATGCGTGTTAGGTTTGCCACGACGGTATAAGCTGAGATGGATTCGCAAAGTGAGATGGATTCGCAAGCCCGTATATATGGAGTAGCTCACATAATTACCACAAGGGTCATAATTGTGTACGTTGTTTTCGCCCTTCTTTGGCCTCTCTTTTCACATCTCCTTTTTGCCCATGTTCGACTGCCTCGGGTTCATCGTATAGATCAACACATTTGTGAGAGCATGAAGACATTTGATTCTTTGTATCTAAACACTATCCCTTATAGTTATTTGATTTCTTCTAGAATTTGTTGTAGTTTCTTAAATGCTAGGGAGTCGTATACCACAAGAGCATCTATGGATGGGCTCAAGGGTACTTAACACTTAGCGAGATATCATGACTCAATTATTGCAACGGCTACAGTTATCTAAAGCGGTAGGCCTTTGGCAACAATGTTCAAGTTTCTATTCAGTGGAGAAAATCAGTTCTCGGCAGCTATATATATCTGACTTTCTAAAAAGATGGCCTAACGAATAGAAACCAACTTTACACAATATACGTACATATTGGACACGCAAACAACGATGTTTCCAAGGCTAAATTATCCCTACTTGAAAGGACAGGCGAGATAGAAACTTACGTACAAAAAGTTGCGGCGACTCCGAGGTGGCTTCTCGCTTCGGTCAGCCGTTCTTGGTTTCTTTTCTGGAAATATGTACACAGAGGTCGCTTTGTCTTCCAAAAGAAAGCGACCTCTAAAATCAAGGACACTTGAAGTATTCAGCTAATCTACTAATCTACTAAGCTATTACGCTACTATGGGTCATTCGCGGGTTGTAGCAACAACTACCGGTGAAGAGCTAAACTACATAAACAACAAGATTGTTGATCAAACATGATTCAGGTATTCAACAGCAAGTACCATTTTGATTTTCAATAGACCGCATAAACAGATAATTTGCTCTACACCGCTCAGCTCGCAGTGCAGCTGAGTATAGATCTCGTGAGCAAGTATACGAGAACTGCGACATTGGCCACCCCAGAGATCTGCATAGCCAAGCCCGGATCAATCACACCTCACCGACCGCTCTCTTGCGCCAAGCAGACAAAATTTAATCCGAGTCGATGTGGAGAGGCTGAGTGAAACATCGTCACTTAAATCTTGCAGACTGGGGTCTAGTAGCCGCAGCTAAATTTAGGGCCTGTTTCGTCAGTGGCAGCCGTATGATTCCGGCTCATTATAAAAGAGACCCTGTTGTGTTTCCAATTCCTCCAAAATACAAACAAACAGTTCTCTACTTTCCAATAACTACTATTTATTACCCTCACCTCAAGTCCAAAATGAAGTTCACCATCCCCATCCTCGCTTCCCTCGTGGCAACCAGCACCGCCCTCTTCGACAAGAACCAGCGTATGAACATCCCAACCGCCATATCAATCCCAACCCACTAACCAACTAAACTAACTTCTAGCATGGGGCAAGCGCGACTACTCTTGCGTTAACGTCTACCAAGGCATCCCCGATAACTCAACCGTCTCTCCAGGCCAAACCGTCCACGTCCGCTTCAACCGCAAGCCCACTGGCCGCTGCCCGGATCCGTTGAACCAGTACCCCGGCGATGACTACAGCGTCTGGCTGTACAATAACCCAGTCCGCGTGCCGAACGCTGTGAACTTCGACCAGTCGATTAAGATCGCTACTGGTATTAAGGAGAAGGCGGGTGCTGTGGATGTTACTATTCCTAAGGATTTGCCCCAGGTTAAGGATGGCTCTGTTTGGTATTTGAGACTTGGGACTGGTTTGTCTACTGCTCCTCAGGTAAGCTTTCTTGTTTTTCTGCTTGGTTCCCCTTGTTGTGGCTGTACCGTATTATTTGGGGCTGGATTTGCTTCTCTTTTAGTTGAATTGATGCTAATTCATACTGCAGATGCCCACTTTGTTCAACGCTGCTGGACCATTTACTATTACAAAGGCTTAGATGCATCCTCTATTTGAGGCTTGAGTTTGATTTAAAATAATATGTGTGAATCTTTCTATTCTTAGCATATTATATAGAAATAGCATGCTTGGCATTACTGTATCAACCGGACAGTTGAATCTAACGCAATCCAATCAACTTATAGTCGGCAGTGTACTGTGCTCTTGACTCGCTGTCAAAATAAATAAAAAATCCAATGTATTTTCATTTTAGCTTCCAGCCTCTCAGAGGATCAACCACTATAGTAATAGACAAGAACTTAAAATCAGTCTCAGGCAAGATGGCCATGCAATTTGCCGTAATGACATCAGACCAAACCCCAGTTTAATCACGGTATGAAACACTGAAGACCTTATAGCCACCAGCCCCACTCGTACGCCCCTGAGTGTTGATATCGACATGGTGCCCCTGATCAAGGTGTTGAATGGAATAGCCGCGACCATTGCCATTGAATGAGATTCGCACCTTGACGGCATTTGCACTCTCGTTCTTAGGCAACATGGCATTATTCGCTCCAAGCCATCTGCCATCCAGAGCGCTGGATATGGTAAAGACCTGGCTCTCCTCGTCTTGGGTGTAATGGATGACCCACCGCTGTGACTTGGCATTGTGCTGGGAGGTTGCTGGGCTGGTGGTGAGGGATTTTCCGTTACCTGGGTTTGTGAGGGCTTCTCCATCTTTCTCGAAGACTAAGTAGCGACCTTCTGTTAGGTAGCCGACTACCTCTTTGTATCCTTCTTCGAACCAGAGGCCGTTGGTATCGGTTGCATTGTCCTGCTCGCCGTATGGGACTGGAGGTCGGGTTTGGGAGTGACGGGATTGGCAGCTCGAGGTACCGGTGTAGCCTCCCTTGGAATTAGTGTCTGGCGTTTGTGCATCGGGCAGCTTGGGAAGGGAGTAGTCCGGGTTCTCGAAGTCGAGGGCGTTGACGAGATTGGACATATGTTCACGTCGCCAAGACACCATCTGGTCAGTTTGGATGTTTTTGTAGCCTCGGGCTGTCAGCCAATTCTCAACGAACAAGATCTGGGAGTTGTGGTCTGCTCGCTCAGTAAACACACGGTTTCCTCGTGTCCATGGAGAGATCATATAGAAAGGGACCCGGAACCCAGGTCCTGAGAAAATATCGGAGAACAGACCCAAAGGATCTTTCATCCATTCTCCCGGTGTGTTCGCGGGGGAATGGAATGGAGTGACATGGTCACCGAAGCCACCAGTTTCGTCATAACTGACCATCAGGAGGGTGGAGTTGTACTTGGGGCTATTGGTAACCGCATCAACGACCTTCTTCTGCAGCCAAGCTCCATCTTTCGGCATGTAGGGCGGGTGCTCTGACAACTCGGCAGGGCCAACAATGAAACTGACCTCAGGCAATGTTCCATTGGCAGCTCGCTGGTAGAATGCGTCGAGGCTCACAAATGACATGCCTTTCTGGTTGAGAGGGCTGTTCTTTGAGGCATTTTGGAACTGCTGGAACCAAGCCAAAGGATTGTCGTCAAAGTTGTTCGTATCTTGGAATAACTGCCAAGAGACACCTGCTTCTTCGTAGAATTCATATACGGTCTTCCACTTGAGCGGATAGCAGTTGATACCATGATCGTCACAACCTGGAAATTGAGTCAGATGGCAATACTTCAGCGCTATCAAAATAGAGAAACAGGCGATACGTACCTGGTACCTCATTGTTGTCAATGTACACACCACCCTGGTCCTTGGACTGAGGACTACCAGGCACATTGATAGAGCCGCTAACGAGGGTAACCCGATTAGGGTTTGTGGCTGTGATTTGACTCTCCTGCGCTTATCAGCCTCATCAACTGAAGTCACTTCTGATCTGGTCTCGTACCTGGTACATATCTCCCGAAGTCCAACCCTCAGCAATGGCAAACTGAACTGGAATATCCTGTCGCTTGAGATGTCCCCAGCTCCAGGGTGTATTCTTGGTCACCCAGTGGTTGTTGGAGCCGTTGTTCAGAGAACCCTGATTCTCCTGGTAGCCATTGCTACCAGCTACCATGCACTGAATGGCGTCACTCCAGTCACCGCCCTTATGACCCAGATACCAAGGAAGCAAGGTCTTGGTATCGTTGGACTGGCTGGGATCGACAACTCTGGCGACTGTTAGAAGCATTCTGGTTGATATTGTATCTGGACTTACTGGTGCCAAACTGAATTCCCATCGGGGTTGACCTGAACATTGGGATCATTGAAGCCACGGACTCCAGCCATGGTACCAAAGTACTGGAGATATGGAGTGAGCAAGATGAAACTGTTCAGTATGACAGGGGAACTTACACTGTCCCACGAACGGTTTTCCTGCATGAAGAGGACTACATGCTCAATGTCTTTCAACGATCCAGCCGTCACAGTGCTGCTTCCTAGCAGCACTGCTAGAGTTATACCTCCAAGTAACTTGGAAGTCATAATGGATATTGAAGAGTGATGTGTCGTAAGAAGGAAGGAGAAACCGACTACTACATGTACCTATACCCCCACAAGAAGTGAGACCCGCCTATACCCGACCTCGGAGCTCTCTTGGTCTCCAGATGAAAGGTTGCATGAGATCCATGGTACTATAGCTCGAAAAGGAAGCACGAGTCGGAAGTCTGCGATCAGAGCGCAGGGATGGGCTGGCATTCCTGGAGTGTCGATCGTAACGTGCATAAGCGATGTATCGGGGTTCGTGCGTAGAACTATAGAAGAAACACCGAAATCGTAAACATTTGATGTTATAGCGGGATGTACCTGGTGATCGGCCAATGTGATCTGGTTGGGGCTCCACGTGAAGAATTGACCCACGGGTGTGGCCAACGCTAAAGCGAAGTATACTTGCGGCAGGAACAGCGACTGTTTACTTCGGGCATAGTCTCTTTTTTCATGGATGACCACCATAATTGAGGATATTCTGATTGATTGCTTCAGTGCACGTGGGTTGCATGTCTTTCTGCAAGGTCGCAGTCTTGATTCAGATGTGCATTCCCCTTCCCAGCAAGGGCGGCATGAGGCATGAGGTCACTTTCCGGACTTATCGGTGCTCCGTGTTATTTCTGCAACACCCATGATGCTCTAGTTGCTTCTACTGTATTTGAAAGACAGAGGTAGAGCACTAGAGCAGTCGGCGGACTGTCCGCACTCACCCTGAGCAACCTCGAACTCAACAGATGCCGAATCAAGCCCGGCCATGGCCGATCGTGACCTGGTCATTGGTCGCATGTTTCCTAATCGGGCTTGCATACCTACTCCAATCAACTCAGTTCTCATCTGCGCCTTTGATCCTGACCGGAAAGCATCAACACCTCCAAAAAGACCAGGAAATCGCAACGCGCCCAAGAATCGAACTTCACTCAGAGGATCATGTGTACCGAGCGCCGGTGACACAGTACCTGGACTGGCATATTACAGTGGACCACCGCAGGCCGGATGGTGTACTGAAGCGGGTCTATCTCATCAATGGTGAGTGCGCATCTGGGGTGAAGTTGTGTTTTTGGGCTGACCGGAGGATATTGAATTAGACCTGTTTCCTGGCCCGACGGTTGAGGCCCGCTCTGGTGATACCTTGATCATCACTGTTGAGAATGGGCTGCTAGATGAGTCGGTTACGCTTCACTGGCATGGCCTTCATGTTGCCAGTATGTACTTGCAGTATCGGAACTTGAAGTTTTAGAGCTGACCGCCTCAGATTCTATGGACGGGGCTGCCGGAGTTTCTCAATGTCCTATTTCCCCCGGGAGTCAATTTGTATACAATTTGACAATTCCATCCGATCAAAGTGGTACTTTTTGGTATCATGCTCATTCGGGGGTCTCGCGAGCCGATGGCCTTTATGGTGGGCTAATTGTTCATGCGCCGGCTTCAAAATCGACCGTTCGAGGCTTGATGGCCCAGAAAGAGGATAATGATGAGCCATACACTTATGAAAAAGAGCTTCTGCTTCTTATCGGCGACTGGTATCATCGGCCTGCAAGTGAGGTCCTTGAGTGGTACATGGACCCTGGGAACTTTGGGAATGAGGTATGGCCTGATAGTTATATCAAGCGTAATGTGTCATTGGTCACTAATGAGCAAACCTACTAGCCTGTTCCTGATTCTCTACTCATCAATGGAGTGGGACGCTTTGACTGCAGCATGGCTGTTCCTGCACTGCCGGTGGATTGCATTAAGGGTATGAACTGGTCAATCATGGACCTCGTTCCCGATATGACATATAGGATACGTGTTGCAAACACTGGGTATGTGCTTCTATCTTCAAAAAAAAAAAAGAGAATCAGTTAACCATTTCTAGCGCACTTGCTGGGTTCACTCTCTCCTTCAGCCATCACGTACTGGATCTTATGCAGGTGGATAGTATTGATGTACAGCGTCCGGAACAGCGAAATACCAATTCTGTTGGGATCCTGTATCCCGGACAGCGCATGGACTTTATCCTTCGGCCGTCGTCGCAGAGCACCAACAAGCAGCCATATGTGACGGTTCAATTAGATCAAAAGTATGTACATTTAGCACATACACCATGAAGTTCCTGCTAACAACTAATCAGCTGCTTCAAGTACGCCAATCCAGCATTGAACCCTGATCAAACATTCCCAATTAATGATCATCCAACTTCCACTTTCAATACCAGCTCCCAGCCACCGGTGGTTATCAACCATCTCAACATCCAAGAAGTACCATCCGCACCCTCGATCCTAAACTCACTTCCACCAACAGCAGAACAAACACACGTCATCTACACTAAGATCCAAAAGATGGCCCGCTACTCCAACAAACCATTCGGCTATATCAACCAAACAACCTGGAAACCACAACAACATCCACCAGCACCGCTGACCACTTTACCTCGTACAAAATGGGATAAGAACCAATTTACAATTACTACAGGACCGGACTCAGTATGGATAGACCTAGTAATCAACAACCTAGACGAAGGATCCCATCCATTCCACCTGGTATGAAAAGAATATTCCCCTTGCTCTCCCATCCGACCAAAAAAACACACCAGCACAATCTAACAAACCCATACTGAAGCATGGCCACCACTTCTACATCCTAGCAACATATCAAGCAAGCTCCGGCTGGGGCTCCTACAACCCCTTCGCAGATAAATCACCACCACACGCAGGTTCAGACCTGGAAAGGGACTCCGGCTCATCTACATCCTTATCCCACGACCAGCCAGACCAAGCCACAGAAGACGAAATCAACCCAAACCAAAACCCAAACATTTTCAGCCCGTACGACCTCTCCCGGGCTGCACTACGTGACACGGTCAACATCCCAAGTCGCGGGTATGCCGTGCTCCGATTCCGGGCCGAAAACGTTGGGGTTTGGCTTTTGCATTGTCATGTTCTTTGGCATTCTGTTACCGGGATGGCTATGTTGATTGATGTTGGAAATGGAAGTGAGTTGGGAGTTGGTGGTGGTGATGGTGATGGGCAAGTCTGTTCTGATTCTCCAGTGTCGGGGTAACAGGGCTACCTCCTGCTATCTACTAAATAAGGGCCTCTCTAGCTATGTTGCTAGGTTAGTTACTGGGGTTACTAGCAACCGTTTAGTAGCAATATTACAAGGTAACGATCAACCCAATTGAAGCTCTTTTTCAGCATAGGCTGTAAGAATTCAGGCAGTCAAATGATTCAATAAATATTTCTAGCACAATAAAAAGCACTTTTAGCGAAGATGCCATACATGCATGGCGATGAAGCAAGGTTCCCAAAAGATCCTAAGTTCTACGGGAGCACTTGGAATTTCGGAGGGTCTAGCTATCTTAGCAGATAGAGAGAAGCGTAGAATAGAGCAAGGCACCGAATCATGAGCTCTTTGTTTGCTCGAAATTCGATAAGTGAATCAAACAAACCTTTCACATGCACTTGTCAAGGCCGATGACGTGCATCGATCCGAGTCTCCTTTAGATGTATAACAGCAATGTAATGTACAACAGCTACATTGCTGTTATAGGGTTTGTCAAGATAACAAATATTCTGCTATACCGTCACGAGGCTTAATATATAGGCCGATGCCATTATTTTGCTTCTTTTTGGGAAAAGCCTGGATTTGGGGGCGCTCATAGATCTCAGTAACGAGTTCCTAGATAGCATTCATATCTTCTCTAATGCCGCGAGTGCAGAGGATCTGCCTAAGCCAAGGTAAACAGAGAAAAGGGTCGATCTGCTAGTGACATACTAATACTAAAGAAAAAGACCTAGGTTTAAGTACACACGTTCGCATATTCTGTGCGCAGAGCGAACGACTCATAACGCCAGTAGCGAGCCAAATGAGGGAAAACGAGAGGTATTACAAAAATGTGCAGCGAGAGAGCTGTCATATATCAAGCCCCGAGGAAACCAAAAAGGAAGACCAGCTTCGCCCTTCAGGATAGGATACAAAGAGAAAGAGAGAAAACGAGGAATTTACGTAGATGCACTAGCCCACTCGACGACTTCCAAAGCGCACATGACGAGGACGAGGGTTGACGGGAGGATCCTGTAGAAAGAGAGTAGGTTAGCAGTCATGTCACGAAGAATGAGCAGGGGAGAAAGCTCCTGCACTGAAACTGAGCTGAACTTACCAGACAACATAGCTCTGGAAGAGAAGCTTTGACATAGCCCCAACATAAACGTTATTAATCTGGCAAATTTGAGCCAATTGCAACGCCGACGGCGCGCCAGTAAGCAAGAAGCAGACAATAACGAAGATCGGATCGTCGAGAATACTAATCGGCACGAATTTAGCCGTAAGCGCCAAAAGCGGTGCCATGATAATAGTCGGCATCAGCATGCGCGCCACCAACGAAGCGATAATCAATTTGCGCTCTTCGCGGGGATGTTCCATATCCTCAAGCGCCTCTTCCGGCAGAGTGTTCCGCGCCAAGTTCGCGCCCAGCACGACCAAGATAAGTGGCACGGCAACCTGTCCATTCTGATCGATTGCACGGGTTACCGAGTTACGGATAAAGGTTCCATCGTCAAAGAAGAGTCGTTGCAGAGCGGGTACTGAGGCGACGATAATTGAGACTAGCATTGCCCACAGAGGCGGGTTCATGAAATCCCATAAGCCATTGACGAAGCGGCGGGCGCCGCGGCTGGTTGATGAGAGACCTTTTTGGAGCTTGGGTGGGAGGCGTGCTTGGAGCTCGTTCGTCTTCTTCTCCCACCAGCGCCCTTGGCGATCTCGGGATTTGCGCAGAGATGATTTCCAGCGCTGGACACGGGTTTGATCTGCCTCTTGGGCTTCCCGGGCTGTGATTTCTACGTCGGGGAATTGGAGGATGTCGCCCCGGGAGCTTTGGCGCGGAAGGAAGGGGCCGGTTGGTGGTGGTCCGATTACGGATGGGGTATCATCCGAGTCTGCGCCGTCGGAGTGGGCGGAGGAGAGCTTGGAGTAGGAATATGCACGTGTTGACACGGGCGTTTGGTCTCCGGATTGGAAGTCGCGTGAGGTGTGCCCGTGTTGCGCATGGTGTAGATCGTCTGAGCTCTGCGTCCGGACGAGCGGTTCGTCTGGGTCTGTTTGGGCGGGGTTGTCGGTGTAGCGCGCCTGGCCCTGTTCAATGACTGAGTTATCTGTCACTTCGCGCTCTGTTTCCTCCAGGTATCGGTCCTTGGGGGCGAGGAGAATGTGGTATCCCCAGCTCCAGCGCACGAGTTGGCCCAGTTGTTGGAAGATAAGGAGGTAGAGGATTCCACGCGCGGCGACTTCGTCATCGTTGTCATTTGGAATCTGGTCCCAGTGAAGGCCTTTCAGAGTTGCTGAGAGCGATACCACGAGGGAGATGGGTAGGGAGTTTGAATTGCCGAAGACCTATTGGGATTCTTATCAGTAACGCGTCTCGTATGATGTCACAAATCACATACCGCCATGGCAGCCACAAAATTGGACTGGCGTTTCTTGAAGCCACAGCATTTTGTAACGACCCAGGAACAGAAGTATGACACGAAGGTCTGGACGACGAAGATGACAGGGATGATAGCCAGGTCCGTCAGCTTCTCGGCGGTCAATTGGGAGCCCAATTTTGTGAAAACTGTAACTGTCAGCTTTGCCGATCACAAGACTCATCTCCTTTTCGGGGAGAGCTTCAGGAACGGTTTCCATACTAAGACAAGGAGTGAACAGAGTCACGTTGAGGTTCGCCACGAGCTTCTGGGCATCGGCATCAAACATGCCCTGGCGGGCGGCGATATAGCCAGGCAGACTGACACAGACAACTTCCAGCACGGCCTCAAAGACGAGCAGCACTAAATGAAAGAACGAGGGGTGGCTGGAGTGGGCGCCTTCCGACAAGAAGCCGCTGATGCCCATCGGGGCTTGAATGGCATTGACATTCTGAAATGACCGCGGCAAGTTAAAGACGGCCATGAGTTGGAAGTATCACGATTGTCCTTGAGAGAGAGGACGGGAGTTGTAGAAAGGAAGAAAGAAGAAAGGCTGACGACATTCCTGACAGGGATCTTGGCAATCTCGCCCACGTTGATAGTTCCTTGGATAAGCTCCCTCTCCACAGTGGCTGTGATGGGGCATTGTTATTCCGACGGTCTGACATATGAATGGCGCAATACAGGCAAGTGGTATATACTACAACATCCTAGTTTTTGTGCTACAATGTCTTGAAACAAACATACTAAATATACATCACAGTCAAGGATTGTTTCAAGAGTGCAAGAGATGAGTGACGCGAGCGGCAAAATGCCAAGGGGTGGTCAGTGCTTTGATAACGGGTCTGCAGCCAATAATTAACAAAAGTTGTATTGTTACAAGTTTGTATGAAGTACTTGTAGAATTTGTAAATTAAGTTAGTTTTGACCGTGCTGTCCAGCAAGGGTATAATACAATGGTCTCAGCAGGCCTCTAAAAAGAGTGCAGGGCTGTGCAACATTCACGCATCAACAAAGCCCAACTTCTCGCCTACTTTGATGCGCTGTCCCTTCTCGATATTCCACTTCCACCCATCAGTCGGAGTATCATCCGGCCAGCCGGCATCCACTGACTTGCGAGTACCCAGAGGAGCCTCAAACACAAGAACGATCGAGCTGCCTAGCTGGAATCCGCCCATTTCCTCGCCGCGCTGCAGCGGATGTCCACCAAGAGTCCGGCTAGCATGGCGGTAGGTCGCTTCAACAAAACCGGGATACTGCTCGCCTCGCTTCAATGCCAGGGCTGCTGCCAAGTCCGCCGCGGTGTCGGTCAACAGGCTGTTAGTGCGCAGCTCCGAATCAAAGTTGATTTTGATGGAGCCCACGTTGGTGGCTCCGACCGGTGTGTAACTGAAGAATCCCCATCGCCACCGTCCAAGGAGGGCAACGCGCTCATTGAGGGTGAACAGACCGGGAAGGTGCTTTTGCAGGTATGGCGAAACGGAGTATAACTCGCCGGCGAAGTGGCGACGACTTTCGACCACCCACGGAGCTGGGGAATGGAAGCGGTGGTAGTCTCCCGGGGCCAGATAGATCACAACGTAGAACAAGGCGTGGTTGGCTGCGGTTTGCGGCGCGTACCAGGGGGTCCCGTCACCGCGAGCCAGTTCCTCTTGCACTTGGATTTCTGATGTCGCCTTGGATTCTGTAGAGGCGTCCAGGGAGGCATGTCGCTTAGGGGCTTCTGATTCACCAGACAACAAGCTCGGAAGCGTGTAGGAGATGCCGTTCACGCGAGCAAACTCCTCATGCGCAGCCATATTCTCCGAATCCTTTTGTGTTTCCTCGGTGTCCTTGTCCATGAGTCGCTTCGTGTGGTCGGCGTGCGCAGGTGTGGCCGAACCCAGGAGAGCATCCAGACTATAGGTCATTCCCTTCACTTGTTCAACTTCACCCCGCTCAATCATTCCAAATTGCAAAATGCGACCATCGGACGGTGCCAGAAGTGCTCGTGGGTCGGGGTCTAGAGGTCGAACGCCAGGCTTCAATTTGCGGTAGAAAAAGGCAGCCAAGTTGGGGTAGGTGTGCAGGTCGGGCTCGGCAACTTCTTCAAGGTTGACGCCAAAGGCCCAGGAGTATAATTTGAATCCAGGAACACGGAAGTAATAGGGGAGTTCGATTTCGTTGAACTGACCCCAGAGCCGCGACATGGCCTTCAGGGGCAGTGTGGACATGATCTGGACATGCCATGGACCGGACGGCACAATCCTCGGCCGACGCGGTGGTTTTTTGCTTTCGTCCCATACATCTCCAGCGGCATCACGGGCCACGCGATCTCGCTCCGCACGCTGTGCCTTGTAGAAATGCAGCAATCCAAGCAGGCCAATACCGAGTCCGACCGGGATTGGATACCATTCGACCTTGGTGTTTCGTAGGGCGAATCGTAGTCGGGAACCAAATCCACCTCTGTTGTTTTCGGGGTTATTGTCCTTTTGATATCTCCATGATGTGGATGAAAAGTGCCGAAGACTGGCTTTGTGACGGGCTGTAGCCCGGAACGAGAATATCTCCATGGGCCCTATGCCAGAAGACGGTAAAGAATAAAGGAGGCGCTTGGCCATGTTTCATACAGGCGAAGATCAACTGTGCTCAGAGCGATTTTTCCCGGGGGAAAGAAGCGTCGCCGATACACCGCCCGGGCAGAATGGCACATGGGCACGTGGAATACGTTGTTTGTCGACTTCGTTGCTATAGTTGCTCTCTCTCTGCTCAATTGGCGTTGTGGTATTTCTTTGCATCTTTTGTTGTCTTTCTCTCCTTCGCATCCCCAGCCTCCTTTTCCCACATCCCCAGCCATTCCTACCGAGCTTATCGCTTATCGATACTTTGATGCCAGATATCAAGATCAAGTCCAGCTTTCTCTACTTCTTGCGCTTGAAGATCTGACACCCTCAAATCTCCTTTGTGTCAAAGGGGTTCCTCTCACGTCAATAACTGGAGACTCTCCTCTAGCAGGATTTCCCTCCACCCCTCACCCCTCCACCGGCGCAATCGCAGCTTCATACAACCGCAGCTCCGATAACGCATATCTTCCCCACACCAGCTCCAAGATATAGCTTTCATAGCTTCTTTTGCCGCACCTTCCTTTCCCATCACTGCGTTGCACATACCTGCATTCACAGCTCCAGAAAGTCCAACGTTGAGCCAACTGCCCACCACTTACAATGGCGGACGCACCTTCTTCCTCCGGCGAGGGCACAACCACAACCCTCAACATCCTCTGCCAGATTCTGCCTCCTCCTGGGCGATTCACGATTGAGAATCTGCCTTTGACCACAACTGTAGGTCAGCTTCGGGCCCGCATTTCCGAGACCTTCCCCGGAAACCCTCATCCATCAACTCAACGACTCATCTACCAAGGCAAGGCACTCCTTGACGACAACGTCACTCTTGTAAGCTTCCTGCCGTCTACAAATGTAAGTCTGCTGATATTCTGATGCTTTTTATTGTCTTCTCATTGACCAAACCATCTTGCAGGACTCTACTCACGCACTGCATCTCGTGCTGCCACCACCCGAACCAACTCACGCGCTAGCTTCTGGTACCTCTCACCCATCGTCACAAGCTGTCTCTGATCGCCTACGCCCATTTCGGGCAAGACCATTTGCTACCAGTACCCCGGGTTTATTCGGCAATTCTGCAGCGAATCCGAGTCCATTTGGGCCCAACTCTACAGCTGGCTCGGGCTTATTCGGACCCAACGCAGCTCATTCAAGTGGATTCGGACCCAATGCACCAGCTAGCTCGAGTCCATTCGGACCCAACGCAGCTCACCCAAGTGGATTCGGATCCAATGCACCAGCTGGCTCGAGTTTGTTCGGATCCAATCGCCCAACCGGTTCAGGTTTATTCGGTCCCATCCCAGGTAATCCAAGTCCATTCGGACCGGGCATCGCGGGTTTCGGACCAGCACACCCCAACGGAAATTTTTTTGGCCCACTCCACAACACTAACACTGGTGGGGGATTCCAAGGATTCCAACCACAGCCCGCGGAAACGGATGACGACACCAACCTGCGTCTTGCCAACCTGCGAAGCCAAACCGAAGAGATCGAACGGCAGCTGGAGCGTGGTCTCGTAGCCTCCTCGATGCGGCATATCGTCAACGTTCGGACGGAACTTCTGGGAATTCAAGATGCCCAGTTCAACAGACGGCGTCCGCTGCCAGAGGTTGGAGCATTGATTGCACGCATCATGGACGCTTATACTCGTGTATGCCAACTGGAAAACATGCAACTTCGGGAGAGAACATCAACGGGCAGCCATAGCCATGCCTCAGCCAATATTGAAACCAATGCTCAAGGTCGCTGCATCCTCAATTCGTCGGTTTCCGAAAACCATAGCATCTTTATCGTGACTGGGCCAGGTGGAAGCCCCCAGGTCATCCTACCCCCAGGTGCGCAGTTGGACGGAACAATTTATCTGCCAGGCGCACAGTTAGATGGAACAATTTATTCGCCACCTGCAGCAGCATCTGATGCACCCGTCCCTCCGCAACCTCCCCAGAACGCAGCAATAGTCGAGAACGTGTTCCGCCAGGCAATGCCGAACCAACAGAGACGCGGTAACGATATCGAACAAGCCGGCTTGGCCCGCCACATGAGTCGCATCTGGCTATTTGTACGTCTTTGGTTCGTCTGCTACTTGACTAGTGAGCCTGGCACCTGGAGACGCTACATCATGGTCGCCGTTTCTATGTTGGTCACTCTCCTGTCAGAAACCGATATCCCTCAGCAAATCCTGCGAGCAGTTATCACCCCTGCACAGCGTCATCTCGAGGCTTTGGCCCGTGTTGGTGGACCTGCAGACCCTGCGGCAACTGCCAATGACCCCCGTTTTCAGGCATTCAGTATGCGGGAGCAGGTACGCCGCATAGAGCGGTCTATTCTTCTCCTGTTGGCTAGTGTAGTCCCCGGTCTTGGTGAGCGGGAGGTCGAGGCACACCTTGCGGCCGAGCGTGGCGCCGAGCTTCGGCGTCAGGAGCAGGAGCAGGCACAGGCACAGGCACAGGCACAGGAGCAGCAAGCTCAAGCTACGGAGGCCGAGGGCTCCACCAACCCCGCTGCTCAACAGGAGGCTCCTGCCTCGCAACCTGAGCCAACTCCCGCCCAGAATTAGTTCTGTAGGGTTGGCTGTCCATATTAGCATTTTTTGTTTGTGTATTAGCGATAGCGTACTTTTTTGTCCTCGAGTACGGGCCATGTTTGATGCTTATGTTGAAGTAAAACCACATATTCTTATCCACTTCCACTCTATCTGTAGTGTCGTATACAAACTATAGCGCTAGGTTGTTGTAGAGCGATGTATAATGCGATGCTAAACGACCTGGCACTAGTCGTAGATAACAGTAAAGGTCAGTATGTGTAGGTAGTTGAGAGTTGACTAACTGAAGCGATATCAAGATAAATGCGAGCACATTCTATTTCCAATTCCCTCCTCTGTTTCCTATTCCATTCCCTTGCTGTATTTTGCTTATTCTATCTCCCCTTTTCTGTCTCCCCTACCCTAATTTATGCTCACCTTTTATAGTTAGAATACACTTACCAGGATAGAAGTTCACGGTTCTCCTTGCCTCTCTCTCTTCATTTCTCATTCAATATTACATAAAAAGCCATGAGAAAGGTAGCTCTTACGATCCCAATCCTACCAGTCCCTTTCTTCTAGACACCCATTTAGATATAATAAATTTTACTCAAATCTCTGTTTGCCCTAGTTTCGGGCCTATAAATTCCTCTCCTCTCCCCGTTGAGGAGATGTTCCGCCTGACGGAAGACAAAGGACGAAAGGCAGCCCTCACCATCAGGTGCTGGGTGTCTCCTATTGCATCCGCGACAAGACTGGCCATGAGCCTGACTTAAGCCAAGCCGATCATGACTGGGCCAGGTGGAAGCGCCAGGTCATCCTGACTCCAGGCGCACAGTTGGATGGCTAACTTAGAGGTACTTCAATCCTTGTTTCGAGCTCGTGGACTGATACTTGATGAGCTTGTTATAAGAATGCGAGCTACTCTTGTTCTTCTGTCAATGTCTCAAGATATCTTCGAAATGCACATACATGCTTTCCTACTATATCCAGAGAGGCGGAGGCGTCCAAGAATAGACACCAAATAGAAAAATTAATGAGACAGTTTGACTGCGCACATTAAATTCAATATTTACCCGGAACAAGACCCCGTAATCAGTTCCAAAGACAAACTCCAGATTTAACAACAGGCCGCGGCTGATCATTCACAGCTGCGCTAGCACTATGCTCATTCCCAAAATCCATACACTCATCCTCCAACGCTTGCAGAGTCCCATATCGAACAATACCACTCTGAACGAGTTTCTCCAGGATCATCATCAACCATACACGACACGTAACTCCCGGTATACCATTGACATCCCCGTCATGCAATCGCATAATCAGATCAAGCTGAGCAAGGCTTGTCTCTGGCACGGAGGCGATTTGAATAAGCACGCAGAAGAAATTAGACTTGAGGACTGAGTTGGGACCGTGTTCGGGTATCCATCCTCCGGTCAGACTGGAGACGTGGTATTTTATGCCGCTTGTTGTACTCGTGTGCAGGTAGAAGCCCCAGTGGAAATCATTTGGGCGTGGGGGATCTGATCGAATCCACAGGCCTATGTATAGTGCGTAGAGTGGGAGACTTGCTAGTAGGTCGGATTGTTGTTTTCTGATAGCTGCTGCACGTTCCTTTGCTTCTGTGAGAGTGGGGGTCGACATTATTTTGGGAATATGAGGATTTGAGTATTCTTGTGAGAAGTATTATTGTTTTGTGATAGATCGAATAACTCAGCCGCGGGAGCCCTTTTGATGTCAAAGGTTCAAAGTGTAATCGAGACGCATCTCTTAGACAGGGGAAGTGGTGCCAACGCGTCGCTTATGCCACTTGCATAGCCAATCATCCAGGCGATTATTGTCTTTGGTTATTCCCCTGACAAAGACATGATTGATTAACAAGGAATATTAGATAAACAGGAAACTAACCTTTTGCATTGTCACTATGTTGAAAAACGGAGAAATAAGACGACTTATGTATAAAAGTAGAGATATAACAAGCGTTGACCTATAGCTCATTCACAACTCTATACCACCCTTTAAGACATCAACCACCTTCTCCTGAAAGTCCATCGCCAAAGCCGGCCCTTCAGTCCCTCTAAAGTCAGCCTTCAAACAAGCAAGAACAGCCCGCGTATATCCAATCCCCATCTCCTTCGGTAGTCCTTGTGCCGCTAGCATCATCAAATCCTCAACAACCTTCTTCGGCCTAGGCAGTCGCCCACTAGACTCCGCCTCTCGAATCTTAGTCTCCATCAACCGTGACAGCGTAACCCACAACCCAATCTCAAGCAGTACTACACCCAAAGCATAGATATCATGCAGACGACTAAACTGCTGCGTAGGACGGCCCTGTCGACTTGGATGGCGGTAGAGATTAGGCTCGACCTCAAAGTCGGAGCGCATGTCTGTTCCTTGCTGGACGGAGCGCGCATAGCCCCAGTCGCTGAGGTATGAGACGATCTTCTTTCCGGTGGTTGGTGCGGAAAGACGATGCTCGTAAAGTCCTGAGGTACTGACTCCGGTGGGGGTCTCTAGGAATAGGAGAATGCCTCTGCTCCAGATGTTCTTGTGGACCCAGGCTGAGGCGTGGACATTTAAGATCGTTAGGGCGAGAGTGTGTGCCATGCTGAAGCGGTCGTTTAGGGAAGGCTTCTTCAGTGGGCGTTTGTTTGTGCTGTCGATTGCATTGATAAAGGCGTGGAGTGTCGTTAGTGACGCTGAGGCTGTTGGTTCGGATGGGAGTTTGTAAAGGAAAACAGTTCGCTCTTCGGCGGGTTGATCAATGAAGCCCAGGCACTCCAGCGCATAAATCTTTGGCTGGTCGAGGAACTCGGATGATGTGCTGGAGAAAGTCGTGTTTTGGAGCAACCAGGCCAGGTTTCGGATAGGTTCTTTAAGCTCTTCAATCTCGTCTGGTTCAAGATCGTCTTGTTTGAGCATAGTTTCGTATTCGTGGTACTCGACAATTACTTGCGTTTCTTCGGATTCTGAAAGAGACCATTTCCCTAGTTGGAATCCTCCTGTTGACTTTCCTTCTTCTGTGACAGATCCGGTCAAACTGCGATAGTTTGCTGGCGCTTTGGTCTCCGCCAGCATACGTCTCTTCATCACCGGTTCCAGGCCGCTGCTTTTCAATCCCTTTTGATCGCCTTCGACTAGAATAGCCAAGGTTTCTTGCGACATGTGCTGCATGAGATTACGCAGATCCTCAGACCACTTGGTATATGCTTCCAGAATGCGATTCAGCTTCTTCTTGTCGAAGAGCGACCAGTCGTACCCCTTGAGCTTTAGTGATTTGGCCTTGCTCTTTGCCCGCTCGAGCAGCGTCTCTTGCGCTTTAGACCTTTCCGGTTCAATGATGTACTCCTCATCCACAAGGCCGTACTTGCTTGCCATAATCTCATACTCAGCCAGCGTCTTTCTCATCTGCACTAGTAGCCCTTGTACCGTTTCAGCGATGAAAGGATCCACCTTTCCTGGGATCATCAACCCATGTTCCGGATGAAAGAATGTGCGTTTGAAAAAGAGAAGAGTCGATAGCTGGACATTCAGCTTGAGCCGGATCTCGGCCCGGTCATCGTCGAATGCCTTGACGTCGGAGATGACGCCCTGGATGAAGACAGTGACCTGGTACACTTGAGTGATGGCAGTTACTGCCGTGCCATAAAAGTCCATTTTGCAAACAAAGATAGACGAAGAAAAGAAGTGTCAGGAAGTCGGACTTGGCGGGGATCAGCAGTCAGCACTAAGAGTGGGATAGGTTAGGGCTAATTTTAGAGGCTGAACTACTGCACCTGCACACGCCGCTTATTGTATGCCGTTGGCTTTTAATTCATGATTCCCCTTCATTCTCCATTTCAATTTCATTGCCTTGTATATCGAAGGAAAAATGTCAGAATACGACGATATTCTCAATACCCTCGACGACAACTACTACTCCATAGACGGAGATGATCTCTCCCCTTCCCTCCAACCCTGGTCCAACTCCACCGACATTGAAGAACTCGACCTTGAAAGCCTAAACCTATCCTCCGATTCATCATGGGTCGACCCTCTAGAGTCCGCCATAACCGCAACCCGCAACGGTTCAGCTCCAGTCCTCAGCACTCTCTCCCAGTTCACCACCATCCTCTCTCAAACTGGTATCCACGGCCCCCGTCTCCTGAAAGCAGTAAACCTCTCCGCCCGGGCGACCAAGATCGGTTCCGGTGCGCAGTTCACCGTCTTCAAAGACCCCGTCTTCGAAGGAGAAGTCATCAAGCGTGTTAATATCCCGCTATCAAGTCGAGCTGAACAACGTTTCGCAGCGAGCACGGACTATCGCCTCCAGTTGAAGACGTTGGAGCTTGAGCTTCTATCGCTATGCAACCCAGTTCTACGCGCGCATCCCAACATTACCAGTCTTCTAGCCTGGGGTTTCGATTTCCCCTTTGCGGATCTCGCTGTTCCGGTGTTGTTCATGGAAGCGGCGATCATGCCTTTGGGCGATTTTCTTCTCGCTGCTGAGCAAAGGGACGTGGGAGTGAGATACCAGCTTGCATTAGGTGTAGCGAATGGGTTGGAAGCCTTACACAATCTCAAGATTGTGCATGGAGATGTCAAGCCGGATAATGTGCTTGTCTTTGCTGGTCCGAGTGATAACATGCCTTTCCAGGCTAAGCTGAGTGATTTTGGGGTTTGTGTTGATCTAGAGACTCCCGAGGGGAGATTTACATTGGATGATTACCGGGGGACGCCGGCTTGGTTAGCACCTGAGGTGTTGAATGGGGATGTCTCAAGATTTGGAGGGTTCTCGCCGGAGTTGATGTTCAGGTTTGACGCGTATAGCTTCGGGATGGTGCTATTGTCGATTTTTACGAAGGATGGAGATGCTCCTGTTCTGGATAGCGACTTCGACAAGATCTCTGATCAGATTTCCACATCATTCAACGATCGGAAGGATATACCCTCCTCTATACGCATGCAACTGCGCAATGCAGTACTGAGCCTACTATCCGAGGATCCTCGAGCCCGACCACTTCCAAGTTCAGCTCTTCTCAAAACAGATACGCCAGCATACGCATCTTGGTATGTTCATTCCTCCTCGGCTCGGTTCATTAGCTAACCTATAATTCAGGCTTTCCTCAATCCAATCAAACTCTACGACGACTCATGTTGGCATCATTGACCCAATCTACAACAAAGGCCCGCTCTTCTGGTACCGACTGGACGAGAGCATCCGCACAGAGCTCGAAGAACAACACGCGCTCAGCAAGGAAGGCAATGCCCCTCCATTTGCAGGGGATGTTCTCTTTGGAATAGCGCAGACAATCACCGGACAGAAGCCAGCCTATCTTGATCGTATGTTGAGCTATCTAGGCGATGCAGCAAAAGCGGGTCACTCGCCTGCCCGAGCTGTGTATATGCAGATTATGGAAGCACATGGTCAAACACTAGAGTTTACTCAGGATGTCTTGGATGAGTGGATGCTGCAGGCTGTTTCTGAGGGGTATTTCTTTGCGAAACCTGGCCGGCTTGTCAAGAGGATGGAAGAGGCGAAAGACCAGTTTAGGATTCATGGGGGGTTCTGTTCGGATGCATTCTTGGGGAAGAACGATGTTAAAGCTGCAATCACCCGGAACAAGGTGTTAGAGTGGAAGAGGAAGAGTGGTGATGTCGTTGACCGCAAAGGCAACACGATATTGCATGCTGCTGCTGCTTTTGGGTCTGTTGATGCGGTGCAGAGCTTACTGGATGCGCAAATGGAAGTGGACGTGGAGAATGAGAATGCCGAGACGCCATTGTACAAGGCATTTCAGGCAGGCCATGCGAATGTGATAGAGGTCCTGCTTGACCATGGAGCAAGTGCATCCCGCACAACCCGGCAGAAGATCACTCCTCTGCATTGGCTGTTTATGGTTCCCGAAGCTTCAATCCACCAAATTGCAAAACGGATGATTGAGAAAGGAGCAAATGTGAACGCGGTCATGGAGCCTGTGGTCAAGGAGAATAGCGGTGGATTCCCAGAGAAGATCCAGATCCTTCATTAGTATGTTTTGCCTCTTTATCTGAAAACCTCAAACTAACAGATCAGTCCGTTTGAACTTCCTCACGGCACACCATCCCATTGGGCATGCTTCTTCCGCAATATGACAGCCATGGACGCTCTCATCTCGCTCGGTGCCAACGTCAATGCAGTATACCATGGCCAAGATTCATCAACAACTCCACTTGCGTTAGCAGCATACTTTGGAGAGACGACTATAGCCAAATATCTGATATCACACGGCGCAGATGGTACTCTGTTCGACTCGATGAAACGAAACACCTTGCACGGTATCACCAAATACTTCCCCGATCGACATGGCTACCTGCCCCATCACTGGCATTATTGGATCCGCCACGGGACTTGGGAGAACCATCTGGCACAAATGATAGATTTAGTCAAAGCCTTGGTCAAAGCTGGAGCAGACATAAATGCCAAAGACAAGGGATATCCTTCTCTGACACCCATCGCAGCAGCCGCCGATGCAGGAGTCTGGGATGGCGGTATGATATGTGCATTGCTGGACTCAGGAGCTGATCTGAGTGAATCGATCCTGTCAGCTGGGAATACAGTTCTACATTCATGGGTGTCCATCATCGGACCGCGTCTGGACTATCCAGATTCATACATCCCGACTCTACAGAAAATAGTCAACGCCATGCCAAATATCGACATCATCAACCGCTTCGAAGAAGAAACTCCACTCCATCTATTATCGACAATTTACCACCCGGAAGATGAATTCGAAACCGCATGCAATGCCCTCCTCGATCACTCCCTTCCAGCAAATATGAACGCAAAAACACGCCGAGGCGAAACCCCCTTGTCAATAGCCCTAGAAACAAACCTCAATCCCATCCGGCGAGGCCGCTTTCTCCTGGAAAAGGGCGCTGACCCTCTCATACTGAAAGACCAAGGACGAGACATCTTCTATTCAATCGCCAACAACGTCGTCCTAACCGACCAAGACAGCCACGACCTAATCCAACACTTCCTTCTCCACCTCAACCCAAACATCCAACAAGCCTACAAAACGCACTACCTCCCCAACCCAAACAGCAACGCAACCCTCTTCGCAGCCGCATCCCGCGGCAAACCACAAACAACATCCCTCCTCCTCACCCTCGGCCTCATAAAATCCATCAATAACCCCTCCAACCCCAAATCCAACTCCACTTCCAAATCCGAACGCTTGACACCCCTCGACCAAGCCCTCCACTCTGCAGAACTAACTCGTCGCGCACACATGCGCAGATTGGCATCATACAAAGCCGGCATAGCACGTACCAAAGCCCTCGAGGCGGATCTGGTCTATGATGAGAATCAAGGTCCGCCCTCGCGTGCGGCAGAAGCATATAGGCTTTTTCCGGATGTTATACATATCCTGCGAGACGCGGGAGCTAAGAGGATGTGTGAATTGGAGGGGACTTCGAAGGGGGATTATATTGAGCAGCCTGGGGAGTGGGATAAGAGGGATATTTTGGAGTATGGGTTTACCGCTGAGACGCAGCCGGATCGGGAGGGTTGGGGGTGTTTGTATGAGTTGGCTAGGTATGGAGATGGGCATGGGGGGAGGAGTTGGTTGGGTTTGATTACGGGTGGAAGGATGGGTTGAGGGTTGAGTATGGGGTTTTTGAATAGATTCCACATTGTGTGTATGTTCGTCTGTTTATATACTTGTATTCAGGTAATATGCTGCTTGTGTTGATTGTATATGATCTATATATAAGTTCCTAGCTATAGGAAATGGTATACTGTAGAATCAACAGGATGACATGCACGTTGATCACCGTTTCAGTGCTCATAACTTCGTACCGGTCTTACTCGGCGCTGGCTCAGAAGCCGGAGCCATAGGACCAGTATCAAAAGACTCCTCGCCATTGAAATGCCTATCGAATAGATTATTAGTATCAAAATCAAGACAAAGCAAACAAAAGAACCAGGATAAAACTCACCATCCACGTTCAGCACCCGTACTCAAAAAGCTACAATCCCCATTCGAAACACAATTCCACCCTCCCCCAACACCATTTCCATTCTTCCAACATGGAACAGCCCCCGAGGCACGAACAAACTTCGTGCCTTCAGCAAGGGGACTCTCACCCTCACCCTCCGGTCGTAATCGTTTACCCTCAACAACAGCAGTTGAAGTCCCCCGCCTCTTAAACGTACTCAAGCCAGCAGTGAAGACATTAAAATCCTCTTCAGAACTGTCATCAGGCATACGACCCGTCAACGCACGACCCATGGCAATAAGTGGTGCTGCATGCGCGCAGATCAAGACGGATTTGCTGGTCCGCTGGTCTGGGGGTAACTGTGCTTCCAGAGCTGTGATCTCAGCGTCGATGTCGGTAATTATTCCCTGCAAGGCTATTGCGACGCGATTGTGGAGTTGGCCGATTGTCTCGCCGCGTCTGGAGGGGATTAGGAGTGGTTTATAGTTTTGGAGACTTGTTTCTGGGATGAGGGTTGGGAAATGGAGGCTCATTTCTTTGGGGGTTGGGTGGGAGGGGTGGTCGAAGAAGTTTGTTGCGCCGAACCATTCTCTGGTTGTTGGTTAGTTTATATTGGTTGGACGGATGGGTTTGTTTATAGGAGAGTAAAAGGAGAAGCCGTGGTATAGAGGATATATACTCACCCCAATCCATTCTCAATCCTAACATCCAAATCCGCATGCCGGTCAATCAAACCGGGAGCATTCTGCTGGCCATGTCTAGACTCGGCGGATATCCTCTTCAGTTCTTCGACGGAGGGCTGGATCGTCTGCAGACAGCGGTAGAATGGACTCGAATAGACGCGGAATGGCTTGGGATGGAATTGAGAAGCAGCAATATGTTCTGCCAGCTCGTGCGACTGCCGAACGCCATGTGAGGTCAGCGCAGGGTCTGCTGGGTTTCCTGTCGGCGTGGGGAATTGGGCCTTGTAGGTGCCGGTGCGGAAGTCGATGGTCCAGTTGAGGCGGTGCTGCAGGGGTTAGTTTGAGGACTATATAGCGATGAATTAGACAGTACGTACACCATGACGGGTCAGGTAGATTGTATCCAAAGGCATTTTGACCGAGTTCTTGAACGATCAACTACTGACAACAATCTTGCGGGGGAAGGGCAGAATACCTCAACCGACCAAGGCGGTGAAATCCTACCTCGGTCCAGATATTTACTCTCTACAAAGGATGTCCAGGTAACGGAAGGCAGACCGGAATCACGTAGCATTGGGAATACGAGCGCACCATGTACTCTGCAAACTAATAAATAGCTGAATGGGGGTATAATATCCACAGCTACCAGATTACATTCCCAAGATCCCAGTAAAACCACGCCATGCAAAACCAGTCAAAGCAAGAACTTTTTCAATTCTTTTTTTAGACTCCATCTAGTAGAAGAAGCCGAGGAGCTTGCCAGCAACGTGCTTGCGGCGGGCCTCCTCGTGGTCCATGATACCAGCGGAGGTGGTCAGGACGACGTAGCCGAACTGACGGGAGGGAAGGAGCTGGGTAGCCCACTTCTCGAGGTCACGGAGCTGGACGGGGTAGCGGGGGTTGATGACACCACACTTGTTGAGGCTGGAGGAAGTAGTTAGCATTCATGTTTGTTTAAGGTTGATGATGAGATGGTGTACGTACCGGCCGTTCAGCTGGATGACGATCTTGCCGGAGCGGTGGTCATCGACCTCCTCGAACTCGCCAATGTAGCCTGAAAAGAAAAGACGTCAGTATGTTGCGAAGATTTAAAAGTCGTCAAATACTGAAAAAAAAAGCCATAACAGCGCTTTGAAAACGTGTAAGATCTTCGACAGATCAATATACCGGCTACTTAAAAGGCAGACGTCGTAGGTTGTTGAGACCGGCCGCCTAGTTATCAAGCCGGATGACATAAAATCCTCCAGTGGCACAAAAGAAACGACATGACATGAAAAGAAAGCAAAAGACGAAATAGGAAAGAGAAGACGACAAAAATTCAATGTAAACGTACCGTGCTTCTGCATGACAGCAAGGAACTTGACGATGACCTTGGAGGAAGGACGGATGAGAACCTGGCGCTTGCCAGCCTTCTCGGCGTTGTTCATGGCGTTGAGCGCATCGTTGAGGACGGAAGTCTTGACCATTGTGGCGGTGTAGGAATCGAGATTCTCAAATCGAAAAAATTAAAGAAAGATTATGAGGTATCTGTTCGATGAAAACGCAACAGAAAACCCCGCCCGTAGGCGAGTTTCCATATTGCAAACTAAGTCAGCCACCAGTAGTCCTCGAGCGCAAAGAGTGCCCCTTTTGCATTGCAAGGAGTTCTTCAGCCCGTGCCGATTTGGGAGATGCGTATCATCTTTCCTGGTCTGCCACTGGAACCATCTGTAATTCTCAAGACAGCAGATCCAGAATTGATGATTGCAACTCCCAGACTAGCTGAGAGGCTGTTGTTGGGGGGGTTGGTACATACCTCGAAAGACTGTCCGTTGGGTGATGAGGAGTGAAGAAATCGTCGAACTTTGGTTTTCGGGTCGTGCGCCCGTAGGGTTAGTCGGCGTGACAGCCCTTATCTTTGGCTTCTCACGTGGTGATAAGGGTCGATATTTCTGCCTCAGGCTTCAACATACCGCCTTTAGGTCTACAAGTCTAAACTTCATTGCAACATACTGTGTACTCCACCACTTGACTATGACTGAGGTTCAATTTGGAAAGTATACATGATACAAGCCCGTCGAGACTTCGTCAATTCCAGTAAAATATTACACGAGGCACAGAACTGCGACAATCATACAAACAGCTACTTCTACTACTAACTCATTAGCACACCGTTAACTTAAGCCATCCATGGGTAAATCCACAGACGGATTGTTCTATACATAATTTTCCAGCATTGGAGCGTGGGTGATTGGATAGTATACGAGGAAGGAAGAGAGGTACTCAGGGACAGCTTTTTCATGACGATGACTCGTTTCTGGAGGGGTGACATGATGGGGAGGGGATACATGATTGCGGGGGGGAGGAATTGGGGAATTGGTGAGGGAAGTACATGAATCTTGGGCTACATGATTCGCAATGCTATAAGATGCGACGGGGTGGGGTCTTGTCTAATTAAAAAACAAAGTAGAAAGAGGACGGGGAGGGTGAAAAGGGTTGTATCAAGAAGAGAAATTGGACAGGGCCTAGGGCAAATGGGGGAAGGGGTAACTGGCTTTCATTCGCGCGTGTGTCATCAGGGGAGTAGCACCAGCAAAGGGTCAGGGGAAACAGAGTTCAGGACCAAGGGGTGTGGATAAGAAGATATCCTGTGCTGGGAAGGGGGAGGGGGAATTCTGGGAGTGAGATAGCGAACAGCTCACGTATGCCAGCGTCGAGCGTGCAGGTGGCTTCTCTGCGGACACCGATACCGAGAGGCGGGGCCTCAGGATGCCGTAGTACCGCGTCAAAGGACCTGTCACTTTTCCAACAACACTTCCGAGCCGAGTGGCATGGTCTGCCAGGAAGTGAAGCTGTGCTAAACGCTTTGGTCAATATGCTGAGGTGCATTGGAAGCTTAAGCCATGCCAGTGCTCATGTTGATCTGGCGCTTGACCTGCTCGCGAGTCCAGCGGGCGGTCTCGATGGTCCGCTCACTGTAAGCTCTCGTCGTACGAGTCTCGCGCACGAGGGCAGTGACCCAGTCGTTGCGGAAGTAGGCAGCGAGCTCACCGTTGGGGAAGGCATCGGCAAGATCACCAATGACACCCATGGCAGAGCGCATCAGACCCTCACTGCGGTTACTCTCCGTGGAGATGATGTGAAGGAGCTGGAAGATGGACTCAATGAAAGGCTGCAGCTGAGTGATGGAAGGAGTGCCCTTGTAGGAAAGAAGGATACCACCCCAAGCATCCATGATACCCTCACGCAGGGAGACAATGTAATCCACCATATCGTAGGGGAGGTCAGAGCTGGTGGTGACGCTGGAGGCCTGCTGGAGAACCTGGCCAACGACAGCCAAGTAGGTGTCGAAGTTGGTTCCAATAGCCTGAGCGATATCACCGAAGGTCTCAAGGATAGCAGGCTTCAATTGGTTGGTCGTAGTTTGGAGGGTCTTGAGCAGAAGGTTCATGAAGGAGTCGCAGTAAGGCAGGACCTTCTCGTTCAAGGCACGAACGATGTCACTAACCAGGCCAATGGCCATGGCGCACAGACCCGGCTCCTCTTGGTTGCCGAGGGCGTTGTACAGGAAGGGGCTGAAAGAGTCCATGTACTTGATGAAGTCATCCTCAAGGGCGCTGGCAATAGCACCAACGGTAGCGAACACAACATCGGGCACGCTTGACTTGGGACCAAGGGTCTGGAGAACCTGGAGCAAAATGCTCATGATACGGTCGGCCTGGGGCTTGATCTCAACCTCAAAGCGCTGGACAATGGCCAGAATAACACTGATCAAGCTAGTCTGCATCTCCTCAAGAAGAATGCGGTCCTCGGTGCTGACAACCTGCTGCTGCATGGGGATAGTGTGCTCAAGACGCTGGATGATAACGTCTGAGAGAGTGGCAACCATAGGCAGGCTGTCGTTTGCGGAGTTGAGAACAAAGGAGTTGAGAACCTCGTATCCAGCGGTACGGAGCTGGTTGTCAGCGTCCTGGCGCTCGGTGACTGTGAGTAGGGACTTCACACTGTCCTCAAAGTGCTTCGACAGAGGGTTAGTCTGCGAGCCAGCGTCACCGGCAAAGCGGTCTGCGACGTTCATAAGAGCCCAGCAGCAAGAGCTGGCAATCTTGGGGGAGTTGGCAAGACCGTTGAAAAGGCAAGAGATAAGGGGCTGGAGGTGAACCTCGGGGTCCAGGACCTCGGGGCAGCAGTCGCACACACGACCCAGGGCGTAAGCAGTGGAGTCGCGGACGGAGATGGAGTCATCCTGCATCATGCCAAGCAGGACAGAGAGAGCCTGCTTGATGAGTGGCTCCAAAACGCTGGGCTCAGGGCCCTCCATGATAGCACCGAAAGCAGCGACGGCGGCGTCACGGCGGCGCCAATCCTCGTTGCGGATGTTCTCCTCGACAAAAGTCACGACAGGCTGAAGGACCTCGCCCTGGACACACTGGGCGTAGAGCTGGAGAGCCTGGTAGGCGGCACGAGACACGTTATACTCGTCGTCACCAGCGTCCTCGTCCTGTCGGCACATAGCTTGCAGAAGAACGGGAACAACCTCGCGGGTGGCCACGCGAGCAAAGCCGAAGAAAGGACGAGCCTCAATACCCTCTTGCTGGGCCTACAAAAAGGTCAATATTCGATCAATTGCACTCATCTTTTATCAGAAAACACATACCTCAGCGTTGTCGTCCTCGATAGCAATCTCCTCCTCGCAGACAGTGCACCAGAACTCAATAGCAAGCTTGGAGACTTCCTCCTCCTCGCTCTTCATGCCCATGATGCTCAGGCCGAACAGAGCCTTCTCCATGTAGAAGCGCATCTTCTCGTAGTAGGAACCCATGATACGGTTCAAGCAGCCAAAGGCACCAGCCTGGACTCGAACCTCATCCGCCTGGGTGGCCTCGCACACAACCTGCATAATGTAGTTTCGCTCTCCCTCGTTGTCCATGTTGGTCCGCACAAAGTCAACAGCATCACTGAGGGCAGCAATAGCGGCATAACGGACATCCATGTTTGGCTCCTCGCGCCGGGCACCCTGAACAACGGCAGTGAGGATGGCATTAGAGTGTGCAGTGAGGCTCGCGCGGAGATCGGGATCTTGAGACTCGCAAATGTAACCGATGGCAGTCAAAGAAGACTGCTTGAGGGCATCGTTTCCGCTCGCCACGTTCTGGACGAGGATGTTCATCAGTTCCGTCCACTCATTCCGGGGCAACTCGATGGCGGCAATCGAGACAATAAGTGTGGCGGCGGCATTTCCGGCGCGGGCGTCTGGTGAGTGAAGAGTCTTGAGCGCGAGCTCCTTAACCTGTGTCTTGGTTTCAGGGTTAATCTGCTGGACCCAGCGGAGCTGCACCTCGCGCAGCTTGGCCTGGTCCCGGAAAGTGAAGGCGTTCTTCAGGGCAATACCGGCAGCGACACGAATGTGAGCTGGGCTGCTCTCGTTGGCCAGCTCCTGACCGAGGGTGATAAGATAGACGGCCTATGGAATCGGGAATATTAGCATTCAGGTTGAATCCGGGGAAGGGATCCTTCGCATCGCAGAGACACGGGAGACAACTGGGAGATAGGAAAACGTACGAAGTCGACCTCCGCCGCGTGGGCGAGTTGTTGTTCGGCATTGGTACGCTCGGCCGCATCTTCAAGGAGAATCACGGTTAGAAAGGGGAGCTCTTAAAAAAAAATCTTCATCACGCAGCGCGACTCGAAGGCCGAATCTGCGATGGAGCTGGTGGTCTTACCTGGCGCGAGGGTGCTCTGCAACACCTGACGAGCATCCATGGTGTGCAGAAAGTATTAAAGATGAGAAAAACAGGAAAGAAAGATAGGGCGGGAAGTCGAAATCACGCCCAAGTCCTGGATGGGGGGGGGAAGAAGAAATGTGGAAGTTGAGTGGGAGGAAGGGACGGGTGCTTTTGTGGATATGAGGCGGCATGCACTATAGGTCTTTCCGCGACAGCAGAGAGAAAAGGTGCCTGAGTGCACGCCCAGGTTTCAAACAAGGAAATCTGGAGTACAAGAAAATAGTGAAGAAAGTGAAGAGACAAAAAAAGCGATTCGAAGGAGAGATGAAGTTCTACCTGATTGGGTGCGGGGTTTAGTCATATATCACGTGATTTAGACTCACGCCCTGGCTTTTTGTATAGTTAAGACGATGGTTATATTTGTACTCGGTACAGAGTTATTCTCATATCAATAGCTTTGTTAAGTATTCTCTACTGACTGGTGTGTTGAAGGCCTTTCATGGAGGGGCAGCCCCTCCAGCTTGCTTGTTTTGATTTTTCTCCTTAGAGACATCTGTGGCCCCAGCGACCGAGTCCACCAGTGGGGTGAAAATATCCAAACAGAAGCCTCTAGAATAATAACAAAGGACAGCTCTGTATTGCCTGCAGTTGGTGCTCTAATAATATCAAATTCGATTTATGGGTTTCCTTTTTTTTAATTATCTTGCGTGCGCCTCATTGATCGACGCACTATATATGCACGGAGTGAGACTAGATAAGGGCCTAACGCTAGCCACATTGTGACAGAGCAGACCCGGAGACAAAGAGAAAATTATATGTCATAATCAGCAACCCTTGGGTATATCTCGATACCCTGCTGGTTAATTGCAACCACGGCCGAGTCACAATGGTGGTGAATTCGACAATATCACACAAAGACCCTGTACCCCTCTATATATATGTGGCACGGACTGTTCACCTGTATCGGTCTGAGACTCAAGAATGATATTGCAGTGACGTGAGAGCTTGAGAATGGAGATTTCTTAGAGAGAGTGCTTGTCCTTGAAATACCCATTTTGTGTCTGGTCGCACAATAATCCCAGTCACCAAGCCCTCCCAGCTAGCAAGTACATACTCCAAAAAGAGGTATCGTTGAACAGCTATAATCTAAACAAATTCCACACTACAAATGCTAATTTTCAGTATCAACTTCCTCCTCACTCCCCATCTCCTCTCTCTCTCCCCCTTCTCCGTCCTCGTCCACTTCCTCCTCATCAATAGCAGCGTCCAAATCCAAAACCTCATACCGCATAGCATCTCCATACAAAACACAAACAGCACGCCTCCCCTTCCTTCCATTAACATCAACATAAATAGGCTTCGCCTTCGGTCCCGTAGAAGCAAAGACATGTTTCAGCACCTCCGCATGAGGAGACGAGTCCGACAGATCGAGTTTCGTAGCTGGAACGGAAGGCTTCGGAGAGGATGATGTGGCTTCACTCTCTATGTAGTCGAGGATTACGGGTGGTGGGTTTGGGTGTGCCGATAAGGGTTGGAAGGGGAAGTTGAGGAGGTGGGAGGATCCTCCTGTTTCGATTATTAGATTTAGATCCGTGGATTCAAGGTGGAGAGAACTTACTGCTGTTTGTCCAGAGGATCATTAGGGTGTGGTCAGCCACGAATTGCAGTTGGCGGATGGTTCCTTCTTCCAGGTTGAGAGTTGCGATTGATGTGCTTCTTGTTGAGCTGACGCCGCCGATTGAGTCGAGGACTACTCGGTAGATGTAGGCTGGGGTTGGAAGTGTAAGTATATGGTTAAGTTAGGGAAGGGGTCGGGACGAACCTTGGTACTTTGACGTTTTTGACCTGGTCGCAACGTATATAGAGCAGGGATGGCCTTCCTCATGGTCTTCGTAACAGACAGCAAGATCGATAACTCCCTGATCACAGTCGGAGCGAAGTGTGATGGGTGAGCGATGTAGGATACCTCTCCGTTGCGTCAAGGCGATCTCCCCGAAGACTTTTTCGAACTGGACACCCAAACGCCTGGTGAGATCGTTGAGTTTAGGTGCATCAATTGATGCACCGTCGCCGCCTTTGTCCTGGGCAACTCGCTGTTGTTGAAGGAGAGACTTGAAAGCGTCGTAGAAGGAGCTGTCATGGCCGTCCGGCAGAGGAAGCCACTTATCAGAAGATGGGGGAGGAGGTCCCATCATGGGGAGTTGGCGGATGAAGTTACGCAGAGCACTCTTTGTCAATGCACCAGTGATGTATTTGACAGTGGGAGGGACGTCAAACAGATCCCTTTTGTCTTGCAGTTCCTCTAGAGTCTGCGATAGAGGCTCGCTGTTGAGGATGTTGATTTCGTGGCGGAGCCATCTGGAGAAAGCACCGAATTGATCAAGTTCTTCGTTGGTGAGGATGAGGATTCGGTGGGCGAGGAGGTGTAGGCAATCGAGTGTTTCCACAATGGCGTTTAGCTTAGGCGTGTCCAGTCCGAGGACATCACTGAGCTTGTGGAATTTGGACAGTCCAACCAGTCGACTGAGAAGTACCTGGCTGCGCTCGAGGGCGGGTAGAAGGCACTCGTGCGTCAATCGGCGGATGTTCTCGTATCCGCCACCAACGGCCTTTTCCCATCGCTTGTGTCCCTAATTGCTCATTAGCCAATGCTCTCACATATTCCAAGGCTCACATACCCTCTCTCCGACAATATCAACGAGGAACTCCTTCATCGGCTCATAGCAATGACCAGTAACAACAAGATGGTAGATAGCAGTGATGAAATCACACTGACACTTCTCCTGCAAGTCATCATTAACACTGCGCAAGAACCGCGCAGGAAGTTCCTGCGCGTTCTTCCACTCCAGCTCAATCTGTCGCTGCACCTGCCCAACATAACGCAGCAAATTCTGAAGTTGCGTAGTCTTCGAAGCCAGCAGAGACAAATACCTCCCAGACTTAGTAATGAACCGTAGATCCAACGTAACAAGCTCAAGAGTCCTCGTATCACCATCACCATCAACAGCCGACGCCAACAACGCATGCGTAGAACTCAACGGATGAGAAGCGTGCCTCAAAACCCGACAAGAGCCAGCAACACCAGGCGTCCTCCCAACAGGAAACGAACCAATCTCAAAACAATCAAAGATCCGCAGATGAACACTCCCATCATCAAACCCAACAGAAAGGACATCAACAGAATCATTGGTATCCCTAGCCGAATGAAAAATAGCATCAAGCGACGCCCGCGAACTAAAAACATCATCCTCACCCCCCGTCGCAGGAAGCGTACTCAATTTAGGCAACGAGCTCTCGACATCCAGAAGCGCAAGCTCCCGCGGTAAATCAGCCTTGAGCACAGCAGCCGCCTTGGAGGGATGGATTCCCGGAGCGAGGAGGTCATCGATGGAGATCTGACCGGCGGACTCGTGCAGATGTCTCTGGGCGGCTTTGCTATCTGTGAAATTCACGCCCCAGCCTAGGCATGTTGCCTTGGGCAGAGGCTGCTGCTCGGTTGAGTCTGCTGCGTCTTCACCGGCGTGCTGGTGCTGGTAGGTGCGGTAGTGGTGCACTGTCTTGCCGCTGTACGAGCTGATAATGCGGAGTGAGCCATCTCCGCAGGCGACGGCGAGTAGACGACCTGGGGTGGGATATTAGTATTTGATTTTTTCAATGGGAATGGAAAACTAGAATAGATTTGCATGGCTTGGTTGAATGAATGCACACGTACCATTCCCCTTCCACGCCATCCCTCGAATCTCTCCATCCTCCTCGTCCTCGCCGAGGTACGGATCACCACCAAATGAACCCCCGAATACGCGTTGCCCGTTTAGTCGGAAGACGCGTAGTTCCTCGTCTTCGGTCGCTAGCGCGATCAGGTCCATTGTTGGACAGTATGCCACGGCGCCGGCTTTGCATTTTGCTGGTAGAGATTTTTCTCCGACGGGTGTTAGTTGGGGGCCCTCTTCTGCCATTGCTTTTTGTCTAGAGGCTGGACTGGATTCAGCCCATTCTTGATTTGCGGTCAAGTAGAAATGGCTGATTTGGTCTTGGTTGAAGCTGTTGACGGGTGGTGGATACAGGGATTCTTGGCGCGTGTGGTGTTTGGAGGATGTTTGTATGGGACTTCGCTTTTCTACTCCGTACTCTTCTGTTACTTATTGATGGTCTTCTTAGGTGAGAATAATCACTTTTCTTGAATTGTTCACTTTCATGGAATTTCATCTTTTAAACAGATAGATAAATGATACATTTATGCAGTAATTGCCCCGGCGACCAGCACCGGACAAGGATAAGAATACAAAACGAGCGACTAACGTACATGTAAAGTATAGGCAGTCATCCATCAGAAAGGAGTGCCATCCATCTCAGACTGAATCATATTCTTCAGATAACTGAGCTCATCCATCAACTCCTGCATGGTAGCATTACCCCCCTGAAAGTCCGCATTACTGCGCCGAGAACGAATAGACTCAGCCTGATCACTGTGTCTCCGCTCGACAGAGAGTTTTCTCTCGGAAACAGAGTCACGCAGGACCTGCGGTAGGAGGATGGGGGAGGCATTGGGGCTGCGAGACATAGCGAGTGCCTGCATTGATTCAAGAGCGCTGAAGAGGGCGGCGTGGCGCTTCGGGTTACTTTCCACTTCGTCCATGCCTTCGATACCCAGTCCTGAGCCGTCGATGCTGGGGGAAGACAAGGAGACTGTGAGGTGGGGTAGGGGGACGTTCCAGGGGAGGTCGCCGGAGGCTGAGTTTGGAGAGGAGGGTTTGGAGTGGACTGTCAGGTGGGGGGTGTTCGGGTCTGTGTTTGTTGCTGCGTCGCCGGACTGGGAGAGTTCGGGGGTTTTCCACCTGTCATCTGAGGCTTCGGTTTCGTAGTTGCAGTCCTGATTGAACGTAGAAGTTGAAACCATTGATTCTGGTGTGTTGTAGTCGTCGGCTTCGGTATCGGTGCTCCATTCGGAAAATCGGCTGCGTTCTGGGATGAAGCGGGAGTGGATGGAATCGTCTGTCATTGTCATGCTGGAGAAGTGGCTGCGCAGGATCTCCGGGTCCATCGCTTTGTCTCTTTCGTCGATGGCACGGACGGCTTCGTCCATCACGGAGGATGGAGAGTTGGGAAGCGTGGGAAGCCTCTTTTCCTTCTTGGCGAATGGTTTGGTTGGCGTTGGCAAGTCACTGGAGTTTGCGATATCCTCCAAGGCCTCTCTGATAGCACGAGACTCATCGTAGGCCGCATTTTTGCCATTCGCGCGAGGAGGACCGTGTCCATAGTGCTCAGGGCGTGTCTGCACAGTGAGAAGGCGACCCGGGGCTGCATTTTCGCCGGTTCTCAGCGCGCGACGACTCTGGATGGTAGAGGATCCGGGTTTGTTAGGCGAGTTCGCGGAGGAGGGAACTGCAATTCCAGCGTTGACCTTGATCCCAGGGACATTGCGGCGAGTCTCAACAGACTCATTTGAAGCATTGGCTGATTTCCATGCCTCGGGCGTTCGGTGCTCCGTCCCATTGGGTTGTCCCAAAGCAGCGCGAAGAGCTCGTGCTCTCGGGGGAGACATGGAACGCGAATCCTTCGAGCTGTGGCTTCTGCGACTGGCACTGTTCGGCTGGGATTTACTCCTGTGAATCATGCCCGCAATTGGAGAGGTGGAAGCCAGCGCCGGACTCGGTTGGCGACGCACGGACGTGGACGTCTGGAGACGCACCGGCTGAGGCTGCGGTGGCGGCTTGCGCGGGTTCATGAACTTGTCCTCTGGATTCATCGTTCGGTATTCGGCTTTTTGGGAGCTGTTGCTTCCCGAGCGTCCATGAGACCGACTATCGGGTAGGATGATGGGCACGTTCAGCACATTCACCGGTTGCCCGGGAAGCAGAGGACATTGTGTAGTGGCAGGTTCTCTTTCGTTATAATACTCAATATCATCGTCCAGCAAGTACTGTTTTTATTAGCTCATCCTCTGATAGATATGGTCAGTAAGACTCACATAGTACCAGTAGGTGCCTCCCATCTTGAGACCACCGGTTCGCCATTGGTCAGGCCCGTCGCCAATGATATCCGTAAAAGTATGGCATCCTTTCCAGTGGCCCGGCCCAACTCGCCTGTCTCTTTCCATCACATATTGCTTGGAGAAATTATCCCACGATCCGAGCAGTTTGACCGACCGGACCTCGGGTTTGGTAATCCTAGATTGAGTCAGTAATGAAGTTGCAATTGGCATTGGACACACTCACAGCAAGAAAGTCATGAGGGTGGTAGAGATCATCGCAATATAAGAAAAGAGAAGAAAAGAGATCGCTGATTAGAGCTGAAGATAGCAAGTAAAAAAGAAAGATAAATCAAAGAGAGAACAGGCACAACAATGCAGAACAAAAGGAAAACAAATGCTAAAACACAAACACCCAGTGCTGTACACGCAAATGCAAGACAAAAGACAATGGAGAAAGGCAGAAGTCGAGTCGCAAACACGAGTTCATATAACAATAACACTAAAGAACTAGTCGGTAAGACTAGTCCAGACCCAAGGCAACCCCAAGCGGTACCTGTCTCAGGCTTGACAGGTCTAAGAATAACGACGTTTCAGGTGTGATTGGAGCATGCCATAGCTAGGCGGGAGCCGCGATGGGACAATTTCCCAGGCGCAGTGCAGGGCGACAAGGACGGCCAATCGGAGGTGAAGATGCAAGCGCCGAGTACTGTGTACGGACCCGGCGCTAAGAGAGATGAGAGAGAGGAACTAGAGTAAAGTTGAAGCGGCGGAAAGGAGTGAAAGTAGTGGAAGGAGTGGAAGGAGTCAGGTATGTTGGAGAGACGTTGAGATATGAAGAGGTGAGGTTTTCGAGGGGATCGGCGCGGGGATGATGACTTTCGCCGATCACACAAATTGCGGTGATGAAAGGTGGAGCGAACTAGTGCAGTCAACCAACTTTCAGGGCAAATTGGTATGGAATATGCCAGTCAAAATAGGGAATTGAGCGAAGATTATCACGGTGGCTTGCGTATCATCCACCTGAACCGAATTTGGTCGTTCCCCACGCAAGGTGCGCACAATTAATTTATTTTACAGTGAGAATTAGAGGAAACCACTCTAGCTTCTTCCTAACAAGTTTTTCTAGAAATAAACAGGAACTCCTAGCTTGGAAACTGGGAACGAAACATGTCACATAGGGAACTGAAGTGCCGAAACGACGTGATTGGCGTATAACGGTTGAGATACTTCTATTGGACACACTAGAGGAGACTACTGCAGCTAATAGTAGCTAACTTAATTGAACTAACTGCACTCATAGGTTCGCAGGGCCAAGGATGTGTTCGCCTTGTACTCCACCCCGGCGGTTCCTGAGATTACTGTTGATCTGTCAGTTTCATAATAAGCCAAGAATAAACAACCCGATAAAATATGCGATTGGCTGGAAGTTATTATTTCTAGGCAGTAAAAAGCAACTATGAAACTGGCCCCTGAAAAACCAACCTGCCTGAAACCGGGGAAGAACATCTATACTTCACAACAACACCAACACATACACATAACTAATTAAAGAAGGGCAATGTTAAAAGGACCCCCTCCTGTTGATATTCGGACCCCCTCTCCACCTGTCTAAGCCTAATTAGGGAAGACATAGTATATGTATTTCACTGTATTTAGTAAGTAAAAATGAACAAAAGGGCGTAGAGGAAGACAATAGGCCTCGTAGGGTGTGTGAAGACTTGCTCTTCGGTTTGCGATAGGGGGTCTAAAAAGCTGTTTAAAAAACGGTCTAAAAAACGGTCTGTCCAATGGTGTTAAAACATTAGCTATGTCACTATACTAAAAAAAAGACAACCCTAAAGAACCCTCCGATCCAACCTCTTATTAACAGCACCAAGAACAGTCTTTAAGATGCCCTCACCACTTAGCCCCCTCTCCTTCCAAGAAACAGTATCAACAATATCCCTCAACCCATCCCGACACCTTCCCCCCAGAAAATCATCCAACTCCTGCAAATACAACCTAGCACTCTCATCGCGCCCAACCTGAAAAAACTGAATGCCCACCTGCCAAGCAATAGCATCAATCAAATCCAATTTCCTTGCAACACCCACAATAACACTTTCAGCATCATCCGTAAACACTCCATCCGTAATAACAATAATATTCACCGGCCGCACATACAATTCCCCATTATCACCACGTTTCTGGGCAGTATGCATGCGTTCCACACGCGCCATGTACGGCCGCAGAATATCATTCAGCCGTTTACCGATGGGTGTCGCACCGCGCGGTTGCGCGCTTTGGAAGATTTCGTGCACTTGGCTGGGAGTTGTTATGTTGTGGTGCACGTTGCTGCTGGCTGGCTGGTTTAGGAAGTAGATGTCTATTCCGTCTGGGTCGTGGGCTGTGCAGATTGGGGCGATTGCTGCGATTGCGTTGGCGGCTGAGGTCCAGTTTGAGCCTTTCATGCTTGTGCTGTCGTCTACTAGGAAGATTGTGTCGAATGTGTTGAGGAATGTGTAGGCTGATTCCGGGTCTGTGGGGGTGTTTGTTGATTGGTGTTGGTGTAGGGTCCTGGGGGAACTTGGGTTGGCTGAGTACGGTGGTGGGAGGTCGGTGGTTTCATTGTTGGAATTGGAGTTAGAGTTGGGGTTGAATGTGACCGGACTTCTGAATTTCGATCTCCATGATTTCTTAGGAGCCGGCTCTGCTCTCACTTGTGTTTCTTGACCGGATGAACGTCGGTGTGAGGCAAAAGAAGCCCACTTGGATGGTGATTTCTCCGACAAGTTCATGGCTGCCAAGGGCATATAGTAATTGAAGAAATAGAAATGCAGATTCTACCTCTATTAAAAAGACGTGATGTCAAAGACTCAGGTCTAAATATGGTTCTGTCTAAAACAAAGAAATTTGTCACAACCGGAAACACCACCTTCTTTATACCCGTCTTTGAACACGGCCTCATATCTGTGGAACTAATAACCAAAGTATCAAGATGGCAATGCCTAGGGCAAGAATCATGGGAACGTGGGACAAGGCATACTTGGGCACCAGGGCGGGGACTATACAACAGTCATCTAAACTTTGGAATGCCCCGTACAAACCTTGGAATTGTCACACTGCCGCAAGTCAAGGCAGACTCGGGATGGTCGGCAGCCCTATTGGAATTGGCAGGGGCACATATGTACCTGGTAGGGTGGAATGTGGTTGTACCCCGTGTCTGGTAGGAGCCACACCTGCATCTAACCAAACTAAGACACCGTCCTATAGTGGACATGCTGGGTATTTAATCTATAGGTTAGCCAACCAGATGTGTATATTGTTTGTAGGAGCCGCATGAGCTAGTTAAGGCTGGAGGCGGAGCTACACAGCCCAGCCCCACCTCCTGAGCGCACAGCCCAATTTGGTTGATACGAAGTATAGTAGCCTGGGTTACAGGGTTATGTTGGAGTTTACTGAAAAGGCTTTTGAAGGTAAGACTCTATCAGTCGCCCTTCTATTGATGTTAGATACATTTCGTGATTCATAATGAGGCCCCCTCCCAGATCCAGGCTATAACGCGACAATGTATACAAATTATGAGACATGACCTGACACCACTAACGCGGCACATAAACAACAAAAACAACATAAAAGAAAATAAACATCAAGCCATCTATAACCCCCTCTCCCACGACTTTATCCAGTTAGAGGTACAGGAAGCCGACTAGTCAAGTCCGGCGCATTCGAATCCCCAATAAGACCATCCTCCTCTTCAGTTTCAGTAACGGAACGCAAAATCCCAGGATCAGCAGAGATAATATCAGCAACAGCAAGCGCCTGATCTAAACCCATCGTGTTCCCAATCATCTCCAGACACTTCACGACCCAACGGCGGAGACCGTGGCGCGGGTTCTCGACAATACCAGCGACGAATAAGGGCCATAGGAGCACGAGGCCGCCGATGTAGCTTTCTGGCGGTATGGAATTAGGTGAAGTGTCTGCCCCGTGTGCGTTGAAGTGAAACGGTGCGCCGCGGCAGATGTCCACGGCCAGTCGTCTGATTGTTGAACGGAGCGCCTTGCACTGCAGGTGGAATTCTTCGGAGAGGGAGGTTATGGATGAGGTTGTGGAGATCTGGCGGATGTGGGAGAGGATGATTTCGCTGACGACTATTCGGGCGCTGCGGTATTGATTCCAAGAATTGCAGACCCAGAGGTTCGGGTAGATGTGGTATTGGTCGTCGTATGGTGATAGTCCCTTAAATCGATGTTGGAATTGAGAGTCAAAGGGGGACTTTGTGTGGTTGGTATAGTTGAATTCTGGCGGGAGCGAAGCTAGCCACGCAATCAGGTCCGCTTCGATGGCTGAGGCTGCCGATATGATTTCTCGTTCGTTGTTGAATGCTTTGGTTCTGATGTCTGCGCGTAGGTTGGATAATTTGCCAATAATCATGACGAGGCGATTGCCATGTGCTTCTGCTGGGCGAAGGAACATGGTGAGTTTGGTACATTCGAATAGTGATTCTGGAACTCTGGCGTCTCGTTGTAGGCAGCTGATGATCTATGGATGATTAGTGTGGGATGGACACCTGGTCCACGACACTTACAATCTGATATCGCAGGTGCAAGAATAATTTCAGACCAGCATCAGTCTTGAGCTGGTCAGTTCCTCTTATATCAAGCAAGGCCGTCGCACCATTGATATGGTTTGTCCAGCTGTCAATATTTTCCGGAGACCTTGACGTAACAACCTATAATCCTAGTTAGTATCTGCATATCTGCGGGATCAACGAACTTACTTCATAAATGGCAAGCAGCACGACAGTGCCCAGAGTCTGATTCGTCTTCGCTTGATCCATATCGGATAGGGCGGTGTTTAGCAACCTCAAAGCGGACCCATACTCCCGGTGGGCCACATCTTGCAGCGAGGGCAAGCCTCGGACACGGGAAAGCATAGCTGTCGCAGTAGCAACCACACTGGCCTGCATGGCCCTCTGACTCGCTGGACCCCCAGACTGCAACAAGAACTTGGAGACCAAATCACTAGTCCAGAAAGACCCAGGAATAGCATTCGACCGCATGAAATAACAAATCGCTTCATACTTGGTCGTCTCCACATCCTGCGATGGCTGAACTTCGACCGGGCGACTCCCCAGTCGTCGGAGAACATTGAAGTCGAACTCCGGCTCCACCACGACCCCGGTCTTCCCTTCTGGGGATACAGTGCGAGGCACTCGCTCGCTCTTCTTAGACCCGGCCGCCTTTCTCACTACCTCTTGGCTCTCGTCGCGGAACATCAGCGATAATTGATCCCGGTAGCCCGGGCAGTCCCGCTTGGCGCGCGTACATTGCGAACACGCCGGTCGGCTTTGGTCACATCTGATCTTTCTGGCCCGGCACTCGCCACATCCTTTACTTGGCTTGCCGCAATACACCATGGCGTGTTGAAGTGTAACTAAGAACTAACTACTGGAGATCGTTGGATGTTCAGCCCAACGGAGATGGGTCCGCGCTTAGCCGTTTCGGGTATGCTTTGCGAAAGCTTACATCTATATCATTCTCGTTTTATTAGATGGTGAGGATGGGAGCATGAGAGGAAGAGGAGTCAATTTTGCTCTTGGACCTATTTCTAGATATCTGGAATGAGTCCCTCTCAGCACAAATATGAATTTCAGAGAACCCATTTGGGGCCTATAATGCGTCTATGGCCCACATCAGCCTCCACTGTGCATATCTTCGCTCGCTCTCAACCTGTATAGTACCCGTCTCAAAATACCTCGACTCAAACAATAATGGAGGCCGACTTGAGTTCACCATTTGGTCCGAGCTGATCGTCTGATTCTTTGTTGGAAACAGGCATGTACTCCACGTTCACTGGGAATCACACAAGGACTTTCCATGACATGAAACCATATATGATTAGCAGACACATGTGAATCAAGTGGCTGCAAGGTGCATCACTCACTCTTCCTTGGGTCTTGCTTAACAGGTCTGTATTAACCCAACATATAGGCGAACAGAAGAAGACAGCTGTAGATTGGCATTTGCATAGGATTCTGTGAAAGAAAAATGCAAGTAGAAGGACCATTGTAGCTTTGAGTTGACTGGATTTTGACAACACTTTACATGAGCTGATACATTGATTTCGTGGCGGGTCGAGGCTCTATATTATACGGTGCTTTCTCGGTCAATTCTGGTATGCCAGAGGCTATGATGTGTTTTAAATAATACGTTGAAGTGAAAGAGGTGAACTGAGGTAGTATCCAAGGCACTTCAAATATTGTAAAAGTTTAGGCTTGGATGCATGAAAGGACCTGGTTCAACTATCTCAAATTGCGCCGTTACTGAAACTAAATGAATGACTAGATACTGTTGCCTATTGTTCTTCGGAAATATGCTTGCATATGAAAATCCTGAGGCCCTGGTTTTGTTTCTCTTATAAAGTCAAAAGTGACACAGGCTTTGCGACAAGATTCTATACTGCCAGCTTTGACGTCGTTTCCTAGAGCTCCCTTGAGTTAATGGAAGCCTTTATTGAACAGTAACTTAGAATATGCATAAGGAACATATGTTTAAACATTAATTTTATTTTTGAAATGAAACAACAGCTAAATATTCATAATACTCCAGAGACTTTTCGGCACGTTACTCAACACGCTTCGAGGGAGACTCAGACTCCTCGACATCGGCCTGGGTCACCCGCTTTCTTTTCCCAGTAGACCCTCCACTGGACTCCGATTCCTGTCGTACAAATACAGATCCGTCATCATGCCATTCGCTAATCTCCCATTCAACCGAAGTAGACTGATCATCACTAACTCCCTTCCCATGCCGAGATCGCATCAAGCGACCCAAACGAGATCCTTCCACCATCTCTTCAAACCAAGGGATACCCCTTGTTGTGCCGTGTTGGAAGCTCCTGGAAATTTTGGGCTCCTCAAAAGACGGAATAATGACTGAAGAAGTGGGAGCCTCTGCCGGTGCCAGAGCAGAGGAGGCCGAGACTCCAGCACGTGGGGCCTCTTCATCGAAGTCATCCGGAAGCAGATCTAGATCAGCCAAAGCCCGCTGGTCTTCAGAGAGCAAGCTTCCAATGGTAATAGACATGAAGTTTGATTCCTCGCGCGGCTCCTCTGTCCAGAATGTCAATGGCGTTCCACAGTAACCACAGAACACTCGCTGAGTCTGAGGAGCATGACGGGGCGAGAATCTCCGGCGGATGGAGGAGTGGGATTCATCCGGGAAGAAGGATTGAGTATAAGACTCGTACCAGTCAAGAGGCACGCGCAGCCATGCCGAAAGAGGTGTGCCGTGGAATCGACCTGTTTGATATTAGTATTGGCCGGGAGATCGACAGGCTAGCTTGGGATTCACTCACGGTTGTCTCGGCTGCTATCGAAGTAGACCTCGGCATGTTCTGTCACATCGTCTGGGATGTTGACTTGATATTCATTGCGACCACAGGAGCATGAGCCGCGCAGCGGCTCGTAGGCCATTGTTGTACAAGAAGTACCGGGGCGCCGGTGAACTGGGTGAGATTGCGATAGATAGGGCCGGGGCGGGAGAGGAGCAGTCAGACAGTCAATTTGTCTGATCTCGACAATGACAATGATTAAATATGAAATGTCATGTGGAACGAAATTGAAGAAAAGGAAAAGCAGGGCGAGTCCAGTGGACCTCTATGACGTTTAAATATTGCCAAGACATTCACTTAACTCCGCACCTTATCGCTATCAACTTCTCTGCTTCACCTTCTATTCTTCTCTTACATATCTCGGCGTTGACACTCAGAAAGAATCGCAATCGAAGCAAACCCCCGAACACGTTATACCCACTTCCGCGCATCCATTCCGAGTATCGATTCCATCCCGTCCTTTTAACCACTTCCTCCCATCCGAGTCGCATTCAACATGAATCCAGAAGATGGCGATGACAGGTCATCGTCAACGCCGAATGGCACATCCAAGCAGTCCGCCCAAGACAAAGACAAGCCTCGTCTAACCGACCAAGAAAAGAAGAGCAACCATATCGCCTCGGAGCAAAAGCGACGCGCAGCAATTCGCGAGGGCTTCGATCGCCTCACAGAGCTGGTCCCTGGTCTGGAGGGCCAGGGCCGAAGCGAGAGCATTGTTCTACAGAAGACAGTTGACTTCATTCATGTCAAGCTCCAAGAGCGCCACGATCTCATTGCCGAAATCGAGAGCAAAGGCGGTCATGTAGATGATTCTTTCCGTCCATCATGATTCCTTTTACTGGGGTTGCCCCCGTCCCCTTTCGCTGGTCGAGGGGGTTCGGGGGCAAGTATGTGCCGAGGTCCGCTCAATTTCAGGAACTATTCCCACGCCACACGAATTTCTTTGCTTCGTTCCAATCAAGACGAAAATGATCTGATTTCCTATTTCCTGGAATCTTTGGTCTTTACATTCGATATCATATCTATCTGTTTCCACCCTCAACGCTCGCCCTTCTTGTGTCTAATTCTTTTTCTACCCTTTTGTCTCTAATTGTTCTTTTTCCTTCTCACCTTTACTTCTTGACTTTACTCTTTACTTCTGTTGTAACTTCTGCTGTACATTTAAGCTTTTCCTGGATACCAGAATGTATATGGTCACGGATGTTGCTGCAAAGCAACTGGGGCGTTAACTCGTGGTTGGCTAACTTTTGAGTCCATGTTTGTTCAGCTCTGAATGAGCGACTCTCAATTTCAGGGGCATTCAGGACATCATCGGGGCTATTTGAGTCCCGAGTGCCGTAGGTTTGGTCGCATCACGTGTACCGGTTAGCCTGGGCACATAATTGAGGCTGTTCACTGGTGCCTTTTTCGCCTTAGCCCTGTAGATATAAGCATAGGCACATCAGTTATCAATCTGAATAACAGAGTGCTATTCAGACAATGATCTTCTTGTATGGTGCATGATGTGGACATCGTCTTACCGCCCACCGAACTGCCGAACTAACCGGACAAGCTCCTGTCGAAGTAGCCATTGACATTAACTGCACAGGGATACACATATCCTCGAAAAGGGACTTTCAATTGAACCTTTGTATCTATCCCGACGAACCCCTTCAACTATACCCTCAGGCCACTTGCCCGCAACAGGCGAGACATCACCCCGCATCGCATAGGAAAGCTGCCCGCATCCAACCACCAACCCACCACACCAACCACAACCACATCATGGACGACTCAAAAGAAGCCCTGCTCTCCAACATGGACGACCAAACCCAAGACCCACCCCCAGCCTACCACCAACCCAAACAAACCCGCCTTCCACGCCCACCACCGCTAGGCCTCCCCGTCCTAAACAGCCTCCGCAACCGCCGCGTAATCCTAGCCTCCCAATCCCCGCGCCGACGCCAAATCCTCTCCTTCCTAGGCCTTCCAAACCTAGAAATTATCCCCTCAAATGCAGACGAGGACCTACCCAAAAGCCTCGGACCCTTTGAATACGTACTAGCAACAGCAACAAAGAAGGCCCAAGCAGTCTACGCCCAAGAAATCAACAATGAAACCGCCGGCGAACCAGCCCTAATCATCGCCGCTGACACTATCGTCGTCGACCCGTCGACCGGCTCAATCCTCGAAAAACCCCGCTCAGAAGCTCACCACATGACAATGCTCCGTTCCCTCCGCGACGTGCGCGATCATAAGGTCTTCACTGCGCTAGTCGCCATGGCGCCGCTCGCTTCAGCCCGGGACCCTGGGTATGCGCTCGAGAGTACGGTTGAGGAGACGGCTGTGCGGTTTGATGGGGATGTCACTGATGAGTTGATTATGGCTTATGTGCGCACCCGTGAGGGCGCGGATAAGGCGGGGGGTTATGGCTTGCAGGGGCTTGGAAGTATTCTTGTTGAGAAGGTTGATGGGAGTTATGATAATGTTATTGGGATGCCGCTTAAGGCTACGCTTAAGCTTATCGAGACTGTTATGGCTAAGGCGGATGATGAGGAGGGGTTGCCTGAGAATGGGGAGGACAGTGATGAGTTGGAGTGAGGGATTTTTTTGGTTTTTTGGTCTTTTGGTCGTTGGTCGTTGGTTGTGACCCTTTTATATATACTTGCATTCCGTACAGTGACCTCTTAGATAGAAATAAATGATTCAAATGGACTTGAACGAGATATGATATTGAGTATGCCTGAATGGGTGTTGCATTATTATTTGTTGTAAATTATGGGGTTCAGTCGATTTATATATCTGCTGTGACCCGAAACATTGATACGCCACGAGGTTCGATGCGAATATATGTATATCTACAGCCGGTCCCAGTCTCTGGAACTAAATAGATCCATCGGTAACTCATACCCAAACAACAATCCCAACAATCTACAAATGCAACACAAAATATCTTCTCGTACAAGGGTTACATTCCATATTTTTCTATAGTTCAAACCCAACCCGATCACAGCGGGAATTCAGCACCGACAAAAAGAATCGGGCTCAGAGGAGACAAACAAAAAGAAAATCAACGACATATACAGAGGCCAGAGGTAGAGGCGGAAGCGGAACGCCTGGATAAACCAGAACCAAGAGGTTATAAAAAAAAGGGAAATAAGGAAAGGAAACTAGAAAGACAAGCGGTGCAGCAATCTATGCAGTCCAGATGCGGCGCAGAGCCTCGGTGACACCGACGTCGTTTGTCTCAAACTCATACAGACCAACGGCGGTGGTGAGGGTGAAGGCGCGCAGGAGCCAATTGCAGGTGGTGCGGAACTTCGGGACGCGCTTGGGGGGGAAGTAGTCGACGATGGCAGCCCTGGATGAGACGGGATATGTTAGGTGGTGTTCATGTTGGGATGTAGATTTAGATTTAGATGTAGATCTGGGGATGCGGTCCAGGAATGGAGGGAGGCCTTACTGGAATCCGATGTGGGAGTGGGCGACAATCAGAGAGCACAGGATGGCGTCCATGACGGGGTTCAGGGAGCCGGCGGCGAAGGGAGCGATGGTGAGAGGGACTAGGCCGACACAGACGGCTCTGTTGTTGGTTAGTTTTGGGTTCTCTGGATTGCTTGTCTCCGGTTTGTCCGAAGGTGTGACTTGAGCTGATGCTGCTGCATGCGAAGGGGAGTACGAACCTCTCGAAAGTCCAGTGGTAGCTGCCCTCGGAGGGGTGAGTCTCGGGGATGGGAGCAGGGTCGTTCACTGTCACGATTGTATTGTTAATATCAAGGACATAAGGAACAGCGGTATCGCGATCCGATTGGAAGCATTTTCCGAGGCCAGCACGCTCAGCAGATTGTATAAATGGTAATTTATTCACGTTTTGCAGGCGGTTTGGCAGGTCGAATGCCCGCGAAAGCGTGGGTGGGATCGGGATAGGCAAGGCGCGGAAATCACATACGGGTTCCCTCAACGGACTCTAAGTAGCGAAAAAAACATTAGCAAGACTGTCACAGTATCTGGTATTTCTCATTCATTCCGACTCTCTCAATTCTCCATTCTCTCCGCGGCAGGGCCTACTTACGAGGCAATGGGGGCAGGATCTGCTTCTTAGCCGAGGCGTGGAAAGCCACGACCTGCGACACACCGACATTCTTCTGGAGGAAGGGCCGGGGAGCGAGAGTCTGCCTCAGCAGGGACGAGCGCGCAAAAGAAGCCATTGTGTGGTGTATGCAAGAGAAACAACCTCGTGGATGAAGTTGGAGACCTCGGGAGTCCAAGTCGGGTATGTCATCCTATTACGGGTCAGGTGATTGGTCGACGGTCCGCCCAGCCGAAATTGGCCGATGCTCGAGAAACATTTAGCCCGACTGACTTCTTTACGTCTTACTTCTTTACTCCCTGGAGTTATGTTGATTATTCCAATTTTTGACTACTGATTATGGTTACTTGCACTTATTTGCTTCCATAATTGCAGGTATCTTATTTTGTGCCAATGGCCTGTCTACTATCCTAGCCGAGGTATTCAATACCAAATCCTTCACATATTGAAAAAAGTTATGACGCCAATCTCATTATTTCATCAGTCTCATAATGCACTTAGAACTTAAGGACAGCCTTGCCCATGTTCTTGCCGTAGAAGATACCGACGAGACCCTCGGCAGCGTTGTCAATGCCGACAGTCTCGTGGATGAGCACCTTGAAGGAGCCATCCTTGATCCACTTCTGCACATTCTCCTGGTGCTCCTTGGTGTAGACATCACCCATGCCCTTGTCACCGACAATGAAGCCGCGCATGTCAATACGCTTGACGAGGACGTTGTGGATGTTCTTGATGGGATAGGGGGCGGCGTTGTACTGGGAGATCAGACCGCAGACGACGATGCGGCCGAAGTTGTTCAAGGCATCGAGGGCAGCTTCGAGATGCTCGCCACCAACGTTCTCGTAATAGATGTCGATACCCTCGGGGGCAAGACGGGCAAGAGCGGTAGCGGGCTTCTCGGTCTTGTAGTTGAAGCCGCCGTCGAAGCCGAGAGTCTTGGTGATGTACTCGAGCTTCTCGTCAGAGCCGACGGATCCAATGACGCGCAGACCTTCGTGCTTGGCGAGCTGGCCGACGAGCTGGCCGACGGCTCCGCTGGCGGCGGAGACGAAAATCGTCTCGCCCTTCTTGGGCTTGCCGATCTCGTACAGGGAGGAGTATGCGGTCAGACCGGGCATACCCAGGGGACCGAGGAAGACGCGGATGTCTTCGAGTCCGAGGGGGTTCTCGAGCTTGCGGATGCGGATCAACTCCTTCTCGCCGACGGCGACGTACTCCTGCACGGGGACATGGCCGATGACGAGGTCACCCTCCTTGTAGTTGGCGTTGTTGGAGCGCACGATCTTGCCAATGGTGGCGCTGTCAATTGCCTTGTTGAGCTCGAAGGCGGGGGCGTACGACTTGGTCTCGGCGGGGCGCATGCGGCCACGCATGTAAGGGTCGAAACTGGTGTAGAGGGACTGCAGAACGACACCGTTGTCGGGGGCAGCAACGTTGGCGTCATAGGCAGCGGCCTCGACGGCCAAGTGCTCGCCGGGGACAGGGTATCCCTGGGGGACGGCCTTGAAGACGAGAGCCTTGTTAGACATTATGAAGTAATTATGATGTGGAGAGAGGTAGAGGTAGAAGTAGAAGATATGGGTTTTGGTATTTGAGAGAGAATGCGGCAACACAGCTCTTTTATACAAAGCTACACCAAGCGGGGCAGTCAATGAGCCGAGGAAGAATGCAAGATCTCAACATTTTATTATAAAGCAGACTGGGCCCGGAGAAGATTCTCGAGAAGGTTATGCTAAGCTGGTAGACTCCACTATCTGCAGTTTTGGTTTCAGTTGGCTGATTATTACTTGCAGACTGGCATTCATAAGCTCAAATTGTCATAAATGTCCACTATGCCACGGTCTCAGATCCCGACATAGGCAGAAACAGTGAGGCATTGGTGCATAGCTGTGGCAACGGGATCCCAGTGGGGACCGGATGAATTGAATACAAATCAGACCGACGGGGAAACTCCATTATGGGCAGGACGACCGTCCCTCGGCACGTCTCAAAGGTTGAAAACGGCGATTTTTAAGCACGGAGGAGCTTACCGCTTCGGGAGGCAGAGCCTGCTATGGAGGGGTAGATCAGTTGAATTTGTACATAGTAATGGATTTACAAGAATACAGACATGAACTGGAGTTAGTCGATATATACAAGGTACTATTCTTGAGGTCATTATGCAGACTTTTCAAGGGTCAATGACCAGAGCTGGGTGTCTGGCAAGGTGGTAGTGGACTGTAAAAATGAAGTCATCCAAAATTATGTATTAGTCATACCCGGAATGGGAACTATGAATATCAACGTTCTAAATAGGACTGGAAGATGCAATTTCAGGCCTTGCCGGCGAGTGCACCTGCTGCCTTGTCGATAAAGAAATGCTTGCTCTTGATCATCTTGACCATGAAGCTGAAAGGCACGAATCCAAAGATCTGACCAGTGCCACCAGTTTCACCCACAGGCACCACCATCATAATGCCATCACCTTGCTCGAAGGTCTTGATAGCACCAGTGCCAATAATATCGGCCTTGAGGTTTGCCGCCGCCACATGTGCCTGCTCTATGGCCTTGAAACTGAGACGCATAGAGTTGTTAGTGATATCGCCAGCGGCAAAGATGGGCTGTGATTTGCCATCGCTAGACTGCACACGCATCTCGCTGTTGACCGTCACCCAGCCATCCTTGTCGAGGAACTCAGCCGGGATGAAGCTGTTGTTGGGCACCACACCGGTGGTGGGGATATAAAGATCAGCCGAAAGCTTATCGCCGCCTTCCAGAGACACAGTCCAACTCGACCCGTCATCAGCGGGGGTCTCTACACCCATGACTCGCTTCGACGTGATAATCTTGATCTTTCTCTGCTCGAGCATCTTGCGTGCGGCAGAACTGGCTGACGGCTTGAGCATAGGGAGCACGCGAGCAGTGGCCGAGACCAGCGTGATCGAGACCTTGCCAGCATTACCACTTTGTTCCACGGCTTCAGCAAGCTCACCCGCCAGTTCCACACCGATGGGTCCTGCGCCTCCGATAACGATCTCTTTCGCACCAGAAATGTGTCCCTGGGCCGACTTGATCAGCTCCTCCATATCATCGTGATTCGCCTGCTTGAAAGGAATCGAGGTGCCGGTGAGCGAGCCTGACGTGGCCGAGGTTGTACTGCCGGATGCGATGACGAGGTAATCATATGGTACGGCTGCAGAGGCACCACCGTTCGAGTTCACGGAGACAGTCTTGGCGGTTGTGTCGATGGCACTTGCAGTGCCTGCGATAAAGCGAAAGGCGTCAGGGCGGTAGCCTGCGAAAGCATCCTTGATCGGGAGCAAATACTGCTCCGTACGGAAGGCCTTGGGTTTGGCGACGATACGTGGGGCGGCGATGTTCCAGAAGAAGCTGGTTGAAGGATTGATCAGCGTGACCTGAGCGTCAGGCACATCACGAAGCAACGAGTGGGCAATATGAAGGCCCGCATAGGAACCTCCAACAATGACTACATTCACAGGGGCCATGGTGTGAAGTTGGGAGTCTTTAAGAAGGTGAGTTTCCTTGGAAGTGCGAGGAAGGATGATCTTATATGTCTTCGGCCTGTCCGGCGTCTATGCAGGGCCTGCTGCAAGGCTTGAAGTATCAACACACGTATTTGCCCAAGTCTTCCATGGGATAAATTTGAACTGGTTGGTCAGCACTAGTTACCCCCGAGACTACGGGTGTGGCTTTCTCCTATTTGCCGCTTTTACCTTCACATCTGAGGCGCTTCAGGTTCCTTGAGTACATTCCAGTCCGCCACGTGATATCAGGCACGTGATATCCTTCCCATACAGATCTTGAAGGCATTTGAACGCTCGAATGATGGCCTGCGAATACCGTATTCAACAAATCTAGCAATGCGAATACTAATATCTTGAATTTTTGCAAAAATGCATCCTTGCCCAACAAAGAGACAACTCTGATGTGTGCATTCCTTGGCTAGACAAATATACCTTATTTTGTCCAATGTCTGGGGTACAGAAGCGTGCTCAGTTCTACTGAGCAAAAAGCGGCAAGCGCTGGGCAACCCAAATGGGACTGAACAATATGAGGTAAGCGGGAGAGGGATATATTTGAGCCCGGAACCGAAGCACAATAAGTAAGCATTGGAAATCCATTTGGACAGCCGTGAAGGTATTTCCAAGCCTTTGTCAGTTTGTAGGTTTGACTAGTTTGACTGTTTGACTGGTTTGCACCGCTTGGCGTGCTTGCCCTTAATTGGATTATTTGACTTGTTTGACTGTTTGGCTTGTTTGCTCTCTCCGTCCCTTTTTTTGTCAAAACGTAGAGCAACGATAATATGTAGAGCCACACACATTATAATATACTATGATATGAGTGGAAACTGCGTGAGGAGCATACACCAATCACATATCCAGCCCACACCTTATGACCTTATGAAACAGAAGCGGCTTCAGCATTTTACAGCCAATATACTCCGAAGTCCAAGGCTCGTATCTTATCGATAAGAGTCATGTGACCCTGATTATTTTTGCGGTCTCCTGGATCGCCCCAATTGCAATCTGCTTTTTTTTTTATCATCCTTTACCCATATTTTCCATCATTCATTCAAAATGCTTGGAACACTTCGCCGATTCGGCGTATCCAATGTGCTCCGCGCGTCTGCGCCTCGTACCCTCTCAACGAGATGGGCTTCCCAGTTGCCGAAAGTGCAAGCTCCGTCGGCGTCTTCGGTGCTGACGAGATCGCTGCACTCTTCTTTCCCCAAATTCTCTGCCGCTGTTGCCCAAGAGTCTGCTGAGACTGAGCCATCTCAGAAGATTGAAAAGTTTGCAGAACTAGGAGAACAAGGCTTCATTGACAGCACGATCATCAAGAACATCACCCATCCTTCCAGGATGAACCTCGAGACCATGACTGAGGTGCAATCCATGACTCTTCGCGAGATTGTTAAGGGCAATGATGTGTAAGTTTTGCTACGCGTCAGTTATAAATCGAGATGAATTGATCCGCTAATATGCCAACCTTTTTCAGCCTTGCCCAGGCCAAGACAGGAACTGGAAAGACTCTTGCTTTCCTCCTCCCCACTCTTCAGAACATCCTTAATGATCCCGGTGTCGATGTTTCCAAGGTTGGACGTTACTCCAGAACCGCTCCCTCCGAAATCCGCGCCCTTATCATCTCCCCTACCCGTGAATTGGCCGAACAGATTGCTGTCGAGGCCAAGAAGGTCGCCTTCGGCACTGGCCTCATTGTGCAGACTGCTGTTGGTGGTACCCAGAAGCGCTCCGGCCTGATGAAGATTCAGCGCGAGGGCTGCCATCTGCTCATCGGTACCCCGGGACGTCTTAAGGACATTCTTTCTGACCCTTGGACTGGTGTCTCTGCCCCTAAGCTGAACACCCTGATTCTTGACGAGGCAGACCGTCTGCTTGACCAAGGTTTCGCCCCTGATATCAAGGAGATCCAGGGATTCCTCCCTAATCCCTCTGAGATTGATCGCCAGACACTCATGTTCTCTGCTACTGTTCCCCGTGAAGTGATGTCTCTGGTGCGCCAGACCCTGAAGCCAGGATTCCAGTTTGTGCAGACTGTTCGTGAAGACGAGGTTCCCACCCACCACAGAGTGCCCCAAAAGGTCGTCTGGATGCGTGGTCTTGAGAACGGAATGCCTGCTGTCCTCGAGATCGCCAAGAACTACGAAGCCCGCCGTGCTAACGGCGAGGAACTCCGTCCTTTCAAGGCCATCGTTTATTACAACTCGACTGCCGAGACCAAGTGTGCCGCTGACGCTTTCAACAACCTCCGCCGTTCCGACGACTTCGGCAAAACCGCTCTGGGTGAACTAAAAATGCTCGAGATCAACTCGCGCCTGACCCAGGGTGAGCGCACTCGCAGCGCCGAGAGCTTCCGGAGATCCCCCTCGGGTATCCTGTTCTCCTCGGACGTGACTGCCCGCGGTATGGATTTCCCCGACGTTACGCACGTCATCCAGGTTGGCGTCCCTCGTGACACTGAGACCTACATCCACCGTCTCGGTCGTACCGCCCGTGCCGGCAAGGAGGGTGAGGGCTGGCTCCTCGTCCACAAGGGCGAAGATGCCTGCTTCCGCTCCCGCCTCGGCCGTATCCCAATCAAGGAGGATACCGTCTCTCTCCCCGCTGCCTGGGCCGACATGTCCCAGCAGGCCACCGGATCTTCCGCCACCAGCGAGACCGTCAGTCAGATGAAGGCCGCCATGACCGCTGTTGGTCCTAGCCACAAGATTAAGTCATACATGGGCCAGCTCGGCACAATTATTGGTAACTTCAGCAGCAAGAGGTTCGCTATAGAAGTCTTGAACAAGCAGTTCGTTGACGGCTTTGGCATGGAGTCTCCTCCTCAGATCGCCCCCAGAGTTGCTCAGCAAATGGGTCTCGGTAACATCCCTGGTGTCAACATTGGCACTGGCTCCCGCCGCATGATGGAGGAGGATGACTCCTCTTCTAGCGGTGGTTTCTCCCGTGGAGGTTTCTCTCGCGGTGGTGACCGTGGATTCTCCCGTGGCGGTGGTGACCGCGGCGGCTTCTCTCGCGGTGGTGACCGTGGTTTCCCCCGTGGTGACCGTGGTGGCTTCTCTCGTGGTGGAGACCGTGGCGACCGTCGCGGAGGCTTCTCATACGGTGAGCGCCGTGGTGACCGTGGTGACCGTGGTGACCGCGGCGACCGCGGCTCATCTCGCGGCCCTCGTCGTGCCCTGGAAGGATTCGACTTTTAAATTCGGCTAAATCGATTCTTGATTTTTGCCAGTCACGTTTGTGGCTCCGCTGCTTTTGATACTTGCATTGGCGCCAGGAATACCTTTTATGGGTTCGGGTGAACGAAAAGTGAAAGGAAGAAGCAATCATCGCATCGGGTGGCGTTTTCTTTGTCTCTTTCTTGGATTGTCTGTGTACTATACACCCTTGTTCGGGTGCTTTGTGTTTCTAATTTAGACTTCTCTCCTCTTGTCTTATACTCTGGTCGCTGTTTTGCGGGATTTCGTTCTGGATATCGAAGAGTTGACTTATTTTGATTCCATGTACAATATTTCAGTTATCTGCCTTTATCATATCCAGAAATTCATTTTAATCCACTGAATATGACCACACTCTACTAAAACATGATAGAAAAGAAATATAAATTTTAACGTAGGCTGAGTAATGTAGCTTCTAACCAGATCCATTTTGGAGACATCTAAATCGTTGAATATGAGACAAAACGAGACCCTTATATCACACATCCCAAGTATATCGAATATGAAAGGAACAATGTGACATAAAAATCAAACAGGCAAAACAAGAGATACACTTATTCACGGGCAATCATGTGCTCTCTGGCGGGACCAGTACCAATCCACTTAACAGGAACACCACCAATCTCACGCTCAATGAACTCGATATAGGCACGAGCATTGGCAGGCAGATCCTCATAGCGAGTAACACCCATAGTGTTAGACTTCCAACCAGGCAGAGTAACATACTCAACCTCAATCTTCTCAACGACGTTAGGATCAGCCGGGAAGGTACAAGTGGTCCGCTTTCCACAGGGCAAGTGGTAAGCAACGCCGACCTTGATCTCATCAAAGTCATCCAGGACATCGAGCTTGGTCAGGTTCAGCGCGGTGTAGTGGTTGATGGCGTGCGAGTAGCGGCACAGAACCAGATCCAGCCAGCCGCAGCGGCGGCGACGGCCGGTCGTCACGCCGAATTCGCGGCCGACCTGCTGCAGCTTATCGCCGTCGGCGTTGAGCTGCTCGCTGGGGAAGGGGCCGGAGCCCACGCGTGTCGTGTAGGCTTTCACCACGCCGATCACGGACTTGATGCTGGAGGGGTTCAGGGCCAGGGCTTGCACGGCGCCGCCAAGGCCTGTTGATGACGAGGTCACGAAGGGGTATGTGCCGTGGTCGAGGTCAAGCATCAGGGCGTTGGCGCCCTCGACCAGTGTGTTGGGCGAGTTCTTGTGCTCCTGCAGGAACTCGAGCTGGTCGACGATGTGCGGCTTCAGGAGATTGCGGTATTCCTGGTTTGAGGGTCAGTTACATGTTTTACAGGTGAACTATAGTCAGGAATGAGGCTTCTTTAGGTCCTCATCCGTTCCAATCGATCTTGTATCAGTGGGTCCCGCAGGATTCTTGATCCTGCATGAAGCCCCCTCTGAGTCACATACCTTGAAGCGGGCAATCTCATCCTCGACATTGTATTCGATGTCTCCGTACCGCGTGCGGTAAGCGGTGTCGAGAGTGCGCAGCTTGCGCTCGAAAGTCTGCTCATCCAGAATCTCGCCGACGCGCACACCACGGCGCGCAGCCTTGTCACTGTAGCATGGGCCGATACCCTTACCGGTGGTGCCGACCTTACGGCCACCAAGACCCTTCTCCTCCAGACCATCGACGACAGAGTGCAGGTCGAAGCAGACGTGTGCGCGGTCAGAGACGAAGATGCGCTGAGCGGCGCCCTTCAAGCCCTTCGCCTCGATGGCGGCCAACTCCTTGAAGAAGCTGGGCACGTGGAAGACAGTGCCGGCACCAATCAGGTTGATACACTTCGGTGAGACGAGACCGGAGGGCAGGATGTGGAAGTCGTAGGTGACGTTCTCGTGGACGATGGTGTGGCCGGCGTCTATATTCATTCAAAAGAAGCGGGTTGGTCAGTCCTTGTCCCGCGCTCACGATGGCTCGTTTCGAAACTCCGGGGTAGAGGCAATGCAATGCATTGAGGGCTTGAACGTACTGTGGCCACCAGCTGCACGACAGCACAGCGTCGCCTGCTGCGACAGCATGTCTGTGATCTTTCCCTTTCCTGTTCACTGTCAGCGGCCATCTCCGCGTTCGGGTCTTGTTCCCTCACCTTCATCTCCCCATTGACTGCCTAAAACGATGGAAACCATGATTGCTCGATTGACAAGGTAGTTGCTCGGTCAAAGAAGTCCGATTTAGTATTGCTCCGCGGTCAATTGCGTGGTGGTGGGGGTAGAAGAGAATATGTCCGGAGCCGATAGCGGGGCCAAGAGATTTGCCGGTGTGCCTTTCTTGTTAATGACTTTGGGGCCACCCACAAGGAGATGTCAATGAAATTGATGCTGGAAATTTCAGTATATACGACAGCAAAGCATTTCTCGAGGTCTTTTTATTCTAGTGAGTCAGACTAACTTCCCTTCATCCCGCATCCGATCTAGCGGGGTGGCGGGGCTTTGCTGCTTGATGCCGTGATGCCTTGGTGCCTTGGTTTCGTCACCTTTCAGCCTCAGGCCACAAATTAGGGCAAGCGTTCGTACTTCATGTTCTTTGCATGGCTTGATAGTATGCATACGCTGTGGAATAAAGAAGTTATTGGGATATCTCGTTCTATATGTGGCAATTATGGAATATACCATGATCAAGGGACTGGATATAACCTCCTATCGGGAACTTTGCTAAGTTACACTACGTCAAATAACAGAGGGCAGGTCATAAAATCTACTCATCGTTCCCAAGCCAGAACCTAATCCTTCATATCTTCTAACTTCCGCGCTATAAGTAACTCTATAGACTTTTTCTCTTTCTCAGCAAGCAACTCAACCCTTGTAGCCAGGCATCACCTGGAGATTTGACGGAACCAAAGAAGCGAGGATCAAGCTTCTGCCAAAAAAATAGCATCAAAAACAATATTTTCCGCGACGCATAGGTAAATCAGAAGATCCCGCTGCGCTGTTTCTCCCGCATTGGTCCAGAGAGCATTTGGTCCTCTTCCAGTCGTCCATAACGTAAAAGAGCATCTTCATGCTTAATCAACACCTTGAGGAATGTCTGCAAACGATAGTCATGGACTTTCATCCAAGCCTCGATACCATCTGGCCAATACTCTATTTGTTCGTTCAGTAACCACCATGGAGGTGCAGAAGAAATCTCGGTTGGTGCAGCATATGTAAACTCCAAGTCTATAAGCCCAACGATTTGCAAGTTCTCATTGAGGAGCACATTTGAGGGCTTGAAGTCATCGCACCATAGCTTAAGTATTCTGGAGCATTGGCTCAGGCTAGGTGTGGCCAGTTGGTTCTCTCTTGAAAGCCTCGAAACAGCTGCCGGGCTATTTTTTTTGCGTTGGCAGCCAGGGGCGTATTTGACCGCGTCATTGCGCTGATGCGTTAAATGGTCCATGTGTAGATCGGCCAGGGCATCGAAAGAAAATGAAGAAGATTCAACGGCGCTGTTTTGTAGTTTTGATCGTAGTAGAGTGCCTACCCTCACTAGTTCATTCATATGAATTGACAAGGGGCGGTGCGCCACTTTGAATGTGAAGTCATCGATTTGCTCCAATGATCCAACCCCAGGAAGATATAGTTTGCTAAGCTGCTGGAGCAGGATATCTGCCATCTGTCCGTACGAAAATTCCAACTTGTCAATATCAATGTTCGGGTCTAGAAGTGGGCGGTTTCAATACGGAGATCAGGCATATTCAGCGCCTTGGTCGTGTTCATTTTGTGATTATGCACTCTATGGTTATGAAAGGGCCTAATCCAAGGAGAATTTCCTCCTTGGTGTACCCCAGTGTAGGATAAAGGGGACTGGGATCGACCTGTTTTCCTGGATATATCGAATCGTTGCAACCTCGTTGTGAACTTTCCCTCCAAGGAGCATTGTCACGCCTGATTGGGGAAATCAATTACTGCAGAGCCCCCGTCTTGGAATATCATGCGGAATATAATGTTTAAAACCGGCTTTGGGATCCCATCGCTTTTCATACCACCTCGGTGCTTCACGATGAAACCGCCAGTTGCCCGTAGGGTACTCTCTTCAAATAGTCCTTCCATCCAGCCGTCAGTGACCTTTTCACTTTGTTCCCAGGCAACATCATCAAAGGGCGTGCTTGGCTGCACGCGAAAACGGTATATTGGATATTGAGTGTTGTGGGAAATTGGGAGGGGAAGTCAGAGGAATTAGAACAATGGAATATTAGACGCCTTTTCCCTGAGTTATAAACAAACGCATATAAATAAGCGCATATACAGTTTTGACGATATCAAATTTGAAAGCTTCATAGAAGTAGATCACGGGTCTCCGCAACTTCCCCAACTTCCCCACATCTCGTGTCTTCCGCATCAAACAACGAACAACAACTCAACCATGCCCCAATGCAGTTCTCCCTAGAAGAACCAGACCCGTCCTCAAACTATGCAATGACAGACTGGCCCAATCCCACCCTTACCCATTCCTACACCCCTTCCGACTCAACTGATGCGCCTGCATTCGCATCCCCACTAGGCGCCGCCAGCTGGGGCCACGATGGGTTCACGCACGATCCAGGCTTCCTAGCCTCCCAAGAAGAGCTCCGATGCATGCTTTTCAATACCGCGCACTCCGCAGCCCCGACCCGGGCCCCGAGTCCGGACACACATGCGCAGGATGCGGCGCAAACCCGTGATAGCGATCGGGCGGCGCGCCCTGTTCTTTCGAATCCGCGCCAGATTGAGTATTTGAAGAATTATGTTGGACAGGTTGCGCCTTGGGTGGGTTTTTATCTTTCAAACTTTGATATTTTATGAGTTGCAATTGCTGATGGGTCCTTTCTACGGGATTGTAGCTTGATATGTTTGATTCGCAGTGCACTTTTCGGGTGCAGATTCCTGCCTTGGCGCGTTCATTTCCTGCTCTATTAAATGCTCTTCTTGCTATCTCTGCCAGGCAAATGGAGAGGAAAGAGGGGATTCAGGACTCGTTTGATAGTTTGGAGCTCTATCAGGAAGCGATTCGTTTGTTGAGTCCGTTGCTGCAGATGCGGGATCCTAAGGTTGTTGCGGCTTGTGTGCTGCTCTGCTGCCTTGAGATGATGTCTGCGCGTGCGCAGGACTGGCACCGTCATTTGGAGGGCTGCGCGGCGCTTTTCGATTCTTTTGAGATTAATGGATTTAGCAGTGGCATTCTGCAGGCTGTTTTCTGGTGCTACGCACGAATGGGTGAGATGTCATATTGAGAGCTAAGATGAAACTTGGTTGATGGCTAACTAATTAGACGTGTGTGGTGCGCTTATCTCTGATGGGACACAAAGCACCCTCCTTCGTCCCAGCAAATGGCTGGCGCCTGGATGCCATATAGACGACGCCGCGCAGCTCTTTCAAGCTGCAAAATCCCCAGATATGCACGCAAATTACGCCGTCTATCTATGTGCAAAGACATGCGAGCTGGTGGCAGATCGTACTCAGTTCGTCGAACTGGGCGTGAAGAACGACTGCACTGGTGAAGCCTTTAATCGCCGCTGGCTCCGACTTTGGGATGACCTGCAACACTGGATGGAAATCCGGCCACCTGAGTTGTTACCAGTCCACACGACCACGACAAAGCCGTTTCCACACGTCCTTTTCATGCAATGGGCAGCGATTTCTTCGAACCAACTATATCATACATCATGCATTTTGCTGCTCAACATGATGCCCAAACCTATCAAGTTGCAGCCAGCACCCGCCATCTCTGCGTTGTGGCACGCAAGGCGAATTTGCGGTATCTCTCTGGCTAATCCGCACCAAGGATGCTTGAACAATGCCATCCAGCCACTTTGGATTGCAGGGCGTCTCTTCAGCCATGTCTCCGAACATGCTATCATCATTGATTTGATCCGCCACATCGAGGCAGAAACCGGATGGGGCGCTTGCTGGCGCATCAGAGATTTGGAACTTGCCTGGGGATATCAGGTACCTCGTCCGGAAAAGTCGAGCGCGAGGTACAGAATTCCTGTTACGGGGTGATAATGACGAGTGAAAGGGGATATACTCAAATAGACACCCGTCTTTCATGTCTCGTCAAGAAGACCCCATTCCGTTCGCAGACCTTGCACAGAGTCATGGGTATTCCATCCTGTCACTGTGCGGATGCGATCAAACCCTCGCAACACCTCCTGTTGCTGCAACTCGTGTGTCATTCGACGAGCTGCCACAAAGAAGGAGGCCAGAAGGCATGGGTCCCAGCATTCTCGTCGATCATTGTGAAGAGCAATACTACAGACCCGCTGCGCATGCCACAACGGTGACACGGCAGCAGATTGAAAGTCGGTGATCCTCGCAGTTCGCGGTTTATTATGTAGTAGCAGGAGCATGGCCGTATGGTAAAGCTGGTTGCCGAACAAGCCAGCTCCATTGGCAAAGAGGACAACCGGGAAGCTCCTCTCCGGCCCAGCCAAACGATCATCCATCTCTAGTTCTAACATAGGTTGAAACTCCTGGGGTCGCTCCCGATACCATTGCTCAAGCTCCTCCACTAGCTGCATCCATGTATGCAGGGGAGGGCGATCTGGGGAAATTCCGTCATTGTGCGTGAAGTGGATTGCTTTTGCGCAGAGCCACAGTGGCCGGTATGCGTAGTAGAAGACCATTTCATATGGGTCGGCCACCATGTCTACTTCCGTTAAACAGGGGAACGTCGGTGGCAGCGGTACCTGCACATCACTATCGCTCGCTAATGCGGTTCCGACATCTGTAAGCGTTCACAAGTTAGATATCACTGTTAATGTGTATTGAGCGCAATGAGATCCCATACCAAGCCTGACAAAGAGCCAATAGATCGCTGCATTGAGGTCTCTGCCAACTGCGTGGGAACTCAACGCACTCAAAAGACCAGTATTGTAGTGTCTTTCCATCGTCCACGCAGTGGATATATTCGAAATGGAATCCATCACTCGATCGAGAGCATCAAGAAGAGCGAAATTCGTAATGTTGTCCAGTATATCCACGTCGCCAAACTGAGAAAATGACCTGCTTCTTTCTAGATGTGAATTTTGCCGGTGCAGCTGATTGAACGATGTTTCAGACAGGTCTAGAATTGATTTCCAGATGGCAGGCGATCTCATCGCTACCTGGAGGGCATTGATTCCAAATGATTGCCCCAGGTCACATATGTCCAACTACACGTATGGGTCTGTGATTAGCACTCGGCACTGAATCTCGGTAGTCAAAGAAGCTTACCCAGGAGGCTACTTCATAACGATAGTGCCTCAGCAGCGCCTGGGTTTCAGTCGGCGAAAGCTCATCTGCAGTTGATTTGGGAGGAATCATAGATTGCGGAGAGAAGGCTGGTCGGCTATGCGATAAACGGGATGGAATCGAGGAGCTCGTCAGAATGACTCCTTTGGGGGATGAGACCGTAAAGTCCGCCATTCCCAGATCGGGTCCATTCATGCTGGTCCCCAGAGCCAACAATCCTGCGACGGCTGATTCATCCTTGTCACTGAGCACTGCTGTAGAAGGCTGATCATTCGCAGTATGGGATACTGGCTCCTCTGACCCAGACGGCATATCTTCGTTTCTGGGTGGATGGCTAAGCGGGTTCGAGTCGGCAGCCTCCTGCGAGTGCGGTGGTAAATCGATATGAGAGGATATTTCGTCCATACCATCATCTTCAGCTTCGGTAATATCCTTCTGGGGCTCTTCATTGATAAACTATAACAGCAATTAGGTCTGTTTTCCCCGCCTCGGAATCTCAGTAGACCTACCCTGATGGCCTCGTAACTCGCAGATGGAGTGCCGACTTGCGAGGCCTGAATGGTGTGTGCATTTTTTGACAAAAAGGTCAACTGGGGGCCATACTGGCATTGGAAATTGCGGTCAACGCAGTTCCGGCACCGCGGCTTGCCCTCGTCACCTATACCCCGTTAGCTCAATGAATGTTCCAAAGTCTACGACAGCATACACTTTCGCCGACGCACGCGACAGCGCATGCATCCAGTGCGACATCGCGTGAGTCGATTCTGCCCTAGGCGGTCCGGCATGGCCCCTCGAAGTGTGAGATGATGCGGAGTCGAATCGGGAAGGTAAAGGGTGTAAGTTCTCAATCGGGTAATTATAAGCACTGCCCATGTGGACCACCGACATGCTTTGTCATCAGATATCAGAGCTTGGAAAGTACATTCATGCTTCAACTACACTTGGTCCCTTGTTATTCAGATAGAATGATTGCTCGGTATTGATCAACAAAATCTCTTATACAACTACACATGGCCACCGGCCAGACCTCGGCTTTTCTTCCACTCGTCCACAATTCCAGCATATGCCGATGGCTTATACACCCCAGTGAGTTCAGTGTAAACCCCTCCTCCGAGTCGGTATGGGTTCAATCCCAGGTCGCGCATAAGCAGGTCGTTGTACTAAACAAATCTTAGAGGAAGAACACATAATTTACTTCCTAGGGATAACATACCAGAATAGCGTCGACTTCAAGTCCAGTCCCAGTCAACGAACCGAGTACAACGTCCTCGGAAATGGAAACCTCAATCGAGTCTTCCGAGAGGGTTGAAAATGAAAGCGCCTCGCTTTTTGTTGCCCTCACGTCGCCAGATGAGTCCAATGCCCCCGTAAGGAATGCCGCTACCCACAGGGCCTGGACCTCGGCAACAACAGCAATTGTCGACGACAAGAGCACACCGAGCGTAGCGAAAGAGCGGTCGCCTTGTGCAACTAGTTCTGGAGCCACCATACGGCGGAATAGACGGTATGGCAGTAGTTTGTGCGTTGCAGCCCATGACGGAGGACTGCGATCTGCAAGGACACATTTTGTCGCATTCAAAGTGTTCCTGACTTTCAATTCGGAGTGACGGTCTAGGTTCTCCCAATGATCAATGCGATCCTTTACGCTTGGGTCCAAAGATCCATGAATCATTTCGGGAGATACTATCAAGTCCTGATCTTCGTGATAGTCCTGGGGCTCTGAATCCACTAGGGCGGATAACCCAAGATTCAGTCGAAGGCTTGGTGGATTAAATTGAATTGGGACAATTGGCTTATAGCCAGTAGCATGGATGACCAGACCAACGCCGTCAATGCAAGTTCCGTCCGACAATTGAACCACAGCCTTGCCGGCGGAGTCTGTGGTTCCCTGTGAATTTGGGACGTCAATGTTGGTGACCCCTGCTCGGTAAATTTGCACATGAGGCAATCTAATTGCCTCCCAGAGGTCTCCTTGATTCGCGATGCCAATGCCAGAAGCACAGGAAACAACGCTGCAAATTGTTAATTTAACCAATGCTCTTCAGACAAAACAACACCAAACTGACCTATTTTCTGGACGAATCTTCTCCATCTTCAGATCTGATCTATATTGCGCTGTCTCCTCCAGACTTTTATCAATGGAGCGCCACAACATCCGAATCCACCATCGACCCAGTGGGTTGCCATGGAAAAGTCGCGCCAGCCATGCCCCCTCCCACCGGAACTCTTTGAAAGAAAACCGCTTCGGGATCTTGTAGCAGCATGGAGTTAGATAGCTGAGCAATCTAGTACTTGCGGCCTTATCACTCGCAACAGTGTCGCCGTTTGGGAGTGTTGACGTCGGAGGCACCATCCATGAAGGACCTGCCCCTTTATCACGAATGATCCAATGCACCTGAATTGGATTTTGTTGCTTGGATGCTAGTCGCTGCTTCGGGTCATTGCGGTGCAGAGTAGCGAAGAAATACACCAGATCAAAGGATGATTTTGCACCTCCGTATATTGCGACGGATTTAAGCTCTGGGTAGGCAGGCTCATTGCTTGGAGGATTGGAGGTTGAGCGCTGGGGTATTTCCAGTGGTTGATATCCCAGGTGTTCACGAGCCCAGCTTCCAACATCCTTGGCGTGGATAACTGGAGCGGGACTGTCTGTCTTTGAAGAGGCCTGAGTGTCCGGCAAATTTGGCACCGATGTTAATCCCGTAGCGAGAATCAATTTATCACATATAATCGTGATTCTCTGTGTCGAGGCTGGTGTGAATTTGGTAACGCTGAGCTTCCACTGCTTGTTCTTCAAACGACTGATGTTGTCCACCTAGAACTTCATCAGAGAGGTTGTGATCTCGGGTCGGATTCGGAGAACTTTACCATCCAGTTCAATCTAATATGTTTTCGAAGCCTCCATTTTTCTACCCACGCACGAAGATATCGGTTGATCTTCCACCCTGCAATGAACCGATTTTTCATGCCATCGTCATCATTCTCTTCTGGGACAACTTCTGAAAGAGCAAGATCACTGAACTCATAAAGCCCGTGTGAATTCTGGCTTAGTAGATTTGGATACAGACGCTCCTCTGCCCATGTACCTCCAATATCCGAGGCGGAGTCAATGACAAGAAGACGTTCGGCAGCGTCTTTTGCGGGAGATTCATCTGTTGCAGTAAAACATGTGGGAACTTCGGCGAGATCATCTTTGCTACCTTCTGCGTTTCTGTCATAGGCTCCCACGACTTGTAGGTACGTTTTTGCGGCAATAAGACCGTAGAGACCTGACTTGTTAGCGAAGATTGGATTAGAAGATGGCTTGTACATACCTGCACCGACAATCACAACGCGTGCCATAGCTGTTGGATTGAAAAGTGAAGAGAAGTTGTCGAAATGTCCGAAGGCATGTTGATGTTGGGACAATGAATGAGCAACAATACCTTCCGGACGGGGAGTCTTGATATTGTTCTTGTGGGACCACAATCCCTCCCGAAATCACAACAGACCCTGTTCAAAGAAATACTACTCTTTGAAGTTGAGTGTCAGAAACAGAATCCGGTGAGATCAGATGATTACCGGTATTCCGCAATCCTTTGGTCATATACTTGTTTTCCGTCATCATTGGGCTCGTGGGACTCATCGCCGTCGTCGTGGACAACTGGCCGAATCGGATCAAGGCTGTAGAATCATATGTAAGGTGTGCGGTGGATATGCTGCGCTGGTCCTTCTCCTAGTTCTTCTTTGTCTTGTGGTTCGCGGAGGCCGAGGCCGCATTAGTTGCATTCCTGCCGGCACTCTGGAGCGACTTCATTCTCGCTGCCATTAGCGTCCGGAATGGAGGCAGCTGGTCAGGCTATCCGAGCTCGGATAATGCCCCCCTGGTTTGGGCTTATTTTATTGCTAAAAGGCTGCCATTCTTTTCTATGTGAATGAGATTCAGGATATCAAAGTCTCGCAACGTAGTCTTAAAGTCAACTTACGATTAAGTTACAAATTACCCTACCCTATAGCTTTCATCGTAAATTGCATGCGGGTAACTATATATGCTGTTATCACTGGAAATAATTTACATTGGCTCAGAAGGAATGCCATATTGTACAGCTTCATCAATTAAAAGATATCAGACATGTTAGCCCATGCTGCCAAACGGCGAACAGATGACCTCCCAAGAGAAAATCAAGCGAAGTAACTTTAACTGCAATAAGAAACACATATGATGCTGGTTGAACGGAAATCATAACACCTTATCTCCTTCTGAGGGCTCAGAAAAAAAAAGTGGACGCGACCGCAGTCGGTACTGAAATATCTAGACACACGCGCTATTGTCCCGGGGAGCAAGAAAGGAAAGAAAACATGTACATCTTAGAAAATGGTAGAATATCATGGACAGGCTCGATGGGAATCGAGATGAGGCAATGAAGTGGGGGATGGACGGGAGGTGGTCTTAACAGGCACAGCCGTCGTTGTTGGTCGTCTCCTTGGGGTTGATATTGACATCGATCACTGGAAGGACATAGGTCAGTATCAAGATAGGGGCGTTTAGTGCAAGTAAACGTACTCTGGCTCTCGCCTTGCTTGGCCTCGCCTTCCATTCCTGGTAAAGCCTGGGCAATTCTCCGGAACAATTGCTTCACGTTATGTCCGACCTTTGCACTGGTCTCGATAAACATCAATCCGTTCTTCTTTGCCTCCTCTTCGCCTTGCGCCGTGGTAACTTCACGCTTGTCGTTCAAATCGGTCTTGTTGCCTACGAGCACAATAATCACATCGTTTCCACGCTCTCCGCGGACATCGTCAATCCATTTCCGGGTGTTTTGGAAGGACTTCGCATTGGAAATATCGTAGACAACAACGGCAACGCTCGAGTCTCGGATGTAGGAAGGAATCAGGGAACGGAATCGTTCTTGGCCGGCGGTATCCCAAAGCTGAAGGCGAACGGTTCGGTCTTCAAGATACATGGTCTGATGAAACACATTTAGTCGCAATTCATAGATAGACAATCTTCTGAGACGAAACAAGTAGACCTGAACGCTTGTGCGGGGTATGGCATACCTTGGACAGAAAATCGATGCCGATAGTGGCCTGGTAGGTGTTGTCGAACGAGTCGTACATGAAGCGGGTGATCAATGAGGTTTTTCCAACTGTAGTGCGTGTCAGATCTTCTGTTCATTTGCACCCTCATGGACCAGAGCGCATGGTGATACGGTGTAAAGTGATGGATGCTTACCACTCTGTTCGCCCAAGAAGACCAACCTAGATACCATTGTTAACAATTCATTCTAGGTTCAAGCAACATGCTCCCAGTGCTTACTTGAACTTCTTCAAGGGGTTCGAATACGACCCAACCCCGGAGGAGGCCATTGTACGGAGGCGGAGGCGTTGAACGCGTGAAAATCAGGGGAAGGAGGCACCGCGGGACGATGGTCAGGGATTCAGCACACAGTAAATGATGCGCAAGCAGTAACAAAGATATCAAAGGTCAAGACAAGTGTCTTCCTTCGTAACAAATAAAGGAGGGAGATGTCTGGGGAAGCACAGCGCGCTGTCACCGCCCGAGCGGAGCAGTTAATCCGCTCCGACCACCGAGTCCCCCATCTCCCTCTAGCTCCAACTTCACTACGCGATCTTGACCTTTTCCATTCATTCAGTTCCCAGAGGTCGTCATGGCTTACCTCTATCCGGTCGGCGTTTCCACCACCGCCCTTGTTGTGGTTGGATTGTGTACGTTTCTCACATGCAGGATGCGAGATGCGATCTGGCAGCTAATGCGTTCCGAATAGACATGCTCTTCCATGGTGAAGGAGAAGCTTTCAATGTACGGGTCTATCTCTATCGCAATCTACAGTGATCCTGTTTCTGACGTGGATCGCATTAGGTCGGCCGTTTCCTTGAGGAGGTGTCTCCTTATGCCTGGGCGAATATCGGAATCGCCATGTGTATTGGCTGCTCAGTTGTCGGCGCAGCATGGTAAGCCGATCACCGCATACACATACTAGCTTCTCCATACTTATCAAATGCCTGTTCTTAGGGGTATTTTCCTTACCGGTTCATCGATCGTCGGAGGTGGTGTCAGAGCCCCCCGAATCCGTACCAAGAACTTGATCTCCATTATCTTCTGTGAAGTCGTGGCTATCTACGGTGTCATCATGGCCATTGTCTTTTCTTCGAAGCTCAACCCTGTCGCCGAGGGCGGAATCCACACCTCCAGCAACTACTACACCGGATACGCGGTCTTCTGGGGAGGAATCACAGTTGGTGTGTGCAATTTGATTTGCGGTATCTCTGTTGGTATCAACGGAAGTGGTGCTGCTCTGGCCGATGCTGCCGATCCCAGTCTGTAAGTCATTCCTGTGTTATTATATATGATAACCCGGATCTTTGCTTACATTGTTTCTTTTCCAGATTCGTCAAGATTCTCGTTGTTGAAATCTTCAGCTCAGTCCTGGGTCTGTTTGGTCTCATTGTCGGTCTGCTCGTGGCTCAGAAGGCCGCAGCATTGGAGGCAGCTTAAATCGAATCATCTCTTTATAGAGAAGATTCAAAATTGGGCGGCTAGCAAGGGGGCACATTTATCCCCACACGATTTCGCTTCACTTTCAGTTTCGAGTTTATGTTTCGATATACACCGCATTGGGGCGTCTGGGGTCGCTTAGAGCCCTTTTGGGTTGAATTGCATCAGGAGATTATGTGTACAGTAAAGAGTACCAAGGAATAACCTTATCCTAGTCTTGGCGTAAAAGACGTATCATACCTAATCAGGTAGTTATAGCCAAGTAGAGTGCACTGTACATGGTTTGCCCTAATTGATGTTGTTGTCCGGGATTTCGTGATAGTCCGATATCTTCCCTTATAAAGAAGTCTTCCCACCCACCCCACTTCCCCAGACCACAACACAACATGGACAAACTTCGAGTTGCAATTCTAATTGTCTCCGACACAGCCTCGGCGAACCCCGCATCCGACAAGGTTGTTGATGCTTTGACGCCCATCTTCGCTGCAGAGGGCAAGTGGGAATCCCCCGCATTCAGGATCGTCCCGGATAACGTGGGCCAGATCCAACAGTGCGTCTGCGAGTGGGCTGATGGCCCCAATTGGTATAACCTCATTCTGCTCAGCGGAGGAACTGGTTTTGCAATCAAGGATACTACCCCGGAGGTGAGTCTTTGCTTCCCGAATTGACGCTGTCGTGCTAAATGACATCACCAGGCAGTGTTCCCGCTGATTCAACGCCATGCCCCAGGATTAGTGTGAGTCGGCTCGGTATTCTTGGCCGCATTGACGCTAGTAAACTAACCAAGACTTGAAGGCACGGCATGATTGCTGCCTCCTTGAAAGTGACTCCCTGTAAGTGACATCAGGGGCGCCGCCCTGGCGCCTCTCCCGAGTATTTACTTTGTGCTAACCCCCGCTCAGTTGCTATGATGGCCAGACCAGTTGCGGGTGTTCGTGACAAGTCGTTGATTATTACTCTACCTGGATCTCCAAAAGGGGCAATGGAGAACCTTGACGCTGTTGTGAAGCTTTTGCCACATGCCTGTATGCAGGCTGCTGGTGCCAATTCACGAAACCTCCATGCTGGAGGCATGGCAAAACTGGAATCAGAGGCAGGTGTCAGCGCTCAAAAGGACAAGCATCAGCATCAGCATAACCATCATCATCACCACCACCATCATGGCCATGATCACGGTCACGGACACAAGGTCCCAAAGGCACATACATCGCCGTCAGAAAGACCTCAGTCCAACGACCCAAACGCAGGTCCTAACCGGCGCTATCGGTCCTCTCCCTACCCAATGCTGTCCGTAGATGAAGCACTACGCCGAATTAACGAGCAGACCCCCGACCCAGAGGTCGTCGAAGTCCCAGTGACTACGTCCTTGATCGGTTCAGTCATTGCCGAAGACGTTTACGCCGCCGAGGCTGTCCCAGCCTACCGAGCTAGTATCGTGGATGGCTATGCAATCATTGCACCGGACTCTAGCACCACCGGCCCGTCCACGAAGGGTGTCTTCCCCGTAGCTTCAATCACCCATGCCAATGTCGGCGGAAACCTAGAGCCATTGCAACTGGGCACCATCGCTAGAATCACCACCGGTGCTCCCCTCCCCCCGAACGCAAATGCTGTAGTCATGGTCGAAGACACAACCTTGGACAGCTGCACGCCGGATGGCAAAGAAGAAGCGACCGTCGAAATTCTCACTGACGACATCGAGCCCGGCGAGAACGTTCGCGAACCTGGCAGCGACGTCTCACTAGGCTCTAAGATCCTCGCAAGAGGCGATCTGATCTCCCCCGTCGGTGGAGAGATCGGCCTGCTAGCCTCAACCGGCACAAAGACCATCAAGGTCTTCCGCAAACCACGCGTAGGCGTCCTAAGCACGGGCGATGAGCTGGTGGAACACAACGACCCCCGCCCCCTCACAGGTGGCCAGATCCGGGACTCAAACCGCCCATCTCTCATCTCTTGCCTGACCTCATGGGGTTTCGAAACCATCGATCTAGGAATCGCTCGCGACACCCCAGCCAGCGAACTAGAACACGCACTCCGCGACTCCCTCCGCGGCGTAGGCCGCGCCTCGTCCAGCGTCGACGTGATAATCACGACGGGCGGTGTCTCAATGGGCGAGCTGGATCTCCTCAAGCCGACAATTGAACGCTCCCTCGGCGGCACCATTCACTTCGGCCGAGTCTCCATGAAACCAGGAAAACCAACCACCTTCGCGACAGTCCCCTTCAAACCCACCGGCGACGCAGAAGCAACCTCCTCACAATCCGAACGCCAATCAAAACTCATCTTCTCCCTCCCCGGTAACCCGGCCTCCGCCCTCGTCACTCTCAACCTCTTCGTGCTACCTTCACTGCACAAGCTCACGGGTCTGGGTCATAGTTCCCAGGCTCTGAGCTCGAGGCCTTGGCTTGCGCCACAGCTTGGTCTTCCGCGTGTTGCGGTTGTCCTAACGCATCACTTCCCGCTTGACCCCAAGCGCACGGAGTATCATCGTGCCGTGGTGACGGCGTCGCGGTCTGATGGGCGCTTGTATGCGACTAGTACTGGAGTTGAGGGGGCTGGGCAGCGAAGCTCCAAGGTTGGGAGTCTTGCTAAGGCTAATGCTTTGGTGGTGTTGCGCACTGGGAGGGGTGTTGCTATAAAGGGGGAGATTGTGGAGGCTTTGTTGATGGGTGATGTGCATGGCTCTGATACTAGGATTATTTGTTAGCTTTGATGATTTTACCTCCGGGGCTGGATCTCCAATTGGTTGGTTTGTATTGTCTTCTTGGCTATGACTTCTGTGTTGTCTTTATATTTCTTGTCTGGTTCGTTTTCTTTTTTTGGTTGCCCTTGACAGAACCTGGCAATATATATCGCCGGGGATATGGATGTATGCGAACAGATGAGTGCAAATTGCATGTGGCCAACGACAACTTCATTTCTACATTCAACTCCTACAATAAGTGAATTCTAGATGCTCTATCTGTGGATAAAAGCAAAACACCAAACCGGAAAACCGTAGATGACCCATAGAAACCGCGAAATTAGATTGAACCCTTAGAATACTTCCACCCCTTCTTCTTCTCCGACCGAAAAGCAAGCAAAGTCCCCTCGCGCCCCTGCTTCCTAGCAATTTCAACAACCAAAAAGCGAACAAAATCACCAAGAGTCCAGTAACTACTATGCGCACTCAACATATTGAGGTACTGAATATTCAGCGGGCCCCCGCCGCCAGAAAGATAATAATCAATCTGGCCATTATCATTGAGAAGAAGCATTCGTTTCTCGGCAATTTCCTCACGGGTGAAGTCGTGTGTCTCCAGCTCGACGTTGGATGGGAGCTTCGAGATTGCTGCTGGTCGGGTTGGTTCTGCTGAGGGTAGGAAAGATGTTGGGGCTGAACTCCAGCGGAAGACACTGCCGAAGGATTGCCAGAATGTTGAGCTGGAGCTGGGGATTGACGCCATTTTTAGGGAGTTGGAGAGGTCACTGTCTACTGCTGCATTGACGCGGTAGGCGATTGCTAAAGGGGTTTAGTATATTGGCACATGGAGGGGGTTTGAAGGTGTTTAAACTCACGGTCGGTTGTGTGCATTATGTTGTATAGATTGTCCACTGCGAGACATCCATATTGACCTGGTTCACCGGCTACACCGCGCAGTCTGTCGTCACCTTCACTGCCTGGTTTATCTCTGCCTTTTCGGGGTAGAAGACTAGCTGTAGGATGTCAGTTTCGAGCTCGATGATCTTAAACTTGTTGTCTTACCTTTATTCAGAAGTAGGAAGAAGCCAACCGGGCTTCCACAGAGGAAGAGTTGTGTAGTGTCAAACTCGAAGATATCGCTGTGCAGTGCAGTATCGGAAAAGTCAAAGCGAGGCACATGTGTTGGCTGATTACTGAGAATGTCTATGGCCATGACACTTCCAAGGGAATGGGCAAGAAGATGTACACGGCCGTTTTCTTGGAACCCTGGATTATTTTTACACCAGAGGCGATACACGCGATTCGCTTCTTTCACCACCGCCTTGACCATCTTTGGCTTGTGATGTGAGAGATAGTACGGGATATCGAGCATCACGTCACTGATCAAAGATCGAACGGCTGGAAGCGTATGGGGTGTGATATCGTCCAGCGAGAAATTACTAGCAGTCGGGTCCTCGACGCCCGCTTCGATATCGGGGTCATCCAAGGATAGCTTGGTGCGCCAATTCACGGGAAGCACCATGATTCCTCCATGATCTTGGCGCACATGTGGCCAGACAGGTTCATTGTTGAGCTCCATATTGACTTCTCGTCGGAATGCATTGATGGCATGCGTGAAATGGAAGCTTTCCATCCTCTCAGAAAGTTTCTGTCCGATACCGTGGATGACGAGTACGAGGTCTGTCGGAGGTGGCCGCGATTCTTCCATCTTGCAAGCGTAACATACTTGCTCACCTGGAACTGAGGGTTCTCGGGATTGGGTTTTGCGGATGTAATGGCGGACATCGATGGGATTGGGCTTGGATGGATGTAGTTGCTCCCATAGCTTTCGATTGAAGCCTCGGACCACCGGTATCCCTATCTGCCTCCCCTTTCTGATTGGTCCCAGAGGTTTTCGTCCCCTCGAGGATGAGGGAAGTAGGCTGGGTCGAAGTATCTGGGCGTTGACCGCATCGACGAAAATAGCACTAGATGTGAGATAGGGTTTGATGTTCTCGGACTGAAGAGAAGTGCCGCCAGCGGCTTGGTTATTGTCAAATGTCAACAAATAATCTGCTCGACTCGACTCGGGGTCGCCATTCGTAGAATCTGGCTCATTTGTAGGTTGACTGGTAGAGACGGCTTCTTCCCTTGTCCACAGTGGATGGACGATTTTCATTTCAGCATCAGCACCGTTTTCCACACAGCTATTCAGCTCATCTTGCCAGGTATCACTCCAAGGCTTCAAGTAGACGTATCCTTCCTCCAATTTGTTAGCAAGCTCCGCCTCAACGGGATACATGGTGTTTTTGTAAAACCAAGTAGCTCGAACAACAGTCGATATGTCCTGGAGAGGGCTCCAGTATATCGGTTTCATCTGCATAGTGTCAGTACCATTTAAAGCCAAAAGAGACAAGATTAATACCTTGAGATTCGGCAGCTCAACCAAATGAAGCCGCGAAACACCCACTGGGATCTTTGATTGCGTGTTCGGCTCTTCTGTCCTCTCACTCTCTGAGTCCTGTGTTAACTGATCCAGGCTCACTGTCGTTCTGAGGCCCGAGGGCTTTGGCGCACTCCGGGGAGCAGTATTGACTCGTACTTCAGACTGCCATTCCTGTCCTCCGTCCCTCGAGGAAGTAGACTCATATGACCGACCGAGTGGCGTATGAGACTGAGAGGTAGGCGCCCGTATGAAAGGCGAGCCACTGATGCTTGCATCACGAGAACGATTGGCGCGTATACTGCCCATCTCCTCGTCACCAGCGTCGCCATTCTCTGGATCCAAAGTCGAACTACTTCTTCTCTTGGCAGCGATGGACTCATTCACAGAAGAAGAACGCGCTCGTTTCCGATCAATGGCGATACCTGTAGGGGTATCATGTTTCATGCCATCATCCGACGATGATCCCACGCGATCTACGTTTCCGAAATCTTGCGCTCGTACCCCAGAGCCGGTCGCAAACGCGAGCTGAGACTTGTGACTTCGAGAAGGTACATCGTCTGGGAATGAAGGAGTACTGCTGACGGTGCTCCCTCTGCTACCGATCAAACCAGGATCTTCTCGACTGGAGGTCTTCGGGCGGATCTGAATATTTGACCCCGACTCATGACCTGGAACAGCTATCCCAGAAAGCCCTTTCGAGGTTGTAGGCCTGGATTCATGGTGTCCCGCGATTTTGGCTTTCCTCGCCTCCCGTAGATCGCGCCAAGCACCCTCCAGGGCGATGTTATCCCTAGCGGAGAACGGCTTGGGGGGTATCCTCTCACTCCCAGCTCCTTGAGTAGCAGGCGGTGGCAGAGCCGCCAGTGGATCGTCGATTGGCAACGACGAGACATAAAAGAACTGCGCCCGGACCTCTGGCGGATAGGGAAGTGTCTGGAAGCTGGCGAGATCTGGTTCCTCGTCCGATAGTAAGCAGCTTTGACCGTACGTGTGAATCGGGCCCGTCATTGCGAGGGTAGCAATTTAAGCCAGTTGAGCTCCACTCCGATGGTGCTAAACGTGGATCGTAGAGGTGGTCATTGGGGGCCGGTGTGTTTACTCCACCACGCGATCGGAAACACCCGCGCGCTTGAAGATTGCATATGGAGAGTTCAGAGTGTCAAGAATTGAGAAAAAGAGAGAAAATGTGAGCGGTGACGACCTTGGAACACCCGTGATCGATAAGCCGATGACGTCGACCCACGTGTTTATCTACATACTACCGCGGAAGTATTCATGAGTGATATTCATTGTTATTCTGGCTATCCTGCATATCCTGGAGACAGTTATCAACTCATTGCTCGAATATCCACGGCATACATTGTGATCAGAAAAGAAAAGAAAAGAAAAGAACTGGGCAGCAGAAGAACCACCCGAGAAACTGAAGGTCTGGGGACCTGTCATCCTCAGGAAAGAGGGAACAGAGTATCGGAAACGTCTGAGATCAATTCACCGGCAGTAATGATCATTACGCACAAGTCCATGAGGGCGACTATCCAGACTTGGGAATGCCACGCTCACGAAGTGCAGTTTGATTAGCGACCATTTATACTCCGCCAGGTCCGACGTTGGCGACGGCCAACTGCAAGTTCAGCAGTCCAGCCAGCGGGCTCAAATGGAGCATTCTGATCATGATGAAGAGGCAAAGATGTCTTGGGAGTACACGAATTTGGCGAAGCCTCACGACGGCGCGAATGAGGGGTCCGAGAAGTACATGAAAAGCGCGAAATCGACGAAGCCGTGGGAGTACGCGGGTTGGCATAGGCGAAGGTCGAGCCAGGAGAGCTGGGGGTGCTTGGGGTGCTGGGTGTGTCAGGAGCACCAGAGCCGTAGGATGCACGCGCGGTACGAGCAGCACGAACTTGGAGGATCTCCTCGCGAGTACGCATGGCCAGAGTCTGCATGGTCTCCATGATGGAAGGAGGGGCCTGCAGGAGTTCCAGGATGCCCTCAATGTCACGCAAGTGCTTGCGCACGGCGGCATCGGGGAGACAGAAAGAGCGCACACTCGTCTCGGTGCAGACGGCCTTCCAGTTGCTGAAGATCGTATGCAGTAGCATTGGCTGGTTGGAGGCATCGCCGCCAAACTGGACGCTCTGGCGGTTGGCGAAGATGAGCTCACGCTGGGTGGACTGGTCGAAGCAGAACTGAGGGACACCAGGGCGGTTTTTGGAGATCCATTGCTTGTTTAGGCGGCGGATTGAGAGATCAGAAACGTGTCCGTCGTAATATTCGTCCATTAGGAACCGGTTGGCGGTGGTGACAATCAAGTATTCGAGCTCAGCGTAGAGCTTGACCTGGGTCTCGATGCTCAGAGAGAGAGCTGCGGTGGTCTCGATTGCGATGCTGGGGTTGGCTGTGGTGATGCGAGCTCGCTTGGCATCTCCAGTCTGTCAAAGCATTGTTAGTTTCTAAACAATCATAATCGACGAGCCATGATCCACTTACCAGATCTTTGATGTGTGCCTTCACAGTCTGTCCCAGTCCCTTGAGGCCTGAACTGACGCGTCGCTTGCTGCCCGTCTTTGTGGTATTGGTCTGATCAAGCCAACCGTTATTTCCGAAGAGTTCCTTGTTGAAATGGCGGCGTGGCAACGCATCGCTGTCAGACTCCAGGCTAAACTCATGGCTCAGAGCGACGTTGGCGGTGTCACTTTCGGCATTGTCTTCGATGGAGGCGGCACAGTTGTGTGTATCGTCGGAGCCCTCGGGGACGTGAACTGCAGTCTGTTGCCCATTGGTGAATTGAATGGAGACGTTGGCAGTCCAGTTGAAGTCGGTGGCGGGCTCTTTCTTGAGCATGTTTTCGATGTCGTCCATGAGAGGGTCCCAGCAATTTTGGTCGGAGTAGATAGCAGACTCAGGGCTCGATGCAGGAGCGGTTCCCGCACCAGCTGCAGCACAGCTCGAGGTGGAAGAATCACCCTTGAAAGGAGATGTGGCGGACTGCTTTCGAGAGGTGGAAACCATGTCAGAGAAAGAAACTGTCGGAGAGGGAGCCCTAGAGCGCTCAAATTGGTCAACATGAGACTCCGAAGTCAAGTCGCCAGAGCCATTGCGTGAAATGGAAAGAGGGGACACCATGCAACTGTTGGTACGGTCATTCGCATAGAAGGCGTACATCTCCTCCACGGTTTCAAACTTCCAGCCACAGACAGGAGGAGTACAGGCTCGCAAGTCAAGAGATCCAGCACCGTCAAGGGCATAGTGAGACCAGTTGCGATAGCCACCACGAACAGTCGCATTCGCATTTGAGTCGCGATCCTCAAAATGGGCAGGTTCATTCGTCCAGCAATCAAGAGGATTACCGGCTGGGAGGGGAGAGACATAATTGTGGACCACACGATGAGAAAGGCTTCGCACGCCACCAAGGGCATTTGCAGTCGCATCAAATTCATTCTTCCAGCCATCAGAAGGGGTGCGTGCCCGGTAAGGGGAGACATAACCGTCAATGGCGGGATGATCGTCGTAACCAGCATAAGACACTACACGACCATGGGCGCCAGCTTCCTCAGAGGAATAGAACTGTTCACTATCGGCGCATTCCCACATCACTTCCCCAGCAACCTCAGGAACAGCTGAGCGAGAAGGGCAACATTTGGAGGACTGGCAAAAGTTCACAGAGGGGGAATTCGGAGTAGTAGGAAGATCAGAGGAGTGAGGAGAGCCAGAGACTTGGATGTCAGGAGGATCAAGCGCGTCGTCGGCACTGTGAGGAATCCAAACTGTGACTGGCAAACCACCGTTAATTTTGGCTTGCCCATAAGTGCCGTGAAGTTCACCATCCTCGGACAGATACTTCCAATAACCGTTCATATCGACCTCACGCTCGAGCAAAGGTACCACCTCTTTGGTCTCATCGTCAGTGGTTTCCTCGTCAGTGGTCTCCTCGTTGTCATTGGTTCCATCATGCGAACGATCGAGGCGAGGGAAAGTCAGAGGCAAGTTGCGCATAGAAATATGGGCACTCTGAACCACAGCCTCCAGGTCAAATATGGCAGCTGTGTGGCTGGATGGTCCGGAGGGTGTTGGGGGAGGAACGGCATAAAACTTGACGTCTTGCAACTGCTTGCAGACAATTTCAAGTTGTTCGTTGCTAGCGGCCGAGGTGATGTTGCACTCGAGCTTCTCATCGGCAGAGTTGCAGGTTTCGACTTTTTGCTTGGGTAACAGAATTGAGGCATCCTTCCCGATTGGCGTGGGGAAAGGCTTACCAAGGGAAGAACTATTCGTAGTGTTAGCTCTTGAATCATGTCAGGGCAAGGATACACACTCGTACTTGGTACCCGGAATCATGGTCTTGTTGTAAAAAGCGTCCGCGCGATCCATTTGGGGTTGGTTGGCTTTGCGCCAAGCACTCAACTCAGGGTCAACTTCTTCCTCCATGTCGCGGTATCGCTGAAAGATCTGACCGGGGGTGGGGCGACGGTCGACGTTGGAGAGGTTGCGGCTGTGCCAGCCTTTGGTGGACTTGATACCACTGACGTCGGGGTACATAGTTGCAAATACAGAAACAATTGGGGTCAAAGATTGAACAAAGCTGCGACTGCTGTTGCAAGAAAGGAAACGGCGAAGTATGCGAAAAGATGAAGAATATGAGAAAGGATGAGAGAGCAGATAGATGGAATAGAATAGTTGAGCAGCTGAAGCAGTCGAGGTTTATTGGACTCTTCGTGACAATAGCCGGACATTGCTATTGAGGATTCATTCTGAGGCTCGATTGGGGTTGTCGTACAGACCTGAGGCTATTGTGGTTGGTTGATATCGGGATGAGGATGGTGGTCAAGACCCGATGACAAGCAGCATTTGGGTTCGGTTTCTCGAGACTCTTCCCAAAATGACAATGTTTCAGTGTAAATAGGAGCAAACAATCCCAACGGCCAATGGGAGCAGGGAAAATCAAAAATGAAAATCGACAATATCTAATTTGGATAAACGGGCCAATCAGAAATGAAAGAGAACAATGACGAAGAAAGCTTGAATGCTTATTCAAGTTTCGGACAACCAATCCCCATTCCTTCCCCAGCCCCCAACCAAAACCGACGACACCTGCCAGCTCATACCCAGAACATGCACGACTTCCGGGTCCGATATTTCCATGCTATCATGCCTGAGTCCACGACCAGAACATGGCGATGTCTGATACCGCTGCTTTTACAGATGGCACTTCTTCATATGGACTGCCTAGGCGGTGATGCTACACAAGTGACCGCTCTGGGCATTACTCGTTGTACGCTCCGTATATCGCCCGACAATGTTGCTAACCTGATCCATGATATTGGAAAATGGTCGTCGCTACGCCATGGCAGACACTACAGAGCCCCTTGGATGTGATAGCCATCTCAAATGTACCTCCTTAACAGTGTAGTCACCTATCCAATGCCTCATCTGTGTTAATTGTAGTCGATATAGTTCGGCACGGAACAACCTGTATCCGATATCGAAACCGCTTAATGCCTGACAGATGAGGTGTCATACCAAGGTCCCTGTTTTGCATGCCACTGCCACTCCCAATACCGAGATTCTTGTTTCTAGAAAACAATTACCCCAAGGCCACGGACGAGGCGTTTGGATAGCCGGGCTATCCGATATGCAAACTCGCCCGCGGACTTGCGGACAAACTACATGTATTGAGTTTGGAGCAATTTCAGGAGAGGTGGATTAGGTAGTTCATTGATGTTATCTATGTATCAAGCTTATACTGTTGTCTATGCGAGGAAGTCACTACGATGAATGTACTGATCTGTCTCGGGGTGTTCGGACGGAAGGAGCCGAGCAATTTGCCAGGGATAGATCCGAGAATACACAATTTAATTGTAGAAATACGATTGATAATGAGCAATTTAGGGTCTGGGAGGAAACCTCGGGTTTTCCGCAGTGCAAGTACCAGGTTAAACTACCACGACAGGGGACCGGTGGATGAGGCGGCAAGGCCCTCTCGGCTAAAATAGACAGTGGCCAATGGATTAGTCGGAAGATGGTCATTAACTTCTCGGAGTAGTAGAAAAAGGGGAATTAGGGCCGGGAAAGAGGAAGCTCAAGTAAATCCCGGACAAGCTGCCGAGAGCCATGTCACGTGCCCCACTCCACATACCGAAGTCGTTTCCGGGTGGAGACAGACTTCCCTGCAGCGACAAGCAGGGCTCGGTGATCAACGACGGCATTATGACTGTTCGCTGAGGCAGACTGGGCTGTCTGGCGCCCCCCACATTGTTCTTGCTGTGATGACTAACCACCAGTAACCTCGATTCTCTCGCCGCTGATTGGCTACCCCAGCCCTGCAACCGGAGCTCCCCACGATTCAGCCGATTGTGAATGCCGTGGATGTTCTCCGTGACTTAATCTTACCCCAGCTTCCGCATAGTATATAGAGCCCGCCATGGCCCTGGTTTTCCCTCTTTGTTGTGACTCCTGTGAATACTGTTTACATACACATACCCTTGGAACCATCACATCTTATACATAACCACCCGATACCTGAGTTCCTTCGTCATGGTCCAAGAGACTTACGACATTGTCATTGTGGGCGCCGGCCCCGTCGGCCTGCTCCTTTCGCTGTGCATGTCAAGATGGGGTTACAAAGTCAAGCACATCGACAACCGTCCAGTGCCGACCGCCACTGGTCGCGCTGACGGCATCCAGCCGCGGTCAACCGAGATCCTGCGTAACCTTGGCCTGAAGCGCTCGATCATGGCCTACGAGCCCGCTAAGGTCTATGATGTTGCCTTCTGGGACCCCAAGGCCGACGGATCCGGTATTGGCCGCACTGGCAGCTGGCCCAGTTGCCCCCGCTTCATTGACACCCGCTATCCTTTCACCACCCTCGTTCACCAGGGTAAGATCGAGCGTGTCTTCCTGGATGAAATTGAGAAGGCTGGCACAAAGGTCGAGCGCCCATGGACCATTGTTGGTTTCAAGAACGATGGCGCCAACGCCGACTACCCTGTTGAGGTCAACTTGAAGTGCTTGGATAGCAACGTGATTGAGAATGTCCGCTCCAAGTACCTCTTCAGTGGAGAGGGCGCCCGAAGCTTCGTCCGTGAGCAGCTCGATATCAAGATCCACCACAAGGACCCCATTGCTTACGTCTGGGGTGTCATGGACGGTGTCGTGCGCACTAACTTCCCTGATATCGAGGTAAGCAACTGCAACTGCTCGGTTTCATGGAATTGACTAACAAATCTATCTACAGACCAAGTGCACTATCCACTCCGATGCCGGTTCTATCATGGTTATTCCCCGCGAGGACAACATGGTCCGCCTCTACGTTCAGATCGCCTCCTCCACCGACGCTGACTGGAACCCCCGCAAGACTGCTACCGCCGAGGAGGTCCAGCAGACTGCCAAGAACATCCTCAAACCATACTGGATCGAGTGGGATCGCGTTGAGTGGTACTCGGTCTACCCCATCGGACAGGGTATTGCTGAGAAGTACACCCTGGACGAGCGTGTCTTCATGGGTGGTGATGCTTGCCACACTCACAGCCCCAAGGCTGGTCAGGGTATGAACACTGCTTTCCACGACGCACTTAACATGGCCTGGAAGCTCCACGCGGTGGAGTCTGGCTTTGCCAACCGCTCCATCCTGAGCACCTACGAGAGCGAGCGCAAGGATATCGCCGAGACCCTGCTGAACTTCGACGCCAAGTACGCCGCCCTGTTCTCCAAGCGCCGCCCCAATGCCGGCGAGGTTGGTGAGGCCAGCCACACCAAGATCGGCGGTGACGCCGAGGAGGATGAATTCGTCAAAACCTTCAAGTCCTCTTGCGAATTCACCAGTGGATACGGAGTTGCTTACCAGCCCAACATCTTCACTTGGTCCCCTAGCCACCCCGCCAAGTCCGCTCTGTTCAACATCCCCGGTGTTCACCTGACTCCTGGTCGTGCCTTCACCCCGACCACCGTCACCCGTCTCGCAGACTCCAACTTCGTTGAGCTTGAGCAGGAAGTCCCCACTAATGGCTCATTCCGCATCTTCGTCTTCGCGGGCAACCAGGCCAAGAGTAAGAAGGCCATTGCCGACTTTGCCGCCAATCTGGAGAAGGAGCGCTCATTCCTCTCGGCTTACCGCCGATCCGACATCGCCAATGTCTCATTCTTCGAGCGTCACAATCCCCACTCCAAGCTCTTCACTCTCTCCGTCATCTATGCCGGCTCCAAGAACACTGTCGACGTCGAGTCCATCCCCCAGATTCTGCGCGACTACCACCACCACCTGTACGCGGACGACATCCCCGATGTCCGCGTCCCCCAGGCCACCTTCGCTGCTCACGAGAAGCTCGGCTTCAACCCTGAGCAGGGTGGTGTCGTTGTAACCCGTCCTGACAGCCACGTTGCCTGCACTGTCCAGCTGGTTGAGGGCAGCGGCACTGTCGATGCTCTTAACGAGTTCTTCGGCACCTTCGCTACCAAGCCTCTGGGTCAGGACTCGCAGCAGAGCCGTCTGTAAGAATCTTGTTTCACGTATATGAGTTTGTTTATTTTTCATGATGTATATAGCTTTGTTTCGTTCATTGGGAGCGACAGCTCCAGCATGACTGGCGTTTATTTTCAAATTTCAGATATGAATAGATTTTCTCTTCAATATGCATCCACCTTCTCAAGATTAAATCTTTTGTATGTTCGTAGCTACTGAAGCCAGTCCAACTTCGTCGAAGTCACATGCCAAGCCTCGATCTCAAGACCTTTCCAGCTCCGCCCCGCATCTGCAGACGATCTTCACAAACACAACCCCAACACCCAACTCCCTTTGTCACATTCAAAGATGTTGTCTCTAACTCTGGAAGCCCAGCTAGAGGGGTAAGTCCCAATGCTCTCCATCTGCAACCCCCAATCCCAATCCCAATCCACCAAATCTCTGGTACATCGAACCTCCCCGCACCGCATTCCAACACGAAGAACCTCGCGCGGGCAGAGCCCTTCGCCAATTGTATCAGAAACTCCTTCCGCTAATATGAAAATCCAGCGTGACTGCCCTCCAGCCCACCGACACAGAGGAAAACCCTTACTACTACACCTTCCGCGTGTCATGCACTTCTTGCCATGAGACGCACCCGAACTGGGTTTCTTTCAATCGTTTTGTATGTGCGCGCTCTGAGGTGGAGATGTTTCTCCTCCGAGCTCGCTAGGATAACTTATTGACTGTTCTTCTTTTGTTACACAGGAAACGCATGAGATCCCTGGTAGTCGGGGCGAGGCTAATTTTGTGTGGAAGTGTCGTCTCTGCACTGTAAGTCTCCTTTTTCTTTTTCTTTTTCTTTTTTTACCTTCATATTTTGGTACTTGAATTGTGGTTTTGCTTGTGGTTGTTCCGTTTGGAGCCAGGGTCTAGTGGATATCATGCTTCATGCCTTGGGCCATATCTTCTCGATGTGTTCCCTCCTTTGGCTATCTTTCTTGCCCTTTTTGTGTCCTTCGCCTGTTATTCCCTGCACACCTCGTCCTGTTTTCCCTGCTCCCACCGCTAACACCAACAACACAGAAAACCCATTCGGCATCCATTCTCAACGCACCCAAGGCCTACGAAGCCCAGGAGAAGCGTAACTCCCAGAAGATCATCGAGATGGACTGCCGTGGCCTCGAATTTGTCGAGTTCAAGCCTGACGTGAGTGACTACAAACGAGAGATCTCATGTCATATACTGACTTCTCCACCCAGGGCGACTGGGAAGCCAAGGCTGTCGAGTCTACCACTACCTTCTCAGGTATTGACCTTCTCGAAGGCGAGTGGTATGACTATGACGAGAAAAAGGGCGAGGAGGTTAGCATCAAGGAGCTGACCTGGAAGGTTAGCCGCTAGGAAGATTGCAACGATGCAAGGTCGGCTTGAGTGTGGCCGAGGTTTGCTTAGCAACCTATGACCTTCATAAGAATGTTTCTTTTGTATTATTAATGTGCCTGGGGATGATTTCAAGCAGTGGTGTTGGGGTGATGATGCAAAAGGAAGATGACATGTCCGTAGTGGCAGAACGAGCCCAGAGATGGCCATTATTTTTTCTTACGTAGCTTGAGTAGCTTTCAATCTTTCAAACCAAGCATGAACTGTAGCATTTCAGCTCTCTATAACAATTTTCTTAACCAAAGAACAAGTTCACTGCCATTTCTACAAAGAAGCTAAAAGCGGTGTGGCACAGCGACCTCTGATTGGCCTACAATCACCGCCCAACCAGCTCACATTTTCGCGATGTCGCCGACTCCGATGTTCTCGCAGCCACGCGACCAGCACATCCAAACGGCGTGAAAGATCCTATCGCCGACTTCTTTCCCTTCACCTCTCTCCCGAAAACCGTACCGCACCACCTAGCCACTCATCACCGAGTGCACCACCCCAGTCACAATGAGCGTACGTCTCCCTTCGCCCTGAAACCCCAGTATCAAGCTTAAAAGATACAACTCACCTTCATGCCACTCTCACATCTGATCACCAGTGATTCAATTGCTAACCAGGCTCTATAGTTCCAACCACTCAACCCCCGCCCGTTCCTACAGGCTCAGTATGCGACCCTATCCAAACCCGGCCCCCAACCCGCATCATAATCCCACTACATCCTTCTGCAAACTATTGTCGCAACCATCGAGAAAAAGTACTAATAATATCTTCTCTATAGCGTCGGCACTGAAGTCCTCATCCGCCTCAAGTGGGGCCAGACGGAATACAAGGGCAAGCTCGAGAGCATCGATTCATACATGAACGTCTTGCTGCGCGATACGGAAGAATTTATCGATGGGAAGCCTACCGGTTCGCTGGGTCTTGTTTTGATCAGGTATGCCGTACCCGTTGATACCTCATATCTTGTGTCCCATTGGGATCGGGATCGGGATCACTTTTGTTTGGATTTGATTGGAATCGCTAACTCTTCTTTCCATTTAGATGCAACAACATCCTCTGGATGGGCTCCGCGGATAGTGTCGAGATGACGGATCTCGAGTTAAAATAATTCTTGTCGCATATGTTTCGGCGGGAGGGGGATGGATGCAATGCAATACAATTCAATTCACGCGTTGCATGAGTGAGGAGTGAAGTCTGAAGGTGTGAGGTGTGACGAAACTGCTGGATACCCGTGTCATGGCCGTCGGGAATGAGACCGACATCTATTCCATATTCATTTTCGTGCTTGTCGGCCTTAGACCTGTACATCCGCCGGGTTGGATATCGAATCGTTAAGATCACTCCCCTCGGGATGCTCAGGTTACATGTACATGTGCCCGGCGATCGGAGGGAGGAATTCTATTCTTCTTGCGTCAGGTATCCACTGCACGACCGGGGACCAGAGTTCATTGCTGCACACACAGACACAGATAGAGATGGAGATATGGCGACGATGTCCACTTTTGGACTGGGTGTGCTAGGGCTCACTGTTTTCAATTATCACGAGGCGTTTTTTCTTGTTGGCTTTTCGAAGTGGTTTTTGTGCATGGTCCCAATTGGCCAAAATCGAATCAATTACTCTTTATTCTGCATGTTGCACAGGACACTTGGTATGGATGGCCTGTGTTGCTCTTCTTCTTTCTCTTTCACTTCCACTTCCACTTCGAGTACGTACCTATATCCTCGTGTAGATAGATTGAGCATCCATTTCACACTGTCGCTTCTGGCATCTTGACCGTAATCCGTTTCGCTCTGCGCCTATGTAATCCAACTACCCACCACGCTAACATCCACCACGAAACCCGGGTATACAATTCTCGTATATCCTACTCGATACGGTGTACAGAACAGCGACGATCACCCAGGTTGAACCCACATAGCCAGAGACAGAGGGAGTCGGTGAGAACAACTTGGCCGATTATCGAACAAACCCAATCGCACTACCCGAACCTGTCGCGTATGCGTGTACACCTGCGCAATGAACAGAGGCGACAACGTGATCGATGTGGCGACCAGCCCAATACGGAAGTATGAGACAGCGACCGCATCGATAACAGCTGTATACCGTCGAATTGGACCCCCGGTTTCATCTTTCACATCTCCACCGCCACTGGCCTTTCATTCTGGGTGGGGATAGATGGAGGAGATGGCTTGGTGAGGCCCACTTGGTTGTTGGGCACGGAGTGTCTGTTATAGTACAGTACGTAGCTGGGGCGAACGGCACTACGTGGATTGTTTCGTGTTTATTGGGGGCTCAGGTGGCTTATAGCTCATAGCTCATAGCTCATATGGTACAAGTCACAGTACATGTACATGTAGGTGAGTGGCTTGTGTGTGGCGGATTTCTTTTTATAGAAAGGAAGCCGATCATGAGTGCTTACGAACTCGTTGAGATCCCCAGAGAGAGGGTGGTGTCTGCACTATACATGAGTGTGCCTCCGACGTCATGGCGCGAATGATTACTGCAGGCATCCACTGTCAGAATTACTGTGAACTACCGTGAGAACTACTGTAGGGGTAAACGCTAAGCCCCGTTTACTATAGCCTGAGGGAATTTCACTGTGATCATCGGAGGGGTAGCGTGCACAGAAGAGAAAAAGTATACAGTAGGCCGATCAGATTGGGGGCACACACACACAGCTCAGGCCTCTCCAAGGGGTTCTTCACTCGGGCCCTAACAGTCAATGGTCAGCGTTGGGAGGGTTTGGTGGAGCAGCTAATGGGGCGATGATCAGCATTTGGTGGCGTCCAAAGCATTGCCTCGGGTACGTAGTCTGTGGAGATGACCCTACACGCATGTGCAGAGTGCAGAATGGGGTCTATTTTGATTCTGTGGTATAACTGTGGTGCTCCAGGTACTACAACCCACGTACTACATAGTGTGATACTCTACAATATCGAATCAAGCTGATTCGGGTCCGATCTTCAGTCTACGGATCTTATACCTAGCCTATCGAATCATCTTTTCTTCTCTCCCCTGATCTTCACTCGGGCTCCACTACAGGGATCGAGAGTGGTTAGTTGCATATCTCACGCCGTTCACTGGAAGTCATTTCCAGATCCCTACAGTATTACCTGTGACCTTTTAAAAAAAGTCTCCTCCCCCTTCTATCTTATTTCCTCATATCCTCTCGCTTCTACACTTTATATACCCCGCAACTCTGCAGCAAGCCCAAACCTGCAACGCTCTTTGTCTCATCTGGCGCTCGCATCCTGCATAGACCCATACACCCTCGTGACCCCTCCGTCTCTATATACTTCACCTCCACCTCCACCACTTGCCCTAAAATTAGACGGTGTTCGCGTATTATTCACATCACATCAACATGCGCGACACACCCTCCAAATTCATCGAGATCCTCGATCCAAAGGACACATCCCGCATGTCTGACTCAGACGTCCGCCTAGAAGATGTCCTCGCCGATCACGAAGCAATAAGCAGTCGGCCCCGCTCTTCAACACAATCTTCCACAAAGCCCATGGACAAATCCATGTCGCGTTGCAACTCTACCTCTCCCACCCCACGCTGGAAGCGTTTGAGCAATATCCTTGTGCAGCCTCGTCGCAACCCTTAGCTACACCGCCTCTTACCTATACAGAGCTATCTCCGTGGTGGAGGAGCTCTGTTCTGCCATGTGCTACGAAATTGAAGTTACGGATATATTCACGACTTGACTGCGCTGTGCGATTTGTGTATCGGATTCGGTTCTGGAAACCGAACTATACAGTCTAGAAAGGAGTGCGGTGTCAGACTGTTCGCAAACGACATAACGAAATAAATGAAATGAAAGTGAAAGTGAAAGTGGGCGATACGTGAAGAGTTTGGCCCAGGGCTGTTTTTGGTCCAATTGATAAGTTTGGGGACAAAACCCCACTTTGGCATTTTTAGCTTGGGAATGGGTTGGATTGGATTTGAGTTGCATATGAGTATCGCGTTGATGTCCAGCGGACATCGAGAAAATGAAATCGCCTCACCAAAAAAAGAAGCTGAAATGAAGGGAGTCCGCGACTTTGGGGAATGGTGTTCATTATTCACTTCTTGTTGATACTTTACACATCCTTTTCTTTTGGCTTCTACCTCTTGCTTATTTTCCTTTTGCTGTTTCGCTGCTCCGCTGCTCCTCAGTAGCCTGAGCATATTTACTTTTGATACCCAATACTCAAAGCAGCGAACTACACTACATTCTCCGTGTTCCACATAACCACCTATCTATTATTTCCTCATCTCCGTACCTGACAAATACCAAATCAAACGGACCCCATAGACAATCCTCACAACCCTCTCACACCCCTGTCCAGTCAGGATATCCCGAATTAGCCGTGAACACTCCCATTTGCCCAACTCCCAATCCTTGTAACATAACATGTGCATGTAAGTAACAGATCTAACGTGTGGACCCTGGCGATGAGGGGTTATCTCGGAGTGGACCACTTGTACTACAACTACAACCCCTCGGTTAATTTCGATCCAATAGAAATGATTTGGCTAAAGAAGGTTCAGGCGTTGGGGTAGGGTCAAGGTGAATGTCGGTGAAGCTAGGATCTATATTGATGTTAAGTCTGTCTCAACAGAGACAGACCTGACACAGCAGTTCTGGTACTAAGTGTTATTATTCGCTTGGTGTCTCCGTCCCTGCGCCGGACCATTCCGAACTTCGGGCTTGGACCGGGGACTGGGCGAGGGTTGATGAGAATTTTGTACGAAGTGGTAGGTACCTTTGCATCTAGATCTTGATGGATTCGCGTTGTGGAGGGAGCTGTGTGGTGTTTGATAAAGGCATTGTTGTGCAAGGTTCGGGATGGAGGTGCTTTTTTTGGTGGTTTGCTTTGTACTTCACTTTTTATATATGGCGACGAGAAAGTCTACAACTAAGCCCTAGCTAACTCATTTGCTAGCCTCGATAAGAAAGGCGGCGCTAGCGTCGGTGTCCTTCTACTTGGTAGTTTCATTCCTTATATTTTAGTTCTTTGCACGTACATAATCTAGAGCCCTAGACTCTCGTCCTATGCACATATGAATAGACTGTCAAGTAACGGTAAGTCTGTAATTGTCCTCCAATTGGGGTGGATTAAGCGATCACCTTCAGTTCCGAGGTGCCTAGCAATGGAACCGTACCTTTTTAGAAACCACTTGAAGAATGGGTAGTGGCAGAATCGTTCTACCTCCTACACCGAGCCTCTTGGAAGTGTGTATGTTTAAATGTAGACTTCTACTCTCTAAATGTATGCTACCAAAACTGGCATGCAAGGCACTGCTTTATTCGCGGGATTTTGATTCAAAGTAGAGTAACCGTACTAGAAATGAGTGTAGGATACGCCGTTCAGTGATGTTTACTTCGGATATCCAAATCTCTTATCACTGCCCCACCACAACTTCCCCCGACAACATCAACTCCATCGCGCACCCTTAGACAACAACCCGCTCCCATCGGAAAGTACCTCCAATACCCCGAGCGCAGTCGCATCCACATCCCTCCTCGCCAAATCTACTACCGTGAGCAGCGACCCAAACCCACGCCTCAAACCCGTCGCGTCTCCCCGTGGCATAAGTTTGCCGACAATACCCAAAGACGGCACCAGTCGCGCCTATCTCGTTTGGCCTGTGACAAATACTCCAATTACACTTCTATTCTCATATTTTCGAAGATATGGCCTGGGTCCAGTCAACACCAGGCTCAGGTGGACGCGCCGCATCCCCGACTGTTTTCGAGCAGCAGCGGGAGGAATTAGTCCGGGACATTGCAGTGGTAGGTTGGACCTTTTGCTTTTGCTCTTGGCCCAACAGCTGGTGGTTTCAGTGGTGCTAAGTTATATGTTTCAGGGTATGGAGCAGGTTCTTCAAAATATCAACCGTCTGAATCGGAATCTGGAGAGCGTTATCGCGGTGAGTACCAGGACCGATTGCACGTTGCTCGGAGAAGATCTCCTGCTGATAGATTTATTACTAGGTTGGGAATGAATTCGGGTCTGTGGAAGCTCTATGGTCTCAATTTGAGAACTTTATGGGACGGCCGGAAGAGGAGGGTGAAGAGGGCAGCAATGGCAATGGGAATAGCCATGGGAAGCGGAAAGTGAGTGGGGAGAGCGATGTACCCATCAAGTCAGAGATTAAACAGGAGCCTGAGGAGGGTGAGTCGACTGTCATGCAGTGATTGTTTACATTTAGTCTGCATAGGCTTCGGCGTCGGGCTGTTTTGTTTTACCTTTTAGATACCACGCAGCACTCAAATTTCCTTTTTACAAGACAATATACGAAACACAAGCTAGATCTACGATCTCTACTACTCAGGAAGGGATTAAACATAAGTCAAATGGATTGTTTCGGTAACACATAGGTCTCGCTTCGCCAACAGAACAGATCAGATAACATAAACAGAACACCAGTCCCATGCATGCCAAAAAAGAAAGCGGCAAAGACCCGAGTCATGAGAGACATCAATTGGAAAAAGTGGACACGGGTCATAAAAAAGGGCCAAACATAAGACAAACAGGGAAACAATGGAATAAAGGAAACAGCCTCCAGCAAAAAGAAACAGTCGAGATCATTGTAGGGACCGCACAGCGTATCCCCACGGACAAGGGGTGTGAAAATCATGTCTAGCTTTGTCCAGCTTACCACATGTCAGATGTAGAGATGCTCAGGCAAGCAAGTCGACGAAGCAACCAGGCTTGTGGTCCGGCCAGGGGAGAAGAGAAGGATAAGAGGGTGGTTGAGAATGGAAGTGGAGGGACAAGCCGTGTTCCTGGAGAGTCAATCTACAGGATCTTGCAAGTGCGCTTCTTGATTTTCTTGCCGGGGCGTTGACCTCCTCCGGAGGGTATGGCACTGCTGCGATCTTTGCGGCCGATGCGGCCTGGTTGCTGTGTCGAGAAGCCTTGTTCTTCGATTGAGATGACCGAGTCGACGGCCTTGGAGAAAACCTCATCCACACCGCGCATCTCCTTACTACTGCATTCGGCGTAGGTTGCACCCATCCGCTGGGCCACGTTCTGACCTTGCTCTGGCGTAATTGGTGTCAAGCCTTGGGTCTTTAGAAGTTCAATGCAGGTTCTCTTGGTGCGCAGATCGGACTTCAGGCCGACAAGGATTATTGGGGTTGTGGGACAGAAATGCAGAACCTCGGGGTACCACTACACACAGGTTAGATAAATTGGGAGAAAGGGATTGCAGTTAGCGACTCACCTTATCAACAACGTTCTCCAATGAAGCGGGGCAATCAATAGCAAAGCACACAAACAGAAGATCTGTCTCGGGATACGACAGTGGGCGCAAACGGTCATATTCCTCCTGGCCAGCAGTATCCCAGAGTGCTAATTCGACAGTCTTCCCTGAAGCCCGATGTGTGGTCTGTGTAATGTAGTTCTCGAACACCGTGGGAACATATTTCTGCACCATCGTCAATATCAGGGATGCATAATATATGTTGTTGTGGACTTACCTCTGGGAAGTAACCTTGCGAATAGCTTATCAGCAGACAGGTCTTTCCACAGCCACCATCACCAACCACTACAAACTTTTTGGAGAAAGAGGGCGGCTGGGTGATATTTGTTGCTTCGGACATCCGTCCGCTGGAGAAACTGGTGCTTGTGCTGGCAGTGCCGTGGCTCACTCGCACGCTGTCGCTGCGCGCTCTGCTGTGACGCGGTGTCAAGGATGGAGGAGGGGTGGCAAGAGAGCGGCGGCGCGAAGCAGCATAGTATTGGTCCTCGTACATAGCACTCATGGTGGAGAGGTGGATACGTGGAATGTGGTCCCTCGTTTGCAGGTGAAGTATTGACGTGTTTGACGTGTGGGAATGTTGACAGGTGACAGTTGACAAGTTTTCCGGGAGATATGTTGAGGGGGTTCAGGTTGTTGAGAAGGGAGAATACGACAGATCTAAAAGATCTCGATGAGGATCGTCGATAGAGGGTCTGTCAGGGCGAGACCCGTGTTTACACTGAAGCTGCCATGGCAACGGCCGTGTCGTGATGACGCCACGGCTCCGCTTCCCATGAAAGTCTCGATATCTTGTCACTTTGAAGCACGGCTACTCCGATCCTGTTTCTTTTCTTGGAGAGGATCCGCCTCAAGCCTCCTCATTTCCCCACCGTTCAGCTCGCCAGAACCGGATCGGCCTATATACAGATTACCGGATTGGGGTGTCATGTGATTGTATCTCACTTCCAAGGTTACTTGGTTAAGTTATAACTTAGATTAGTTCTATAGGCAACAAGATTTTTTCAAATTAACTTAACCATAGGAAAACAGGTTCTAGCCGGATTTCATGTAGAGATATGTATAAGCGAAGGAGGCTCTACCTCATGCATGTGCTAATCCTGCGAGTGATCTCCCTCGTATCGTGCCCACAATCCGACTAGAGTATCCCACAGTGGACTCACGGATCTGAAAAAGAAACTCAGTTGCTATGATGTGTCTTGTCAAGCAATGGTCTACCTAGGTACACAGGTTACCATGATAACGCGCTTTGCCTCTAATGTGTTGTCCAACTGCGTGTACTTCTATGTTTAAGTTAGATGTCTACTTTCTACATGTGAATCTTACATAAAAGATGACAAAGTTGAGCTCAGCCGAGCCTTGCGGGGAGGGGCTGAGTATTAGTGTTAGTATCGCGGCAATGGTATTCGTCAATAGCATTCACGCCAAATTAGAGGCCGAAAATATATTGAAACAATATATAACAGAGATTGCGTACGACCTTGGGAGGGCACACATGAAGTGTGTAGCAAGTAAGAGAATACACGCAGGACCAAAGCCTCATATATGACCATAAATGACCATAATGTCATTGAAGTAAAGAAGTTAATCAACCTCGGCGATTTGCGGTGACTAAGCCACACACACATGGCCAGGGGAGGATGATCTCAACTTCCGAGTCCACCTCGAATTCCATTGCTTCAATCCAACTTCTATTCACTCCTTATGCTCCGGCCCCTTTAAACCTCATTTCAACCCTATCGGCAGGTAGCTGTCTGTCGATCTATGGAATCCGCCCGATAGATAACACAAAATGGGCCACAAGTCGGAGTCGGACCAGCCTGATGCTGGACTAAAGAGTCTCAACCATTGTATGCGACCCTGTCGACTGCACATTCTTTACCTCCCATCTGAAATGGCCGCTGACCCCGCGCGTTCACGACATAGACTCAAACCGTTTACCCCTCTGGCGGTATTGGCCGCGACAGCAACTCATCCCACTGATTCGATATGAGACTCCATACCTTGCCTGGGTGCAGGAGAAAGTCCGCACCCCGACGCTCGATTCATACTTCGCGTTCACGGCGAACCTCGGTACCCACACGTTCTTCATGGTCTTCCTGCCCTTCCTGTTCTGGTGCGGGTCTCCGAGCATGGGTAGAGGGTATGTGTTTTCGTCGGAATCGCATAACCAAATGCAAGCCGGAGACTGACTTGTGCTATTTCTAGGCTCGTACACATATTAGCATCTGGTGTCTTTTGGAGTGGCTTTATTAAAGACTTGCTATGTCTTCCCCGGCCTCTATCTCCCCCACTGCAGCGCATCACGATGTCCGGCTCTGCAGCCCTCGAATACGGATTCCCCTCGACACATTCTACAAACGCTGTTTCGGTGGCTGTCTATGCCTTGGGATTACTTGGATCGCCTGAATCGACTCTCAGTGCGCAAGCCACACTCCTTCTCCAATGCGTCACCTATATGTACGTCGTGTCGATCGTTCTGGGCCGTCTGTACTGCGGTATGCATGGGATGCTGGACTGTACTGTTGGGTGTGCTTTGGGCGCGGGCATTGGTCTCATCCAGTTCCACTACGGACCAGCCTTTGAAGAATTTATTGTGTCCGCTTCGTTGAAGGATATCTCCCTGCTCGCGCTTTTGATCATATCTCTGGTCCGCGTCCACCCTGAGCCGGCCGATGATTGTCCCTGCTTTGACGACAGTGTTGCGTTTGCGGGAGTCATGCTTGGCGTGGACGTATCCTCGTGGCATTTTGCCGATATTTGGGATGGATATCCTGCTGGGTCGATCCCATATGACCTGAACACCGTGGGATGGATCAAAACTGTTATTCGTCTGGTTGTGGGTGTACTGTGCGTGTTTGCCTGGAGGACTGTGATGAAGCCCGCTCTGCTTCGCATTTTACCGCCCATCTTCCGGACCCTGGAGAAACTTGGACTCCTTCTCCCTCGACGTTTCTTCACGACTGCTTCGTAAGTTCACCTTTGTTTGAAGTGAAGGGATTCTAACAATTGCAGGAAATACACCACTGTTCCATCTAATCTTAAGGACCGCGATGTCCTCCCTAATTTCTCCGACATTCCATCTATCATCACTACCATGCGTCATCCTCGCCGCAGAGCCATCTCTGTCGGCCCTCAGTCAGAGGCTGATGCGTACGAGACCCTGGCATACAGGGAAAAACGTCGACGTGAGAGCCAATCTGGAAATCGTGCTTCTCCAGCTGCAGAGGGAGAGACAAAGTCAAACGGGGCGCCAACTATGTCAAGAAAGCCGACAACCCTGGGCGATTACGAAGGCATGATGGGAAGAGGCAGTCCCCATTCGTCTGCCGTCGACGTCAGCCCCGAGACAACACCTTTCCCCTCGGCGGACTTTTCGATAGAAACAGAACTGGAGGCCGAGCAACGGGATGAAAAAGAGGTATTCTCCCAGATTAAGAAACCCCGTGTCCGTTACGATGTGGAGGTCGTGACCAAGCTGGTTGTATATGCGGGTATGTTCCAACACCAAGACTTCTCATACGGCAATTGCTGACGATTGCTTCTAGGTATTCCTTGGATTGTTATCGAGGTCGCACCCCTACTATTTGACCTAATCGGACTCGGAGTTCCGCATGTTGTATGAATGTATCATTATTAACCGGGTCATTACTACCTTGAATACCCTCCTCCTCACCTCCGACGGCTTCCAAGACTGCTTCCAGTTCAGCGGGCTGTGCTGGAAGGCGTCACCTCATACGTACATTACCTGTCCATGTATATAAGCATCGCAAGTGGTATTCATAGCATATGTTTGTTGCATAGGACCTTTATAAGTTCCCCACACTCCGGTCGCACTGGGCGTCGCCATAATGAATTCCTTCTAGAGAATTGCTTCATAGCAAGGCCATCTAGGTAAAAGCGACGAATGCACATAGTAGAAGAGCACATGCTTGCAGTCCTTGGAGCTGGTTTCGACGTCTTGCGGGATTAAAGCCAACCGAACAATGCGCTTCTTCTATAAATAGTAAATTCCACCGGTCTCTTCAATAGATACTCAAAAAACAGAAGAAAATAGGGAGAACGGAGCAAAGAAACAAAGTGTAGACTGGAGACCTCGGGAAATGTTTCATTGGGCTGAGTCAGCAGAATGATGAAAGGGAACCGCGTCTGCTCATATTGTTCTCATGAACTTCTGGAGTGTCTGTCTTCGACTCTGGCTTCTCAGACCATCCCTCCAGTCATGCCCAATGATGGACGGTGACCTTTCATTTTTCCATCTTTCATTCTCTCCTCGCTCAACCTCCAACATTCATTGAATCGCCACCCTCGCAATCTGGAAGCGCGTCATCGGACGATAGGTTACTTCGCTTTCGCTCAGCTGAGATATCTCCGGCTCACATCAACATGGGGCATTGCTGGGCTCGACTCAAGTCGCGCCTTTCCTATATCACACCCACGAAGCCCGCGCCTGATACTCCACCGTCTTTCGGAGCTCCCAAAAAGCGCACGATTGGCGATAACGATGGTGAGGAGCTCAGGATGCATCCAAGATGCGCATGCAGATACTTACCTACTGTACACATGTAGATTACAGCAGCCTGCCTATCCCGGGAGCTTTCCCAGCGACCCCTCCCGAGTCACCGACACTTGCGCCAATCGATCCACATGGCGAGACTATTGAGGACAAGGGCATTGCGCCTGGGGGATTGGAGTCGATGGACATAGACTCTCTCGGATCACCATCACTTCCTACAGAGCTTGGTTCACACCTCCATCCTCGAGCATCTAAATATTACCCACCCACCCCTCCACCCTCGCGAGCGGCGCCATCGCCCCGCCCACAGAAGATCCCAAAGCGCACTGCAGAAGATCGCGTTCTCATAGACGATCCATGGGAACAACAAACGAAAGATTTCGAAAAATTAGATCTGGGGAGACCTGTCTCAGCTGTACAACTATTCTCCCTCACGAGAAAGGACATACCCGCCAACCGCGTTGCATCAGTATACGCCGCCGAATGGGAAAAACGCGAGAAGGAAAGGCAGGCCGGGCTACGGGATTCTCGGCGACCAACAAGAGTTGTCCCGCGTGGTCCTCCAGTGCGAGACCTTTCATGGGATTGGCTCGACAAATTACAACGTGCGTTACAAAGTGCACAGGGCCAGGCTGTCGCAAGGTCTTTAGCCGGGGATGATCTCTACCAAAGGGACATTGTCACATGCATTCGACCACTGGCTTGGCTGAATGATGAAATTATCAATGCTTACCTTCCGTTACTTGTTCATTATCTTCGTCAATCCACCGGGAATCTCAAGCCGAACGAAAAGCCACGCTTCCACGCCTTCAACACGTTTTTTTATTCCACCCTTCGCGACAAAGGTTACCAGGGCGTGCGACGATGGGCAAACCGGGCCAAGATTGGTGGAGAAGGATTGCTCAATGTTGACACTGTCTTCATCCCAGTGCACGAGTCGAGTCACTGGACTCTGATGGTTATTCGGCCAGCAGATCGCACGATAGAATATTTCGATTCTCTAGGATCTCGTGGTGCTCGGCAGGTGAAGAGGATCAAGGAATGGCTTGCAGGCGAGCTCGGCTCTAAATACAAAGAGGACGAATGGACTACCCTTCCATCGGTCTCCTCCCAACAAGACAATGGGAGTGACTGTGGTGTATTTCTCCTAACAAACGCCAAGGCGATCTCTATTGGTGTTGAGCCAACTGCCTTCGGAGCAGGCCATACTCAGCTTCTTCGCAGGAAGATTGTCGCTGAGCTCATGAATGGAGGGCTTCATGGCGACTTCACTCCACTGGATAAAGCTACAGGTTCACTACTGCTTTGATCACCGAATCTCGACATATACGTAACCACCAATACCAGCCCTATCGGTCTCGTGAATTGGCATTGGAACATGGGTTTTGGCTCTGTCCTTGACCGATTCTGCACACCTGCAATCCATCCTCCTCACCTCCCTCAAATCACATACCTCGTCCATCATCTTTCAAGGCGTTCTCGGCAGCGATTTACAACACCTGATTTCGGCGCACAAGGCGAACACAATACAACAAGACCGAGAAAGCACCCTGCTTTTCTTTTGGAGTTGTTTCCATTGAATGTCCGGAATGAATATGAAATGATACCCCTGTCACTACGGCATTGACTTCGTTGACACAGAGAACGAAGCCAGTGCTGCTTTTTTGATTTTCCCAGCTTGTTTTCTGCATTGGTTCGTGGCGTTTTCCTGTCTTTTTGGCTGTATCAAATCTATCTTATCGCTCTCCCAGAGCTATGTACTTTAATGCAATGCACTGGACCTGCAATACCTGCAAATCCGTTTCCATGTGAATTCTATACTCAAATAGTATAGTAATATATCCAGTACCACCTACTTAAACTGTACACATCATCATCTTTAAACAAACATCCAAGGCTTACACCACAGCTCCTCGTTGCCCCTAACCCAAATCTCCCTCAAACCCCTTAAGAGCATAACTAACATTTCCAGCCCTCTAAACCACCCTTAAATTGCCCAAAAATCTCCGGAATAGCAACCCTCCGCTTCAAAAGCTTGGCTTCAGCACCAATAACAAAAGCCAGCCACACAAGTGCCTTGTAAAAAGCATAATGCGGACTAATCGCATTAAGATGCAATATCGTCGCGTCAAGCTCCATCAAGTCCACCATCACTCGAACCGACCTCTCACTCCGATCCAATCCATCCAATTGTAACCTGCGATATATAAATCGAGACAGCGTCTTGGTATGCACTAGCGAGATGGTAGCGAGGCTAGCTAGCCCTTGTATATCGAACGTTTAATGTTCAAGTCAAGCGATACAACCACTGGCTGGTCAGTGCCACTCACTCAGTGCGTGTTATAATGCTAGTCAAATTGGATACACGAATATCTCTATTTGTATGCTTCTCAGACCGGCGTCTTTGGGAATTGCCAAAGCAATTGCTTTGGCTGGATGGTTATTCCCAATGGCCATCTTGGTAAGTTATATCAGAATGCTCGTCTTTGTGGAGGATGGCTATGAAGTTCAAAAGTGTGCATGATCCTGGAGAAACAAATACCATACATGAGTCCCATGTAAATTAGGCAAGTGTGTTTATGGGGCGCATGCCCTATAATCAAGGCATTCTGCTCCTAGGGCACACGTTGAGCAGATTTTACGGGGCTAAGTAATTTGGCGCAGGGCGTCGATCAACTCGTTTTTATTCTGAATAATTTGTTCTGCCGCGTCCACAAGCGTCATATTGCATTGCATATTCCGTCCCAACTCGCTCAAGTGCCCGTCCTGGGATAGATCTACCCAACACCGATGAAATAATTGACCGAACTAAACACAACTGGCAAAGCCAGGGCAAGAGGGTTGGCACCCATCGGGTGGCTGTAGGCACGGCCACTAAATCCCTCGGCCGATCAAGCGGGCCGGAGCACGAAAAACCGGGAGGGTTGATAGATATCGCGTGTCTCGGACCGTGCTCGGGCTACATTGATTTCTCGGTGAGTTATATTCGGTATGTACGGGAATGCACAGCGAATTAAATTGGTCTCGGTGTTTCGTCGCGGAAACTTATAGCATATGATTGGTTGATACAAGTTAACTCTAAAAAGGTGGTGGGGTTTATGGTATACTCTTAACGGGCAGTGGCGCCCGATGACGCAACGCGGGTTATTCATACTAGGGACCAACGTTATGATGCGGGACCCCAGAACCCCAGATTAAGCAATGATCCTATATGTACCCAATGCCTATAAACGGTCAGACCAATGGAGCGTTGTTGACAGTCATTGAAAGCGAGTCTTGGGAACTCTGTCTAGTACAGAGTAATTCTCGTTCCCAAGTACATCAGCCATCAAAAAATGGACCTTGAAACTTGACCTTGCCTTCTACTCTGGAGTCGACTCGCCTCCAAATTGTTCTTGGTTCAGGGTCTAACTTGCCACGCTTTACTGGCCAATCCCGAGTTGATACGTCCCTGGTTACATGCTTCTTTAGTCTCTGGGAAGCCGCCACTCCAACTTTATTTTCTCCATTCTCCGGATACCCCTTGGTACAGTGGGTCAAGCTTTCTTGTGGAGATTCCTGGGGCACTGCAGCTAGGACAAGTAGGGAAATGATTCTTGAATATCACCGCTACTACGTCTTAGGATTTCGTCATGCAAGAGCGTACCTATGTTGCTAACTTTTTGGTTAAGTTAAAGGGTTAAGTTATTCTACTTAAAGGATGGAAGGTTCCCATCGTCCCTCACGGCCTGATTGTGCTTCCCATTACTGCTTTCCATTATGTTCAGCAAATTTAAACCAACTCAACCTTACTTTGGCTTACGCGGTGGATGGCTGACCTTCTGGGTCACTGTCGCTTGTGCCACTGACATGATGCTGTTTGGCTACGATCAGGGTGTATTTGGTACCTTTCCCCTATGAACCTTTTCTGAATTCGTGATGCTGACCCTTTAGCCGGTGTTGTTGTGACCAAAGACTTCCTCGATACCCTAAACCTCAATGACAACGCCACCCTCCTTGGTACTGTCACTGCTATCTACGATATCGGCTGTCTCTTCGGTGCCATAATGTCCATGATTTGGGGCGAGAAGTGGGGTCGGAAAAAGTCTGTTGTATATGGAACAACCATCATGTCCGTGGGCGCCCTCCTCCAAATAACAGCCTACGGAGTCCCCCAAATGATCGTAGGCCGCATCATTGCTGGTCTGGGCAACGGAATCAATACTTCAACTGCCCCTGTGTGGCAGGGAGAAACCAGCCAGGCTAAATGGCGTGGCAAGTTGATTGTCATCGAACTCACTCTCAACATAGCAGGGTTCTCTCTCTCTAACTGGATAACCTTTGCGTTCTCCTTCCTCCCCGGACCTGTTGCCTGGCGCTTCCCCTTAGCATTTCAGTTCATTTTCATTTTTATCCTTTACGCAACCGTTCCCTGGTTGCCTGAATCACCTCGTTGGCTCATCGCCCATGACCGTTCCGAAGAGGCCCAGGTCATCATCGCCGATCTAGAGGATAAAAACATTGATGAACCATATGTCATCACCCAATACACTGAAATTGTGGCTGCTGTTCAATATGAACGCCAGCATGCCGTGTCCTGGTGGGACCTTTTACGCGGCAGAACTAAAGAGGGTGGCACGTGTGCTATTCGCCGGATGATCTTGGGTGCTGGCGCACAGTTTATGCAACAGGGGGCTGGTATCAACGTGACTAGGTAGGTGGCGCATATACCCATTGAGAGTCGTTCGCAACATATACTGACGACCCAATCAGTTATTATCTTCCCACCGTGCTTATACAATCTGTCGGACTATCGGAGACGCTGGCCAGGCTGCTCGCAGCCTGTAATTCTATATCATATCTCATTGCAGGTACCGTGGGTATTGCAAACATCGAAAGATGGGGCCGAAGACGCCTGTTTATGATTTGTGCTTTAGGCCAGGGTCTCTGCTATCTTCTTATCACTGTCCTCCTGCGATTCAATGAAAAAGAAGGATATGCTAACTCAAAGGAGGTGGCCTCTGCTTCAATCGCCTTCTTCTTCCTCTACTATATCTTCTTTGGCTGCGGATTCCAAGGCATCCCGTGGCTGTTGCCTGTGGAGCTCAATTCGCTCAGCATGCGAACGAAAGGAGCCAGCTTGGGTACGGCAACAAACTGGGCGATCAACTTTTTGGTTGTCGAGATCACTCCCATCGGAATCCAAAATCTTCGTTGGAGGTTTTACATCATCTGGACCGTACTCAATTTGGTATTTGTGCCGACTATCTACTTTTTCTATCCTGAGACGGCGAACCGACAGCTAGAGGATATTGATTTGTTCTTCCGAGACAACCAATCGGTGTTTATTCACAACAACCCGGAGGCTGTGTCTCTTGCACGTCCAGAGCGGTACATCGAGATCGAAGATGACTTGGTATATCGGAACAAATCAGTGTCCGACGCAAAGAAAGGAGAGTCTGGACAGGGAGAGCATATGGAGGCTGTGTAAATACCTGTGGATAGCCAAGGATCTTAGATTTTCTGTACTTGCCGAGAAGCGATCAACGGCAAGGTACGAGGGATATTTTACTCATCACCTCTTCCATCCCTTTTGCTTTGTTTGTTTTCTCCCTATTTATTTGGAGCTGGATTCCACTTTATTGCAGTCGTGCTTGACTCAAATGACTTTATGTCCTTATTTCTTCTATTCAAGACTTAGCTTTAATCGGAGTTAACAGCGTAGCGCCGGCACCACGGGTTGGCACGACAAGATCGACGACTTACGTCAGATCACATTTAGCCCCCTTCTGGTTTCTCATGGCTCACGAGTATGCAAAAATATCCTTAAAGTGACGTTATTTAGTTACACAACATCCACGGTGTACACACCATCGTAAATGCTCCCAATTGTCAACCATCTGAGATCATTTATATAAGCATTTAATACACGGACTTTTTGTGGACTTTAAATCAATTCACGTCAATTTACACCATTCCCGTTTTATCGTCCAAAAATGGATTTAGTGGGTTTCTTTTCTTCTAAATCGTAGAAAGATTCAAGCTTGGTGAGGCTATGAACCAGTTGAAGTGATCTGCGTCTTCCTTTCAACTTAGGTCGGATATCACGCTTAGAATGTCGATGTGCATATTTAGTTGCGTTTGACCTATGTGTTGTAACGTCAAGCTCTGTGAACATACCGTTTTTGTATCAATGCGAAGCCTATGGGTCTGCCAAATCAGATCTCCCTGAGTCTATTTTTTTATCGCCTATAAAGAGGTGCCTGATACTTCCGCTTGGTTCTGTGAGATAAGAATACCTCAAAGTGAAAACATTCGGCTTACTTCTAAATCTCATTTACATGAAACGTGCCACTCATAATGAACATGGCCGAGACCCTTATCTTGTTAGCGTGTACACTACTTGTGTACGAGGGAATAAAGGTTACCTATCGCCTATTCTTCTCTCCACTCGCTGGACTCCCAGGTCCACTCTTAGCAGCCGCAACCAGTTTTTATGAGATATATTTTGATGTCGTGAAAGGGGGGCAGCTAATGTGGGAGATTGAACGCCTACATAGCAAATATGGGCCTGTCGTCCGAATCAATCCTACGGAGGTACATATCCGAGATCCCGACTTTTACGATACCCTCTATGTTGGAAAGTCAAGGAAGAGAGACAAATTGCCTTGGTTTGTCTACATTGGATTGCCCCGGTCAACCTTCTCAACTGCGCAATATAGCATTCATCGCAAGCGGAGGACCACATTAAACCCCTTCTTTACAAAACGTGCGATTTCAGATCTTGGGCCTGTCGTCAGCTCCAAGATGAGTATGGTTTGCTATCATCTATCCAAGAAAGTCGGCACAGGAGATGCCCTAGAATTGCAATCTCTCTTTGCCTGTTTTGCCGCAGACACGCTTTCTACATATATATTTGGTTCCGCACAGTCTTTTGGGTCCCTAAAGTCACCAGACATAACAGATGACTGGAAGCGAAAGATCAATAGTGTCTTCGAGATGTTGGTGCTCGTTAGACATTTCCCATGGCTTCTCCCCTTAGCGCGCACGCTGCCCTCAGTTGCCAGTCGGATATATCCCACATCCTCATGGGCCTTTCAAGCAGAAATGGTATGGCTATGGAGCTACATTCGACTATCAACATGGGAATAATACTGATCATGTACCAGCAAATTCGTCAAAGTGTTAAAGCTGTGTACGATAACCCAGACGGATGCCTCTTTAACGGATCACGGAAATCGATGCTCTCCACTATACTTGCCAGTGATAAAGCACCAAAGGAGGAAAAAGACTTTGAGCGCCTGGCACAGGAAATGACTTTCATCATGGTGGCTGGGACCGACGCGCCATCCCAAGTAATGGCAATCACTATGTTCCATATTCTTCGGAGCCCGGATATACATCAAAAGCTCAAAGCTGAGTTGAATGATGCTTTTCCTGTTCCTGTGTCTAATGCAGACTGGAACAAATTGGAACATCTACCCTATCTCGTAAGAAATGTTAATTAGTTCTTTGTTTTTCTTATATCGTACTAACAGCTATATTAGAGTGCCGTGATAAAAGAGGGATTGCGAATTTCTGCTGTGGTGACAACGAGACTTCCACGTATAGCACCGGAGGAGACCTTACATTACAAAGAATGGAGCCTTCTGCCCGGGGTATGTGTTTTCAGTTCTTGGTATCCCTTCTCAAGATACCTGAATCTTGGTCATTTATTAATGCGCCATACAACGTGTTTATAGACTGCTGTCAGCATGTCCAACCACTTCATCCTACGAGATAATGGAATCTTTCCTCGGCCGATGGAATTCCTCCCTGAGCGTTGGATGACCTCTCCTAATGAAGTTCACCTACTGGATAAATATCTCGTCCCTTTCGCTAAGGGAAATTCAAGCTGTTTGGGCCCATAGTAAGTACACTCCCCCTTCGTGAGAGGGTTTGTTTTGACCTATTCTAGTATGGCCTATTCGTGGCTATACTCAGCAGTGGGAACCGTGATACGCAAGTTCGATCTGGAGCTTTACGAGACTAATGAGGAAAATGTCCGCATTGTTCGAGACTGTTTCAATGGACAGACAGCCCCCGGCCTTAATTTGATTAGGGTTAGAGTTATCAAAGAGCTCGATTAGCCAGTATTCGTCCCCCTCTCAGTCTACCTCTATGTCAATGAAGCGTTTCGGGATATCAACTGGGATATTGCGGAGTTCCCTCGATTGTTATTGAGAACCTGCGTGGAAGCGATTGCCACGTAAGCGTACAGATGGATAAAGAGAGGTTGTGTGCATTCAGTGTATCTATGAATTAGTTCGGTGGTAGTTGTCCAGTCGGACTATTGATCCTCCCGCCAATTCGTATCATCAATCTTATCCTTACCCAGCCAACTCTAGCCCTACCACTGAACCCTGAATGATCTTGAAAAGTAACGGTCAAGAGCGTTGGGTAAGAGAAGAAGCCTCCTACACTGGGTGGACTGGATAGAAGAAGGGGCACAGAGATATGGCGTTTTCATATAAAATTCACATGCCGGGGTCCCATCCCGTCATGTAAAATGCCCCGAAGCAAACATAGCGAGTGAGGGAAACTAATCAACGTGGATGCACGTGTGCATCGGCAAGAAAAAGGAGCTTGTCTATGTGAGAACTCTGCTGCCACACGTGCTGCTAGTTTGCCCTTGTACGCCATTTTGGGTCTGACTTCTCTTGGTATTTAGGGTTCTAGGGCTTTGCATGCATGTGTATGCACGATATAGGTCTTTGATTGCTTCGGATGCTGCCCATTGACCCCCCTTTTATCATGACCCTTTGAATCTATTTCCACGCCTTGCTTTACTGACTTGATGTGCTACAAGCAAATACCTGTGCTTCAAGTGAACTATGACGGAATACGTGTTTCAGGTAGAGGGCCGCCTCTATCCATTGGAATACCTCTGTCTCTTTATCAAAGAAATCCCCCCCATGGTTCAATTGTAGTCACTGGGCAACCCGCATCGAGGAGACCTCAATAGCGTGCAATCACTGCACAGCAACAGACAGACCAAGAATGGAGGCAATCTTCTCCCGTTGACGATCCAACTGTGAGAGCTTCACTCGATGGGGCTTGCCAATACCCGTCCGTGGAATCTCGTCCACAAAGATCACACCTCCATCCAGGGCTTTATAGCTGGCCAGCTGGTCTTTAATCAGGCTTGCCACTTGATCCGCCGTCATCTCGGGGCATATGCCAGTGCGGACGACATAGGCTCGGGGGACCTCGCTGCTGCCATCTGGGAGCATGACCCCGATCACAGCTGCGTCCTTGACACCCGGGTCCTTCAGTAGGATCCCTTCAATTTCTGCAGGGGCGACAGAGTACCTAAATCAAGCACGACATGTTAGTCTATCATCTACTGCATCTGATGTCATGGAGGGGAAACAAGGACAAGGAGAAGGTCAAGGAAAAGGACAAGGAAAGGGACAAGGAAAAGGAAAAGGAAAAGGAAAAGGAAAGAACTGAGCTTAGAGAATTGGGTAACTTGCGCTCGCACTTTGATGAGATCTTTTGTCCGCCCGGTGACATAGTAATTTCCGTCTCGCGCATGCACCATGTCTCCGGTCCGGAACCATCCTTGCTCGTCTTTGCCATCGGTCCGCCCTTTATATCCCAAGAGGAGTCCCGGCCCACGGACATACAACTCTCCAGGAGAGTCTGACGTCCCGCCGACATCTTCGCCCGTGTCGGGATCGACAAAGCGCAGCTCGTATCCGGGCAGCAGAGTCCCCACACTACCAAATTGTGGTGTTACCCCATAGCGATTCTGGAACACCACTCCCACCTCAGACATACCCCACAGATTTCCCGCTACAGCGTCCGGTGACAGGAGGCGCTGGAATTGCTGCATAGAGTACCCGTCGATGGGGGCACCGGAAATACCGACATAGCGCAGGGAGGACAAGCTCTCGGCTACATGCAAGGAGGACTTGTTCAGAATATGGACTATGGCGGGAACCATGTACGTCTCCGAGATGCCGTGCTGGCGGACGCCTTCGAGGAAAGCGGAGATATCGAAGCGCGGAAGAACGTACAGAGGCTCGCCGTACCGGATGGGGAAGATGTTGGTCCAGAAGTCGCCGAAGGAATGGTACATTGGCAGTGCCATCAGACGGACGACGGGGTACGGCACTTGATAGTGGACGCTCAGATGGTGGGAAATGATCGTGTGGTGGGTTCGAATCGCGGCTTTGGGGAGCCCGCTGGTACCACTGGTTAGGAACATGGCAGCCGGCGTCCCCTTGCTCTGTTCGCTATCTTCGAAACGAAGCCAGTCGGACTCCCCGTACTGGAGCAGATTCTCCAGGCGGATAGACAGGTCGGCTGTCTGGGGATTGAGATCCTCCGTGTGCTCCGCCTGGCCGTGTGCAAATTGGACTATGTTTTCGATGGAGTGCTCATCCACCAGAAGAACTTGACTCGAGGAGATTCCCTGCAGACTGCACACCTCCAGTGCTCTGGATAAGGCACCCGGAGCAGTGATAATCAACCGAGGCTCGGCGAGACGAAGCAGATGAGTCAATTCATGTGGGGGACTATCCACGTCGCAGCCCATATAAACTCCTCCGGCACCGACGATGGCGAAGAAAAGGGCAGAGTGTATGACCTACGTTAATGTTAGGGACATGTCATAGTCATAGGAGCTCCGGTGTGATTACACTATTCTCCAGCTGCACGAGGACACAATCGCCTCGTTCCACACCCCGGGCTCTGAGGCCAGTAATGAGTGATCGCACCAGCCGTCGGAATTGTATGGCATTGAAAGCGCGCGAGGGATTCCGGGCGTCAATATAGATGGGCTTAGATGGGTCAAACGTGGTAGGACCACTAAAAGCAAAGCTGACTAGGTCTGTCTCGCTGTGTGGCTCCATATCGATAGTGTTACAGTCTATCCACTGATAAATATGCAGAACCTTGTCCTGCAGGAGAATCTTTGCGCTCTTTAAGTACGAGCTGAGATTCCCAGACCGCCTGATGCAAGCTAAAGTCCTCCTGGTATGATTTTGATCGACACTGCACGAGACAAGTAACATGCAGTAGACTATTGAGAAACAAGCAAGCCACGCCATCTATTCGCACTATTATACAGATCTACCCTAAGCCAATACTATTTTGAGCGTCCCACGCTGTCATTGCAGAGCTTCGAAGCAGCTGCATACGCTAATTCACCCACAGATGCGCCACTTAGAATTAACACAACCCCTATTTCGACGGTCAATTCTTTTGTAAACCATTGACGTAGCTCAACAGCGATAAGCGAGTCGACTCCGAGCTCTGGAATCAGCGTGTCGGAGGAGAGCGGTGCATCTGCAGTCAAGTTCAAGCTGGCCCGCATTTTGTCCATGAGACGGCTCGCGATTGCCTCGGCCTTCTCCTCCAAGCTGGTCGCCGCAGCCACAAGATCCTTGGTCGACCGGGTCTCAAGCGATGGAGGCAGTTGATCGTGACTCGCTGTGGCCGTGTAGGAGTAGAATGGCCACAGCTTTGGCACCGGACACGCCATACAACCGCTCTGCAAGCTCTGATGTCGAAGGCCCGCGATGAACTCAGCGTTGTAAGTGGAATCTGAGCGCCCGCAAAGGATAGCTTCGGCGAGTATTTCGTCGACATCCCGCTGGGATACGGTCACCGGACCACACCAAGGGTGCTGCCTGGGAGAGAAACTGTCAATGCCGTAGATCTCACCCAGATGTACTAGGCTCGCCGGCCTGCCCTGGGCCCGACGGTGGCGGACCAGCGAGGCCATTTTCTCGGACATAGCCGCAGCCATTGCCTGATCCGGGTGGCCTAGCATTCCTGCAATAGATCCGATGAGCACCCAAAAGTCCAGGGTTGGGGTCTTGTGGAGCTCGTCTAGCTGCTGCAACCCCCTCAAAACCGGATGTAGATGGCCCTGGAGTAGTCCCGCGGTGAGCTGGGACAAGGAGCAGTCGGGTAGAGGCGGTGGCTCAATTAGCACTCCTCCTACTAGCGGGGGAAACGCATGTGGGATATTTTGATGCAAACTGGTGACAGAAACGCCATCGGTCAGGTTTCTGGCATCGATTAGCTTGCGTGTGCAGATGAAAATACCTGGGTGCGTCACTTACATTGTCGAGACCGCTATGCGCATTCCTCGTCGAGAAACCTCTTCCAACCACCACGCATCTGGCTCCGGACTAAAGCTAGCGAGAAGGATCCATTTCGCCCCGTGTGCTGCCAGCCAGAGACAAGCAATATGGGCTAGTCCGCTGGCTAGACCTACGAGTATGTAGGTTTTCTTCTCCGACAGCTGCACCTGGGAACTGGCAGTCGGTATCTGGGCGAGCACCGGGGTCGGAGAGTCCCAATCTACAATGACTTCCTGGCAATCAATGGTGGGGTACTCAGAAACCCTATTGATTGGCAACAAATTCACGGAATTCAGTGGGAGCGCCTCGCGGCCAGTGTACGCCACTAAGCAGGCGGTTAGGAAGGCCTTGGCTATGAGCGACGAATCATCCCCATTGGTCGGCCCTATTGATGCAGAGGGAAGGTAACAATCCTCTACATGGATTCGTGCCGCATCCTCAGGCAAAAGCGATAGCATACGCTCATATATACCCTGTCCACGGCGATGCAGGACCGCCATGACCGACACATCCGAGGGAAGTACGTGAGACAGTTGCCGCGCAGTGCTATGCTCATGCAGGAGCAATGTCGGTCTCCCTTTGTCCGGGTTGCTTGTGCTGGTGCTGAAGACGACTTTGCCATTGCGTCGGGTCGGTATTTGGTGGAAGATAGACTGGAGGACCCGGTCAGCCTCGTGCACCACAAGCGTCCCGGATTGTGGGGCTTGTTCGACCAGGTATCCCGCCAACAGAGCAGCCGCTGTGGCGCGGAGGAAAGACTGCTCGTGGGCTTCCAACACCGTGTCTGGCACTGACCACGCCCAGGATTCCGGGACGATGACCTGAGATGCAATGTGGGACGACAGAGCGATCGTTCTCTTGTTGCTGCTAACGTCCCGCCCTATGACCAGCCGTAGGAATATGGCCCCTGCTACCCGTAAAGCGGCGAGACTGGAATGGCGCACTCGCAGATGAAGAGTCGGTCCGTAGCTTGTGGTTACCGGCGGATCAGCCATCGAGAGAAGGCGGAACCCTTCACAAGGTCTGTCAGCGGTCGCAGGGAGAACCTGTACTACTCCCTTGCTGAGGTCCACACAGTCTGTCACCCTCTGGCTCCTGGCCAGATGGCGCAGCCCAGTAGAATGGTCATGGTATTGACGAGGAATACGGAACATAGAGCCGTCATATTGAATTTCGGGCTCAATGCTGTTCAGTCCGCACGAATTAGGACTTTCTTGACCTGCACTGGCTCGAACAAAGCGTTCAAGAGCGGTTGCCAAGATTTCCGCTGACACTCCAGCCGGATCTGTGATATGTAGCAGCTGCAGCTGACAGGACGGTCTTTCAGAGGCCAGGATGCCGCGAAGGAGACCTTTCGCCAGTCCAGCATCAGGGTGATCGATCTTCTCAGACGTCACCCATAACGTCCGCTTACTGACTGTAATCAGTCTCCGCAGCTCGCTCAGGCTAGCATCGGTCAGATCTCGACCATCGGCGAGGCACAGAACGGTCAGTTCAGACAGATCGTCGTCCTCAATTAAATCCAGGGACAGTGCATGAAAAACTTGAACAAATTCGCCCTGCACCAATCCAGCAAGTTCTGACATGAGGCAGTCGACCTCCTCGGCGTCACCGCCAAGCAACAGCAGGGCTCCGCGGCGCGATGGTTCCGCGTGGCTGTCTGGGGTCCGACAGAGAAGCAGTGAGAAGTCCTCGAGGCTTGCAATTTCTCGGGGCGCATCGAGCGACTCCAAGCCACAGAACCCGTTATTAGACAGTAGCTCAACCCAGTGGTCCCTGGTGGTGACCTGCTCACCAGAGCAGTAGCCTTTCCCGGTCTCAATACATCTCACCGGAGGGCCGAATAGGAGATTCAAATATGTGATACTGGGATTCGTTCGCACCAGTAGGACCAGGAATCCACCAGGCTTGAGCAAGCGACGGATATGGGCCACCGCGGCCTCTCGCAGGAATCCCGCAGTTGTGATTAGGACCATGTCGTAGGATTGCTCCCGGTAGCCCTGCTCGATAGGGTCCCGATTGACGTCCAAGATTTTGTGCGACACCTCGCCAGATCGCTCAAGGTCATCCCCAGACACCCGTAAGCCAGGAACGGAGAGCGCTGCATAAGTGAACGACCGGTAACTCCGTCCCATCTTCCTCAATTCAGAGTGAACATGACCTCCAAATTGGCCGATCTGGAGGATGTTCATCTGTGGAAAGCGGAAACACGTCTGGCTGACGACAGATACGAGCTCATTTACCAGGTACGAGGCCTGCACGTCGTCCTCCAGATATTGATTTTCCTCGTCGACGGCCAGCCAGGCCTCTCTTTGAGGACCCGATTCGCGCAGGACGCGAGGCAGTCGCTGGCCCACAGCAGCAATCGCCCTGAGACCAGGGTCCTTTATTGACGGGCTCGCTCGAGCCGTGAAGGTCTCAATTTTCTGATCCAACAATTCGGATGTGCCTACGGGATCTGATCCTTGGCGAGCATTCGCAATGCATTGGCTCATCCATGCAAGCAGACGAGCACCATCACAATCCAATCCGCTTCGCTCCGAGTCCGTCAGTCCATTGCTGGCCTGCTTGAGATACAGTAGCGCAAGCTCCTCTCGGAGAGAGTGTAGCTGGAGAGGAACCGCGGGCAATAGGCGTGATGTCTTCTTCAGAGTGGGCTCAAGCGGCCCCCACTCGGTCTGGGAAAGGACCTGCGTATCGTTCGGTGCATTCCCAGATGGCTGACATACGAGGCAAACACCTTCGAGCTGGACGGCCTTTTCCCCATTCATCGTAAAAATGTCGATATCACCGCGGATCTGATCTCCATCGACATGGGTCAGATAGCTTGCCACCGTCATTTCCTTTCCCTGTCCACTAGAAGCACATAACACAGGATTGACCCAGGTACTGTCGACGTTTTTGAACAGGAAAGGGCCTGCCAGCAGCGTCTCTTCGGGCGCACCCATCGCAGCAATCATTGTTTGAATAGCAAGCTCTAAAATGGCCGGGTGAAGAGTAATAGGCTGGTCAGAATCTCTCGAGGGTACCAGCACAGTTCCGGCGGCGAGATCACGCCGTTGTCGGAGCCCTATCAACCCAGAGAACGAGCCAGTGCAGTGATAGTCAACGCGACGCAGGCTGTCATAGAATTCAGTGATGTCCACGGGCCCTAAGGCCGGAGCTAGCTGGCCTTGTGGGGGTAGGAGAGCACGATCTGGATCCCCTGGATGCATGATCATCTTGGCTGTTGCACACTGGACGAACTTTCCAGATACAGCAGCCTCGCAGCAGAACAGAGCAGCAATGACTCCATCATGCGAGTGAATACCACCCACGGTAACAAGCACCTCCGTGCCGATGGGATCGTTCTGGATGTAGAGCTGAGTGTGGACGGCTAAATCCTTGACATTCAGCAAGCGCAGTCCCTGGGTCTGTGCCACTATCATCCCTGCCTCCAGTGCCATTGATATATATCCAGTCTCAGGGAAGACCGGTCTCGATCCGGAACGACGGTCTGCCAACCAGGGCAGCTCCTCTGGCCGCAGGTAGTTTCGCCAACGGAACTCTTTTGCTCCGTTCTCCGGACTGAGAGCACCGAGGAGCGCGTTGGGAGGTGTAACACGATGGCTATAGTTCAGTGATATTCGCGACTGCGCCCAGTAAGTCTGGGAGTGATCGAAAGGGTAGGATGGTAGCGAATCTACCGGCACAGGCGACTGGTCTGGGTCAAAGAGTGAGACATAGTCTGTGAGGCGGATGGCATTGGGGCCGAGGTGCGCCCAGGACGATCCCAGGGCCATTGCCCATGTATCGAGGCCGGGCTTTCCTCTCTCAGCAAGGGCAAGGTAAGGAATTGTTGAGTGGGCCGAGTGCATTTTGGACAAGGTTTGTAGGACGGGCCCTCTCAGTGTTGGATGTGGCCCGATCTCGACGATGACATCTGGTGGTCCAGCCTCTCGTACGGCGGCCTCCAGCGCCTGGGAGAACTGGACAGGACGCAGCATATTCTCGACCCAGTACTCCCCCGTCAGTTCCTTCTGGCCATGCCCAGTCATGACCTCCCCGGGGTAGACGCTAGAGTACCAGCGCGCGACAGACGCTGTCAGCGCGACAGGACAGGCTTGCATTGCCTCGCGATATGGGTCTGCGCACGGCTTCATATAGGGAGAGTGATATGCGGTGTCCACTCGAAGCATACGCGGAGTGAGGCCCAGGCTCTTCAGCAGCCACTCCAACTCCCGCAGGCACTCTGCGTCACCGGATAAGGTGACGCTGGACGGGGAATTAGCGGCGGCAACGCTTATGCGTCCGGAATAGGTTTCTAAAGCGCAAATGGTCTGTGCCTGCTGCCACGTCAGATTGACGGCCATCATCCGGCCTGTCGAATCGCGTGACTCATCAATGGCTCTTCCCCGAAGGTACGCAATGCGGATTGCATCTGAGGCCGTCAGCACACCCGCAGCATAGGCTGCTACAATCTCCCCGGAAGAGTGGCCGACAACAATGGTAAGCTCATTGCCTACCGCACGAAGGATGTTGACTTGCATGATTTGCAGCGCTGTCCGTAAGGGGAGAGAAAGAAAGCCCTCGTTTACGCGCGAAGAAGATGCCGGTCGTGACAATTCCTCGAGAAGAGAAAATCGCGGATGTAAGTCCAGAGGGAGTTTATCCAGAGCTTCCTCCAGATCGGCCATCCATTGTCGAATGAGAGGACTTGCCTCAACCAGATCGAGCCCCATTTGCGGCCACTGGGCTCCTTGGCCCGTAAAGATGCCCATGACGCGCCTGGGCCGACTGCTGGACCTGGAGACGATGGAGGCGGGTTTACCCGTGGCCCTTCGACTGAGTTCGGCATCGATCTGATCTTGTAATCCCTGTAGCGAATGCGCCATTAGCGTCAGGCGGTGGCGATGAGTGGAACGTCGAGTCCACAAGGACACCGCCAGACCAACGAGGCTGACTGGTGCGCGTTCTCGGAGGAATGTCGCGTAGGACTCCAGGACGAATGTGAGTGTCCGCTCAGAGGCAGCAGAGAAGACAAAGGGCAGGCTGGAGGGCATGTTGTGGGACGGGCTGAACTCCCGGCGAGTGTAGCTTTCTAGGACCACATGCACATTGGCACCCCCAAAGCCGAAGGAGTTCACAGAGGCCCGGCGGGGACAGCCATCTGGGACTGCAGGCCACGGGACGCACTCCGTGGGAACACATAGCTGAGCGGCAAACGGTTCTACCTTTGGATTAAGCTGCTGCATCAGGAGATTAGGAACGATCATCCCGTGTTGCAGCGACAGGGAAGCCTTAATCAATCCTGCCAGTCCAGCAGTGGCCTCTGTATGTCCAATTATTGTCTTGATAGATCCCACATACAGTCGATTGATCGGATCTGGAACGGATTCAGGCCCAAAGAAGCTTGAGTTGATTGCGGCTGCTTCCTGGGGATCTCCGGCCTGGGTCCCTGTCCCATGGGCCTCGAAATACTGGCACCGATCCGAGGGCCGGTCTTGAGGAGATAAACCCGCGCGTGCATAGGTAGCGAGGATCAATGACTGCTGTGCCTTGGCATTAGGCATCGTGATCCCCATCGTTCGCCCATCCGAATTTGCCCCGGAGGCGCGGATCACGCATTCGATGGGATCCCCGTCGATGATTGCGTCTTGCAGCCGTTTCAAAACCACCGAAGCCACCCCTTCGCCTCGTGCATAGCCGTCAGCCTTGCTGTCCCACATGCTACTCCGGCCTGTAGGGGACAGCATCCGTGTTTTAGAGTCTGCGATATAGGCATTGGGTGACAGGATCAAGTTGCTCCCTACTGCCACCGCCAGGGAACAGTCCTCGTTCTGCAAAGCTTCGACTCCGAGATGAACAGCCAGTAGACTTGAAGAACATCCGGTATCAACTGTCATGGAAGGACCGTGCCAGTCAAAGTAGTAAGAAATACGATTGGCCATGATTGACGGTGAGTTGCCCGTGACCATATACGCTGGGAATGCCTGGGGATCCATGGCCTGGATCTGATTGTAGTCGGTGCGAAGGGCACCACAGAACACCCCGGTCATTGAGCCCTGCAGCGCATCCACTCGTAACCCCGCCGCATCAAGCGATTCATACACTGTCTCTAGGAGTAATCGCTGTTGCGGATCCATCGCCACCGCTTCCGTTGGCGAGATATTGAAGAAGGCCGCATCAAAGGCTGTGATATCCTCGTCCAAGAAGTAGGATTCCTGGACGTTTGTTGTGCCATGGTGATCTCCATCTGGATGATAAAAGGCGTTGATATTGAATCGATTGGCCGGAACTTTGCGCGCAATATCACGGGGGTTTTGGAGAAGTTCCCACAGTTTCGCAGGAGAAGAAGCGCCACCGGGGAAGCGGCATCCTGTGCCAATAATGGCAACAGGCTCTGTTGCTTTCATTGTGGATTTATGTTGAGGGGGGGAAGCGTGAAATCTGAGATCAAGTTCATTTGCAGTCGGGCGGCTGTAGCTATACCGAGAGTATGTAGATATGTAAAATGCAGTGTTTCCTCAGCTACTGCCACCATCCCGTCAACATTACAACTATCGAAAGAATGACGAAAACCGACCTATAGACCAATTTTAGGGATATAGACAGATCACAAACTAGTTGCGAAGCATTATCCCCACTCCATAAAGCAGCCACAGAATGGCCAGACTCGGGTCCAAGCAGCGGTGAGGAACTATGGCGCCGGTGGACATCTCAGGGCCTACATGCATATGCAGGCGTCAATCCAAGGATGCACTTTGCAGGAAATAGTGGAGTCGGGCATTCAGGTATTTCCATATATTTTTCATTCTTGTACTGCTCACCCGATGCGTAATAATAGTAGCTAATACCTGAACTTAGCGACCTTGAGACAACATGGACAACATGTCTCTGGGTTCCAACTGGGCCTGGGCAGTGGCCATCATCTCGTTCCTGGTGCCTTTGGCTCTTCTCGTTGTCTCGCCACACCTTTTCCCATCAACCTTGACGGTGATCAATGGTGGAAGAGCCTGGGATATCTTTCGCACCAAGGCGAAGAAGCGATTTCGCTCAGACGCGGCACGACTTCTACAGAACGGCTTTGAGAAGGTGTGTGTGAGACCAACTATGTTATTTAGAGTATAATGCTGAACTTCCCTTGTCATGCTAGTCTCCTGATGCCTTTCGCATTCTCACTGACAACGGGTCCTTGCTGGTCTTGTCACCTCGATACGCTCGAGAGGTTCGCAGCGATGACAGACTCAGCCTGGACCATTTCATTGCCTCAGTTCGTCTTGTTCAATGTCCAATGCCTAGTTGTCGTTACTAAGCTTCCACTGTTTAGGAGTTTCACCCCGACATTCCAGGTTTCGAGCCGTTCAAATTGATCTTGGATCCAAGAAACCCGTTGAACACGATTCTCAAGACCAACCTGACACAAGCACTGGGTATTTTCATCGTCCAACTGGACTCTTGTGCAACCCAGTCCATGGCTAATATTACTTATCTGAGTAGCATATATGACAGAGGACTTGTCTGTAGAGGTTACGGACGCACTATCCGCAACCTGGACCGATGACCCCGGTGAGCCGCGAAAGCATGATTGGCAGATGTCCTGGTATGAATTCTAACTGTTTTCTCGCTTCTGATAAAAGAATGGCACGAGGTCAGCGTAAGTCAAACAGCTCTCAAACTCGTCGCGCAGATGGCGTCCAAAGCGTTTATAGGACAAGGAAATTGCCGGGATCCCAAGTGGCACAGCATTATCATCACCTACACGCACAACGTCTACCGAGCAGCACAGGCACTCCACTTTTGGCCCAGTTTCCTACGACCCATAGTGGCACGGTTCTTGCCCGCATGTAAAGCGCTGCAGCTTCAGATTGTCGAAGCACGAGAGATACTGGAGCCCTTGGTGGCTCAGAGACGAGCGGAGAGGGCCAGCCGGGTTGCTCAGGGAAAGCCTCCGCCGTCTCGTGAGGATATCATCGACTGGCTGGAGGATTATTATGGCGACCAACCGTATGATGCCGTGGCCGCACAGCTGCTGCTCTCGTTCGCCGCTATCCATGGAACCTCCAACCTCTTGGCGCAAGTGCTCATGGATCTCTGCAGTCATCCGGAGCTAATACAAGATATCCGGGCAGAAGCTGTATCCGTGCTGGGTAAACAGGGATGGACCAGGGCTGCCTTGTACCAGCTCAAGCTAATGGACAGCGCACTGAAGGAAAGCCAACGCCTGGCACCGAACAGATTGCGTGAGTGAGCCCTTCCTCCTGCCCCCAGTTTGGCCATGACAAACTAATCCAGGCATGCTTTGACAGTATCCATGGGACGCATTGCGCAGAGCGATATGTACCTGTCTGATGGTCTCCGTATTCCCCGAGGCACGAGTCTCATGGTGTCTGCCCACACCATGTGGGATCCTGAGATTTACCCGGATCCCCGGCGATACGACGGCTACCGATTCTGTAAGCTACGGCAGATATCGGGGCAAGAGGGCCAGCACCAACTGGTATCGTCGACGCAGAATCACATGGGGTTCGGATACGGGAAGCATGCTTGTCCGGGGCGGTTTTTCGCCGCAGCCGAGATCAAAGCAGCCCTGTGCAATATCCTTCTCAAGTATGATCTTGAACACAGGGGGGAGCAGTCACCGAGTGTCTGGAGCCAGGGCATTCATCTGTTTCCAGATCCGACGGCTAGGATCCACGTCCGTCGACGGAAAGAAGAGATTATTTTGTGACCGCTGTCTAAGTATACGGATTTGACCGAGTGCAAGGACACCATCGTCTGTGATTGATATTTGAGCTTACCGGGGTGATTGTGCAAGATGTTTGGCATGTGGAGCTCGTCATGCATAGTACTCATGAAGACCATTGGGCCAATCTCTTCGACGAGACCTTGATTGAGAGCCATTTAGAGACAGTGCATGTCTTTTTGAAGAACTAGCAGATGGACAGTAGAATTGGTTTTGCTTTGCATATGGTTCCACAGTAATTGGTGCTATTCCCCTTGGATAAAGAAGCCGGCTCCACTATTGGAGTGCTAGGTCTGCAGCATGTATCTCGCTAGTGAGAGAGAGACAACTGGCTAATTGAGGTCTCAAAGCGACCCTGCAGCCACTACTGTACTAGTAAAGCAAAAGCAATAAATTTACGAAAAATCAAAGAAGTAATATGATTTAACATTGGGAGATCTTAAGATACATCTCAGTTTGCCACTGAGGTGACAAGGATATGGTGCATAAAAGCAGCGGGTCTCGAGGAGCTGAGAATGAGGTGAACACCTTCGACCCACATTTGAGGCATTAAAATGATCAAACCGTTTGTGATCTGCCTGCACGATGCGTCACAATCTATGAAATCCACAATTCGGAAAACCAGTACAAATCTGCTTGGGAGCATGGTGCTAGCTGATCTGCGCAGATCATGACACGCTATTGATATGGTTGCATTAGCGCTGCCGGTACATTCAGCAAATCGAAAACAAGGGGCGCAGACTTCACTCTCTACTTGGTCTGTTGGTGCTACAGCGTCATCCCTTGCTGCCAGCACGGTGTCGCTTGACTCCCTGACAGGATGAGTTGTAGGAAGTCACACAGGCTGTTTGTGGGGGTTGATTGAATTCCCTATTGTTAGTCCACCGCGAACCTGGTTGGGCCCGGAGTGTTCTTTCGAGTGTCCTTTCACACGGTTTGTATTTTTAGAGCATTCCCACTATGATCAGGTTCGAAGATGCTTCCACAGGGGCTCTATGGGTGACTTGTGCGCTTGCAGTCGGCCTGTATTTCATTCGATCGAGACTACACGGCTACCGATTCGACGGGTTCCCCAGCGTCAATTCTCGAAAGCCCTGGGAAATTGTTGATGTCTTCGCGCAAAGAAGATTCCAACAGAACGGTCCCGAGTATCTGCAAGCTGGGTTTGCAAAGGTATGTTCCATAACCAACTGCACCATGGTGCGAATGGAGACTAAAGGGTACCACAGTCGCCCGTCTTTGGCGTGGTCACCGACCTGGGGCCAAAACTAGTTGTGTCTGGGGCCTTCATCGAGGAATTCAAAGATGAAAAGCTGTTGGACCATTACAGGGCGATGATCGAGGTGAGTGCGGTCTGAGTAGTGGGAGAATATCAGGCGCCAGCTTACTTGTCCGAGGACTTTATGGCAGAGATACCAGGTTTCGAGTCGATGTTTCTGGGGAATCTTCACAATACGATTCTTCGCGATGCCATTTCCGTCATCACACGCGAACTAGGTGATTATTTCCCTCTTACGGTCAGCTCATCCACCACTGACTCCTGTTTTGATAGAACAGTTGATGCCTCCCCTCTCGGATGAAGTGTCTGCGGCTATGGTAGATACCTGGACAGATTCATCAGGTGGGTCAAAGCAAACCTCCCAAGGGGAATCCCGAGAAAATCACAATTAATCTCGACCAATGTAGACTGGCACGAGGTGACACTGCTTCCCAGCATGCTGGGGTTGATCGCGAAAGTCTCATCTCTCGTCTTCGTGGGCGAACCGCTGTGCCGTAACCCAGCCTGGCTGGAGACAGTGGTCAATTTCACCATCATTCGACACCACGCAATACTAGCGCTCCACAAGTGCCCTGCTGTGCTTCGGCCCGTCCTTCACTGGTTTCTCCCTCCATGCCAGAAACTCCGGCGAGAGATCAGAACTGCACGGACACTGATTGATTCTACTCTAAAAGAATCAAGAAAGAATCCGCACAATGAGAAGTTCTCCAGCGTTGCCTGGGTCGACGCTTTCGCCAGCGGCAATAAGTATGATGCAGCCATGGTGCAGCTAAGACTGGCGAATGCGTCCATCCACTCCAGCGCCGATCTCTTGACCAAGGTGCTTATCAACCTATGCGAGCAGCCAGACTTGATTCAGGACCTCCGGGACGAGGTTATTTCCGCCCTCGGGGAGAATGGATGGCGAGCCTCGACACTGAACCAACTAAAGCTCCTTGATAGTGTTTTGAAAGAGAGCCAGCGACTGCATCCAATCACGACCGGTATGCGTCCTCAGCCGTCCAATCTGCGTGCATGCTCACCATTTATCTTAGCTTCATTTTCGCGCTTTACCCGGCAGACTATCAAGTTGGCCAATGGCACTGAGATTCCCACAGGAACGCCTGTTATGGTGACTAACGATGTCACCGGGGATGCTACCATCTATCCTCATCCCGATGTCTTCGATGGGTACCGGTACTTGAGAATGCGTGAAGGAGCCGACAAGGCCCGGGCACCGTTCACAACAACGGGCCAAAATCACCTGGGGTTTGGGTACGGGAAGTATGCCTGTCCTGGTCGATTCTTTGCTGCTACCGAGATCAAGATAGCGCTCTGCCATATCTTGTTGAAGTATGAATGGAGGCTGGTGAAGGACAGCCCGCATACTGTGCTCACAAGTGGGTTCGCGTCGTTCCGTGACCCACGAGCAAGGATAGAAGTCCGAAGACGCGCGCTGGTGGGAGAAGAGCTCGAAGTATTGACTACAAAGAAGTGAAGTAGAGGAAATCACGGAACCTTAATATCAGAACCCATTTTTCAAAAAAGAAGAATTGTGAGTTTCAAACCCCATAATCGATGGAAAATGGAAATATTAGGTTACAAGGTAGATGCGAATAAATTCTCGTACTCTATTGCTAGTATCACCCTGGATAAATTATGCATACTGCGGATCATTGTGAAACAGAAAAAGGCTCTAGTCCACAGCTGTATATGCCATCTTACAGTCTTGCAGGGGGAAACAAAGGGGTGAGTGTGGGTTTGACCCACGTATTTCCGTATGCTGTAGTTTGACGAGTGAATCCGACTATAAATCCGGCCCACCAGACACTGTATTCTCTTGGACATCCGTTTCGAAAGCAATTTTTCGACAGCAAATCCCGGCAACGTCGTATCACCATCCTCGAGTGACATTCTCCTTCCAGGTCTTGCTTCATTTCTCACAGCATTCTACAAAGAAAGCTACTACCATGGACGGGTGGTCGGACATCTCATCGGCGCCTCCCGAGTACAGAGATGTTGCCTGGATAGCAGATCGGGCTCTGTTGGCCCAAGGATTAGGATGGTCAATCAACTACGTGGCCATGATATACCAATCGTACAAGGACCGCACCTACGGTATGGCCATCCTGCCACTGTGCTGCAACTTCGCGTGGGAATTCGTCTACAGCGTCATCTACCCTTCTCAAAATCCCACCGAGAGGGCCGTCCTCACAACATGGATGGTCCTGAACCTCTTCCTCATGTACACTGCCATCAAGTTCGCTCCCAATGAATGGCAGCACGCCCCGCTCGTCCGGCAGAGTCTTCCAGTGATCTTCCCTGTGGCGATCGCGGCCTTTACGGCGGGCCATCTGGCATTGGCTGCGACGGTGGGAGTGGGCAAGGCGGCCAACTGGGGCTCCTTTCTGTGCTTTGAGCTATTGACCGCCGGTGCGGTGTGCCAGCTCATGAGTCGGGGGTCCAGCAGGGGGGCGTCGTATACGATCTGGTATGTTCTTCTTGCCTTGTGGATCTTGCTTCAGGGGTTCCTGGTGACTAATTTGGGTTGTCGTTGGAAGGCTTTCAAGATTTCTGGGCTCGTATATCGGTAGTATCTTTCTACATGTACGAGAAACCCATTGGCCGCATGAGTTTGACTGGATCAGTCACCCTTTCGTCGCCTGGCATGGTATAATGTGTTTCTCGCTGGATATTGCTTATGTGGTTTTACTTTGGTTCATTCGTCGGCAGGAGCACCGGGGCAAATCGAGGAAAGCTATGTGATCGACAGAAGGACCATGCAGGGTGGTGGTATGGTGCTATGTACTTTCTACCGATCCGGGTGTTAAATGGCGGTGAGCACAAAATTGAGATCGACGGAGGACTTACATTGACTGAGTATTGAGATGGAAGAGCTGAACTATATGCAAGAACTATTGATAAGGCGTACGGATCTGCCCGATCCGATCGGGAATGCTTTGTTTGTGTGGGTCGGATGGCCTAAGAGCCTAGAACACGAAATATCATCATAGGATCCATCAAAGGTTTAGCATACGAGTAAATATTCCCTAGGACTAGCGGTATGAGGCTGTATAGAAGAGGTCAAGGGCTGGTTGCACGCGTAGCCATATTGACAGTATTGCGATAAATACCCCGATCTGGCAACTGCCTCGGAGATGGACGTCAGTCTCTTATTAGGTATCAGTTGTAAATTTATTTCTATATATGAAACTCAAGGTTTGTGTGTTTAGTTACCTTCCCATTCCCCTCCAGTGCGGCCATTGAGAGCATCATGAGAGTCATCATTGTCGGAGGATCTATCGCCGGCCTCTCCCTCGCCCACTGCTTGGAAAAGGCCAAGATTGACTATGTCCTTCTGGAGAAGAAGAAGGAAATTGCCCCCCAAGAAGGCGCATCAATCGGTATCATGCCCAATGGCGGTCGGATCATGGAACAGGTTGGACTATACCACCGGATTGAAGAGCTGATCGAGCCTTTGGTGAAGGCGCATGTAACCTACCCCGACGGCTTTCACTTTACAAGTCGGTATCCTGCACTGTTACAGCAGCGGCGAGTCGATATGCAATATCCACTTGCTGATCCAGGCTAATGTGAGAGGTCTTAGGTTTGGCTATCCGCTTGCGTTCTTGGATCGGCAGAAGTTCCTGCAGATCCTGGCGGCTGGACCGGTCCAATCCAGCCGAGTGAAACTAGATCACAAGGTCGAGAGCATCGAGGCCTCTCCTGATGGCGTCACGGTGAAAACAAGCAACGGGCACATCTATCAGGGCGATCTTGTCGTCGGCGCGGATGGAGTGCACAGTCGCGTACGAGCGGAGATGTGGCGATTGGCCAATGCCTCACAGGAGGACATCTTTGGGAGTGAAGACAAGGGTATCATCCCGCTGTGGCTTGTTTCCTTTCTTTTTTGCCTATCTTTTGACTTTGGACTTGGAAGGCTAATGCATTTATTGGTTTTCAGCGTTGACAATCAACTATGCCTGCATCTTTGGCATCTCGTCTCAAGTCGATCAACTTGACCCGGGCGAGCAAATCACCTGTTACAATGACGGGTGGAGTATCCTTAGTGTGATCGGACAGAATGGCAGGGTCTTTTGGTTCCTCTTTATTAAGCTGGAGAAGGAATACGTCTATGATGGATCGCACGAAAGCCTGCCTCACTTCAGCCGCGCAGACGCTCGAGTCCATTGCGAGAGACTGGCGCAGGAGCCGGTGTGGAAAGATGTCAAATTCGGCCAGGTCTGGGCTCGATGCGAAGTCTTTCAAATGACACCTTTGGAAGAAGGTCTACTCAGCAAATGGCACTGGAGGAACATCATCTGTATTGGAGACAGCATGCATAAGGTCAGCAGCCCAATATCACCCTTGATTTGCTGGATAAATTGACTCATAAACCCACCCATGCAGTTCGCACCCCATATCGGACAGGGTGCCAATTGCGCCATCGAGGATGCAGCTCAGCTCAGCAACAGGCTGCGCACTTGGCTGTACGTTTGTGGAAAGGACAATCAACCAGCAGCTGATGATCTGCCAGAGGTTCTGGCTAGATTCGTTGAGGATCGCCTCCGTCGGCTAGGACCGGTGGCCGTGGCAGCGCGATCCGCCATGCGTCTCCACGCGCGGGAAGGGCTCATAAGTCGGATCCGGGGACGCTATCTCTTGCCCTACGCTGGCGATAAACCGGCAGACTGGGCCTCCCGAGGAATTGCGGGTGGTATTACCTTGGATTTTGTAGAGCCACCCGCGCGGTCTGGCCCGGGCTGGATCCAGTTCAGCCAGTCGGGTAAGAGGACTTCGTTTCCTATGGCGGTGGCAGGTTTGTGCCTAGTGACTATTGTGGCCCGATTACTGTATTCTAAATTGGTTGCATAGTGGCAAGTTGCGTTATGATGGATCAATAGAAACCTTCATACATTTTAGGGCTTTGATAGATCACCTGCATGCGGCCCCTCAGTAAGACGACCATGAAGATGATCCACGCGATCTGCAAATTTAAAAAACGTCTATTGTTTCATACATATAATAGTACGAGCAGTCGTAGTGGGGCTGCTATGCATAGGGCGATTGCGATGAGTTGCTATCTCATACAGCGATCTTGTAATCTAGCATGTCATCCATTGCTCTGCATGTATTGAGCACATCTCAGCCCATCCATATATGGTCTCGTCGCCTCAAAAGGTTATAATCACACATTGCTTGATTCTTCGAGACCAGACTTGATTATTGATAAGTCAGTGATGATGGCTGGCTCTCAGTCCACGACACAGCTGGTTCGCACCCTCATTGATGTCTCCCGATTTGACAAATACAACTGTTTATTTGCTATATTCCCTGGAGGTAATCAAGATTCCTTCAACATACTACTACAATACTAACAATTCCACCCAGCCTGGTCCATCTTCCTTGCGGCTGCCTCACGACACGCCGATGGCGACCCCGTTCCCCTGGACTGGGTGCTTCACCGCGCAACACTGGCCTTTATGTACACGTATCTGCTGAGCGGCGCGGGAATGGTATGGAATGACTGGATCGACCGCGACATTGATGCCCAGGTCGCCCGCACCAAGAACCGCCCACTCGCCTCCGGTCGGCTTTCCACCCGAACTGCCCTCATCTGGATGCTAGTCCAGTACGCGGCCTCGGTCTGGCTGATGGACAGCATGTTGAGCGGGCAGAAAGTGTACGTCCACCCTCACCATAATCAAATCAATCATCCTGTTAGTTGAAAACTGACGTAAAACCCCCTCATTCTCTCTAGATGGACATTCATGCTCCCCCTCACAACCGGTATCGTCTTGTACCCCTTCGGCAAGCGACCCACATCGCGCAAGCTGGGCATCTACCCACAGTACATCCTCGGTGCAAGCAGCGCCCTCACCATCCTCCCAGCCTGGGCCTCCGTCTACGAAGGCAGTGTTTCCTTAAAGGACCTGGGCGTGCAGTGTCTCCCGCTCTGCGTCTTCCTGTTTCTGTGGACCGTCTACTTCAACACCGCCTACAGCTACCAGGATATCAAGGACGACTGTAAGCTCAATGTAAATTCGTCATACGTCCTCGCAGGGAGCTATGTGCGCGGATTGCTCCTCTTACAGGCTCTTGCTGTGGTGCTGGTGATCCCTTGGATTCTGCATGCCAGCGGGTCCGCTTGGCTCTGGTTCTCGTGGCTGGGGGTGTGGACAGCGTCCCTCGGCGAGCAGCTGTATCTTTTTGATGTCAAGGATCCGAGTAGTGGTGGCAAGGTTCATCGGCGGAATTTTGCGCTGGGTATTTGGAATGTTCTGGCTTGCTTTGTTGAGCTGCTGCTTGTTTCGGGTTCTCTGGAGTGGTTCTCTGATTTTGATAAAGAGTTTGAGGGTTTTGGCATGGGTAAATGGTTGTTGCGCGATGTTGGCACGGATAGTGGGTATTATCCGTAAATCTTCGTTAATATCCGAGGGAAACAGCCTATGTCTCTCATTCATTACTTCTTATGGAATTTCAATTGCGAGACTGCTCCAGAACATTACAGCGCAAGGATAGAAAGGTCAACCATTCGAAATTCTCGCTCTACTCTGTCACATTTTGTTACACATGCATAGGTTACTCCCATGGTTGCCCTCCTGTAGCCCAGCAAAACAAGGGATCCTTTGCTACCAGGTTCTGATCATCACGGTTCAGAGTCAGATGCAAGTCCCACGGCTCCGTACTCGCCAGACCATCCTGACGCTTTGGAAGGATAAAACACATCCCCCCCAAGACAGGCAAATGCAGCTGGAACCCTCGAGGTTGCGCTCCCAGACTCTCACCAAAATCCAGTCCGAAGATTCCAAAATTCCTGAAGCTGCTCAAGGGGATGGGAACTCCCCGGAATCCGATCTCCGCCCAGTCGGTCTGCGACTGGAGATGGGATAGAGCGCCTTGGATGTAGTCTGCGTCGACTGCCAGGAGACTCTGGCGTATACGAGCTGCAATCTGCGTGAGCTCTTCCAGACACTCCTGGCTCAATTCCACCGGAGGATCCGCGCCATCGACCGGGGCCTCATTCCTCCTAGCTGGGATCGGCGTGTATGTCAGTAGCACCATGTTTCCAAGATAGTCGTCAAAGGCTGGTGTTTGGAAATTGCCGCGCATGTCCACTGCAAGCGACAGTTCGGTGGATTTACCAGCCAATTGTCCCGCTTGCCGAAGTATCATTCCCATCAGGGCGCACACAATGTCGTTATTGGACAGGAACCCCGGATTCGGCCTACCATCAGCTCGGGCAGACGCTTGCCCCCTTAGCAGGGCATTGCAAGCCCCCTTCAAATACTGGATCTTAGAACCGGGAATCGTCACTCGCCAGGTTACAAGCTCGGTGGCTCTCGCCCGGAGGAATCCCGACCAATTCTCTGCGAGTAGTGCTGCCCAGTCTCCGAGGCCGCAATAGTGCTGGCTGAAATCCGCCCTCGAAGAACCAGAACTGCTTTCTGAGACAAGACGCTCAATCTCCGATCGTAACTGCCGGTCTGGCGGCGCATTTGCAGAAGACATCGCCCTCGGATCCCTGCAGCAATCGGCTAAAAGGCCCAAGACTCGCGCAGCGCCTGCGCCATCCATTGCAGCATGGTGAAACGTCATGGCGAGAATGATCCCATCGCGCATAACATTTGCTTGAAAGCGTAGAATCGGCCTTCGTGGCAACGAAAGATCCATGTCGATTGGCAACGGCGCCAGCCGACTCATGATCTCCTGCTCCTCGGCGCCCGTTAGGAGGCATTTTGAATGGAGTTCCCTGATCGACTCGACTTGGGAATGCCGTGTCTGGAGCATAGGGAACTGGACAAGCGACTCTGGGGCTTCTGGTTCGATCTGCCAAGTATACTTCCTTTGGCTGAACTCCGACCGGCGAGTCACGTCCCCTGCGAGGAAGGGGTGGACCTTCAGCAGCAGTTTGATGCCGTCTTCTAGGACACGAATACTTTCCCCTGGCTGCGTGGTCTGGAAGAACAGCAGAAAGCTGACGTTCATTCCGAGGGGATTGTGGTCGAGAGAAGATAGAGGGTATGGAGAGCGGTTGCTGGGGTCCCTTATAGCATCGCACATGCCATCTTCACATGGACCATGAAGTTTAACAAGTCCCTCTTGAACCTGATGCCCTTGATTGACTGGGGAGCGTATTCCCTGGGTGTTCATGATTTTCGTGTGTTATCCTACCGAGTTGAGTTAGTTGTGTCTTACTCGATCACTTGTTGTTTTTAATCTATGAACGTCTCGTTTCGCTATCTATACCTTTTTTGTATTCCGTTATCACAAGCCGAAATTCTTTAGTCTCTGCATTTTGCTGCACTATTATAGTTTCCTTGATTTGGTATATGTGGATCCCTCGCAGATCTCTCGGGCGTGAGCCGTATGCGTTCTTGATGCAAGCTGCATGAAGCTTCACATAGTGTATACAGGTCATTAGTTATCCTGACCGACTTTTCAGCTGCATATTACGAGAGGTACATGAAGATCAATCGCAAGAATCAGGAGGGTTGGTGGTAATCAAACCAGCTAAATTCGTCCCTATTAGGGTTTAGACACTCAGACAATAACATATGAGTGGTGGGAGTGGCAGACACTTACATCTAGATAAATAAGTCTATTTTACTAATCGGGAAATCTTATTATTAATACTAAATTAAGATGTCAAAACTATATGCTAAATAATTAGATACCAGCATTTATTTTCCAAGTCCTTTTTGATCAGCTTGATTCACACCTTACTCGTTCTAGATCCTGACAACAACAAAACTCCTGCCATGTCATCACATATGACCTGGCCATGAAGGAGGACAACCTCTGACACAAGGTGGAATTCTCAGCCTCGAGTATCACTATCAAGGCCAATCATCCTACTTCACAGAAAAGCCACGTCTAATTCTTGAGTCTACCCCTCTTCGATCCACAACCCAGCTCAGCCGAGTGGAATCTGCATTCGTTGGCTAGTAAGCTGAGAACTGAGTTTGGCCGAACTACGCCATCTGGGGCACAATGCAAACTTAGGCCGACGATCATGTACTGTGTCAGTCTCTATTGAAGTAGCAGCTAGGTTCCTCTACTGCTTGTAAGCGAAAAGAGGTAAATAGGTGACGGGAGCATCCGAACCAACGGCTCGTATGCATCCACATCCCTTGCATCGTACAGATAGAGAAAAAGCACGAGTATATTATGTACACTGGGATTACTTGACCCCTATATTACTTTCTTCCTGCAGACCACTTCTCACTGGGGGATTGTCGGTTACAGCAATAACAACAATAATGGAATCCCTAGTGACGAATCCGTTGTGGCCCAACATTGCCCATGAGCTAGCACTTTACCTATCTTTTACGGTGCCAACCGCCTTTCTCCTCATAACAACTCAAAAGTCATCCTCTGTTCGACGGGCCTGGGCACCATGCGTTCTTTACATCCTGTACCGATTCTCCCTTCGGGTACCCTCTCTGACGACGAGTCAATTCCTGAAAGGCGTGGCAGCGGGGTTACCAACCGTGGCTGCTCTGCAATGCCTCAACCTTCTCCTAATCACGAACCTGGACCAAACTGATCTGCTACGGGCAAATTTGTACGGTCCGTCTGCAGGTCTGCTTTCTCGCCTTTGTCATACCTGGGCATTGTTGCTCAACTTCCGCGGAATCGGCACGACCTGGGAGGTCAGGAATATACCCCAACATGCAGCGTATCTCCAACCAAACGGCAAGGACCAACCGCTGAGCTGGAAGCGGTATGTCTTGCGGGAAAGTGCCATCATCATATGGCAGTACCTGCTCCTTGATTTCATCTACGAGTCGACCAAGGACACGTCCCCCGAGGACTTGGCGCAACTCTTCGGCCCCGGCTTGGAATTCAAGTATCTCGACGCAACGTTCCAACAGTGGATGGGGCGCGTCTCCGTGGGGATCTTCTCCTGGCTTGTGCCCTCCCGCGTCTGTCTTAACATTACTTCCCGCATTTACTTCCTCATCATGGTGACCTTGGGCATTTCTTCGCCAGAGTCTTGTCGGCCGGGCTTCGGCAGATTGCGGGATGTATGCACCATCCGTGGATTCTGGGGGTAAGTAGACTTCCCCGGCACTTTTGCAGAGCAAGCTAGGCGCTCATATTCATCTACTAACCCACCACAGCAAGTTCTGGCACCAATCCTTCCGCTGGCCACTTACGTCTGTGGGCAACTATATCGCAAGAGACATCCTCGGGCTTCTCCGTCCCTCGCTCTTGGAACGCTACACCAACATCTTCTTCACCTTTTTCACATCCGGCGTACTGCATCTTGCCTGCGATGCTATTCTAGGCATCCCGCCGTCCACATCCGGCGCCATGCAGTTCTTCTGCTCGTTTCCGCTTGCTATCATGATCGAGGACGGGGTTCAGGAAGTTTGGCGAAGAGCGACGGGCCGGAACAAGGACGATGATCGCGTAGTGCCGCTCTGGCAGAGGCTCCTGGGGTTTCTTTGGGTAGGTGTCTGGATGAGTGTCACATCTCCGTGGTACTTATACCCAGCTGCGCGGCAACAGTCGGAGAAGAACTGGATGGTACCGGTCAGTGTTGCGGAGGAAATTGGCCTAGGGGCTGTGCAAAAGATTTTGCTGGGTTATGGCTTGTTCGTGTACTGGATGGTTGGTGGGGAGATTTAAAGTTATGTGTCGGGATCGTTGATAGTTGTTGAATATATTTTTATGTATACTTTTTTGTTCTGCGTAGTTATTATCAAATAGGTATTGTAGTGGTGGAGCCGGTGACAGTAGTACATTAGTGACCTGAGGTATCACAAATGCCTCAGGAGAGATGCAGTCTTCTCCCTCGAGAGATAGGAGTATCATCCATCCATCCCAATATGACTACAGCTTTCCACCAGATTCTTCATTCATGATATAGCCTCATTTCCAGTACGGTAGCCACCTACAAAGACCGCTCACTACGCCTGAGCTGGGCATGGGAGTGGTTGGTTGCGTCCTCTCTCCATTGATGTCGACCCGTCTGCTATGCCAGACTTTAGAATCTCATCTCTACAATATTATAAGGGCTTTCATTCTTACAAAGGTGGCTTTGGCCAAAAGGGGCCAGGAAGCGAAAACAGTAGATGGAAAAACAGTCTATATATAACCTCGCTTATCCAATAAAATGCGACCTATTTAAAGGTTCAACTCGCCATTAGTTTCCACCCTGTTGTCTGAAAGGTAAAATTGCTTTGGACTTAATTACCACGACTCCTAGGCTAAGCCATGGTACCCAGTTAACGGGCAATGACACTGGCAGTTGGCGAATAAGGCTGAAAAAACAGTTTACATATTGAACCATGGAACCTCGACCCTAAATCGTCAATTTCGTATATTATGTCCATATCCTATCGTGAACCATATTATACTAAATGAAGCCATTCCTGCTGTTTGCCGGAAGAGGCCAGCCAAGCATGTCCGGCGGCTTCCACATTGGGCCATACCGAGCAACATGCTGTGCCTTCCAAGGTTATAAAAACTTCCAATACTCCCGTGCATATTCCATGCTTAAAGAGAAAAAGGAAATTATTTGGAATGCCCTGGGTCACACCTTCCCCTAGCCTTTGCAAGTTTCTATTTCTTTTCCTCTGACATTGACATGTTCCCGAGGTGGTCCAGTAGATCACCCGCTTCCGCCGACTCGGCGAAAGAAATGATTTCGGTAAACAACCAGTCAATTTTCCAACCCTTTCTTTCTTCTTAAGCGGGGATTGATGTCTTCAAGAAGCCTTTCGCTCACTCTGTATCCTTCGCATATATCCTGTTTCATAAGCAATCGTCAGTTTTCCATCTTTTTATGAGTACCACAACGCAGCCGTCGCAGACCGATGGCAAGGCGCCGTCGACAACTTCGATATCTTCGGTAATCAAAATGCCCGACAACAATTTTCTACATTCGTACAGTCCCCCCGAGTCGGAGAAGAAAGCAACGGGGACCCGGAGCCTTGTCGTGGTGATGCACCATCCGACGACACTGGCGCCGCCGGCTTCACTCTACTGATGACCGTCGTGACACTGGCCTGAGCATGTTCCTGGTACGAGCTTGTCAATGAACCTTAGAATCTAGGTGCAAACTAACAATCGACTTTCATGATTAGGTTTCGTTGGATATGGTGAGTAGCTTCATGCATCGAACTCTTCCACTTTCTAAAATCCATGCGAGAAAGCTAACAAGCATGTATGCCTCAGACAATTGTTGCAACAGCGATCCCAAAGATCACAGATGACTACACAGCGTTACAAAATCCGGGCCTCCTTTAAAGAGCCTCGACCATGGATATGATAGCTAAACCATTGTCTCCGACCAAAAATGAAAACACTGAGAGCAGGGTAATATGGATGAGACCAAAGCCTGCAGAAGGTCTCGCTACATTCTAGCAAAGATTCGATTGCCCAAGTTCGCTATTTCCGATACCATGCCCGTGGCAAGGGACTCTCATGTGCACTCTTCGACATCTTGTTTCGCATGCGAGTTCATGAGGAGGGCGACGATTAGACCGTACAGGCCTTATGCACGTATTAGCTTCTCATTCGGCGTATTTCCCGAAGATATGATCTCGTTCTTACCAAGAACTTCAGCGAAGATGAGTATCAGAATCATGCCGACATATAATCTTGGCTGCTGAGCTGTTCCACGGACTCCGGCATCAGACGCCAATAGCGAAACTAAAATCATGATACAAGGATTATCTCAGCTATGTCTCGGGACTTCTCTGTAACGCAACTTACCCAGATGCTAAGCCGGCAAGGCCGACGGAGAGACCCGCACAAAACTGAATCAAGCCTGTATATAAGGGGAGATTCTGCTTCAGATCATTTGCGACAAGAACAGAAACGACTAAGCCATAGATCCCGATAATACCAGCCATCACAACCGGAACTATGTCTATTGAACCACGTCTGGGTTAGCGTCGCAGTCTCAAGTAATGAAAATGACTCGTTTTTTAACGGCAAACCCTTTCTGCAAACTCTTCCGGCACTCGGACGTGACATACTCTTTACAACCAAGTCGGGTCGCAAGACAGCCGTCGAGCAAACGCCAACGCCGGCCTTAGCAGTTCCGTAGGCAGCACCGAAGCAAGTGAAGACAATTGCGCAGACGCAGCCCATAGAGCCGACAAATGGCTGGGGTTTCAAAGTTAGCCACTGAAATTGGGGCAGCGAATTTAGACATGGTGAGGGACGAGGGCATGAGCTTTGGCTGATGCTTAGGTCGTCACGTTCGAATCAGCCACGAGGGAGGGCGAACTCACGGCATAGACAGGACTGAAAGAAGATCCAATGAGTACGGATCAGATGCAGGACATTAGAAGTGCAGAGAAAAAGATTGCAAGAGAAAGGGATCAGATGAAATGCGCGGGGTCCACGAGCTTTGCTTACCACAATTCTGAAACCATTTGCTGATAGATTTGGCTATTTGAGCGCTTGAGGCGGACAGCTTAAGAGAGATTTTAGAAGACAAGAACACAGTTATAAGAGACGACGGATGTTATAGACGTTGCCGCAAATAACTGAGAGAAGAGCTTTGAGTGGCACGATTGGACGACTGAGATGGAACTTCCCACGCCAAGTCTGCCTGTGGCCACGCTTCCAGAAGGCACCCCTGTTGAGCCCACTGTTCTCGTATGTTACCATAGTGACCGTACAGTTGACGTATTCTAAACTTGTGTTTTCCCACTACAATTAACTACTACACTACTAGTAAACTCTCTACACTCACCATCATTATGGCTAAGGAATACGAATCACCGTGGAAACCTCACGAGAGACCTTGTATTCAAGTTTTCATCGATACTACGCCTATTGAGATAGACTAATAGTTTCGAAGGCCTGGAGAATGCTAAGCTTCATAATGCGGTGGATAAGCGTATACTTCGCGACCAAATGTAGCGCCTGAAGTATATGTATGTGGATTGCATATCAATACAATCCGACCCTGAAGATATTGTACGAATGGATATTTAAAAGAATACGTGTGAAAGCGGATGCGTAAACTATTGGAGAATGAGAAATGGAGATGTACTAATGACTGTGAATTCCCATGACTTTCCACATTATCTCAAACATCACGATAGTATCTGTTCAGTGGCTGGGCTCTACCGAACGCCATCTGCCCCGCAAATTGTTTATTGACGGTACTTTCTTATTGAAGCGAATAGATCATTAAAGCATCGTATCTAGTGGTTTTAAAGAGATTACAAAAGGTGCGGTTTTTTGCGCGTTGTCTATATCCCTTATGATTAAATCTTATAATGTTCATTTGAAAACAAAGAAATCATAGCGAGGCTAGGGAAAACTGGTCACTACTTTGCCAAATAAGTGGGTCGATTGATTACCGTCAATTTACCACTTTCAAGCCCTTTAAAATAGCACTGGACTATAGTTTACCTGCCACTTTTGTTTATAGGATCTTACTATCTTAGGAGACATTTTCATTATTGGAAAAGCTAAAGGGAGGGGTGCACCATACGAGCAGAGTGCCTAAGCTGCCTATATCACGATTCAAATTGACGGGAAACAGAGGGAGATAAAAACACGAACAGAGGCAAGCTACACTTTGGTCAAAATCATGGCTGCGAAGCTTTGAAATAAATGATTTGTTAAACGGACTTCATGAGTAGATCGAATATTGATCAGAGAGGTCACAGATTGTTGAACTACCAACCTCAATGGCTGCACGCGAACATAATGAGAGCGAATGGTTAAGGGCGCTACATTTGGGGCCTGGCCCGGAACGAATAGAAATAAACGGACGTCTTCTAAGAAAAATAAACTTTCATTCATGATAGTAAGTGATTCAGTCTGTGACCTTGTACTGTAGGAACCTGAGGAATAGACAAAAGTGTTCGCCTTGTATCAGCGGGACTTCGCTATAATGGCGACTTAGTTGCGGAAGATCGCAAGAGGTGATTAATGAACCTACGTGCCGGGCTTGAGTACAGTAGCTGACATGTTCGGCTTCTACAATATGTGTGTGTGAATTCATTTACCGTAACCCCTCACAAATGAACGTTAAATAACCACTGACCTAAAATACGGATCCGCACTCAGCAAAACGAAGGGACGGACCTATATAGCTAGGTAGTCTCTGCATTCGCATGATAATATAGGGAAAACCCAAACCAAGGGAGAAACCTATAGCAAGAGAGCAGGAAATCAACACAGAATTATAACCAGTCACCCCAAACCGCAGTAAGCTAGGACTTCACCATAACGCACCAACAAGACATCTCTGCTGAACTTTATCCATTGTCCAATTCTCATTATCAAATTCAGACCCCTGTCCCAGCTGATCAAGCAAGCTGCTTCTTTCGGACCACCTCCAAGACGGTAAGAAGAGTGCCGTTTAATGGATCACGCCAAACCTTCTGCAATTCAAGCCCGACTGACTCTAGAAGGGATCTGAAATGTCCCTCTGATCGCTCCAACGATGAAAACACTGCCATCATGATCATGTCAGATGTAGCATCCGTATATGGAACCTTTCCTAATTGGTCCGAGAAGACACAGTCACAGATGAGAAGAGTCGACTGATCATTCATGGCAGCTTGAATGTGCTGTAGGATGATCAATGCCTCCTTATCTGGCCAATTATGAATCACCCTCGAGAGAACATAGAGGCTAGCACCATGAACCGGCTGGGGATCGAAAAAGCTGTGCCCCATCTTTTCAATTTGAGACGCATTTTCATGCGTGCGACACAGAGGCACATCCTTGTACTCTCCTTGGATCACATCGGGGATGTCCTGCAGGATAAGCCGAGCTTGTGGTGTGGGGAGTCTGTGCAGAAAGGCATTCAGCACTTTGCCAGAGTTACCACCGACATCAACCAAAGTAACATCGCTCGAGCCGGATGCAAACTTGTCCAGAAACCAATTTTGGGGGAGATAGTGTGCCCATACACTATCATTCAGGCTTTCGCTGGCTGCCATCACCTGATGGAATGCATCACGTTCAGCCTTCCTGTGGTTGAGCCAGTCATAAACAGGCAAATCAGTGTCGTGCGCATCTTGGAAGAGTCCCATTTTGGCATTTTCTGGTAGCGTATTTCCCGTCTTTTGGAAATAGGCAGGGAGTCTGCTAAAAACTGGCAGAGTGAGGCCACTATTTGCCAATTGAGATTGTATTAGTTGTCTGTTTTACAAAGTGATTTTCCAATAAACTGCGACTTACCTGAGCAAAATGACTGTATCATAAGCACCAGTTCCTGAGCGAAAGCTCTTTGTGAAGGTATTGGCTTTACACCTTCCCTCGGGTGTCACGTCAAACATGTCAAACGTGATAAGAAACCTCATAATCCGATCTAAGAGTGTCTCGTTAGCCCGTGCTATAGGTGACGGTCAACCTGAGTGATTCTATTTCTTACATATCAGTACTTGGTCAGTCTTTGTGCGCGTGGCAATTTCCGAGACATCGAACTCTTGCACCGAATCGTCTTCATTGAAAAGAGTGAAGATCCCAATATCAATTGCCAGCCTGAGAATGGTAGGTAGTATGAACTACGAAATATTAGTTAGAAGCAGTTGACACCCATGACTTGTAGTCAACCCGAGGAACTAACATCAAACGACCCTTTTAGCAGCCGATCCTGTGGGGTTTCCACGCATGCAGAGAGCTTTGCACATGCCTGGTAAAGGTTTTGCTGCTCTGTTCGGGTGAGGCCTGTTTGTATAGATGGGGACGATGCAGCTTGGCTCAGGGTACTCAGAAGACCGGGGTAATCCATTTTAGCCATGACCAAGTGATGAGATCTACGGATGATAGAACTCGGATAAAAGCTGATGAGATGGTTAATTCAGGGAAGAAAGAAGAAGAAGAAGCTAGCTACACTAAAACGTACATCACCTGAAGTAGATGGAAGCGGTCGGGCGACTTCCCCACTTCCACAACATCATGCCGATATCTAATAGCAAAAGGAGCACGACAAAAAGGGAAGATGGAGGCACTCAGCAGCCAATGACTGAGTCGAGACGTTCACATGTATGTTTTATACCAATATCTGACTGGTTTGTGGTCCCACCTTCTTGCGGATGCTGGGAAATGAGGCGCCGGACCAAAAAATGCAAAGGGGCCTGATAAGCAAAGCACAGAGTCCTATCTGGCATGTGTAATTAATGTGCTTTTCGAGTGCCATACCCATTCCCTCGATACAAGGATGCAGCTAGTTCTAGCGCTAAGGGCTGACACTCCCGCAGATGTGACTTCAGTCCGCGCCAGGCTAACGCAGACAAGATATAGATGGCTGACCTGCAAGGGAAAAGTCGCCGGGAGTCCGATAGCCACATTTTACATTCGGTTGATAATTTCTAGTCCGTTCTCCGCTAGGGTATGTCTGATGCATACAAAAGGAACCTCAGAGATATAGAGCAGCCGAAGGCACTAATCCGATCCACAATACTCGACGGAAATATTAAAGACAAAGCTGGACGCGCATATATATGCATGATGCTTGCACGGTGAAGTTGATATATCCATTGAGATCGATCATATGTGGCTGTCCGGGCATACTGAGAACTATCGGGACGTAGACCAATGTTGATCAGTATCGCTTGGGTTTCTCAATGACTAGACAGTCGTACTGTAGTTGGTTCCAAGGTCGGAGTAGACGGGACTGGATCATCATTGCCCTGATTTTACAGTCGTGTAACGTTCAATCTGTATGGTGTGTGCGGCCCCCATCTTACCAGGAGGGGAGACATTCTTTTGGGTACCGGGCCCAGAACGCAGAAACTGCATTCTGGAACTGCGGCGAAGTTGGGAAGTTGGCATCGTTGGCCCTTGTGCGCTCACCCTGCGCATTCAAGGGACGGCGAGGTGATCGGGATACAGAAGGATGTGGATCTATAGAAATAAAGACAAATAGATTCGGAGAGAAATGAGAGAAATAGAGAAACTGCTAAGAACAACTATCTACTTCCCTGGTGGGGGAAAGCCTGCACTCAGACCAACTTCCATAACACGAGGCAACAAGTGTCGCCATTGGAAGTCGAAAAAACCGTAAATCCCGTCACTGAAGGGAAAAAATATGACCCGTGTGTGCTCCTTGCCGTCTTCACCCACTATGGGGGTCGTGGGACTTTGCAACGACATTGATGGCCTTCCGACGGAGGTAAGCTCCTGAAGTTGTTTGAGCCTGTTTAACCCACAGAGTCCCGGTAATGTGGTACTACACTCTTGCTTGATATCAGACAGGATAGTATTGCAGTATACTTTCAATGAGTATTCTGAGAACCTATGGTCTCCGAAGCAAATGCAAAATCACTTATCGAGACTGATAAATTCCCTGCCATGTGTAAGGATGGTACTATGACTATTCGCAAAGACTATACTAGGAAAAGACAGCATATTGGCTCTAGGTAACGGCTAAGCGCACTAAGAAAGACGAAGAAGCCGGAAGCAGAGACACACAACTCAAAGGATAGACTAACAGACACTCTTGCCAATGCTGAACCAGGTCGGACACCCACCCCCACTCCTTTCCCTACTTTCACATCCCGTTGCCCAGCGGCTGGTTGGCCTTCAACTGCAGTGCATCTTCGAGGAGCTTTGATCCTGCATTATGGAGGCCGGTCACGTTCGGGTGGATGACCTGCTTGGCTTCTTCGAGGAGCTTAGATCCTGAAGCATGCAAGCGGGACTCGTTCGAGTGACCAGGTTTTACAGACCTCCAGCCAACCATTTTCTGAGCAAGTGGGGTCATGGTCTCAACAACCGCGCGTGGCATGGCCATGTAAGTCTCAAAGGGAGTAATCTGGCAGCTGCTAAAGAAAACCAACACCGCACGTCGCGGGTCAGGAACGTCCACAGGGTGTGCCCCTCCGGCATGTATCACACCCTGGGCTAGAACAAGCACATCCCCGGCCTTCATCTCCGTTGACACGGTCTGAGCATCCGTCAGATCCCCGATCTCCGGCCATTTGTGACTTCCAAGAATGACGCGAGTCCCGCCATTATCTCGTTTAAAGTCTGTCAGGGCAAGGATGAAACTTGTGGTAATTGGCGGTGCGCCAGGCTTCTGGTGGGAAAGCAGAGGGTGGCTCCCTTCGTCGCGGTGCAGGTTTTGGGCAGTCGTGCCTGGGTGAAGCTCTCTCAGGAATGCCGCGGTTAGCCAGTAGTCTCCGGTCTCTTGGAAGATCTTTTTGGCTAGGCCGTGGAGAACAGGGCTGTTCAGAATATCATTTCGGAAGGTGTTGCTGATTCCCGGCAGATTGAATACGTAGTTTGACTGAAGGTGGAACTGAAGCTCCTGGTTCGTCTTCGCTGTCATTTCGGCAGCCTTTGCAGCTGGATCCAGCTCCCGGTTGAAGCGGCTAATTGTGTCGTCGGAGAAGACGCCTTCGAGAATCACCGCCCCGTCGTCTTCGAGGACTTGGCAGACCACGTTTGGGTCTGCATCAGCTGGAACCCTTCCAATTTGTGCTTTGGAGGAAGGGTCGGGACGAGTCATAGTGAGAGAAGCCTTAAATGCTTTATCAATTGGAGAAAGAGGTCGACCAGAATAAGTCCAATGTCAACTTGCTTGAACAGGAAACATAGATGGGTGGAAGCACGGTTTATGTCAGTAGCATCACGCCAACTCCCTGCGGCAAGAGCGACATCCTTTTACGCCGGAACTTCCCCCTCACACACCCACCCAACCTTTCCGCCACAATAGAAAGATTTTGCGTCGGTGGTTGGTCGGGAGGGAGGGGGTTCAAGTCGAACTACCGAGCTTCACAAGCATTCCTAACCCATGTCCCATCTGTATGTCTGCGGGTTTGTGTTCATCCAAATGCGAGGGTGTCATGTAAGGGTGATGACTCCGTAGCCTTTGGTAAACCAGAAGCTGTGGCCTCGCAGCCAGGCTCATCCTTATTGGATATTGCCTTTTCGTTCTCGGGGGCTGTGAGGGCATCATGGCTGACGCAGATGCAGTCTGGCGGTGAACGGCCTGGGAGCATCAATAGTTCTGGCGTAGTATGCCGAGTTTACCACCAAGTACCTACCTCAGTGTCTCCTTCATGTCGCTATGCATGGCATGCCACGCAAGAAGTCATGTTAGTTGTTCATCCGCCCTGCATATTGAGTCGTAAAGTACGATGCAATGATAATACAGACCTAAAGAGGAAACGAGAAAAGAAAGTAGAGTGAGATACCCCGGACAATCTACCTAATTCACTACAGTGCCTCGGCGTTAATACGTCGTTGAGAAAGAGTATGACAGCTGATAACAACAGATACCTCGCAAGCAAGTCTAGATTGTGCACTACCATATAGAATCAAGATTCCTCCTCGCCTACACAAAGGGCTTACTGCATGATCTGGTGAATTCTTGCAAAATGCCTGGAACCCAGGCGGGCGATAGGATACCAGATTAGACTCCAGAGGTCGGCTTGGGAATAGTTTATTTTACGTAGCCATCTGTTGCAGGTGGAACGCTGCACTGCGGTAATAGCTTAGCTGCAAAGAGATGCAAATGCAAGACTCACATATTGTTGTGGAAGTCGGCCTCAGGGCAGGCTTTCCCCCACCATGCAGGTAGTAGACCTATTTCTTCCTGCACCATATCTTCATATCTTCGGATATCATCATTTTCCAGAAATCTGCATAACTATCGTATCCAGTATTTCTATCATAAATGCAAGATTTACATATGCAGCCCGAGAATTGCTTCTACTGGCCATTTACAATGCATTCCTGGGTCTAGACACGGGCGATAGCTGCGGTGACCAAGGGTATTGGGCGTCACACCTTTTGGAAGGACTTATGGTTTTCTTTTTTTACTGTCTTTTTGGCAGGATATTGTGACGCTTTCATGCAACAGGTGGATCTTTCAGCACAATACCTTGCTCCGAGAAATAGTGTAAACCCACATTGAGGGCTGTGGATTAGATACGCTCGCGACTTACCGCTGTTTCACATATTGTGTTCTAGTCGCACAACAAAGCAATCCCTGCAATTTGCTATCGTCCATATACTTCCCTGCAATAATCCCAATAGGAAGCTTCTCCTGTTGCCGCAATTCCAACCCAGAAGCCACAAAAAGGTATCAGCAGGAGCATTACGAGGACTATGGGATTACTTCAAGGCCGAGTACGTGTGATATACCAGCTCTCATTAATGTACAACGACAACTAACGGCGTTATAACAGGTAGTCATTGTTACAGGAAGCTCCTCGGGAATCGGTCTCGCGACAGCGACACAGGCAATAAAAGAAGGCGCCCAAGTGTTCGGAGTAGACATCTCGACCTATCCTCCGTCATTAGCAGACGAGCCCAGCTTTCGATTTTTCCAGTGCGACTTGACCACCAATGGTTCTTCCCGGGCGATCGTGCAAGCTTGCTTGGAGGCATACGGGGAGAAAGTCGACGCCCTCTTTAACATAGCGGGCGTGATGGACAACCACGGCAGTGTCGATACTCTGACGAACGAGAGCTGGGAGCGCTGCTTGGCAGTCAACTTGACCGCACCAGTTGAGTTGATGCGCGAAGTGATTCCAATTATGCGAAGGGAGAAGAGCGGAAGCATCGTGAATTTGGCTAGTAAAGCAGGTACCTCCGGCGCAGCATCCGGGGTGGCCTACACTGCGAGTGCGTAATCAGACCCGAGTCACTTCGCGGAATTGTGTCCCCGGGTACACTTTACTGACAGTCTTTGTTCAGGCAAGCATGGTCTGATCGGCGCGACCAAGAATGTTGCATGGAGATACAAAGATGAGAATATCCGATGCAATGCGGTCTGCCCTGGAGGTATAAGAAAATATGACCTCTTTCTTTTATGAGTGAATAGCTTACCCAGTATAAACCGTAATAGGAGTCCTGACACCTATGCGGAATAGCTCGGATCCAACTACCCTGGATTTTGAAGCGCTGGCGTCGATGCGGCCAGTTCATAGCGCCCATATGGCTCCCGAGCAGGGGCCATATATCAAGGCAGAGGAGATCGCCACGACAATAGTTTTTCTGGCCTCAGATTCCAGCCTTAGAATCAATGGTGCAGTTGTGCCCATTGACAACGCCTGGTCGACAATCTAGGTTATTTGTTGATAGCCATTGGCAGAGAGACATCTACATTTATATATCACCACCATTGTTTTGGTCATGATCTTGCGAGCAACAGAGAAAACTGATTCTATTATTGAAGTGCTTGTAGTGTTGCAATATACTCCCTGTAATGAAGTCAAGGGGCTCACACCCAATATCCACTTTTACGACGGGGCAAAACATAACCTTGGAATTCGCTCGAGCGGACCACCTAACGAAAAACGCGTCAATGAATTGGACCATCCAATCCTTGAATGGCTTTCTCTCTAAAAAACCATCATTTTTTACGGTATCGATATTGATGAGATCTATCACTTTGACGAGACCGGTTTTGCCATGGATTTAAACACGAATAGAGAGGTGTAGATGGTCCGACTATTTATTGTCCCGGTCATGAAGATGTCGAATGTGCTTGTACGAGGAGTACTATGTCAAGTCCAGCGAAATGTTCAAGTCTAGTCTCTCCCCCAATGAAAATTTTTTAAAAGAAAAGAAATATCTGCTGAGCTATATTCCATATGGAAGAATCAATGCCGATCATCATATTCATGCCCGGTGCTGCATGGATCTCAACACATGATGATATATCACACAAACTTACATATGTGACTGTCACATAGACCGCGAAAATTATTAAGTAGAGGCGGCGGAGTAAACTTGGAGGACAGGGAAGCTGAAAAGAGAGACATCGTGGAATAGTAAAACGTGTCTCAGCGCAATGCGTATCAGGATCTTCCTATTTTCTTAAAGGTGGTAATGATGATCAAACAGCCGAGTCACTCAAATCTTCAACTTTCGGCTTGAGAGCATATACCATGTAGGATGGTATGAATGGCAAGTTACATCTATCTAGCTGGTTATTTGGAGTAATGCTAGCCCTACATTTCAGAACGATCAGAATGCACATATGCATATTCTGAGGAAACGGCGGTAGTCTTTGTAGCTGATACAACAGTAGCAGTGGGTCTGTTCAAGTGTGGATCAAGTCGCTTGCATAAAATACTGGAGAATCCCTTAGCCCTTGCTTTTTGACTGCGGAGTTGTTATGGCTCCATATGAGGTACCCTGAGCATTGGTCATTTCATGACCTCATACCATGCCTATCACCCTGGGCCCTGCCTAGCCTATCTGTCTATCGGCTGATAACTTATCTTCCTTTTCTGCTAGCCCTGCAGCTCTCTATTTATCCTTGGTTACCAGATAACTTCACAGAGATTGGCCTCCCCATTTCCAGCTCAGTTTCCCACCCATACAGGTCAAACTGCATCTTCCTCAAAGACTCAAGTCATATATCTCACCCTACCTCGCCCCCAACATCGTCTTGTCTAATCAGTGGATAAAGATGCAACGCCTTTCGGCAACAGCCGACTTTGACGCCATCTTTCAGGCGTTCCAGGAAGATGGCGGAGTGATCATCAAAGGACTTCTAAGCCCATCCGAGGTCGCAAGTTTCAATCGCGAAATCCAACCTGCAATGGACAAGCTCTATACCAGAACAATCCAGAATGATGATAAAGCCGTGAAAATAATGGGTGACAACCGAACAAAACGATTTAACAACGCGGTCTGCGAGAGCGAAACATTCCGGCGGACGATCATAGAGAAAGATCTCGTGCATAAAATGTCCGACGCGGCCTTGAACCAGCACAGTGGAACAGGGTACTGGTTGAGCAGTACACAGGTGATCGAGCTCGAGCCGGGTGCTCCGGCTCAATTTCTCCACCGGGACCAGGAGATGATCAGATTCTGGAATTCCCTGGGCCCTTCCGCACCGGAGGCCATGATGAATTGCTTTGTCGCTCTGACTCCTTTTACAGAGGCCAACGGCGCGACACGCCTTGTCCTAGGAAGCCACCGATGGCCGAAGTTTGTTGGGTGTAGAGAACCCGGCTTCGAAGGCTACGAAGGAGTGGAATCAGTACCTCTCGAAATGGACACTGGTGACTGTTTTTTCATGTCGGCGAAGTTACTCCACGGGGGTGGCCACAACTCAACTACCACGGAAAAACGCCGTGGGCTGTCCATTACGTTAATTCGTCATGACTTGACACCATATCAAGCATATGCTGTAACAACCCCACTTGATATTGTCGCTTCTTTGTCCTTTAGGGCCCAGGGCCTGTATGGATTCCGCAGTCCCCATTGGGCTGAAGACAACTGGTGTTACAGCTCGTGGGCAGCCGACGAGGTTGATGTTGGAACGCGTCTCGGCCTTCCGACGAATGGTTACAAAAATTAAGGGTAGATTTCCCTTTCTGAGGGCAATATCTACTGAATCAACTGCCGGTCTCGCGTTTTTTATTTTCATTTCCAATCTTGTTGTTTGAACTTCGCTCAAAATTAGGAATTACCAGTTCTATATTGTTAACCGGGCATGACGATTCAACCTCCTCATGGAACTGGTGTCATGGGCTCCTCGTGCGAGGTACCTAATTTCAACCTTTCGGTTTCTCTATTGTTGTGAAAGTCGGTCTAAATGCAGGCTTTCCCTCACCAGGTGTAGGCAGTGGTTCAATTTGTTTAGCTTCTTCCTTTTCTCACCTTCCACTACCTTCGCGAATATCATCATTCATTTCTGAGAACATGCATATACAGTAGCCTGCTTTTTCATCAATATTCGCATTACAGAATGGCAGCACAATCTTGTCTGAAGTAGTCCCCAGATTATATATAGCGTTGTGCATTACTCCCCTTGTTGGCACATTTCTCAGAATGTGGACCACGCATTGTCTATAAAGATCATGGCACTATTAAGTGTGATCAATTCTCTCTGATGAATATAGACGACAATATGGAAGAAGAAGAGAAACTAACCGAGGAACTATCTACTTCCCTGGGTGGGGAAAGCCTGCACTCAGACCGACTTCCTCAACAGATAGTACATTGCAATGGGTCACAAAGTGGGGGAACAGGCTCTGCCTACTTGGTATTGCAAGCCTCCATGTCTAATGCGATACTATCAATATTGTCACAGCCAAGGCAGCTGACCGTGCTTGCTTTTTTCATTATGCTAGGATAATCCAGGCCCTTGCCTTGCTCTACCGACATGCTACAAGAATTTCATCTTGAGTGGTTGACATCGTGCTCATTCTAGCTTGACCGATATTACTAGATCTATCCAGAACTGCACATGTGTGATGGTCGCTGTTGCAGGTCTTGAAAGATATTGGTACGACAGCATCGAAGAGGTAAGGGGAGGCTGCAGGCAGCCTTTAGCCCTTACTTGCACCGATTGCCATCTCTTACTCAAATGGATTCTTGACTTGCCTGACTCGGACTAAGTCCGGTATGAGCATGCACTCAGGCCGAAGGGCGGGGAGTACCTTGGGTAGAAACCAATGCTGTGAAAATGGGGGAGTATCCTACCAGTCTATTGTCGGTCACTAGTTTCCAAGCGGGACTTCTGAAAGATCACAGATCACTATCATTTTCAATGATAGCCGTTGCGGGATATTAATGTAAGGAATCTAAACACCAAGCATAAAACAACGATCACTCCAGCAGAACCATGGATAGTAGGTTAGAAGTGGAATATAGCTACCATTGGCGGTCTATCTGCATTAAACACGACTGAGCGCGCCCTTATATACCACCCTACGGTTTTACATCGTCTTTGTACCCATGTACCAACATCTGATCTAAAATCTTAGATTTGATCCGCCCAGTCTAATGCCACTCGCTAATGTCCCCACACACCCGACCGTCATTGACCAGTCTGATTCGTGAATCAATTATCGTTTCTTGTCGGCAAGGTTGGTTGTGTTATGACTTGCAGCCTCTTTGTCTCGAATATGGCGCAAGACAAATATATAGCATAACTCAACTATCGTGGTAGTTGCGACGAACCATTTCATTAGGGCGGTGTCCAAGAAGCCAAAGACCTGTGGCCAGTATGTTACCCTAAAATGCGCATTGAAACCGGCTGCCAGATTGCCGATGAATCGAGAGGCCCTACGTCAATTGGTTAGTAACCTGCGTATGTTTCATCGGGACCAAGGAAGGGGGCCCGATTGGGTGGTTGGGGGGTTGCCTTGATATCACTCACCACATTGTATAAGAAGTACCCCGAGAGCTACCACGAATTATCAGCTGGCAGAGAGACCCCACGGTGAGCAGAAGATAGCAAAAGCAAGCTACCACTGTCGCAGCAACACCCGGTCCGAGGGTCGCGGCCGCGGCCAGTTGGCCCAGGATGCATGCTACCATTGTCAGGGCAAATATTAGTGGAATATTTTCCCGGACTAATGGAGCATGTTGCCACTCATTTGGCGCATATCGGATTGCACATAGCATGATGCCCGGGTTCAGAAGTAACCAGGTGACGATCATGATCCATTGATAAGTGTCATTGCAGGGATAGACCAGTGTATAGACAATCTCCCATGATAAATTCAAACACATCGGAAATATCGCCATCCCATATGTACGGTCTTTGACCGATCTATGGATTGAATCACCATAATTGATTGCCCAGCCAATGGTCTCGATAATGGTAGCAACATTCGCAAACCAAGCGACAGCCTGGTATTCCGGAGGCGGGATAGCACCAATAAACCAGTCCATGACAAGCCCAATCCGTATGAAATAACCTTGTTCGGAGAAATTGAACTGGCGTCAGGTCGTGAAGATACGTGTCTGATGTGAATGGCTCGGGATGAATGAACAGATGATGATAAATCAATGAATGGTATTTAGATGCGTGCGGAGAGAAGAGAAAAACTACTGAGCTACAGAACTAGATATGAAAAAGTAGGTGGTCACATGGACGCCGATCTAAGAAAGAGACGGGGCATGTGCATGCTCACCGAACAGAATGATTGATTTCTGAGATTTGGGTGGGGGTTTGCATCTTGATTGATTTTGCAAGGGGGTAGAGCCCAGGCCCATATCCCACGGTCGAACTATGTATCCCTACCTACTTAATCGGCAGCATTATTGAAATGCGTGACGCCCGCGGGTCGGCTGAATCGAATACTCTGATGGCGTTTTGTTTATGAAATGCAGGCCGCGTGGCCCTATCGACAATGCATTCTAACGACAGTACACTATTACTTTGCTGCGTAAACATGGCATGTTTGACGGTGCGTTGATGCTGTAAACTCGCTGACCGCTAGTCTATCCTACATACGGTTGGGTTAGGGCCCATTGATAGGGCTCCGGGCTTACCTCTTGAGATAAGCCACGTTGTAGACGAGAGAAGGAAGGACACCGCGAAGGGGAAACACTAAAGTATGCTTGAGGCGTCTAGTAGGCATAGGTCGAATACAAAAGTTCCAAATCGATAGACACCCTGGGAATTACATGCAGATCGGTTCAGTCTGTCAATCATGGCTTTTGAGGACCGACTCTGGAGAGTCACCTCGGACTACTGGCAGAATAAAACAGGGAAGTCATTGGCAAGAGCCATCCGGTAGTCCAGGCCCCCGAGTGGGTTAAATATGTTGATTGACTCCATCAACCTCGCAATATGGATTTCTGAGATATTACAAGCGGTCATATAGAGCAAATATGAAATGATCAACATCTTCTCAAATCAGCCCCATCTAGAGCAGCGATCAATGTGAGTTTGGAAAATCTGCTTCTCTACGATGAGTCCTGTTGTGTCCGTCTGTCTTCGGGTCTTATTTGTTGTTGTTTCGAAGAACCCCCTCAAGCAGCCTTCAAAATATTTTGTCTAAAATACACTATTCAGAAATGTTGTGGAAGTCGGCCTCAGGGCATGCTTTCCCCCGCCATGCAGGTAGTAGACCTATTTCTTCCAGTAGTTTATCTTCTTCTTTTTCACACATTTGTCATCTTCATACGAATATCATCATTCATTCAGGGATCCTGCGCATACACAGTAGCCAGTGTCTCCATCAAAAATTTCCTCGTCTAATGCCCTTCGTCCCACACTGTTTGGTCCCCTTCCTCTTCTTCCTGTCTTTGAGTTGACATATATGCACGCCATCCGACGTACCTCTGTCCGATGAGAAAGTCTTTTTCTCCCCCTTAAACAGTGTCCCAGAACCCTCCTTTCTGTAGATAGACCTCGATCACGCAAGCAGAACTCGTCCACAAACCCAAAAGAAAATTCTCCCAATGAATACGGGCACCGCTCTCCGGTTTCCCCGAATCAAACTGAACAATCTGCTTTATCATGGCACTGCACCAAACCCCCATCCACGAGAGCCACAGCCAAGGGGAATCAATCTTGGACACAACAAACGGAATCGTTACGAGAGTCAGGATGCTCAGAAACGAGAGAAACAATCGGATGCGATCACCCGCGAAAACGTATGCAGAGTTGACCTTCATCTTCCGGTCGTCAACGCTATCCTGGAAGCTATAAGCAGTGTTGAAGTAGAAACACCAGACGAAGACAAGAAGCACAATCGGTGCGCAATGGTTGACGATATCAGCCGTCGATTGATCTTGCCCATTGATCGAAGCCCAGCCTGTTATTGCCGGGTAGCTGACGGCGAGGCCGAGAACGTACTGGGGGTAGATGAAGACCTTGCTGAAGACAGGCCGCTTCAGATACGGGTATACGATGATAGTGGCTGTTAGCGGGAGCATTAGGCTCCAACTGGGATGGGGGTGACATGGTCAGCTTTTCCTGAATTCATGGAGAGAGAGTTGCTCATCTACATACATCCTCTGCCCATCCAATATCCAAACTAGAACGTTCACCGACAGTGCATACTGAACGATCAGCCACGCCAGCGCCTGGATAGTGGAGACCCGCCCGGAGGCCAATGGTCTGCATTTTGTCCGAGCCACCCTAGAATCGATATTCCGGTCCACCAGATCGTTCCATGTGTTTCCGGCACCGCATAGTAAGAGGCAGTGTAGGGAGGAAAGGATGGCTCGGTTGAGGATGTGCTCAACGGAGATACTGTCGCGGGCCTCTTGCAACCTGAGAGCACCTGCAATCAAAGTAGACCACACTATTTTGCATAGTCAAGAGATGAACTTCAGGCACTGCTCACAAGAGACAAAAGACGGGGCAATATTCCTTACCGGCGGCAAATATCGTGTAGTAGGGCATGTAACGGTTATACCGCGAAGTTTTGATCAGGTCTAGAGCAAGGTGCCGTGACTCTGATCTCTCGGCCGATGAATGACGGCCCATTTTTCATCTGGACTTTCTAACTAGACTAACAAAAGGATATAACTGTAATGTAGGACAGTAAGGTCAGTATGTTGAGGTGAGGCAGATGGAAGTGTGTATTGTAGGAATCCGAATGGGAGGGGGTGGGAGCTCTATGAGAGGTTAATTCACAGTCCAGCCAATGTAAGGGACAGACCTTGTGACAAGCTGTGTGACGGAGATACAGAAGAATGTGGATCTCTAAGAATAAAGACAAATCGATTCGGGGAGAGAAAGGAAGAGAAACTAAGCTAGATGAGAGCTATCTGTTTCCCTGGTTAGGGAGAGCATGCACCTAGACCAGCTTCTAGAGCCATATGATCTGGCCAACCAAGATCTTGAGGATAAGGGGAGCGTGGGCTGGCAGCTTGAGGAAAGCTAGTAGATCTCACTGCAGAAATTAAGATTTAAGGTTTACGAATTAAGAATTACGAAGTAAAAATTAAAATTAAAATTAAAATTAGGAACTAAAAGTAATAATTTAAGAATTAAGATAAGAAATTAAAATTTAGAATTAAAATTTAGAATTAAAATTAGGAATTTAAATTAAGAATGTAAATTAAGAATTAAAATTAAGAATTAAAATTAAGAATTAAAATTAAGAATTAAAATTAAGAATTAAAATTAAGAATTACGAATTAAGAATTAAAACATTAAAACTCCAAAAGCCAACTCTTAACGTCAGGTATCGGTTGTTGTATACGTCCCCGTTCGGTCACTCAAGACCCAGCAGATGATTTTAGAGGCTCGACCACAATGTCCGAGGTAAAGTTCAAAGTTATCATCGTCGGTGGATCCATAGCCGGGTTGACCCTGGCCCATTGTTTGCATCGGCTGGGAATTGACTACATCGTTTTGGAACGAAGAGATGAGATCTCGCCTCAGGAGGGTGCTTCGGTTGGGATAATGCCCAATGGCGGGAGAATATTAGATCAGTTGGGGTTGTACGATCAGATTGAAGAACTCATTGAGCCTCTATACTCGGCTCACATGCGGTACCCTGGTGGGTTCAGTTTCCAAAGTCAGTATCCAAGGATTTTGCGTGAGCGGTACGTTTCTTCTGGATTCACTTCCCCTTTCTATCCTTCGTTCTAACCTTTCCAAGATTTGGCTTCCCACTCGCCTTTCTTGACCGCCAGAAACTCCTAGAAATTCTACACCAGTCGCTTCCAGACGACGGCAAAATCCTCACCGGCAAGAAAGTGGTTGAGATCCAGCATTACGAAGATCATGTCACTGTACAAGTAGAGGACAACTCTTACTATGACGGAGACATCGTCGTGGGCGCAGATGGAGTACATAGCAAGGTACGAGAAGAAATGTGGCGATTGATGAACTCAATGCAGCCAGGACTCATCAAAGAAGGCAGAAAAGGTGAGATAAAAACATCCCCTCCAGACGAGATAGGGGGATAGACAGACCTGACATGCTGAGGTAGACATGACGATTGAGTACGCTTGCGTTTACGGCATCTCATCACCTAACCCAGGTCTTAAGCCCGGGCAGCAGATTACCTGTCTCAACGACGGCTGGAGTATCCTGAGCGTCATCGGCAAAAAGGGACGGACTTTCTGGTTTCTGTTCCTCAAACTTGACAAGCGATATACGTACGGCGCCGCCCCCCGGTTCTCTGCTCAGGATGCGTCCGTCTACTGTGAGAGATTGCGCGACAAATCATACTGGGGAGATGTAACGTTTGGCAACCTTTGGGACAAACGAGAGGCCTTCAATATGGCACCGCTGGAGGAGGTGCTGTTTTCCAAATGGCATTGGGGACGAATGGTTTGCATCGGCGACAGTATGCACAAGGTATATAATCAGGGGCACTCCAACGCTACACACTACATGTGCGCTGACATCCGTCATTCTAGATTGCACCACACACAGGCCAAGGTGCCAATTGCGCCATAGAAGATGCGGCATGTCTGAGCAATCAGTTACACAAATACTATGCCAGGACTGATAGCTCCAGGCCCTCCTCTCTCGAGATTAGCCAAATTTTCCAACGCCTGACACAAGAGCGGATCAGTCGCTTAGCAGATCTAGACCAAACTGCGCGGTTGGCCATGCGCCTTCAGGCGCGGGAAGGGATAGTCAAAAGGCTCTTGGGCCGGTTTATGCTGCCTTACTTGGGGGATAAACTAGCGGACTGGGCATCAACAGACATAGCGAACACGGTGATACTGCACACGATGCCCGCTTCAAAACGGCCAGGATCCGGATGGGAAAAGTTCAAACCAAAAACCAGGACGTTCTTGCCTGGAGTCTTAGCTGGATTTCTCTTCCTCTTTGGTCTGACGATTGCATTCAGAGGGTAGACAGTGACGCTCAGCGAATTAGAGAAGACTAGATTAAATGAGATGGCGGGAAACAGCCAATTCCAAATACGATTGATTGGAATAGAGAGACCTGATTTGTGGATTATTGATGGAACCTTGGAATATCCTGCACTGCTGCTTTCCGCACCGCGTCCGCTTCATTGCATGCTGTCACTTTTCATGAGACATCTCGATGCTTCATCACGCGACGCTTATTTCCGATGGCTTATTTCTGATGCTCTATTCCGCACGATACTCGGATTTCTCTTATCTTCGTTTGCGGGCTCTTTCCATGTAGGTGTATATATCTCCACGGTGAGGCCTCATTTCACAGAATCAATCATTTTATTCTCGATTCCTCAATCTACTTCTTTTGCAGTAGGCATTTCATTACTTATGCAGTTGACTTGTGGACTGTGGTCTGGAATCCCGTCCTGCGCATAGACACAGTCGACCGCAAGTATAAGGTGGTATGTCGTTACTGGCCATCATCCGCCTCTTCCTAGTAGTGAGTGTGATCTTCCAAGGTTGACTCGGCCTAGTTTTATATTTTGGCTATCTTGGCCGTCTTCAAGGCTCATCTGCCTGTCTTTTAGACATGCTATGTAGTATTGAATAAAGGAATTCTAACAAACTTGACAACGTAAGACCCGAATTAATTAGTCATTCTCTGTCAGCAACAAGCGAGGTAACATTATCGTTGAGAAACAAAACAAAGGCAGTTCCTAGAGGCGGACGTGCCTTTTAAGAAATTCATATCCATCAGCTACAGCGTCCCTGGCTTCCTTGGAAGCATGGAAACTTGGATATAGATCAAACAGGTGCAAGGCCTCCCTTACCACCCGGATCTCCGCTTCAACACCGTTTTGCACCAAGACATCATAGGTTGACTCTGTCTGCTCAAAAGGAACTAGATCATCCATTGTTCCATGGATGAGGAATGTCGGCGTGCCGTACCGACCGGTGCGGATTTGGTAATGCGGACTAACTGCCTGAATCTCCTCTTCAGTCGGACGGGGGATGTCATCTGCCTTGTCCTTGTGTCTCCACCCCTTGAGGAGCATATCCAGTGTCTGCCCTTTCCAATTCATGTGCAATGCAATGCGACTGCGCGGATCCCTCGTTGACATCCATCCTCCCAGCGGCCGTTCCTGTGGCGGTATGTTATAGCCCACGATCGGGGTATCACGCACACCTTCCCACACATCGTACTCCATGTCGTTTGGTGCGACCGTTTTTCCGAAGGGGAAATTGGGGCGCGACCAGAACGGATCCTCATAGTTGGTGGGGCAATAGAAGGCAAGAATGGCATCCGGAGCAGCGATCCCTGCAGCAGGGGCCGTCCATGGTAAGGTCATAGCGAGATGGCCACCGGTGGACCACCCGACAACCACAACGCGGTTTCCATCCGGTCGGATATCTGGACGAAGGAGGGGCAAACTTGGCAGGGTGTTGCGAATCCAGTTAAGAGCATGGCAGACGTCTGCCATAGGCCCGTCTACTAGAGAGACCTCCGGGCATAGTCGGTAGTCAATGCTAATAGGTAGGAACCCGGCGCGGAGCAAGATTTGAGTCTGCGACGGGCGAATGTCGTGGCGTGAGAGTGTTACATGACCGCCACCATGGATCATCAGAGCTGAATAGAGCATTAGCTATGGGTACTTGTAAGATAGGATATGTGGAAGACTCGTACCAATTGGGCGGGGCGTCCGCAAAGTGTCAACTTCATTAGGATAATATATATCCACCTTCAACTCGAGATCGCTTCTGCGTGCCCAGACCACGGTTTCCATCTTCACTGGCTTGGTAGAAATTCCTTGAGTCAATCCAGACACTCCTGATGGTGAGCTGACGATAACACGCAGCGCATTCGATTCCACGGTCTCATTGTCAGTCCAGCCCACCCAGTCAAAGCCAGCCTGGTGGAGTGTCTGATGCCAGAGCTGTTCGCTCGCCAGAGCATGCTGGCGGCCATCATCAAACCGCCACCAGCCCTCAAGGAGGCCGAACACAAGATCTAGCCAGAATATGTCGCGTGTCAGCTCGACAAGACAAAGGATTCCGTTGGGCTGCAAAAGAGTGCGTATATGCGAGCAGCTCTGGGCAATGCTCCGTGTTGCATGGATGCAGTTCGTCGACAGCACGATGTCGTACTGGCCGTGTAACCTTGTAGGGGGCTCCTGCTCAATATCCAGGGTGTTGAACTGCACAAAGTTGTAATTGGCGAATTTCTTTCGCGCCGCTGCTATGAGTGATAATGAGATGTCCGTGAAAGTATAATCAACACGGGTAGTCGCTCCAGGTAAGTTCAAGAGCTGGTCGAGGAGAAACTTGGTAGTGCCTCCAGTGCCGGCACCAATTTCGAGGATCTTGATCGGTCGATTGTTCCCGAAACGTTGGATGACATCCATCAGATACCGCGCGAGATAGAGATTGCCCGACTTGAACACTGGAGAGTGCGTATAGACATCCTCAAGCAAACACCGGGTCTGGGCATCACGGAAGATCAGTGATACTCCGTCTGCTCGACCGGACAGACAGTTTGCCAGCTGCGGACCTGTAATCTGGAGAAGATCGTGCTCCAATTTGTATGCAGGGTGCTCGCTTCGTATCTGGGTGTGCAAGCCGTGTGACGAGAGCGGGGAAAGGGGCGTCGCTGTCCGCACAAGTTTTCCTTCTGGCGTGCGGCAGAGCAGGTTGACGGATTCCAGAATCACGTATAGGTGATTCCTTAGGGCTTCGTGGCGCGGTAGAACAGAGATAGTTGGGACAACCTCACCTTCCTGGTAAGATTCTAGCGGGCAATCCAAGAGCCGGAATGCCTCCACAACGTACGCCGTAATAAGCCTCATTTGCTGAGGATAGACAGAGTGAAAGAAATTGGTCCAGTGCGCATCATCGGTGTGGGATACTGCTGTGCGTGTTGCTTCATAACACTGATGGGCCACTATGGCTAGCGACGGTTCGTCACTAGCATCCATAGTGACATCAGGTCCAGCATGCGACATGGCAGGTCCATTGGGTACAATTTCATCACCGACGGGCCGCGAGAGAGCTGCCTTGGAACGCCCTGGAAATATATGCTGAGCAAGGCTCTGAATATCTGGTAATTCCACAAAGGTTGAATACGTGATATCGATCTGGAACCGCTTCTTCATTTCTGATAGCACTTCGGTGCTCAAAAGAGAATCCACTCCAATGTCAATCAATGACGTGTCAGGAGATAGCTCGTCGGTATCAACTCCACATATATCAGAAAACATTTCCTGCAAAGCTGCAAGATCACGGTCCACATTGATCTCGGCGGTAGCTCGTTCGTGGGCCGGCATATCATCTGGTGACTGGGTCTGAGGCGGAACGCTGCAGATGGCGACCGGCTTTGCATCTTTGAGGCTGTTATTGTTCAGCTTAGCCAGCGTGCGGGCGAGAGTCCGGATCGGAACGGGCGTGAAGAAAACGCCCATCATCGCGACTAGTATACCATTTGTCACACTGTCCTTAACGTATATGTCACACGTAATCTGGTTCTTGGATTGTTGTGCGTAATTGGTAAAAACAGTCCACGACGGCAAAAGAGCTTCGCTAGCCGTCCTAAATAGCAATTCGCCTATGAAGGTTTTCCCAATAGCATTGCACACAAAGACTGTGTCCTCCTGGCGATCAGAAAGACAGTTAACGTGAATACCCGCAACCTGCAGAAAGTTGTCTAGAAGGATGGGGTTGCTGGTATTCTCAGTGGTAAGGGGTGCCATGGTGACAATGCCTGTAGCCTCGCAGCCATTTGCAAACACCTCCCTGACGCCGCGAAAGTAATCCGCGTAGTTCGTCACCTGGCGGAGCGCTGAGTAGACCGCTGATCCCTTCAGCCCACTTGACGTCGGTTCCTCCATGATTGCTCTGGCCCTAGACTGATTTACCAACCGCCCTATGGAATGGAAAGAGGCCATAGAGCTGGAGTGGTCCTGCAAAAGGGAGACGGTTCCTTTGGCGTGAGTCACCGTATCACGAGCCTGCTCGCTGTTGCTGAAAATAGAAAAGGACCACACCTGGGAGCAACTTGGTCCTTCAGGAGACAGTCGCACATGCACGTCCCCCAGCGGGTCCAGCACCAGTGGGGAGGAGATGGTGAGATCGTCGATATGAGACAGTGCTGGGGTCGATGTTGCATGCAAGGAGGAAAGGCAAGCCGTCGCCCGCAGCACTATCTCCATATACATTGATGCAGGACACAGCGGCTGGTCTAGGACAGCGTGTCCCTGAGTGCAAGACCTGTACAACGGGTCTTGAGTGTTGACGGCGAACAAATACTCATCTGGTCCGTCGCTCAACTGGTGCAACAGACCAGTTCGCTGCTGGCTTGCAGCGTTTGACACCTTCGATGGGGCCGAGGAGAACGCGGCGGGTTCAAAGTCTATCCAGTGAGTTGTCTTGGCGAACTGGTACGGAGGAAGATTCAACCAGCTAAAGGCGTCGGCCTGCAATCGGTGGAATGGCCAGAACTGAACGTGGATGCCCTGCGCCCAGAGATCGCTGGTAACAGTTGCCAAATTTCTCGCGGCGTCAGGCCCTCTGAGGTCAACTTTGCAGTATGTGTGCAACTCAGAGGGATTTTCTAGCGCTCGGCGCACCATGGGGATGATGGGCGAGGCAGATCCAGCTTCCAGCCAGACAGCTGGACCTCGTAAATTTTGAGCTATTCGCTCGACAGCGTGCTGGAAGTACACGGTCCTGCGAGTATGCTCGACGATTTTTGCCGGTGTGACTATCGACCAGTCACCATTCATGGAACAGTCTTCAATGGGAATCGCCGGTTTCAGGTAAGTCAGTGACTGTGCGACCTCCATCAGGTCCGGCATGATGCTGTCCATGAGCCTGGAGTGGAACGCGTGCGTGATGTCTAATCGTCTCAGTCTGATGTTGTTATCTGAGGTATTTCCCTCGACTGAGTTCTCGAACGTCCGTATAGATTCCTCCGTGCCAGTTAGGATCACCTGCTGCGGCCCATTATAACAGGCAATGCCAACACAGTGGCCAGTCTGCGTGAGTAGCTCGTCAAGGACCGTTTTCGGGCCCTCGAAGGCAAGCATCGCGCCGGAATCTGCACCCCATCGGGCCTGAATCAGACGAGCACGTTCAGTGATCAAGAAAATGCCGTCGCGAAGGCTCAGGGTGCCAGCCACAGACAGAGCAGTGAGCTGACCGAAACTGTGGCCCACGATGCGGTTGACGCAAAGTCCAGAGTCTAACCATGCCCTTGCACAGGCGTATTGGGTGGCAAAGAGCAAGAAGTGTAGGTGAATAATGTCCGCGATTGGGTCTGATGCAAAGATCATAGGAAAGAGACTGGGAAGGCCCAGCATCTCGCCCACTTTCTCACATTCCAAAAGGTGTTTCTGTAGCAGAACACAGTTGTCGAACAAGGTTTTTGAAATACATGGCCTCTGACCACCTTGACCGCCGAAGCACAGAATAATCGGCGGTTCGCTGGCTGGTCGCTTCTGCAAAATATCTGCAGATTCGCCTGTGACAATTGCCTCCAAGCGGGCGCCTAACGACTCTGCATGCGAGGAAATTGGAAAAGCAGAAATGAATGAGAAGCCTCTGTTCTGCTTGATTGCGAGGTTATACGCGAGGTCCTGGACTGTGATGGAATTGCTCAAGAGCGCCGAGCGGAGGGCACCGCAGTACGCCCTGGTGGAATCTTGCGATTGCGCGGAAATCAAGATCGGAACATCCAGCAAATATCGAGGGGTTGCATGACCTTGCTTGGTAATTTGTTCTCTCACCACGAGTGCAGCGTTACTCCCCGAGGCTCCGTAATTGCTAACCAGGGCGAGTCGTGCTTCCGCTTCCCATTTAGTCGACTCTACCGGGATTATCAGTCGGTCGTGGTCAAGCGGAGTCACCTTGGGATTCAGGATGCTGAAATTCGCTTGTTGCGGGATGCGCCGATGTTGCAGCATCAGGATCGTCTTCAACAGGCCGGCAGCCCCGGAGGAGGTCTCGGTATGTCCGATATTGCCTTTAATGGATCCCACAAACAGGTCCTGCCGCCGGTGACGGTCACCAAACGCCCTGCGGAGACTGTCCAACTCGATTGGATCGCCGACCTGTGTGCCTGTACCATGGTTAATCTACCGTCAACGACAAATGCTGGAAAGGAAAAGCCAGAGGGATTACATACCGGTTCCGTGTGCTTCCACGTACGTGACCTGCTCAGGAGTCACCCCCGCGAGAGACAAGGCCTTGTCGTAAAGTGTTTGTTGGGACTGCGCGTCGGGTACCATGATGGGTGAATTGTTGGAGCCTTGGTTGACGGCCGAACCAGCGATCACAGCGAGTATGGGGTCACCGTGGTCGATGGCATCTTGCAGAGGCCGCAGCACAACGAGCCCAGCCCCCTCTCCACGGCAGTATCCATCAGCAGCAGCGTCAAATGGCTTGCACGCTCCTGTCGGAGACAAAAATGATGCGGCGGCCAGGTTCTGGTACACTGTGGGGTTTGTAAGGACATTCACGCCGCCGGCCACCGCGATTGAGCACTCTTTCGTCTGCAGGGCCTATCGTTTTGGTCAGTCAGTCCTCTTGGAGCAGAATGGACGTCTTATTTACCTTGCATGCTAGATGTATCGCCACCGCCGCGGACGAACATGCTGTATCTATTGTGATTGAAGGCCCCGACCAACCGAAGAAATGGCTAGTGCGCCCGCTGATAAACGACTGCAAGCTTCCCGTGGCGGAGAAGGCATTTGCATGACGGGACGCTACATTCTCTGTATAGTCTTCAGACCCCACCCCCACGTAGCAACCGATATCCTGCGTGAGCTTGGTCTTCTGCCATCCGCAATAGCCGGCCGACTCCATGGCTTCGTACGCTACCTGCAGCAATACGCGCTGCTGCGGGTCCATGGACTCAGCCTCCCGCGCCGAGATGCCAAAAAAGCGATGATCAAAAACATCTGGATGCTCCAGAAAGTGGCCCCAGAAAGGACCGCTGGGCTCTCGCTGCAGCTCTGACATCCGGAACCGATTCTCGGGGACCCTTTGCACGTTGCATTGGCCCTGCTCTAGCAGGTCCCACAGCTCCTCCACACAGTCCGCGCCAGAATATCGACAAGCCATCCCCGTGATGGCAATTGGCGCCACCTGGGCATTCTGTGGGCGGGTGTCGACGTTATCCTCTTCTTTCAGGAATGAAGTGGTGGGAGCACTTGGTGTGTGTCCGTTGACGGGACCATGTTTCCGACATGCCGTGGGAAAGCTGCCCTGGGACACCAGATGGCCTCGGGCGGACCGTGGAACGAATTCTGTGGTGCTGATGGACATGAGACGGGACTCGTCAACGCCCAATTCCCAATCAGTGAGCAGTGATGAGATCGTTTTCCACCAGTTCGCCCTTTCGCAGAGAATCGTCTTTAAGGCAACGGTGTGCAACATCGTCCCCGGCTCAATCACCTCGCCGTCTTTGTTGGACCGAAGGGGAAACGGCAAGGTATCGCTGTTAGGGAGCTCAAAGCGACAGTCCCTACTGCACAGTTGCATTATGTGCCGGACGACTTGGTCATGCGCTTCAGGATGATGAAATCGACCCCGCAGGGAAAGCTGCTTTGACCGCAGCCCGAAACCGTTGAGCTGCTGCTTCATCCATTTCGCGGCTGGATCGGGAAGCGTGATGGTGACGCTGTTCACATCTGTCTCGCAGGAGATATACACCTTTGGTGGTTTTCAGCATTCTTTTTTTTTTGTCTCCTTTATCTCGGGGCTTACTCACATTCGGTTCCTGTGTCAAGATCTGTTGAAGGTGCTCATAGCTCTCTTGGGACTCCCATCGTACTGCAATCGATGTAGCCTCACCAGACACCGTCTCATCCAAATCGATCAACGCTCCAATACAGACAGCGAGCCTTATTGCATTGGATGCCGTAGATTGGAACTCACGCGCGTCTTCCGAAGACGCGACAACGCTGGCTGCGAGGAAACCTACACAGAATCCTTGTACATCAATTATTCTCGGAAGGGCAGCGGGAGATGTTATGGAAGATCCTGATGGGAGTGCCGGATGTGCTGCAACATTCTGGAGCTGCCAAAACTCAGCTATGTGTGCCATGACAGTGAGAGGAGTTAGAACTATGTTCAACTGGTCTCCCACGGGACTGGCTGATGATTCGTTGTTGACAAGTTGGGCCAGTGCAGTCAGTCCCCTTTCTCCAGGCACCCGGTCCAGTGCTGGGCAGGCACCTACAATGACAGGCCATAGCGAGGGAAGCTCATTCACAATATCATGAAGGAATTGTAGCCCCGATGGATGGTTCTCTAGGGCATCTCGGATGCGAGTGATTTGGTTTCCGATTTCGGTGCATTGGGGTCCAAAAAGAAGACGAAGGCTTCCTTCGCGGCACTCTGTGCATAACCTCATCATGAATAGTACTGGGTTGAACCAATGCGTGTATAGTTGAAATTGAACTGATACAGAGGGGAACCGCATTTATAGAAAACTAGATCACAAAGACGGCTAAAGCCACCAGAGGACGAACTGTGGCGCATTCCGAACAAGCTCTTACAACTACCGTGGATTCGTCCAATTTCACAGTCAGGTCAATCCACGATGTGCTCCTCTCTGCTCCTCATGTAAGTTGTTCTCCTTGCTCGAGCAATGCAACTAATTGGTACATACGACTCAAGGCCGACATAGTGATATTGCAGATAAAGCCGCATAGCATACATTGTGCAAGGGGCCAATGAAACTGTGGTCAGTGTTGATAAGAGATAGATGGCATATAGGCTGAAAATTTACCTCACGCCAACCCTGCAGCAAACTTACCGCTAATTCGTTCTTGATAACAGTACGTTCACCAATGTCTGTTGAGCAGCTGTTCTGCAGATATGATCAGCCCTTGTTCTTGCGCCGCATACGCAAGGGCAGTCTAGAGGTACCTGATAGGTTCCACATACTGCCTTGATGTGGCCAGATTCTCAGCTGAATAGTCTCGCAATACCTGGTATGAAATTGCAAAGGGCTTACTACAGGTGGACCGAAGCCACGGGTTCATTATGAATAAGTAAATAGTTTTTAAGAAACTTTTTTAACTGTCTGAATAAATTATTTAAAAATTTAATATCTAGATATTTAATTGTTATAATATCTGATAATATGGTTAAAATCGGGGATTGGTACAGGGACACCCCCTTTCAGTATAGGGACACCCCCTGCCCTACTTTTTTGCATTTCAGATATTTTCAACTGATGTTTCCCAGATCCAACCCCTCCTCACCTCCTTCCTGTCAACTCTCTACTGAATATGGCCACACCTTTAGTACCTACCTTTACTATGTAAACTTTATACAAAAATAAGTCACTCCTATAGCCTTATATTCCGTACGACTCAGCCAAAAGAATATGATGCCCAAAAACATGACGCTTACCACTTTGCGTTTCTAACCTCCATTTTCATCAATTATGGCTTCCCTCGGCGGCATAAATGCCTAAAAATTCAAATTTTCAGGCAGGGGGGTTGTCTCTATACTGAAAGGAGGTGTCCCTCTACCAATCCTCTCAAAATATTATTGTAAAGTACCTAGGTAAAACTTCTACTTCAAGTTATACCAAGGTACTATATTTGAAGTAATGAAGATATTTCTTTTTCTATAGAATATTTCTTATATTTCTTATATTTGGGAAGCTATCACCGTCTAAAGTCATTGGGTTGAACTTCGGATTCTTTATCGGGTCCTCAAGAATTTATGCGGGAGAACTGTATACTACTCGGCCAGGAAGAGACTACCGGAAGCAAGCTACGCCCATGGGCTCCCGGATGAGATGATATTAGTCTTCCGTACGACCCAGTAAAACCCAGACCCAGACTGGATTGGGTTCTGAGTCGAGACCTTCGACCCGAAATGGGTTTGGGTTCTGCGGAAGTCTAGATGATATCGTAGGTGTTGTGGAACTCGGCCACTTCCTCGGAGCTCCGGTGGTCAGATGGTGCACCTACATAGCTCAGCTTAGCCTCCTTCTTCTTCTTCTTCCTGAATCAATCATCATAGGTCATTTCGAGCTCTATCCGTAGATCCCATCCTCATCAGTAGGACTAGGAGGTGTCTCACCTGCAGCTTCCGTGGTACAATTGTATAATTTCTCCCGCATAGTCAGGTATCAATACAGGGAGGAAACCTGTTGTTCATCTGGGTAGAGCCTGATCTATCGGTTTCTGTGAAGGGCTGTAGCCGAATTGATTCAATTGGGCGGTGTCTGCATGCTGTTTACATAGATCTTAAAGAACTGCCAACAAAGGGGCGGTCGGATGTGGTATAGTATGCCTCAGAGCGGTGAGGCTACATGGTCTTTGCGGCAGTTTTCGACGGTCGTCAGAATTGGGTACGGCGCCTGCACGGGCAGAGCCCCGGGCGTCAATCGTGGCCTTGGCCCGTTACAGTTTCGTGCCAGAGAGACGGGCCAGAACAATCCACTTGCATGGCCAGAATTTGGTGCTAGGTGGTATTATTTGGCCGACAGGGTCACATCAGCCCTCGCCATTTTCGTGCAGGAGTTCTTGGCCTGTGGGTCAGTATCTCATCGATGGAGTCAGTCTTGCTGACCGCCAGAGCGTCTGATGCCGCTCGTGCCGCCCGCTGAAGATTAGGTTTCGGCGATTGCCGGAAGTGGATATAGGTATTCTTATTGAAGCTGTCGTGGTACCAAAATATGCAAGGGGGTACTTGTGCATTATTGATGCCGCCATGTCTATAATTGTCTCACTCAGTTTTGCTTTTGTTTAAAGACTAAAAGAAGACTGCAAGCATTCAGTTTGGTTGTACAATTTACTTCAATCACTAAGTAAGCTCTCAACGCGTGATGGAGGAACTCATCAGCCAGATTACGTCCTTTGCCGACACTGTCGATGACAATGAGCGAAAGTCCCTTATCGCCACCTTACGCGCTACCTCAATCTCGTTAGAAAAGCCTGATGACACAATAGAAAGGGTTGCAGTTGCGGTACGTTGCCCAATATCCAACTCCATGGACCGCAAAACCTTTCACTAATGAACCATGTCAGCCACTCGAGCTATGTGGAGCAAAAATGGGGTTGGACTTGAACGTTTTCAAACTCCTTTCATCAAGCAATTTACCGCAGAGCTTGGACAATCTCACCGAGGCTACGGGGGCGGATCGCCGTTTGCTAGGTAGGCCACGAAAGGCCCAGAGCCGATTAGCCCCTGTCTGATAATATGCTTATAGCACGTGTGCTGCGATACATTGCAAGCATCAAAATGATTGATCAGCCTAGCTCTGAAACATTCACTGCTAATAATGTTACTCGCGCGTTGTGCTCTCCAAAAGGCGAGAACTTTGTGGAGGCGTAGTAGGTCATTCCGTCTCGCTCTCCAATGTGGAAACACATATATATATCCACGGATGTATATGTATTCATTCACTCTGAACTGATTAATGTGGCATTATTTAGCTACCAAGTGCTCACTCCAATCTTTTATGAGCTACCTAAATACCTCAGCAAAAACTCCTATGCGGATCCAGCGGGTTGTCCTAAGCTCCCCTTTCACGAGGTGCATAACTGGCAGGGTGATCCATTCACCTACAGCGATGCCTTTCCAGAGAAGGGAGCACTCTTTGACAAGCATATGGAGTTCTGCGGGAACAATTTGACCAACTGGGCTAATCTTTTCTCTCTGATGGACAAAAATACTTCCCCAGATAATGTCCTATTTGTGGATGTGGCAGGAGGGCTTGGTCACCAAGGTGCTCGACTGCGAGCTAATTATCCTGATCTACAAGGTCGGATGATAGTTCAAGACAGGCAACGAGTCATTGACGCGCCGACAACCGCTGAAGGGGTAGAGAGAATGGTTCATGACATCTTTCAACCTCAGCCTATCAAAGGTGGGTTTGTCCCTTCGTGAATGCTTCCACACCATACTTTGTTAACAAAAAGATCAGGTGCGAGGTGCTACTACATCCGAGGAGTTCTTCATGACTGGCCGGATGACAAGTGTCAAGAGATCTTGCAGCATATCGCGGCTGCCATGGATTCTAGTTCCACCCTTGTGATTGATGAGTTTGTCTTGCCGGAAACAAACGTTCACCCCTACGCATCTAGCATGGATATGCTTATGTTAGCCTCTCTCGGTGCTGAGGAGAGGACTGGGAGCCGCTGGGAAGAGTTGGTGAAATCGATTGGGTTAAAGATTGTGGACATCAAACCCCACAGAGTTGGTGAATATGCCAGCCTTATTGTAGCAGTGAAAGCGGCATGAGATAAAGTGGCACACCAAATATTTGAATACATTGTATTTACCGCTACTATACTGCTGCAGATGTGAATCTCAAGATAGTTCTCCCAATCCAACAGCATCATATTGTTTTACAAGTAATAATCGTCGCAGATAAAATTACAAATCTGTAATCTGCATAGTATCGATCGTATTTTTTTCAAAATCATCGGAAAGACTCTAATAACCCCTCAGGACCATAATGACCACTCCTCGTAAGTCTACTTAGATTTCAATTTACCATGTTCAAATATTGACATGCTACTATAAATCTGCATTTCTATCTAGCTGTGGACAGGTTAGCCAGTTGCCTCTTTCTTCATTGCGTCGATAGCACTGCTCAGAATAGTTTCATCTAACTGGTCGATGTGAAATCGTCTTCTGACTTTGCAAATATGATGTGTAGCATGCGGACCGGTTCGATCTTGCGGCCGCTCTCTGCAAGGGTACCTAATCACTGTACTTTAGCAGCATTTTGATGCATACCACCTAACAATCTCGCGTTGTGCATCATAGTGATCGACGGGTCGGCTTACCGGGTACACGTACTCGGCATTTCTTCCGTTCTGATAGATCTGACTTTACTCTAGGGGCTTCTGTCGATCTCATTCACCTGTTGAGCGCAGAAAATATCGATAGAGACATGCGGTGAGAAGTCAGTTGGGGCGCTTATGCATGCCTCTTTTTATGAACTGCATGAAAGAGACGTTATGCAAATACGGAGTGCAAGATTGGACGTTCTCAATGCTACGTGTCTCTCGATCATAAAACTTGACCCCCCACGACCCAAAAAACCCCCGAATCCGAGGAGAAAAACCAGATCCTATTACTATCCGGTGGCCTCATGTAGGCCTATCCAGCTTCAGAAACAACCATGACCATATCTTTTGAAGTATGCTGCCCAAGCAGTACTACTACGGACCATCCCTGCAAATCTTGCGGCCCAGAAGCTTCCATTGACATCGAAAAAAAATATGAATTGGAACGCCAGACCCAGCTAAAATCTCATGGTCTGGTCTCTGACATTGAAATTGACCTCAACGAGAGGTTCGACACTTTTGCACGAGACCCCTGGATCTATCCAACGGTAGAAAGCGAAAATGAGCAAGCAGGATTCATTCAACAATCCAACCACAAGGTTCTCATTGTCGGCGCGGGGCATGGTGGTCTTCTTTTTGCAGTGCGCCTGATTCAAGCAGGTGCTTTTTGTGCGAACGACATACTCCTTGTGGATAAGGCCGCTGGTTTTGGGGGCACCTGGTACTGGAACCGGTATCCAGGAATCATGTGCGACACTGAAAGCTACATCTACATGCCGCTTTTAGAAGAGACAGGATACATGCCTCGCGACAAATATGCATCTGGGGCAGAGATAAGGGCTCATGCCGAGCGCATCGCCCGCAAGTGGGGCCTTGTCGAGCGCACCATGTTTCGCACAGCTGTTCAAGAACTGCATTGGGATGAAGACAAAAGCCTTTGGAATGTGTCCGCAATGAAAGCTCATGGGGCAACAGACGAGCATAAGACAACTGTTCAGCTCACTGCGGACTTCGCCATCATCGCCCAAGGTGTGTTCTCCAGTCCAAGAATGCCCGCATTTCCGAAGACCGAGGAATACAATGGCAAACTTTTCCATACCGCACGGTGGGACTATGCTTTTACTGGAGGGACACCAGAGGATCCAGAAATGACCAGGCTAAGAGATAAGAAGGTTGCCATTGTTGGAACTGGCGCCAGTGCGGTACAAATAGTTCCCCATCTCGCGCGCCATTGCAAGGAACTTCTCGTGTTCCAGCGCACGCCCTCATCTGTGGACAAACGTAATAACCATCCCACGGACCCGGAGTGGTGGAAAAGGGAAATCCAGTCTGAAACCAAGGCATGGCAACGAAGAAGGATGGAGAACTTCAATGCCTTCACTTGTAATCAGCAACCACCTCCAAAGATCAATATGGTAGCTGATGGGTGGACAGAGATACCCTCTTTCAGTGTGCTTATAGGGGCACAGCAGGCCTCCGATCCGGAGTATCTCAGCCAGATGCAGGAGGTTGATCGAGCACGGCAGCAAAAGATACGGGCTCGTGTCCACGATATCGTTCAAGCCTCCGAACCTGCCAGTGCTCTGGCTCCCTGGTATCCAGGATGGTGTAAGCGACCGTGTTTCCATGATGAATACCTGCCCTCATTCAACCGGCCGAACGTTAAGCTGGTTGACGTTCGAGATCATGGGATCAGTCACTTTACACCCAAAGGGGTTGTGGCTGACAGCACCGAATATGAACTGGACGCTGTCATATTCAGCACGGGGTTCACTGTGGCGGCCACAAGCAGCCCTGGGTCGCGGGCTAATATTTCGGTTACAGGCCGCCACGGCTTAAAAATGGATGACAAGTGGGGTAACGGTCTCGCAACTTTGCATGGAGTAATGACTCGGGATATGCCTAACCTCTTCTTCCCTGGTACGTCTCAGGCCGGGGGATGCGCCAACATGACATATAGCTTGGACCAGAGCGCGACTCATGTTGCCTACATTCTTTCGAAGGCAAAAGAGAGCGCAAGCAAAAAGTATCCTGTAATGTCGAAGGTGATTATAGAGCCAACTGCGGAAGCGGAAGAGGACTGGGCCATGCAGGTTGTCTCGCGTGCGGCGGCTCTCCGAGGTATCGCTGGTTGTACTCCAGGATATCTCAACGGCCATGGGATGTTTGGTCAGCCAAGCAGCGCGGAAGACATGATGAAATTAGCACGCCTGGCAATCTGGGGAGAGGGTATAGCAAGTTACGTGGAACAAATTGAAGCATGGAGGGAAGAGGGAAAACTCGATGGACTCCACCTGACATACTTGGAATGAGATGCTGTCTGTCACGGCGCAAGTTAGTTATATCATCAAAGGTCAACTAGACATCTCCAGTCATAATAGCCGCTTGTCAAATCTCTCTGGGCTACCTTGGTTGTACAGTATTGAGTGTATCAACTCGTAATAGAAGTCTGTCGTCCAGAGTAAGCTGTCGTTTGATAGTTGCCCAGATGCCTAACTGTCTGCAACATTTCCTAACAAGCAACCCACGAATATATACGTGCATCGGTCGGTGAATACTCCTGTTTACGGAATCTTGAACATTATATGGCAACAAATAAGGTGTTGTGGAGAATAGTTCAAATTCATTTCCGAGAGAAGATAGCTAATGATGAATCATATCGTTCACCGAGCACCTAGGCTAACATAGATTGGAAGAGTGTGCTACTGATCGAGCTTGGGCTGAAGCCCTTCGCCTTCCCTCTCTCGCCAAAGGGCAATGTCTTTAGAATCCATTGTCCAGAAAGTCAACCCCTGAATTTTGGGTGATCCCCAACCAATCATTCTCTGAGCAAGAGGCGTCATAGTCTCAACGATGTTGCGCGGTATCCCCATAAACGATTCAAAAGGAGTCAGGTACCCCGGCTGAAACCCAAAGATGATGAGGCGACGAACAGAATCCAGGCTTACATTCTGTCCAGCGGCGTGCACCGTCTTGCCACCCAGGAGAAACGCGTCTCCGGCCTTCATCTCTACAGGCACAGCCATCCCATCTTCGCCCTCGTCACTGTAGGCCCACAAATGACTGCCAGGGATGACACGGGTCCCACCATTCTCCGCGGTGACATCGCCCAGCGCCAGGAAGAAGTTTATCATGACCATGGGTCCGTCTTTCCCAAGCGCCTTTGACAGAGGGAACAACATTTGATCCCGATGCAAGGCCTGTTTATCTCCTCCAGGCAGATTTTGCAGCATTGCTCCCATACTCAACCAGTAGTCAACAAGTTGCTGCTCAGTGTAAAGCTTTCGACAGATGTCATGCACCAAAGTGTCGTTTAGAATATCTTCGCGGAATGTCTTGCTTTTCGCGGGGAGATTACAGACACGTTTGGATCCCGTGCCGTGAAAGTCTGCTAAATTTTTGATGAGGTCGATGTCGCGAGCCAAATATGGTTCCAAGTCATAGTTTAGCTGGTCAATTACGCCTGGAGCGCAGAAGTTTTCGATAATGACCACACCGTCCTCCTGCAAGATATTGATGATTTCATCCGCTCCAGCTTTGGCGGAAACACGGCGGAGTGAAGGCTGGGGGACGGTAGTAGGGACGGTCATTCTTGAGCAGGTAAGAACAGACACTGGAAAGAGGATGATGGAAAAGAGTTTTCTGCTAGTTGGAAAATATAACCGATCACTATTGTGCGCAGGCTATTAAAGAATTGCATCGTATTTCGCTTTCGCAAAAATAAACATGCCACACCACTTCTGGCTACTGATTTGACCTCCTTGCATGATGTCCCATAGGAATCTGAAGTGGATCCCCATTTGCACGGTTGTACAAGCTGCATGCATGGTGAAAGACCAATGCATATGTTTCAACCTGGCGCATATCTTGGTTACATATGTATGTTCTCTAGTGGATACCGATATCTGCTCGGTAACACAAGCACCTAGGTATTGGCACGGTGATCTACCAGAATCAATAGCACATAGATACCTAGTACACGACTTCTGACAATTAAGGCCATATAATTCGTGCGGTGTTATTTTGACACCCCCACCCACAAGAAACATGACGCTAAATACAGTAGAGATATGTCAGCTGTGCTGTAATGTCGACATGTACTAGACATATGTCATTATTTGCCCAATGGATAAAGAAAGCTGCGGTGAACTAGACGCTTCTCCAGCTGCAGCGCCCAGGCTGACACGCACGCTGATACGCACTCAGTCAATGGAATGTTGAAGCATGCGCATCTTCGAAAAAAAACATGAGATAGCACCTTGCGCCTGCATCAAACGCATCCAATCATTCATTTTTCATCGCGTAGTGCGCCTTAGGTGAGATTTCAAGAGAATCAATCGCTGGTCTCTCCGGCACCAAAAGTCCGTTCCCTCGAATTAATACCTCTGTCATCAAAGGGAAGGACGAGACCGTGAGCACAGCCAAAAATGACCATTCAAGACAACATAGATTTTCCCATGCTTGCTGCTGCCGCGCTCGCTCTGTACGCTCTATATAGGGTGTTTCAAAGCTTTGTGCACCTCAGTCATGTCCCGGGACCACTTATCGCCAAATTCACCAACCTCCAGCGAGTTTGGTGGGTGAAAACCGGGCGGGCTCATGAATATCATCGCCAAATGCACGAACGGTTTGGTAAGCTTGTCAGATTTGGCCCCAACATGGTGTCCATTTCCGATCCTAGCGCCATGTCCATCATCTACCCCAACCGACAAGGGTATCAAAAGGTGAGAGTGCGCTTAGCTGGTTGATGTCCTTTTGCTAAACATCGCGTGCCTGGGCAGAGTGACTTTTACCGAACCCAGAGGCCATATTCGCGCAAAAGCGGTGTTCTTCCCGCGGTATTCAACACACAGGATGAGACCCTCCATCAGCAGCTCCGAAAGCCAATCGCCTCGCTTTATTCCATGACCAGCATCGTGGGTTCGGAGCCATTGATTGACCAGACATTGGAGATTCTTTTCCGACAGCTTGACCAGAGATTCGGTGCGACGGGTCGATCGCTCGATATTGCGGAATGGTTGCAATTCTTTGCCTTTGATGTGATGGGGATGTTGTCGTTCAGCGAGCGACACGGATTTCTAGAACAAGGCAGGGATGTCCGCGGGATATTGGGAGGCACCTGGTCCTTCATGAAGACTGTTGCTCCGGTGAATTGAACCAGCCTACTTACCAGTTCCATGCTAATTGTTTCTCTCTTCCAGATGGGACAAATACCCTGGTTTGACATGGTTTGGAATAAGAACCCTGTCGTTGCGCTCTTTAAACAAACTACAGGACTCGCTGTGCTCGGGGTGGTGAGTCGATTAGTTGCTGAACGCCAAATGCCTTCACAGCCCGGACGGGAGAAAAGGGACATGCTTTCCAAATTTCTGGAAATCCAGGCCAAAGACCCGAAGGTCCCTACATGGTATAAATTTATCTTCCCTTATCCCAGCTGAAACGCCGCAAATTCAACTAACCAACCATAGGGCCCCCAAGGCCTGGACATTCTCCAATATACTTGCCGGATCAGATTCGACTGCGACCGCCATGACTACCGTAACGTACCATCTTCTTCAGTGTCGAACTTCCATGGATAATTTAGTCCAGGAGCTATCCAACGCACATCAGAAGGGGTGCCTTTCACTGCCATACCCATCCTGGCACGAGGTGCGAGAGCTTCCTTATCTTGATGCATGCATTATGGAGGCCCTGAGGCTTCATCCTCCATTCTGTTTGCCCTTTGAGCGCGTTGTTCCCGAGGGCGACGTGATGATTTTGGGAACTTATCTTGCAGCAGGTACTGTGGTTGGCATGAACCCATACATTGTAAACCGAGATAAAGACACCTACGGTGACGACGCAGACGAATGGAAGCCGGAAAGGTGGCTGAACCTTGGCGAGAAAGACCGTCGAAGACTTGAAAATGGCATTCTCACGGTGAGTAATGTTTTTGTTCTCGTTGCTTTGAGTTTTGGAAGCTTACTTACATGATGTAGTTCGGAGCTGGTCGACGTACATGCCTCGGTAGAAACCTCGCCATCTTTGAGATGAAGAAACTGTTCCCGGCTCTTCTCATGCGGTATGAGATGACCGCTGTCGAGCCGCTCCAGCTCAAGGTGGAGAATTCGTGGTTATTCAAGCAATGGGACTTGCACGTTCAAATACGTTTGAATGAAGCGGTGCAGCCCCCTCGACTGGTCGTCCCTTCATCATCATCCACAGCCATCGTGAGGGTAATTGATCCGTGAGTTTGAAGTTCCCTTGCAATCAATGAGAATCTAATCTTTATTTCTTCTCCGTTAAGAGGCACAACCGTTGATCTTAAGCCAGGTCTCTTCTGGCAACCCGCACTCGATGGACTTGACAAAGTGACAGTACCAACGTACTGCTTTTTGATCTCAAGCGGCGAGCGCCATATCATGTTCGACCTAGGTGTCCGGCCGGACTGGCAAAACCTGGCACCCGCAGCTGCCGAGCTCATCAGAACCACCACCACAGTCTGCAACCCCAGGAACATAGCGGAGATCCTTGACACCACCCCGATCCCAGATTCGGATATCCGGTCCACGAAAGTCGAAGCCATTGTCTGGTCCCACGACCATTTCGACCACATCGGAGATCCCTCCACCTTTCCACCATCCACCGACTTAGTCGTGGGCCCGGGCCTGCGAGACGCCTGGCCAGGGTACCCATCCAATCCCACCGGCCGAGTCCTTGACTCAGATATTCAAGGTCGTCGACTCTGCGAGATCTCCTTCGACAAAACCCCATTAAAAGTTGGCTCCTTTGACGCGTTCGACTATTTTGGCGACGGCTCCTTCTACCTCCTAAGCGCCCCCGGTCATTCTATCGGACACATGTGCGGACTAGCCAGGGTAACCACATCCCCAGATACCTTTGTCTTTATGGGCGCAGACGCATGTCATCACCCCGGGGTTCTTCGACCGGCGAAATACCGACCCTTACCGTTAGACCAGCGCTCGCCTCCCGGATTAAGCGCCTGTGCAACATATCCCCTGGACCGGGGTGAGTCGTTCTTTAAGGTCTCTCCCGTCTTGACTACGGATCATGCAATGGCCTTGGAAACTGTGGAGAAAATTAAAGAGTTGGATGCATCTGATGATGTATTTGTTATTCTTTCTCATGATTATACTTTGAGGGGGAAAATCCCTTTCTTCCCGGATACGATCAATAATTGGCAGGAGAGAGGGTATGGGTCTTCCACCAGATGGCTGTTCTGTGAGGATTTGGGGAGGCATTGAATCAGAGCCCTTATTTAAATGCTCCGAGAGGTCGAAATGGGATGCTCGGGATGAAGACGAATTGCTGATTTCTGGTGGAGTTGTTATTCTCTTTTCTTGTGAATCGCACATTGTCTATGTCACTGTGGGGTTCAATCCTAGTCCACGGGTAATCCTAGTAAACCCCAATTTGTCTCAGGTGATCTGCCTTTTCATCCAGCGGCGGGTATTGCCTCACTCTGATATCAATATAAATCTCCTGATATGCTATCGATAAATACGCGATTCTTCAACCAATTCTTAGTCGTAGAGCAGGGGAAATAGATCAATACAGCATTGACTTTGGCCCCACTATGCATATACCCCCAGGGGAAACAACCAGGATCGACCGCCGCATGGATGACGCCAGCCTTTCGTTGAGGGGACAACGGTCAAGAGTGCTGAGTGAACGACTGCATTGGGATGGGGCTAGCGTGGTGCATTTTATTGAGGGAGCTGCTGACTTAGCTGCTCTCCCAGTTTGCTCAGGTGACGCTCAGTGAGCGAGTTCATCCGGCTTATGTAGTGATCAGGTGATGCTCAGTGAGCAGGTTAATGACATGTAGTGCTCAGGGCTGTGCTCACTTTTACTCAGTGAGCAAAAAGCGGCAAGGGAAAGCCATCTCGCGCGGCCTAAAATCCGGTGTATATGTATTCTGTTTGCTCGATAAAGAATACAGTAAACCTATGTCGCCAATCCCCACCGGTGCTCAACATCCTCCAAGAGGAGATAATAATGTCCAAAACGACTGATAGCACAATGGTTACCCAGCATGCCAAGGTTCAATTTCATCGATGTTGCACGATCTCTGGCAAAATTCATGATGAGGCGGATTCCTGTATCCCTCCTTTCTACACGTGCGGCCCCGTCTTCCTGGGGGACAAGCATGCTTTTCATCAGAAGAATTCCCGGGGCTCGAATCATTGTCCATGATGGAAGTATTTGCGAAAGGAAATCTTTGCTGGTCATCATGATGCTGAGAAGAGGCATTCCGGCCGGTGGCATCGGAAGAACGATTGTAGACCAGTTCGATATATTCAATGCCCATGTATATACTTTCGCCGATTTTGATGTCGCCAGTCCACGCCCCGCCATCACTCCAAAGATTGAGCACAACCATGCTTTCCAGCTCAGGGACTCGATAGGACTTGGCATCTTGTATCTGGTCGTTCACGAACCATCGTGACATGTCCGCAAGCCAGTCCAGGCGATGCGTAGCCCATGATGTCCATGGGATGGGGAGATCCGCTACCGTGCTTGCCCCAGGGATTTGCCGATCAGTGACAGGGTCGTAGTCTGGCTGATTGGCATAGCGCACACGATGTGTTGGGTCTCGTGTCAGAATTTCAATATCTGATTCAGAATGACGATCGTGGTAGGTGAATATGCCGGCGCATGCGCCTGGGGGTGGGCTTCCCTCATGGAACGGAACTGTCCGGTTGCCCATTGTAGTCCGGTTGTTCAAAGGCGCGATGGCGTGTTTCAGTGGATCCCGCGGTGGCCATTCTCTCGGCTGTGGTGGCTGGGATACGATGAAGTTTGCCGGCAAGAAGCGCAGTCGGACACGAAGCGAACAACGGTAGATGTTATGGACGCGAGTTTCAATCTCTGCCGTGGATGTGTAGTTATCATGGCGGGTGGTGCGCAGAACAAGGTAAGTTGCATGAGGATCGTCCCGCTCAGAATCCTTAGTGAGAAAGACGTTGTGTTTCGAGTTGACCATGTAAACTGGGGCTTTGGGGGAGCGCTGGCGTTCCCAGTCTTGACTGCTCCAATCTCGCTCGAAGGCGGTTTTGAAGAAGACCAGGGAGCTAGGGTCGGACTTCTTCTTGCCGTAAGGTGGAGCCGTGGTATAGGCTATGTTCTGCCCTTCCTCATCGCCTTCGTCATCATCATCCCAGTCCCTTTCACCACCTGAAAGAGAATCTGTGAGGTTGAGATGGGCATGCTTGCTTAAATCGACTGTTCGAAAGTCCCAGAGTTTGTAGTGCTGGAAGTATCCAGGATCAGGACCAGAGACAGTGAAGCAATCGCACCCTCGTGAACGTTCCTTGGAAGCCAACTGCGGTTGTGTTGTGGCAGTTGGTTGTATAGTAGACGAGGCAAGTGTCCCGAGACAAAGCACAGCCGCCAGTCTTAATATGTTGATTTGCATGGTGAGCTGAAGAATAAGATGCGAAAGACGTAGTAGAGTGAGAGGCACTAAAGGATGGCCGGGGAAGTGCCCAGTGGTGAACGTGGTTTCCTAATTGGGATATCAGGCTGAGTAATTGCAAGCCGACAACTCCACCTGGGCAGGACTGGAGAGTCGGATGCAGTTGAATAATTTTACAGACAATTATCTTCCAGTTTATCGTACATGTGCCCATCTCCTTGGCTCTGCTCAGTATGTCTTATCATACTGGGGGACGAGTTACCGGGACTTCCTCAAACAGATCCTGCTTCAAGACCTCTAGCACTTGCTTTTCGTCGACATCTTGCAAATTCACAGCGGAGCCAGGCAAGGTCACATTTCCAGCTACATCATCCTCGTCACTTGCGGTGGATTGGCCGATCTCTTCTGGTCCCGAAGTTCGGAGATACTCTTCTTCCAAAATGAATGGAGACGTATCTTGTCCTGCAAGTGTCTTTGGAGAGTCTGGGAGGGCATATATCGTAGGAAACTCGAGAACCGTTCGGCCACGGAGGACTTCATTCAAAGTTGAGGATGGCGATAATGGAGCTAGAACTTGTTTTTTGGTGGTGGTTCGTGGACGGTGGAGATAGAAGTAGAGTTCGCGGTGAGTAGTGCTGTGTTTAAGTGGCTGCTCTACCACGTCGGAAACTGTATCTGCAGGTGCCTCTGTTGATCTAGGAACCGAAGCTTGGTGTGTTTTTGTATCTTCCGGTTCGACTGCTGCCGTGGCGGGCTCACTGGGTGTGTCCGTAGCTCCGCTTTCTTTGGTATTATTCAGAGAATCCAAGTTCTTTTGTCCTTCTCTATCTTCCTTGACTGATTCGGAAGTATTTTGGTCCTTCGAACGTGGAATGGAACGGTCATAAGCCTCGGAGATAGAACATGTATCGACAATGGCATTCCGAATAGTTTTCACTCCATCACCTGCAATCCACTCCACGGTCCACGCAAGACATTTATGTCTTAACACTTCAGTCAGCACACCATCCACCAAAAATGTCAAGACAAACTCCAACTTACTTAGGATGTAACCGCGACCCGTTTTGCTTACTGCGCGACATTCCCTTCGGAGCCCGGATGACATTGACACCTCCAGCCTCGGCAGCGCGCAAGAAACCAGCTTCTCCTTTGACAAGGCCCTGACGCGGGTGTTTCCTCTTACGTCCATCATTCAGATCATGAGAGCCATCGCCGGGATCATCGCCCTGGATACCACGCGAAAGGTCGATACCGCGAATATCGGCATCTCTATCCGCTCGCTCGAGGTTGCGCTCAATGCCCGTGATAAAATTGAAGTCGCGGTCGAACGCAGATTCTGTGGCTAACTCGCTGCGCTTTAGATAGGCAGCTGGATCACGTACGCCGGAACATTGCGACCAGAGTTTGTGACGTCGTGTACAGGGAAGAGAGCAGGTGCGCGTTGAGCAGCGAGGGCATCGGTATTTCGGGGGATTAACATGGCTGTAGGAGGGTTGGGGGTTAGATTTGAGCTTGACGTATGCAGTATATAAACCATGACATACCATATTGAGCACAGATCACTCAACAAAGCGTCAGAGTCGGCCATGATGGGTTGTGAAGGAGAAGTTGTCGAGTTAGGAACGTTTGGGAAATTTGTTGTCTTATCGATAACGGCCTGAGGCAGACATACGTTAATCACATGCATGTTGAGCCCTCATGAACCTACTCACCAGGCAACATCGTCACCCGGGAGCAAGCCCCAGCATTGTAAGTAAAGATGGAGAAATATCAAGGCTTTTGTTATAACTAGAAAAAGGAAAGTACAATAAAACTAAATATCTTTTCAATGTCTACTAACTCCCACATAGCAGTATATATTAGAGCGAACTACATCAAAATTTTGAAGCAAATAAATTGATTCTGATCATTTTCATCTTCCTTTCCCTTTCTATTCCGTTCATGTCAAAAGTTTGCCCCGCAACCGCAACCGTATTTCAATTCAAGCTCTGCAGATGCTGTTTTCTATGACGCCATACGCTCAACACGAAGCTGCAGTTCCTTGACCATATCAACCCCAACTTGGGTAGCTACATCCAGGGTCTCCTCCCGTAGATCAAGCAGCTCATTCTGTGCCTTGGCCGAGCAATCACTCGGATCATCGGGGAAGAACGCCCTTGCGTAGAGCAGCTTACTAAAGCCAGCCATGTTACCAGTCTTAACCATCGCCAGGCCATCTGCGTATCGCTTCTTACTATCCTCATGAGTAATCGTCCAGTCAGCGTCAGTAGTGCCCGTGACGCGCTTGACGCTCTCAAACACCTCGGTTTGGTTGATCACAAAGCTCTTAATATACACAGGCTTATTAAGCCACCCCGACACAGTAAGGCTCTTGTCGTTTTCATCCTCAGGAAGCTCCTTGAAACTCAGCACTTTGGCCACAGCGCGCCCAACCTGCGACAAGGTCGATACCGAGTTCTTGGTGTTGCCGTCGTTATAGATCGTCAGAGACCGCTTGTCAAAGTCGAACCCGAAGCGCGTCTCACCGCCCGCTAGGCTGTAATCGTACCATAACCCACAGCACATGGTGATCCACTGCATACCGAGGCTCTCAATCTCGTCCCTGGCAGCCTTGGCAACGGGCCCGAGCATGATATCCTCTCCGAGTTTAGTGTGTTCAATGTCGCCAGCGTACCCGTTAGGCATGATATAGGGAACACCAGCCTTGGCGGCCGCCTGGACAAGCTTGCTGTGGGTGTTGCGGGGCGCAGTGGGGGATACTGTGATGATGAAGAATTGTTGGCCCTTGAGGGCAGCGACAATAGTGGCCTCGTCGGAATAGTCAACTGGGGCGACGAGGACGCCCTCGGGGAGTTTGTTGCTGCTATCTTTGCGGGACAGGGCCGTAACCGTGTGTTTTCCGGTTTTAAGGAGAGCGGCGACGATGTGGGATCCAACAGTGCCTCCGGCCTAAGGGCGTTTGTTAGTTGTTGTGCATGTGGTGCTGCTGGAGGGATACACCTACACCGACAATGGCGACTCTCTCAACGGCGTTTTTGAAGCCGGCGGGCTGGTTCTTGGCGTACTCGGGCATTTTGGCTCTTGTTGAATTGTCTATTGAATTGATGATTCAATGTGTATCGATTGTTGTGATTGTGGTCACGAGTGGTGGTCGAGGTGTGGTAGCTCTTGTAGCTCTTGTAGCTGTTGCCGTTTGAGCTTGTGGGTGCCTGGCTAATCTTCCATGGAGCAGAGAATGCCTGTCCATTTATACCCTTCAGACCCAGTCTCGACACCACTGCAGAGCCAAACTTCGTTGCCATGCTCTCCATCTAATCCTAGTCGCACCGATCGGATTGGGCAATTCCGAAACGCTAATTCCGCGCAGCTATTTATTCTCCAGGCAACTCGTATGTCGGGATTGATTTGGCCAGACCTTCAAACTTCATTCGCGCGAAGATACTGGCGCCCCTGGACCCGTGGGTCAGGTCAACCCACTATGAGTCGGGCAACAGGCGCATGACCGTCACCGTCGCAGCGGGCCGCTCCAGAATAGCCGCGGCAACTGCGGCAAGCATTAGCGCCAAAGGTACAGAAACCCCTGCCAAAGCGCCAAGCTCCCTAATGACGGAGATACCCGTCGGGGTTACGGATGATCATCCCGCACCTCTCGGCCGCAGCAGCCGCACATTGGGGGCCATTTGACAGCGGCCTGGCTAACTCCGCTCCGCTCCGCACCGCACCAACATTGAAACGGCGTTAAGTCACCATAGCTGATCTTTTCCCACTCCCGACTAACAGACCTCCGTGCATATCTCCGGTCAAGATGAGCCGGTTGATCACGATGTGGAGAAAAAAGAGCCTTACTGATTAATGCAGGGGCTCAGCCTCGAGCCTCACGGAGCACGAATCGAATAAATACACTCCGTGATACCTCGTTGGCATGTAGATTTCCAAGGCACAAAGTCGACAGCACCATCATCATACCGGCTGATCAAAGCCCATACTACGAGCAGCCTTACAAGCTGGGCTTACTCGTCTCCTGAGCCTTGGTATGCCTCAGTCCGCCTTGGTGACTACAAAATTATCTTCTTAAGCAGAAGACAACATGTCGCTTGGCGGCGCCCCTCGGATCATTCAACACACGGGCAGACCTCCCTCGAAGCGTCGAATGAGGACTATGAAAACGGCGTACTCAACCAGGCCCACGATCACGACAGAAACACTGAAGGCCATCAGCTTCGAGCCTTTAATTTCGAAGTCGAACGCCCCCAGTCCGTCGCCGGCGAAGCCCTCTTCATCGCGCTCATCGAGCAGGAAAGAGCGAAACGCAGGAAGATTTTGTTTTGATGTCTTCAATGGCAAGTTTACATAAATGCAATACTGAATTTTATTATAGACCATTCTAGAGTACCACGCCATGTTTTGATGAGTTGAATCGCCGCTGAGTGGATCATTTTACAACGCCCCCCCCCTGCGCTACTACAGCTGGATGTCGGGACCGAAAATCGATAGATATGGCTCGATGAGAAGCTGATCCCAGTCCGTACCCCAGCCAATGTCCGGAAAAGCGGCGTTGGCCTCGGGTTCCGGCTGCCCCTGGAAGGGTTCGTAGCCCGACTCCACGGCTTCCAGCTGCATAAGCTCCTTTCGCTTCTTTGCTATATTGAGGCTGAGAAGATGCCGTGCTATTGACAATGCCTGACGGGTCAATCCTGTGTCCATTGCCCTGACAAGATTTTCCAATCCCTTAAAGGCAGCAGGGATGTGAGCGGAGGAGGCCGGTGTGTCGATGGCCAACAAGACACAGACATACTGGGAGACGCTGCCTATGACGTTCCACAATAGACGGCCCTGGTTGGCTAGCTGCTCAGCCGCTCTCACTGCGTCGTTCCCGCTATCAATGACGAGTTGAATTATCTCGTCCGTTATGCCTGTCTTGAGCTGATAAATGCGTCGATAGAAACAAAACGCAAGGTCCGCCTTCGTCACCACTAGGAACGGATGAGTGAAACGGAGTTTACTCAATGCCGTGAGACGCTGAAACAGCTCCTCCCTCGGTGTTAGAGGCTGACATTCGAGCTGGAACGGCGAGTTAGGCGACGGGATGATCTGGACTATTTGCACGAACTGGTCGGCAACGGACCCCAGTATCGGGATGATGGCCTGACAAGTCACGGCCCCAAACGTTACAGCCGACCGATCGTACTCATACGACAGCATATGATGCCCGGCCCACGAGATCCAGAAAATTCGCCTTAGCCGATCCGCATCATGCCCAACAGCAGCAGCGCCGGCGACAGACGCCATCCTTTTAATATTCTCTTCTTTGTGTAACCCGACCACTTCGCAAAGGTGCATAAGAGTGCACGACGCGACCCAAGCATTACTAGGGCGGGTTGTGGCCCGCAGATAAAATAACCGCATGCTCCATGCGACGATATGGTCGATGCTTAGCATGCGTATAGATCCAGGATCATCGAGAATAGCTTTAGCGTACTGCAGTAGATCAGACTCCCGCGGGTATCTGGCTGTGGAGAGGAACGACCCGAAAGCAGCGACGCCAGCAGCTACGGCGCTAAAGGCGACCGCGTTGCTGCCGGAGCCATGATAATAATCGCGACATCGTTGGGCGTAAATTCTTGGGTCCATATAGTCACCGATAGGGCCCATTGCAGAGAAGTACACATTTGAGTAGAAGGCGAGGTTGTCCTCCGAAATTAGTTTCCCTAGGAAGCCATACGCGTTGGAAGCCTCTTCAGGGCGGATCCCAAAGTTGTACGCGAACGAGTTGATCTTGGGAGGGCTGTCGGAGCCAAGAGCCACACCCAGGATGTGCGGGAAGGCCATGGCTGCCGATGCTCCAGTGTATCTGGACTTCTGCTCGTCGAAGATGCCGGCCCCGACGGCAGGACTCTTTGACGATGAACATTGGCTGTCCGGGCTGCGCGATCCGGCGGTGACACCGATCGTCATAGTACTCCCGCTGTCATGAATGATGCGCTTGGCCAGGAGTGGAGCGTGCTCGCTTTCACCCGCAGTGCTGCTGGTGGCGTCGTCGTCGGCGTACCTGCAGTTATATTCGTAGGTGGTGCACGTGCCGCAAGGGTACTCCCCATTGCATTTTCGCTTGCGCTGGTGGCAAGGTAAGCATGCCTTCCTTACACGCTTACGCTTGCCAATGATTGTGGACATAACTGCTTAGTTGCTATGTCATAATATTCGAGGCTTATCACAGAACAGATGGGGCAGGTTCATCGGGTATGGCTATAATTGGAAAGAGCGCTAAACTAGTAAAGGGAAGAAAAACTTAGGGTCCGCCCCAGTGCATACATACGGTGGGAAATAATACAGCCATTTTACCACTAGACCATAACAAAAACCTCGGTTCCTGTTTAAGGCCTAGGGCGGCCATATTCCTAGTTCGACACATACTTCGGGAGCATCTTATACGCGCCCGACCTGGCAAGACAAAGAGGGAGGGGGCGACCTGCCCACCTGAACAGCGTTCTCCAGCAAATAGGGGTAACGAATTATAGAGTCATTGATATCTCCAATTGGCCGGATACAGTACAGGAGGTGATTTTTGTGACAGTTTGTTATCGATAGATGTCTTGAGGCAGAAGAATAGTTTATTATTATTCCATCATTGTAGTAAAACTGACCCTTAATTAACGATTATTCATCTCGATTGTCCCATTTATGCAGTGATTTCGTCTGCGGGGATACACCAGTCCCATTCTCTGCAGATGATATCATCCGCTGAGGTGATTATCAATCCCCGCTGCATTTCTAAGCTTCGGCGATAGTAATCTGTGCGAGACCTTTATATAGCTCCCCTCTATTCCCATCTCACTCGCCTATTAGACTCATTCCCATATCAATCATGGCTTCAAAGTTTCTCGCAATTATCGCCGGAGTTGGCCCTGGCACAGTACGGTCTACTTATACATACACCCCCGCTAGATGAGAAATACATCACTAACGAAACGTACAGGGTGCCGCGATCGCCAGAAAGTTTGCTAAGTCATACTCTGTTGTTGTTCTGGCCCGAAACCCAGACAATTTCGACCCAGTCGTTCAGGAGATCAATGCCAGTGGCGGTCAAGCGTTCGGCATCAGCACTGACGTCTCCGACTCAAAGAGCGTGAATGCTGCCTTTGATAAGATCGCAGCTCAATACCCGTCCTCCAAGGTTGTCGCCGCGGTGTTCAATACTGGCGGCGGCTTCATCCGAAAGCCATTCCTTGAACTTACTGAGCAGGATTACTCAAGCGCACTTGCATCTCAAGCGTACGTTTCTTTTCACGTATTTTGCTCTCGATGAGAACAATGTAAAATCATGTGAAGTTCGAGTTTCGGCACTAATGCGTATAATAGACAAGGTGCTTTCAACTTCGCTCAACGCTCCCTCCCGCTCCTCTTGGATTCTCGTGAATCCTCCGAGTATCCTCCAACTCTGATCTTCACCGGAGCTACAGCGAGCCTTAGGGGTTCGGCTAACTGTGCTGGTTTTGCCTCGGCCAAGTTTGCACTACGCGCGTTAGCACAGTCGCTTGCTCGTGAGTTTGGACCGCAGGGTGTGCATGTCTCGCATGCCATCATCGACGGTATCATTGACATACCACGGGCCAAGGAATGGGCCAATGAACATGTGGATGGGAAATTGAGTCCCCATGCTGTAAGTGTTATTTCATTTGGTATATTGATTTGGTCACTGACTTGCTTTAGATTGCGGACTCGTATTGGTATCTGCACACTCAGCCACGGACGACATTTGCCTTTGAACTGGATCTACGTCCATATGTCGAGAAGTGGTAAACATTTGATTAAGTTCCGGGAGGGTTTTGAATCAAGTTTACGGATCCTTAAATAGTTGAGTCGCTTTTATTTCTACACATTTGGTGCAAAGAAAGAGCCAGGTTACTCCCTTGGACAAGCCTAGCATTCATCAGCTTTCTCAGACTCAACATCTAGGGTGAATCTATGATGTTGTTAGTCTTTGTTTTAATTTAGTTATTATGCTGTCTCATTGTGGTTGGGAATTTACAACCTCCTAATATCTTGCGTATTTGATTTCCCATTATGCAAACTTGGCACCAATATGATATAACTACCGAGCCAATTCCTAGGGCAGCACAACCAGCAGCCTAGGTATCATTTATGGTATTTACGTGGCAGGAATTGTAGAGTGCCAATTTCCAATTTCTTGCCGGAGTGGCTGTATGGCAACATGGCAGCTGTGTGTAGCGAAGCAAAAGATTTTCACTCCTTGAATAGATGTGTTTGGGTCACTGCTAAGCACAGAATTGTCCCTTTACTGCCACAATTGGTCATGCACCTAGACACGTCAGATTCAGTGTGTCTACTTCCCCAGTTTCCTTAAAGTCTTTATCCTCCACTCCCAGGAAATTTTGGCCAACTAATATTGTGCGACGTAGTTTTGAGCATGTGTGTTTATGCAGTGTTATGGAAGAGTTAAAGACAGCAAAAAATGATAACTTGATATTTAAAATTGGAGCCCCAGTATTTGCTGCACAGTCTCCTCGACAGCTTTAATCATTCGATCTTTTGACTGGCATGAATCCAACTCTATAACGTCACTCTCCAGGCGGGTGGGAGGTTCTTGGACAGCAAGCTGTGATTCAACCATTGTCGAGTGCATATAATGATTCTCCGCTGCGGAACGGGCGTTGAGGCGCTCTTTCAACTGAACTTCATCACTGATAGAGAGGGCAAGAAATGTGATTGTGACGGGAAAATCGAGGAGCCGAGGTAGCTTCCGCAGCTCGTCGCTGTATACTGTTCGCAACGCGGAACAGGTGACGGCAATGGGAGGAGCAGTTCCGTTTTGCAATCTGTCCATCAGCGCACCACGGATATGAACAAACCAATCCCAACGATCACTATCCTCTAAAGGGATGTTATTGGCCATCTTCTGCCGTGATAGATGCGAGTGCAAGTTGTCGCCCTCGATGATAGGGATATCAAATCGCTGTGCTAGAGCTTGGGCGGCTGTGCTCTTGCCACATCCACAAGGGCCAGTCAAAAAGATCACTTTCCGGTACCGTGCTGAGAGGCTTGAAACACTGGTGTCTGTCCAGCATTGAGTGCGGAAGTACTTGATGAAGCGTGCCACTAATTCGGCTGTCAGACCCCCTGCCTGGCGCAGTGCAGGTGCCGCGGCTTGCACCTGCTGGGTACTGTAGAGAAGAACTCGACTAGGACGGTCCTGGTCATACTTGCTGGCAAAGAACTCGACAAGCTTGATAGGTGGGTTTTCTTTGGGGTCGGGGTTCGAATTGCGAAGACGGTTCAACCACTCGCGCGGTTTCAACTCTTCAAACTCCAATCCCGACTGCCTTAAAAGTGGTAGCAAGTCTCGAGTCCAGTGACCAAGTGTTGGGTTTGTGACATTGACCACCTCTCCTGCATTTGGAGCCAGGGTGAGATCAATAACGCTGTTGGCAATGATATCTACCGGTGTCCATGATACGATATCTTCTAGCTGGGGCAGTGCGTGGATTGTCTCTGCTGTCTGCAGTAACATAGGAATGGCTTCGGTGGCATTCCAGATGCCATGAACGGTATCTGAAATAACCTGCCCCACTCGTAGTACATGTGCAGTCATTCCTGTCTGATGCGCAGCTCGATTAATGATATGCTCCGTTACCAGCTTGGACTGCGCATATCCCATTTTTTGCGCATAACTGAGTGATTCGGGAAGGGCCTCTGGGACCCAATTGCCAGGTGTCCGTGCAACTGTGCTAACTGAGGAGCAGAAAGAGAACTTGGCAGGGGAGGGCCAATGTCGAAGAGTTCCAATGTATAGATTGTGCTGAAATGGCTGGTCGTCAATAGATGACCACCTCTTACCCAAGAAAAGCTGGAGCGGTCAGAAAATTCAGCTACAGCGAAGAGATAAAACACTCACAGATAGGCAGGCTGTCAAACTGTGGCCAGAAATCAAGAACCAAGTCCTCATCGGTCGCAAGATTGTCCAATAAGATTTCGGTTTGCGGATCAAGTAGAAAAAGCTGAGCATTATTGTCAAGACCAGGTACGCCGCCTGCTCCGTCGTCCTCCTGCCTTGATAATATTTCTTGCATAGCTGATCCATTCTGCTCAGCTTGCGCAAAAGCAATCATATCACGTTGATGTGCAGTAGAAGGAGAAGTATCAAGGTCAATATTAGTGCCATGTTGGCTGCTGTGATTGTCAGGGTAGATGTCATAGTGACTCGGGGCGGACGGGTATGACTTTGTCAATTCTCGGCGCAGACCCTGTAGTATAATGCTATATCTCCACGGTGGCGCATTACGAACAGTGGCATCGGCAAGGTGGGCTTGTGCGGTCTCTGATAATCTATAGAGCGTGGATTCGTCCAATGGGGAGTCAAAAGGGACATCCTGGCTTGAGACAAAGCGGAGATTGACTGGCGAAATGCGACCTCGTTGGACTTGGATCAGGTAAAGGTAGATTATCGACAATGCGTTGAAGGCGATGTATTGAGAATACCAGAAAGACTGGAAAAGTTGCTTCTCCTGGACAAAAGCGAGAATCAACTCAATTGCGTCTCGTGCCGCCGTCAAGCACAAGCTGAGGTAGTATTGGCAACTTGCTTCGCATTCAGGCCAGGTCTGACCATAGTTCCGGAGTAGCAGAGGCCGAGTAATGAATATCAATGCGTGGTACCGCGCTAGCTGCAAAACTGTGAGTTGGCGTCTCAATCCAGGGACTAAGCTATCTGGCTGAATAATGCCTGATAGAAACGCCGGTAACTCGGCCTGCCACTCGGCGACTCTCCCACAAAAGAGTCGAATAATATCAATTTGTGCTTTAGTAGAGACACCTGTGACCACATACGGTTCTTTAGCGGCCTGCGTAAGGATGCGAGCCAGGACGGTATGAAACACAGGGGCATCCATCAGACAATCCCGCTTAGATATTCTTTTTTTGTGCCGGCCTAGGTCTTGATCATTGATTCGAGCAGGGAGATCTTCGTCCAGGTCTTCATCTTGCCAAAGCCGGGGCCGGCCCAGAATAACACTGAGGTATTTGTCCAATGTATATGAGCACCAGAGGACGCGGCGTTGACATTCCTTCTGTATCAAATCCTCCTCATCAGTTCCCAGCCGTGGCCGCTTACTATGATAGCCCAAGGCCATCATCAGCTGAACTGTCGTACCAAATGTAAACCACGCTTTGTGAGCTCGCGACGAGCTTAGAAGATAGAGCACCATCAGAAAGCGCGCCTGCACCGAGGCCAGACTTGGTGCACCCGTTTCATGTGACAGAAGAAAATCCGCCTGCGTGTAATACGTCTCGCTTGTTTGCCAGCCAGACGTGTCAGCATCTGTGATATGCCCTTCCGAGTCTGGCTGAAACATTGTTGCAATGCTGAATATCAGGAGCAGAGTCGCCCGAGATGCAGCGGCGAGCGAGGTTTTTCTTGCGACATTACCGCCTCGGAATAGGTCATGAACAAGTAGTTCGACTGTTGGCTGGTGAAGAACTCGATAGGTTGGTGATGCGAAGTCAAAATATCGTCGGACCAAGATGTCCGCGGTTCTCCGACCAGGCCATCCAAATTCGGCTAAGCCATTGGGAATGATCCGGTCCCCAAAAGAGAAGATCGAGACACTGGATGACGTGCCTTGATCCCGTTGCTGGGCCAATGTCTTTGATGGTGTTGAGGGCAGGTCTCGAACCACGCGGCCAAGAAACGAATGCGCCGAGGTTGGCCCCCAATATTGAGGAGGGATGTTTGACGGTTCTGGTTCATTTGGCGGGTCGGCAGGGGTCCCTGGTGCAGTGTGCGCAAAGGCAGGGGCTGGAGATATGTGAGCGCTTGGTGGTTGATCCCAACTCTCCGAAGGGGACTGCTGATATCGAGATTTGCCAATGGTCTGGGTTTGGTTGATATCTGCATTGGAGCTTGCCGAACTTGGTCTCTCTCTTTGATGGCCGGAGGAAAGTGGGCTCACGGCGACGCCTCTGTTGTAAGCGGCATTATAGGTGCAAGACAGCCGCCGCTGCGCGCATGGGCCACAAGGGAGCGTGCCTGTACACGCCTTCTTCTTCGCTTTGCATGCATCGCAAGCGCGTGTCACTTTGCGCACTTTTCGTGCATCGCTGGCCATTTCCGACTAGCGCAAATGGAGCGGGCGTTTAGATGCAGCCAACCCTCTCAAAAAAGGTTTACATCGATGTTGTTCAGTTTGTCCGGAGAGTTTTCCGCTTTTCCGCCTTTTCCGGACCACGTGTGCAGCAGTCAGCAAAAGGCTTTCAAAGCAAGCGCCCTATACGTGCCTTTGCACAGGGATATGTCAGTAATAACAGACAAGTGATATCATCTGTGATCCTAAATAAGATAGACTGTCCGTTTGTTTGTGGATGAGGTGATTTCGGGCCGGTCCGAACCTTGGAACTCAGAAGGCATCTGACTCGCGACAGACCTACAACTCTTAGCCTTTCTCTCTCAACCCTTCTGATACTCCCTGGTAATAACTCAGCCATCATGGGATTTCCGGCATCTCACATCCAACCTCCCCGAGCGCCTCACACCCATACGGTTATTCTCCTGCATGGTCGCGGTAGCAATGGCGAAGAATTCGCGGAAGAACTCTTCTCATCAACAATCTCGAACGGCAAAAATCTGCCTGCATGCCTACCCAACTATCGCTGGGTCTTTCCAACTTCATGCCAACGATACAGTACTACATTCCGAGAAGATATTTGCTCTTGGTTTGACGCCTACTCCTTGGGCGATATCAACGAGAGACAGGAGTTGCAGAAAGAAGGATTGACACAGTCGGTTTTCCACATTCTTAATGTCATAGAAGAGGAAGCGAATATGCTTGAGGGGCGACTTTCTCATGTCTACCTCGGTGGGATCAGCCAGGGGATGGCAACCGCTTTGTGGACTTTCTTTGCGGCAGTCGGTACAGGAAGGATACAACGTCCACTGGGTGGCCTGCTAGCTCTTTGTGGTTGGCTACCATTTGCACAAAATATCGAAGGAATGCTATGCGAGCCAATCTTCGACAGGCCTTGCACTCCTCGGGGACTGCGCCTTGTGTCTGGATTCTTCTTTGACGAAATCTCCTCCCAAGGGTTATCACAGGCCGACCAAACGGTTGACAGCTCTGTCCTTTCTACTCCGGTCCTTTTAAGTCATGGAACGGACGATGCCTGGGTATCAGTCGACCTTGGACGGCAGGCATCTCGGATTATCCAGCGGGTTATGACGCACGTTGAATGTCACGAGTTCACTGGAGCAGAGAGTGATGGACACTGGGTCAAAGAACCTGAAGGTTTTGACCAGATTCTTCAATTCCTTCAAAAATGATTTGCCTCCACCCGGAAAGAGACTAAATTGGTCGACGGTTAATGTAAGGGGTTACACAAATAGCTACACGCAGGCCTTGGTGAAGGTTTACGTTCATTTCTTGTTCAATGAGGCAGCATGTTATATCTAGTCATCAAATGACACGTTTCACTTTTAAACACAGAGGGTGCTAGAGAAATCCACAGGGACGGTCCTAATATTGTCAATTTTGTGCAACCATCTATCTACCCGTAAAATCGGAACAGTTAGATACTCAACCTCCTGATGGCGTACTCGGTCTTTGGTAGTACTGTTGTAAACACTTTGAACTAGCTCCAAATAATTACAGACTTCGTAAAGATACAGGAATCCATTCGGCGTTTGCGTGCAGGTAAGAAAATGGCTCGACCGGGTTCACCAAAGTAGAAAATACCTGTGCTTATGAATGTAAAATACTTGGATGTTTATGTTTTAGGCCCGTTCACACGTTTAGGGTTTGATCTGATATATGTCAAAGCGTTTTAGCCGAACCGGTTAACCCGACAAACCTCGTCGAAAGTTTACGGATGACGTCCCGGGACAAGTATAGCACGGAACTCATAAAGGTAAGCCGCTCGTGTGATCTCGTATTCGCAAGATGGAAAGTGTATAGTCCGAGGCAGGATATTGTCCCAGCCTTATACCCGGTATATTCATGTGATATGGAAGGTAGGAAAGACAAAGGATGATAAGAATTGACCTATAGTATAAGCTAAAATAAGCAAACTCCATACTCCCTTACTGTCAAAGTCCGATATCGCGATGACACATTCCTGCCTGATCGGGGGCTTGGCGTGCGCTGACGCTAGTCCTGAATAGGCTTGGCGCTGTCATTGGAAGGGCGCGCTGCACGCTCCATCTTTCTCGGACTTGCTGCTCTTCTCCGTCTGCCCATTGTTGGCCGGCAATGCCGAAGTTCATATGGGGATACGAATGTGCTTGGGGTTCCACATGATCATGCTCTAAAGCCACAAAATCTGCGTTCCCAGCGGCACCCGAATCTTAGGTCAATCCTTGTGCTCCACTAATTATTCTTCCCTTTCTACCCCAGACCCCAAGGTGCGGTTTCGGGCAGTTTTCAGCAGACCGATTCTTCCACCTTCCATCCTCCATTTCCCTGCAATTTTTTAATTCCGGTTTGTGTCGGTGCAGGAGTCTGTTGTAATTGCACGTTACAGCATGGAGTATTTCGATTTCGAGGGCGCCTCGTCAGCTCATGGCTCTAACCAGCAAGACGACGACGTCGCTTCAGTCGATATTGAGCTTGATGAAGCCGAGGAACAAGCAGCCAATTTCAACTCGCTGGCCCAAGATCAGCCATTAGAGTTCCCCGATCTGTATGTCGGACAAGCCATTGACCCCGACGGGGTGTACCCCATGTTCCGCGCCCAGGAACCATGCGACTTCTGTCGCCGAATGGGACTGGACTGCTTTGTTGCCAAGCGTGGTGTGATGCAAAATGGCTGTACTTGCTGTATCTCTCTCTACCGCGAATGCAGTTTCACACATGCCAAAACGCCTGGCAAGTTCCTTCAGACCCTACACAGTGTGTCCGAAAACGCCTACGTCCCTACAGGCAGCCTCACAGGAAAGAAAGCTCTCAAATCCGTCTCATATGGTGCATATGCCGATGATCCTGATGCACGTTCTCGGAAAAATAGTCCTCGATTTTCTCGAAAGGCAATCAGTATCCTGAAGAGCTGGCTGCGAGATCACAACGAGAATCCCTATCCTACTGAACAGGAGAGAGATGATCTCAAACAAGACACTGGTTTGACCCGAACGCAAGTTTCCAATTGGCTAGCAAATGCCAGACGACGCGGCAAAGTGCGTTCTTCGACCGACAACACTTCTGTTCCTGGTGCTGTGGATATTCCCAAGAAACAATCCGTCGACGTATCTCTCATGACACCTCTGGAGCGTTGGAAATACTCTCCTCCCGAGAACGAACCTGCTACGATCAGCGATATTAACCGTGCCTTGGCGAATCCCCCGTTCGATCCCTCGCGTCCACGCCGGGCCCCATCTGGTCACGTGCGGCCCCGTCGCCCTGGGTCCAGTACCAATGAGTCAAGCCATGCCAGCTCCGAACATAAACTGCGCACCGCCTCTGCCAGTAGTCTGGATACTAGTCGGTCATCTCTCTCTGATCTCTCTTTTGCTTCGGCATTCTCTCATCGATCCTCGCATTCATTCGGTTCAATGGATCGTAAAGAACGTCGCCGTCGCCGTAAGGCCTCGGTACCTGTCAACACATTGGCCCATTCCAAGGCTAAATCCGCTCGTCCATTTCAATGCACATTTTGCACTGACTCCTTCCCTGCTAAATATGATTGGCAACGACACGAGAAGTCTATGCACCTTATCTTGGACAAATGGACATGCTCTCCTCACGGTGGAGTAGTTGAACAGAATGGTATACCTCTTTGCGTCTTCTGCTCGGCAGCTAACCCAGATGGAGAACACCTAGAAACTCATAACTTCATCAGCTGCCAGGAGAAGACAGTGCAAGAGAGGACATTCTATCGGAAGGATCATCTGAACCAACACCTTCGCTTGATGCACAATACCAAGTTCCAATCGTGCATGGATAAATGGCAAAGTAGTATCACCGAGATCAAATCTCGCTGCGGCTTCTGTGGCTCTATTTTCCAGACCTGGAAAGATCGAGTCGATCATCTGGCGGGCCACTTCAAGAACGGTGCTGTGATGGCTCACTGGCAAGGGGACTGGGGCTTTGAGCCTTTAATTCAAGCTCGCGTGGAAAATGCAATCCCGCCATACATGATCGACTATGAATGGAGGACTCCTGATCCATGGACCACACAGCAAGCCCAGGGCGACGGCACCTCACCTCAGCTCCCCGTCCCCAATGATGCCAACTGCTACGACCGTCTCTCGCAAGAACTTACTGCGTACATTCACAACCAAAAGTCACAAGGTGTGGTTCCATCCGACTCGATGATCCAAGAAGAAGCCCGTCGTGTCATTTATGGATGCGATGACCCTTGGAACCAAACCTGTGCAGACAACATTGTGTGGTTGAGTGTTCTCAAACGTGATTGCGGGCTGGAGACAGCTGTACAAAACGATACGATCCAATTCGATGACCTAGGCATGCAACCTCCATTTGCGGTGCATGGCGGCCTGCGGGCCCCACCCCGGGAGATGAATGTCCTCGCGCGAACAGTATGTCGAGGTGGCCTATATAGCCCTGCAGTCTCTAGTCCGAGCCTCCGCAGCCCCGCCTTTCCCGGAACTGGTTTTTCATCCGCCGGGCCTAGCCGTGGGGGAAGTCTCTCGGGCAGTTACGCTGGTAGTGCAGGGATGATATCAGCCGGTGCGGATCCATCATTTGCCACGGATTGGGGCAGTAGTGTGCCAACCAGTCTTCCGACCAGCCTTCCAACCACTTCGTCTATGGCAAGGGAAGGGTCCTCTGATCCTTTGGTACAAATGGGGTTCGACCCGGAGTTCCTCCAACAACTGAATGATAGCTATGGTAAAATCAACCCTGATGATCTTGAAGGCATGCATTTAGATGAGGATGATGGCCACAGAGGGGTTGGGGGACAGGGATGGCCAAACTCAGATATGCTTGGCCAACCCACTTCAGATCCGGTTGGTATCTTTCCCAAAGAGGGCCACGCCCCTGCTTCAGATGCACCCAAACCTGACCTCTCTGGGTTTCTCAATCGACAAGGCCACTTTTGATATCTATGATGGCAAATATCTTGATCCGTGCAGAGTTGTGCATGGCAAGTAAAAGTTATTTGTTACGAATTTGCTTGGTTCATTTCATTTTCATGGCATATAATTTGATATTAATCATGCTAGCGATAATACTACAAATAAATACGCATTTAGGTTTTCTCAGTTCAGTCCAGGCTCTCACGTCTCATCCTCGTGGAGGGTAGTTCAATTTTTAACCCAACTTCCTCCATCTTCCTTGTACACACGTCAGCCAGCCTTGTAAATCATTCTGTCTTTTGATTCATCCTGAGATTGCGTACCTTGATGCATTTCCAGGCACGTGGCGTTCATGCTAAGCCCGAATTAAGGCCTTCTGCCGAACCCGCTTTAATTAATCGGGACTATGACTGGTTGAGTCACAAGCCACGATTATCGATACTAAGATTTCTTTGCTACTACCCATAACATTGGTTCGTGTCGGTCTGACATGCAATCCACCAAGATTCCGACCTGAGTCAGGCGCTCCCCATGGCTACGGAGCCTTGAAATCCATCGTGCATTATTGGGCTCTACACAATTCTGGCACCATGGCGAGGCATAAAAGCCCCCACCTTTGATCTGACTTAGGGCTATGAGATCATTCCCGGAGCTGTTGAGACGGCTCAGCCCACATCACTCGCAGGGTTATGCTTCAGACACTGCCACTTTAGCGCTCGGGAGTATTATCTCCCCGATGTCTGTATGGACATCTTGACAGCCCATACATTGATTGAATTGGTCATTTGTTTACGAATTGGATCCCTTGCCAGAAATGAGAGGGTCCTGAGCGGCCACCACGGGTTTGCTGCTTGACATGATTGGCTTAGTCGCAAGTGAGAATCCGCGATCCCCGATCAATATATTGATGCTCGGATAAACTACTCACATCTTCACACCTCCGAGAGGTTTCTATGGCCTCGGAAGAAAGCACTAGGAAGCGTCACCCTACTCTGGCGTTTTTACGAGCTCGCAAACAAGCCGCTCCATGGACAATCTGCATGCAATGTGATAGTCTGCAGGGAGGACCCTCAGGCGGGATTGAGATGTATATGCTCACATAGTGTCTTATGAATCCGCGGGCTTGTATAAAGCGATGAGCGGCCCGGAGAGAGTATGGCCTGTATAGCAGATCTTTCAGTCTATACAATCTTACAAGTTTAACCTACATCAATAACTATGAAGCTCTCCGTTGGAAGCCTTTCCGTTATACTTCTATGTCTTAGCCAATGGGCGACTGCGGCCACGGTGTTTTTCCCGATCACTTTGACATGGACGAATAAAACCGTTGCCGGCGTTGTCAGGCCAGTTATTGCCATGAATGGCCAGTATCCTGGTCCTCCACTCAATATCAATCAAGGCGACAATGTCCAGTTTTTTGTTGATAACCGGTGTCCATTTAATGCTACCGTTCACTTCCACGGTATCTGTCTAATTTCTTTACATGCTTGCTGTTAAAAAAATAATAATTAGTTATAGGAATCGAACAGATTGGAACCCCCTGGTCCGACGGTGTCCCCGGCGTCTCCCAGAGATCAATCTCACCAAACACTACCTTCCTCTATAGATGGACAGCAGATCAATACGGAGCATACTTCTACCATGCGCATCACCGCGGTTCACTCGAAGATGGCCTTTACGGTCCAATCTATATCACTCCATCGGCCTCTGTGACAAAGCCATTCAGCCTGATTACGAGCAATACCAGTCAACTCAATGCTATAATACATGCCGAAAGGAATGGTTGCTCTGTTTTGCTTTCGGACTGGCGGCTTCTTACCTCGGAAAGGATCTGGAGCGCCGAAGTGGCATCTGGGGTTGATTCTTATTGTGCTAATGCTTTGCTCATTAATGGCAAGGGCTCTGTCACTTGTCTTCCGCGCACGCAGATTGATGCTTTGACGACGGAAGCTCAAAGGCGGGCGTTGGGGAATGAGAGTTTGACGGATATGGCGTTAGTTGATTAGTTTGAAAGTGGTGATCTGGAATACTGACCATGATCACAGATGCTTCCCACCAAACCTCACCTCTGCCCAGGGGAACTTCCCACACAACTACAGTGCCATTCTGCCCACGATGTTCTCCGGCTGCACGCCATCTCAAGGACCCCAAGAGATCTTCAACGTCAATGCATCCCAGCAATTCGTAAGCTGGGATCTGACCAGTGCATCAGGCGTCCTGGAACTCACCTTCTCAGTCGACGAGCATGTCATGTGGGTATACGCCATCGACGGACGATACATCCGCCCGGTCCAAGTGAACGCCCTCACAATCCCAAATTCCAACCGCTACTCAGTGCTAGTCCCACTCACCCAACCGAGAGGAGACTACACGGTCCGCCTCGTCAGCGCCAGCGTCCAACAAATCCTCAACACAACCGCAATCCTCCGATACCAAGGCACACCGCAACTAAACAGAACATCCAACCAATGGATAACAATAAACAATCAAAACACCACAACAGAAACAGTCTTTCTCAATGAATCCATCGTCACCCCCTTCCCAGTCCTCGTCCCCTCAACAAACGTCGCCCAAACCTTCTTCCTAAACGTCGAACGTTTCGGCGCCTCATACCGCTGGACTTTAGGAAACGGTAGCTATGGTCTCGAGCTAGAAGAATCTCAGCCTCTCCTCTTCAACCAGAGCTCAATCCCCAGCAACCTGGTCATCAGGACAAACAACAATACCTGGGTCGATCTCATCATCCAAGTCGTCACACCCGTCCAGCCTCCACATCCAATCCACAAACATTCAAATAAGCATTTCATCATCGGGCAGGGAAGCGGGATATTCAATTATACCTCTGTTGCGCAGGCTGTCCAGGCTATCCCTGGGAACTTCAATCTGCTTACGCCGCAGTATCGTGATACGTCGAATACACCGCCAGCTACGCAGGGCCCGACCTGGTTGGCGATTCGGTATCAGGTTGTTAACCCTGGGGCTTTCCTGATGCATTGTCATATTCAGGTTCATCAGAGTGGGGGTATGGCGTTGGCTATGTTGGATGGGGTTGATGCTTGGCCTACTGTTCCGCCAATCTATTTGAATGGCAATGGCTCTTAGATTAACGACGGTTGGTTATGACTACATTTGGTGAGTCCGGGAATGTATATGTGACCGATGTATTGAGAAGAATGTGGACGAGAATTCGGGTTTAAGGAGAGGTATATTGAGCGAGCAGCATTTGAGTTTGATACTAGCGTATAGTTTTTGGCGTTGCATAGTATAAATTTGGCGGATTATGGGAGAATGATTCTTCGTTTCTACTCTTCATTGACTTCCCTTCGCGTACTGTAAAGTGAATGTACTTCGGGCTGGAGAAGAGTGGGTACCAGAGCACTTCATCGATGACTTCACCACATTACAGGAAAACACCTCACTGAGAAACCAGACCAATGCCGCAACGCACGTTCATTAAGTGATTTTCATATGATCATATTAAAAAAGTAACGAGCTCAGAGCTCCACAGAGTCCCGAAGTGACAACGTCATCCCTTAAGCAATGAGAGACTGGATACCCTGCTCAATGGCCGGAGGAGAAGCACCAACAACCTCAGTGATCTTCTGGCCACCCTTGAAGAGCATAAAAGTAGGCATTGCTCTCACACCAAGCTCGTTCGAAAGATCGGGGACCTTGTCTACATCGAAGGTGTAGAACTTGACTTGGGGGTATTGCTCGCTCCACTGCTCGACCTTGGGCGCGATGGCCTTGCATGGACCACACCATTCCGCGAAACAGTCCACGATGGCGGGTTCCTCGGAGTCCAAGACCTTGTCCATGAACTCGGCCACGCTGGTGGGGATTAGTACCACTTTTGGTAAGTGGGGGCTGATCTGCATACCTCGTGATGGAGATGACGGGCATGTTGGTGATGTAATGGGATGTATGAGCAGTTATGAGTTGAGATGAGGATCGGATTAGGCGAGAAATGGTTGCAGAGGGGAGAGTGAGGACTGTCAAATCGGGGATTTATAGAAAGAAAGGTGGGGTGATGTAGATCGGAGGGGCGGAGAAAGATGGCGCCGGTGACATGTTTAGCTCTGATCTCCAGGTATGGGGTACGGGGTAGACATGTATAGAGTACATGCTGTATATATGTGTACATTGCCACGTTGTGCTACGAGTTATGCGATATCACAATGATCAATGATGAATCCGCCCAGGTATTCTGTAGCCTCATTGTCAGCCCCATGGAATGGGCGACGGGGATATACTCCACGAGGAGCTCGGATCGACGACGATACCGAGCATCACATCCTCAGCCAATATCACACGAATACAATGAAGCTACAATGGATATACAAACCAAACAAAAGAAACAAAAATTAAAATTCGCCTGAAAAATCAGGACTCGTGACATGGCCAGATGTTGTTCCGGCCCGGGGGGAAGGCCATATTTAAGATCCAACTCGGCTATGCCCCTCTTCACACTAACACCCCCCAACCTCCTGTCTCTTCCTTCATCCAACCCACTCACTTTTATCAACATGTCTAAGCTTTTCATCGGGTAAGTTGATTTCCACGTTGTCGATGCGATTACTGACCATTTTCCGTTTCCAGCGGTCTCTCCTGGGGCACAGACGACCAGTCTCTGCGCCAGCGCTTCGAGGAATTCGGTGTTGTTGAGGAGGCTGTAAGTGGACTCTTTCTGCCCCTCTGACCGCCCGATGGCGTCTGATCTGACTTTTTTTCTAGACCGTCGTCAAGGACCGCGATACCGGCCGCAGCCGTGGTTTCGGTTTCGTTCGCTACGCTTCCGATGATGAGGCTACCAACGCTATGAACGCCATGAACGACCAGGAGTAAGCTGCGATTCCCCTTTTCCCCCTTTCCTGATCCTGGCTGCTGGCCGCTCTCTGTTGCCTTCTGTTTTATTGCTTCCCTTCCAATTCCCATTTATGTCCTGTCGCGCTCGAAAGAGCGCCTGCCTACTCCGTTCAATGCTCCATCCAATCCACCCTTGAGAAAGACCCTTAACTGACAGCACTCTCCCAGGTTCGACGGTCGTCGCATCCGTGTTGACAAGGCTACTGAGCGTGGCGCCGGCGGCGGTGGCCGTGGTGGCTTCGGCGGCGGCTTCGGCGGTGGCCGTGGCGGTTACGGCGGCGGCAACGGTGGTGGCTACGGCGGTGGCTACCAGCAGCAGGGTGGCTACCAGCAGGGCGGCTACGGCGGTGGTAACGGTGGTTACTAAAGGATCCCCTGATTTACACTTCCTGTGACCTGTGACTCTTTCATGGTCTTTGGGAAATCTGATCCCATGATCCCACCCCCCTCCCCCCTGTGAATGCCTACAAAATCGAACTTGTTACTCTCAACGACTGTTACGACTAATCGATGAGCCGATCCGGATTTTTTTCTTTTTTGGGTTCCTGATCTACATTGTGCGGGATGTAGAGGGCTCAATTTATTATTTTGCCTTGCCCCGCCTTTTTTGGTGATCCCAAGCTGGGCTGAGACACAAGTGATACCCGTGTGAATATCCGTACTCTGAAAATCGCAATTCTTCGAGGTTATTTAATTTCGCATTTCTCCAGAGTAGACCTGTAATTTACATGTACATTTGTAATATCTTAAGACTCTGCATCTAATCTATGGGGCTAAGCGAGAGGAGCCCTGGAGGACCCCCTGGGGCAAAGTGGAGAAAATGTCCCCCACGCACTATAATTGGAATTCTCTTACAAGAACATAGATTTAATTGTTTGAAGCTAGACTCGCTAATAGATCCAGATCCACTTCTCCGGCGCAAATACATAAATCATATCAAAGGAGAGGCTATGGCTAAATCAACAGGCGCCAAAATTGAAAAACGTATAAATTCCAAGCATATCGCTGTATATCATTTCAGTCGTGGGTCGTGAGGTTTGTTTCACTTTCAAAAGAGTTCTTCTTGGATATCGGACTCGGATTGGTTGCTTTCCGATGTCGGGGGTAAAGTCGCGGTCTCTGGCTCTTCTGATACTGCAGAAGACTGGATAGAGTCAACGAGAGCATCATCCTCCTCCAGTTCCTCTGGTTGGGACTGAGGTTGGTCGGTCGGCTCCATAGACGCGGCGGGGGTTTCAACAGAGTCGGTCGAAGACGAAGGGGGTTCACCCGTGTCTTCGATTTCAGATTGAGCGGTCTCGAGCACCTGAGCCTCGTCCGCACCTTCGGAAGACTCGGTGGGCACAAAGGAAGTTCCAGCAGAATTGAGAGAAGCCTTAGATGATTCCGGGTGCTCTTCACCTTCAGGTTCAGGTGTCTCCAGCACCTCGGGTGCTGTGAAAGTCTCCGCAGCCTCCGTGGGCGCAAACGGTTCAACAGAGGCAGTAACCGGCTCCGGAGTCTCAGATGACAAAGTCTTATCTTCGTCCAAGTCTCCAGTACGAAGTATAGAATCAACAGTCGATACAGGAGCAATCGAGCTCACAACAGGAACAGAAGGCGCCAAGGCAACGCTGGAACTGGAAACGTCCAAAGGCTCCAGCACATCATACCCCAAATCCCGGGGCAGGGGACGGGTATCAAAAGACGGCGGCAACTGCTGCTGAACAGAGCCAATAGCAAGAAAAGCCACGAGGACACTCAACAAAACAAGCGCAACGTTGCGCCGGTCAGCAGCAAGGACACGGAGGTAATTGACTATGAGAACCCTCAACGCAACCTGATGCTCCCCCTGCTGCTTCCCCTGCTGCCGCCGCTCCACCTTCTCATGCCGGAACTCCGGCACAGAATCCCTCCGGCCCTCAAGAAGAGCCTGTCGCGAAAGCACAGCCTCTGACTGGAAAGACCCAGCATCAGAAGCCATACGCACATGCCCAGGCATAGGCGACTGCATCATCTCAGGTACAATCCGATTATCAGCATCAAGCAGCGAAGGCGATCCCATCTGTGGCGTAGACATAAACATAGACATAGATCTGTCATGCGCATGTGTAAGAGCCATCGACTCCTCGCCCAACCGTCGTTCCAAAGCACGCCGCACATCAGATGGCAACCAAAGCCCAACCTCGACATCGACCTTCTCCATATCGCGCCACGCAGCAGCCCACGCACCCGCGCGCATGAGCCCATTCGCGGCGAAGACGCGTATCTCCCATTTGCGGTTGCTGTCACCATGTCGGACGTGGCTGCCGCAGTCTGGACAGGCGTCGCCTTGTTCGCCGTCTGTTTCGCTTTCGCCGACGTCGGACATCTCGCGTTCGTCGGCTGTGTCGGTTTCCTCGCGGCCGAGGAAGTGCCCGTTTTGCAGGCGGGGGCGTTGCAGCTCTAAGCTTTCTAGGAGTCTTTCTTCGAGCATGTCGTATAGGTCTTCTGGGTGCGAGATTAGGACGCCTCTATCGCGGAGAACGCCCGATCCGACTCGATCTTGGAGTCGCCGCCATCGCTTCCAGTATTCTGATGGTAGGGTTTCTTCGAGGATATCCTGGTTTCGGGGGTCTGTGGCTCCGGGGACGGGGATTGATGGTGAAAGTATTGTGCAGTGTAGGAGGACCAGAGGGAACTCTTTCTCTTTCTCTTTTTCCTTCTCTCGCTCCCTCTCCTTCTTGGCTTTCGGCTTGCTCTGCGACCCATTAGGTGAGTAGTAGGGGGAACGCTTCAATGGGGAAGAGCCTGGCGAGCGTAGACCTGCCCGTCGGCGCGGCGGCGTCAAGTAGTCATCATCATCAGCCTCGTCCTCTGTATGCATCTGTAAAGCTCTAACTGAGCTCGGTTTCCTGAATGCCGCTTCGCGCTGTCGGATAGTGCGAATATTAGCAGGGACCTCGTTGAAATCACCAAAGCTAGCCTCCGACTCTTCCCTATTGTTATAGCCGGCGATCTTCTCGTGAATATCCATGTCGGGCATTTGTTTCATTTGCTTTATGCGGTCGACTGGGTGGATAAGGACGGAAGCCGGGATGGAAGATAGCGATGAGCGACTCGAGGCTCTAGACTTGAGGTGTTCTAGCTCGTCGTCTATTTCGTGGCCGAAGACGTCGCTTGTTGAGTGGCGGGTTGAGGAGGATGAGGAGTTGTATTCATAGTCGTGGTTGGACATTTGGGCATTGCTGTGTTTTGATTCGAGCGACGAAACGAGGAAGCCTTTGCCTTGAGGGGCGAATGGTTGCGGGCTTAGGATGTCTGTTGATGCGTCGTGCTGACTATCGTCATTTAACCGTGCCATAGGATTGTCATACACTGCGGCTGCCGGAGTGTGAGATAGTCCACTCTCTGTGTACGGTTTGGAGAACTACACAGTCAGTGAAACAAGGTTCCACTGCATGTCGTGAATGTGAACGTTGGGGGTTAACGTTGGACACTGTTGACGATAGCTCACCGCCCCGTTGTGCAGGGCAACGGATCGACGGATGACAGGTCGATCATCAAGCCACCGGCTATCTCCACGTTCATAGTACAATATAATGAATACATCCGTGTATAGCTCCCACGTGTTCATATAAGCTCAGTACTCAAGTAGTTGAGTCAAGTGTGCTGAGACGGAGTTGGTTGTAGATGAATCGAAGCAAAATTATAAATATAAAACCAAGGAGATCTAGTGTTGCCCAAGGATATCATCACTAGACGCCAGAAAAAGCATGCATCCTTCCAAAATTCGGGATAAAAATGAGCACAAGTCGATCGCTGAACACAAAGAAATGCAAACCCGCCAAAAATACAGAAATATATACGAGAAATGAAACATCAAACATTACGGAGGTCGTGGTGTCGCATCGTCAGGGCTCATGAGGGGAAAATTTTGATGATCGCCAAAAAAGCTGAGGACATCTTGTGGGAGATACTCCAGCCAGGGTATGATCTCGCCGTTTGCAAAAGGGAATGAGTCCTGCTGATGGAGGGAGTTCATATCAACGTCGTGGGTTCCAATCATCATCCCGTTATCCGTATTCATCATCGTCGGGGGGAGATCAGGGCCGCGAGAGCCCATCTGATTTCTGCTTGGGTGTTCTGCGGTCGTGGGAGGTATGGAGTAGTTGTAGGAAGGTTGTGGTTCCATTTGGGACGATGGGAGATTGGGGAAGAGCGGTCTTGCTGTTTGAGTGCTTGATTCTGGGTATGATGGATCCATGTTCATATAGTAGGGTTCATTGCCGAGGCTTGGGGATGGAACATGCGAGTATTTGGGGTTCGGAGTTGTGAGGGTTGATGTGTGCTTTTCAAGGCCATGCGGTTGGGCGAGAGGTTGGGCATAGGAGCTGGGCCCTTCTCCGGCATTTGGAGAGAGGATAGGGTAGCTGTGGCTGTATCGGGATGAGTATGTTTGCTTATTGGGAAGATGTTCATTCTGAGTCGTGGGCATCTGATAAAGCAAGCTCAAATTCGGCTGAGCAGAGCCCGTGGCTCCTGCAAGTGCCCATCCGATTGCTGTGAATGCCAGAGTCAGTGAGTATTCCATAACAGCATTGGTACATAAACATACCTTGACTTGGATCAATAAGTGGTGACCGCCTTCCATCCGATGAGATGTCAGCCACGCCTGCTCTTTCCGGATCAAAGCTAGAGTCTGCCCGTGTTTTGCCTGCCCGCCAAGGCCCCGACCCGAGAGGCTGCCCTGGAGCGAACCCATCGGCGTTCTCCATATCTTCCACGGTATAAAGAAGAGGATCGACGATTCCCTTGGCCTTCTGATCCAGTACTGTCAATATATACCCTGTGCCTTCCCAGTACGTATTAAGTGCTTTCAGGGCCTTGTAGCACCGTTGATAGTTCTCCTTGGCAGCAGAAGCTAGCAGGATATGCTTTTGAGTGGACTTTCGTTCTGTTCCATTGGATGATTCCATGGTAGGCATCACAAATCCGCTGGACTGGTTCGTCAATAATGGTTGCGGTGGAGGCGAGCCAGAGCTCGACGGAGATGTGTAATATGCACTTTCCATGAGGAACGCACAAGCCGCAATGTACATCGGCTGACTCGTAAACGGGTTACCGATAAAACTTTTACCATCGATGAGTTCTGAGAAAGAAAGAATATCCGCGATGGTTTTGGCAGATGACATGGACAGTTCTCGACTGTTGGGGTAGAGATGTTGGATTGTCCCGCCGAAGGAGTTCAAAAGTGTCGGCTGGTGCAGCAGGACGATAAGCGTGTGGAACCAGAAGTGAAGAAGGATGAAATTAGTCCCTTCCTTGGCCTTGACATAGGCCTGGAAGTTGGCCGCGTTGAAATAAAGCCGCGGAGATAGACGTTGGTAGATACCAGTAAGGTCGCTTTCCATCCCAGCAAGCATCTTGAGGGTATCCGGTGTAACGCGCTTAACATCCTGAATCCCGTTGATAAGATCGGTCACTCGCCCGTAGAGGTGAATGATACGAATAAGCGGCGGGAACGGTGCAGGCCACCCGTTCGGTAGTTGAGATTCAGATTGAAGAGGAAAGCAGAGCTCAATATCCTCATCGCGTAATGTCACTGGTCGTCCGGTGCCCGACGAGATTACTCTGTCCAGGAAGAAGATGCTCCAGAACGAATCAACACGTTCCCGTTCTCGAGCCCGTTCCGAACTCAGAGGCTTTGGCGTCATCTTCGGAGTATGATGCACATCAAGGTCATCGTATTGATCTTCCCTTAAATTCCCAGCATGTCCGGTCATAACTTCGCTTGGTGTGACTCCTCTCTGGCCATAGCTGTGTTTTAGGCCTTGGAACTTTTGCAAACCAAGGTCCTGGGCCATCCGAATCGATATCCCGAGATACATCCACAGGCCACTATCATGATTCGACCCAAACTGTTCATATGCCAGTAATAGGCAAGCTTGGACGGCGGAAAGAGTCGGACAAGGTAATGAATCCACCAAGGCGCTCATTGCTCGGTGACCGAAAGGTAGACCCCGATCCCATTTTTTGACGTCTAGTGGTTGCTGCGAATTATCGATAGGCTGGGCCTGTGGTGGTCCAAGTAATGGGTGTGGTGAGAATCTTGCAGCCAGTGCACATACCGCATCTACCAACATGGTATCAACTCTTTTGTCTTTGAGGTCTTGAAGGAATCTGTCGCGCTGTAGGAATGGAAAACTGCAACCCAAATGGGCGAAGAAGAGATCGCATAAATGGGACACAAGGTTCGAAACAGGCAGCGTATCATCTCGGTCGTAGAATGGGATCGTATTTGCGTCGCGATTATCACGGTTCTCTGCTATCGGGGCCGAGGGTCCAGTCGTGATACCGGAAGGCTTGGGGCTCCGAAGAGGAGAGAGGGAATCTATAGGTCAGTGTTAGTAACAATGGTCCGGGGCCCTGTATGTACCTGACTATGCGATCGAATAGCTTGATGACTTACCTGAAGACGCAGAAGCATTACTCTTGCGAGAGCCTCGAATTTGTACGACCTGAGCATAGATTAGAGGACTGTTATGCTGTATATATCCAAAGAGGAATGCAAACCATCTGCTTAAAGCCGGGCACGATCGCGGTCGGTCCAAAGTATCGAAAGTATGGGACGTGGGTGCGATTCCCTGAGCTCACAGAGGTCCCTCCTAGAAGAGTCAAGTCAGTATGGACTAAGCCGCAACCGAGCTGCCTCTCTAACTCACTGCTCCGTGGACTGTCAATAGCCACTTGTGTATCCAACTCTTTGTTCACCCGCGATGGTTCCCGATTGGAGGCATCCTTTCCATCCGGCGCTTTCACTTTAGGCGACTTGTCCACCGCAGGCTTGGACATGGTTGTCCGGACCGGCTCCGGAGAACAACTCTCGACAGCCCGGGTAACACGCTCACTAGATCCATTCTGACCGGACAGATTCGGCGGAGCACGGGTTGTAGAATCGGACTGTGTTCGCAGATGGGCGGTCGAGTCGGTATATCCAAGACAAGTGTGCTTATAGTCAGAGCATGTCTTGCAAACTGTCCTCACATATCCATCAGCAACGGTATCTCGACCAGGACACTCGGCGCATCCTACCTGGTTGCTCGCCTGAACATCGAATCTTGCGCCGGCGACATGTGAGACAACTAAACGTAGATCGCATGTGATGTCAGTATTCGGAGGTTGCCGAGTAGGTCACATGGGGCCAGGGCGGTTCACGTACGCGGCGTTGACCCGGCGGCGCTTGGTTTGCGGCTGGCCGTCGGTTGCGACAAAGCGGATTTGTCGCGGTGGAGGATTGCCGCTCTTCTTGGGAGAAGGGGGGCTCATGGCGAGCCAGGTTTTAGCCGTGGTCCCGACCCATTGGGTATCTGTATGCTTGTCCCTGGTTTCGGGGGGCGATCGGTCGGCGCGCGGTGGTTCAGCTGTAGCGACGAGAGTTGACTGTTGGACAGATGAAGCGACAGGGGAGGTCGTACGAAAGAAGGACGAACTTCGGTGACGACAGCTGCATCAGGTGGGCGGAATGAGATACGTTTACAAGTGACAAGGGATAAAGACGAGAGGAAGTTGAGGAGGGAAGAGGGGATGTACTACGCCACCCCAGATCTCACGATGTTTTCCAAAGGAATCTTGACCGCTAAGTCGAAAACAGCAACCACCTCGTTTAGGCCTTCAACAGACACCTGTACAAGATCTGATGGTCATGGGATTTGCCCTGGTGGGGCGATCCATACGTTCCCGTGGGGGTTAGGATGTTCTATATACTGTAGGTCTAATCCATTTGGTCATAGTCTCGGCAACAATACCCTAGAATAACTTACAACACTCTAAGATAGGGGGCTATATATAAGGTCTTGTCGCATCAACTCCGAGTCCCCGGAGTTCAAACTCCGGGGGATCTGGGGGCCCGTGTTTCGAGACCCCACGTCCCCTTCTGGGTCACCACCTGTTGAATACATAACTCAGCGTCAACGATATGTACATTAGTTCGCATTCTGTCAAAGCTTAGATTGTTACAAGATGGATGCTCAAAGCTTGAGTACTTGTTCTGCAAAAAAGGAGCTCTTGTCAACCGATGTATATAGATTGCGTATGGTTCTATAATAGCTTCAACGGGAGTTATATCGAACGTTCGATGCATTTAACCGGTTGAAGTGATGTCGCATAAAGATAGTCCCGCATGGTATAGCAGTCGGCCCGAGATTCGGGTGAGCGTATAGGCACACACTACATATCAAGATAACATGACATGAAGCGTGGCAATATCTACAACTCAGCCAAATATGCCGTGGAATTAACTCGCAGATAAAACGCGCGATAAGGATGCAAGGTGCAGCTATTTCAAACCACGTTCAAACCCCAGTCTTCATGCATTTACTTACATCTATGTACCGAGTTACTCGGAAATCCTCCCTGCAATCACTGTAAGTACCTCAATGCCACCATCCCCTACCAACAAACCCAATTACCCACCATCCACACCGATCTGAAGCTCCGCGGGGCAACGGTGAACAAAGCTGATTTATAATCTCCAGTCCAACACGTCTTCTGGCAAATTGCACGCAAATCAAACTCCCATACCCAACCCCCCGATCTTTCAGCCAAACGCACGACATGTCAAGCGCCCACCCAGACTTCGAAAAAACCCAAGCCGCGCGCCCAGACTGGCGCCAGGGCGCCGAAGTCGTCTACACCAAGTCCCCAAACCCCACATGGAAGTACGGAGATGGAGCAAATGATAACGGCGAGAGCTTGAAGAAAAACCACGTCGAGATCGATCCCAATGCCGAAGGCCGGCCTGCAGTCTCCAACTATAAGCTCCTGATCTCGGGAATGGTGCCTCGGCCCATCGCCTTGGTTAGCACTCGATCAGCTGATGGCAAGTCTACAAACCTGGCACCTTTCAGTTACTCGCAGGTTGTCTGCCATGACCCTCCACTCTTCGTCGTTGGGTTCTCGGGCTCTTTCGAGAAGGCAAAGGATACATTGAAGAACTTGGCCGAGACGAAGGAATGTGTTGTCAATATTATCTCAGAACACTTCATCGAGGCGGCCAATTCTACTTGTATCAATGCTCCATACGGTGTATCTGAGTGGGAGACCTCGGGACTGCACCAGGCTCCCAGCGCCGTGGTCAAGGCTGCCCGTGTTAAGGAGTCTGTGCTGTCGATTGAAGCTAAGCTTGTTGAAATTAAGGAGTTTGAGAGTCGCGCTACTCCTGGCAAGAAGTCTGGTTGTATGGCTATGGTTGAAGGTGTTCGCTTCTGGGTCAGAGATGATGCTGTCAATGAGGAGAGGAGTGCTATCGACTTGAATGTTTTAAAGCCTGTTAGTCGGCTTGGTGGTATCACTTATGGTCGGACTACGGAGGTTATTGAGATTCCTCGGCCTCAGTACTAGAAGAAATGGGGTGACGCCATTGATGTAAATATATATCGCTATATGTACCGGATTTCAGGCCGCGGCCGCGACTTGCCCGATTGCGGTGCCGCCGTTTTAATAGGGTGCTCAGGGTCCTACTCACTGAGTATTCACAACACAGGCTGATTCCTCAGCGCCTAGTTTGCTTGATAAGCAGTCAGATGATACTCCGTGAATGCTTAGGGTATGCTCCGTAATGTTAAGTAATGCTAAGGATATACTCAATGGAGCATTCAGGCCTTGCTAATTAACGCCTAGGGCATACTCAGTGATTGCTTAGGCTAAAGCTGTGCTCACTGGGTACTCCGACAGAGTGGGACTAGGCTTAGTGAACGTAAATAACTTGAGAACCAAAAAAACAGAACTGAAACGAAGAAGTTAATAGAGCAAGGAAACTATTTGAGATAAAGAAAGAGAGAGCCCCTAAAATAGTTAGTTTTTGGACAGATTCGGTGCCGGAAAACATCCACAACAACTTAGGGGGGGGGGAATTTGCTTCTTATTGAGAAACTCCAAACGAGGATCTGAAATTGCGGCGTCTTTGGCAATATGACCAAGTAACGAAAACCATTCCGAGGTCCATTGATGCTACCAAATCACTTTTTCCCATCTATATAGTTGATCCAGTGAACCAACACCCGTCGAGTTCATTTGGGTGTTGTGGCTTTGACAACAGCGCTGATACTGCGAGCAGTGTAGTCGATATTGAATTTGTTGAGCCCACTAAAGGCAAGAAACATGTCAGCTCGGCATTTGTTCCCAAATTATGCTCATCAAACATACGCGATAGATATTCTCCCAGAGTCCTGAAGATAAACATGGTGCTTATTTCGGAGGAGAGTGACTTGTTCCACAGATAGTCCAACGTATCTAAAGAAAGTCAGTAAGGTAAATCTCCCCGAGTTCGATATTGGTAGCTTACGAAAACATCCCGTTCTGTTCAGTGATATGCCGCCAGTCACCTGGTGTTCCCAATTTCTCCAATCCTTCCCTAAGCGCAATTCGACGATGCTTGAGTTGGTTTGCCATATCACGCACTTCCTCCCGCCATTGGCGCTCCAAAACCTCATCTGATAGAACAGTTTCAATAATTTTGGACCCGAAGTCGGGCGGTGCGCCAGACTCAGCTCGTGCGAGTAGTCTCAGGTGCGTTTCTATTCTCTTTCCCACTTCCTCGCTTGGAACAAGAATGGAAAGAATCCCAACGCGTTCGCTGTAAAGCCCAAAGGATTTTCCGTATGTCGAGACAAAGACAAGCGGGATTTCGTGCTCGGCAAACAAACGAACTCCTTCAAGATCCGTGTCAATGTCTCCTGAGGCAAATCCGGGATACGCAGCATCAAAGAATGCCAAGTGACCACGCTGGGAGAAAATTGAGGCGAGCTCTCGCCACTGATCTGGTGATGGATCACATCCAGTTGGGTTCTGGGCTCCAGACTGGAGAAGGACAACGGATTGAGCTGGCAACAACTTGATGGCCTCTGCAAACGTCACAAAATCGAAGCTGTTCGTCTTGCTGCTAAAATACGGCAGAACGCTGGGCTTGATTCCCGCAGATTGAAATACGTAAGGATGGTTTACTGTGATTCGGTCAGCATTGCTTTTGTATGAGTGATCAAGCGACGCCTTACACCAAGAATCGCTTGGAAGGAAGATCTCGGGGTTCCCAGTCTGCTTCCATGGTCCGTAATGATTCTTCAACACAACTGCGCCGACATGGCATCCGCCACTTGCGCCGAGTGTCTGTGTGGAAACTATCCTGATAAATAGACTCAGCTCGGGACCGATTGGTAAAGAAAATGTGCGTCCTCTTATACCTTTTCTCCCGCAACAGACGATGATCCGCCCCAAAGAGCAACTTGGCACTCAAGTCCCTATAATTCTGGGAACCTAGAGAGGAAGGGCGATACTCATGATGCCAATCGGGATCATTGAATATTGTCGTCTTTGCCTGTGACATGAATAGCAAGGATTTAGTGATGCGCCGGTGTAGAATAGTGAACTTGGGAAGTTATACCTTTTTCACACTTGGCAACACATAGGCTTTCCCTTCGTTCGTTTTGTAGACGCCCACAAGGAGGTCAGTTCTGTTGGGATCGGTATCGGCTCGGAACTGCCCAATGAGAGCTTCAAGGCCCTCTAAACATGTTCTTAATTCCGTTTATCAATTAAAATTATCAATTGTATCATTTACCTGTTCGGCCCACTGGGACATCTTGGAAAGGATTTGCTGCTATGCTACCCATTTTTGTTGCTGAGGGTGAGTCGAGAAAATAGGGTTACTACGTTCAATCTTATACCTGCGGGGAAATAGATGGCTTCGAGTGATATGTATCTAGGAGCACGCAATTGGCAACACGCCATTATGTCGCAATATGGGAAAGATGCCAAATAGTTTGGGAGTATTGTTTCTCCATAACAGTTTTCTCTCAATTATCAGTGAATTATGTGATACTGGATTTAGTCAGCTTTAGACCCTAGACCTGGGAAAGCTCGCGAGCCGTACGTGACCAGCTCGAGCCTAAAACCTAAGCTTGTCGCGAGCTTTTTCCAGGCCTAGCTAGAGGCGAACTACCGAGGATCGACCGCTACATTAATTACGCCAGCCTTTTGTTGACGGGACCACGGTCAAGAGTGCTAGGTGAGCGACTACATCTAGATAAGGCTAGCGTGGTGCAGGTTATTGAGATGACTGCTGACTTAGCTGCTCCCGTGCTTTACTTTGGCCTTGCGCAGTGAGTAGATCTACATAGGTGACGCTCAGTGATAAGTCCTCCAGCTTACGAAATGGCCAGGTGATGCTCAATGAGTGAATGAGTATGTAATACTCAGGTGCGTGCTCATTTTACTCAGTGATCAAAAAGGGGCGAGGGGTGAGCACTAAAAGGGGAAGGGAAAGCCATTTCGCGTGGCCTAAAATCTGGTGTATATGCTTTCGGAGACTTAAGAGGTTGGTTTATAGATTGAACGGAGATATATATCTCGACTGCGCAAAGTTCATCCGCAAAATTCCATCTGCTTGATAATCATATCACAATTATTTTCACTAGCGTCTCGTTTTTGCAGCTTGGCTTTTGCCTACTTTGGTTTAGAACTTTGGGTGAGCTCCACAGACCTGGAGCAGTGCGGTGTTGAAGATCTCTACCTGAAGTCGACTAGAATTAAAACCAGGAACAAGCCGACTCCAAACAGCATGAAATAATATATTTGATCCGAAACTCTACTGCCCTGCAAGTGTTGGTTAAAGTTGTTGCTCACCAAGCTCAGGTGGGGTCCTCCCAACCCGAAAAGTGGCCGAGAACTACCTAGAAAGCAAGCTTGAATTCCTCCGTGCTGAGTAGATATCTCGCCGGAGGCCCAGTTTAGATAATCATTCAGGGCTTGTAGCAAGTATTCGTGACAAATATCCGAAGTATAGGATAGCTCCGATTAAAGCCGTGCGGAGGAGCGGGGTCGTTATCTCCAACTCCAACTATAAATGAGAGGACATCTGCATATCGCTGTTCTCCGACGAGAATCTTTGCAACTTCATCACTTTGACCCGAAAACAGACAAAAAGAAGAGTGAATATGTCTGAAGAATACGAAACCTATAAGTTGGGAGACTGGGAGCTTCAGAGTGGACAAAAGATTGAAAATGCCCATATCGCATACAAGACTTTTGGTGATCCCAAGTCTCCAGCCATCGTCTATCCAAGTTGGTTCTCGGGAGGTAAATTCTATCCAAGACACTTCTGCATTGTCCACGGTGTGTCTGAGTAAAGAGAAAACTGACACAACAGTATATACAGCTATCTCCGACAACTTCTGGTTGATCGGCGAAGACAAGTTCCTCAATCCTAAGGACTTCTTCATTATTATCACAGCTTTGTTTGGCAATGGCCAATCCTCTTCCCCATCGAACCAGCCTGCCCCCGGTCCATTCCCGAAGGTCTCATTCTACGATAATGTGCGAGCGCAGCATGAGCTCGTGACCAAGCACTTCGGCATCACGCATTTGCGCGCTGTCGTGGGTTGGTCGATGGGTGGTGCTCAATCTTTCCAATGGGCGACTCAGTATCCGGAGTTTATGGATATTGTCATTCCCTTCTGCACGTCGGCGAAGACTTCGCTACATAACAAGGTCTTTCTGGAGGGTGTGAAAAGCTCGCTTATTGCGGCGAAGAAGCTTAGTTCTGCTGGGACGGGGGAACTTGGGGTTAGAAATAGTGCGGAGGCATTTACCTGGAGTGCCGAAGAGAAAAATGCTGGATTGAGGGCTATGGGTCGGGTCTATGCTGGATGGTAAGATGCCAGGGAATGTGGATGCGTGTGAATCCTCTGACAAATAGAAACAGGGGCCTCAGCCAGGCATTTTATCGGCATAAGTTGCATGAAACTGCGCTCGGATACAACAATCTTGAGGATTTCATGGTCAACTTTTGGGAGAAGTGGGCCTGTTCCAAAGGTATTGTTGGGTCTAATACGGATGGCCTCAAAGATCTGACACAATCTTCCTAGATCCCGAGAATCTGCTGGTTATGCTACAAACCTGGCAAAATGGAGATGTCTCGCAGCAAGAGCCGTATAATGGTGATTTTGAAAAGGCCATGGCATCCATCAAAGCCAAGACTCTTGTTTTGCCGGGAAAGACCGATCTTTATTTCCCGTATGCTGGATTAGCGCCTTTTCAATTTGGACAAACTGACTGTTTTATCCGTTTAGGCCGGAGGACTCGGAGTATGAAGTTGCTTGTATGAAGCCCGGTGTTGGGACACTGGATATCTTCCCTTCGATCTGGGGTCGTAAGTCAACCTATACCCGAAATAAAGATTTAAGCAAGCTAATTCGCTATGCAGATTGGGCAGGGGGTCCGGGTGATAGCAAGGACGATGTTGAATGGCTTGACAAGAAGATGTCGCGATTCTTTGCTGACAATGGACCGAATGGTGTCGACTCTCTCACTGAGAAGATCAAGAACATGCTAGGCTGATTGTGCGTATCATAATTTGGAATGGAACATGGTTCATGATGCAAAAATGTAGAGCGTAAACATCCCGGCTTGATCAGGCATACAGATCATGTGACGGCATGAGTAAGCGTGATCCAAGAAGCGCCGACGAACCTTGCATGTCGGCACAATCTCCTCCTCATCATTCCTTTCTTTACTCACTTTGGGTCGTGTGCGCCGGATTCACTTTCTCAGTCATTTTACTTTGAATTTTTCCTCAAGCGTCATTTAATCTATTTCCGGAGCTCTTTTTCTTCGATCGTCACCGACCTTCCGAGATCAATTCCCTACCTTCACGCCGTCCTTTTCAAGCCTTTATACCAATCTTGATAATATTTACAATGTCCGCACCACCCGTTCGCCAGTGGGGTGTCACTCCTCCCATTTCGACAGTTTTGCCGACCCAGGGCGAGCTTGCGGCGAACGACGATCTGATTGCGGAGCTCAAGGCTCAGAACAACTTCGAGCTCCCCACAGAGACAGAGAAAAGGTGTGTTCAGGGTTGGGAAAAGGAAGCTTGAAAGCTCCGAAACTGATGCCGGCACAGGCAACAAGTCCTCCAATTACTGCAGCGCGTCGCAGTAGAGTTCGTGCAATCGGTCAGTCGCAAGAAGGGCCTGTCGAATGCTGCCGTTGAGGCTTCCGGCGGTAAAATCTTCACATATGGAAGTTATCGCCTGGGTGTTTATGGACCAGGTAAGTTGCAATGCAAGATGAACACTGGATCTCGTTCTTTGGTTGACCACGGTTGCTGGCAGGATCCGATATCGATACCCTAGTGGTTGGACCGAAGCATGTCCTGATCGATGATTTCTTCTCCGACTTCCCTCCTATCCTCCAAAGAATGGCCAGCGAAGGTGCAATCGAGAAGATGACACCAGTGCCCGATGCCTTCGTTCCCATCATCAAACTTGAACTATGTGGAATCAGTATCGATTTGATTTTCGCGCGCCTCATTATCCCTGCTATCCCGATGAACCTGGACCTTAAGAACAATGATTATCTCCGAGGACTGGATGAGAGAGAAGTGCGGTCGCTGAATGGAACTCGTGTCACAGATGAGATTCTAGAGCTTGTGCCTCAGCAAAAAACCTTCCGTCTTGCATTGCGCGCTATCAAGCTTTGGGCTCAACGTAAGTGACTCATCGTCAATGTCGTATTATGATGTGATTAAGCTGACCATATGAAGGGCGTGCGATTTATTCCAACATCGTCGGTTTCCCCGGTGGTGTCGCGTGGGCTATGTTGGTGGCTCGAGTTTGCCAACTCTACCCTCAAGCCAGCGGATCTGTCATTGTGGGCAAGTTCTTCCGGATCATGAACAAGTGGAGCTGGCCCCAGCCCGTCTTACTGAAGCAGATTGAGGATGGCCCGCTTCAGATGAAAGTCTGGAACCCGAAGGTACGCCCATGGTTCCCCTTTCTTCCGACAGTATGAACTGACAATATCAGATTTATCATGGCGATCGGTTCCATCTGATGCCCATCATCACTCCCGCATATCCGTCCATGTGTGCGACGCACAACATTAGTATGTCCACAAAGGCTGTCATCCTGAGGGAGCTCCAGCGAGGAGGAGATATAGTGGACAAGATCTTCATGAAACAGCTTTCGTGGAATGATCTGTTCACTCGCCACACATTCTTCACCAACGACTACAAGTATTATATCAGCATAACTGCCTCTAGCAGGACTAAGGAGGCCGAGTCAGCCTGGTCAGGTCTTGTCGAGTCCAAGCTGCGCCACCTTGTCGGAGCTCTTGACCGCAAACCCATCATTGCAGTTGCCCACCCATTCCCCAAAGGCTTCGAAAGAATTCATACTATCGCCAACGAACAACAAATGGAAGCCGTTAAGAATGGATCTACACAGTATCAGGCTAAGGGCACCAAAACTGAGAAGACTGATGAGACGAAGGATGCCGTTCACCAAGCTGCTATCCAGAACACCCTCGAGAATGCAGAGGTCCCAGAGCCAAGCGAAAGCCAGACGAATCCGGAACCCGATGGTCACACCGTCTACACCACTACGTATTATATCGGACTGGAGTTGAAGCCTCTCGAACCAGGTAATGACTCCGCTACCGCTGTGTAATTTTTCTAACTCCTCCAGGTCAATCACGAGAGCTGGACATCTCCACTGATGCGAACATTTTCAAGTCCAATTGCACATCGTGGACAGGGTTCCAGCCTGAGGTCATGGAACTAGCTGTCACTCATACTCGCAAGTAAGTCAATTTTTATCGCTCGCGAATTCATGAACTCAACTGAACACCCACAGCTTCGATTTGCCAGACGATGTCTTCGAGCCTGGTGAGGTCAAGCCTGTTCGGCCGAAGAAGAAGGTCATCAAGAGGACGGAAGCAGCCGGTCAGAAACGGAACATCAGCCAGTTGGACGTAAGTGTAAAGAAGAAAGCGAGACGAACCTGACTTGGCAAGAGACCAATCCTGGAATCCGCTATCCAACGTCCTACAAGACAATTCCCAGGATTCCGACAGCTAGGAAAGACTAATACCAACATTGATTTCCAGGGCTCGTCAGAAGTAAACGCGAAACGCCACGCCGCCACTCCAGCTTGAAGCATCCCCCGATCATACCAGATCATACCTTCGCCTTATACACCACGCCGGGGCTGGTCCCCATTGAAATTGATAACAGAAACTGTCCGAACGTCGTTGAATTGCCAGAGGTCTCTGACCCTTGATTTTGCAGTCCTACTCACAAGAAGTGATCATTCAACTCCAGTGCCTGCCGAGTTGCCATTCTCTACGGTGAACCTTCCCTAACCCTGAAGTACAAGGTTGGTTTTCTCTTCTCTGTCCTCTGCGTTGTTGCTGGATAAGCAACTAGATCTGAGACATGCCTTTTTCTTTGAGCAGTCCCTCGGGACATTTTCATATGGTGCATAACTACCTGCGTCAGCTTTCTTATGTTCCATATCTCATCGGTGTAGTATTTCCTTGGTACTGCAGGCTGGCTTTTATCCACGCTGTATGTATCCATTCGACATCTTGCAGATAGTTCAAATAGTTGAATGCAATGTGTCCTGCGGCATGCGGGCTACACTTAATCCACCAATATAATCTCAGTCTTACAAAGGAATCACTAATAGAAGTGTGATCTGATGCGATATCTCTAAAAGACTTGTATAAACAGATCTTTGAACAACAAACTACTATTCAAATTGCCTGAACAGCCAATGGCTGATACGGCTCCTCCAACCATTCCATCTCCTCCCGCGACAACTGAACATCAAGAGCCTCAAGAGCCCCCTCAATCCGCTTCTCACTATTCAACCCAACAATAGGACAAGCCCCCTTACGCAACAACCAAGCCATGGAAAGCGCCCCCATCTCACACCCCTTCTTCCTAGCCAACTCCCCAACACGACGAACAATCTCCTCATTCTGCCCTCCAACAAACCACTTCTTAGTTTTCTCATCCTGGCCGGCACGCGCAGAAACCTCATTCCACGGCCGAGCCAACAACCCACGCGCCAAAGGACTCCACGGTATCAAGCCCACACCCTCGGCTTCACAGAATGGGTTCATTTCCCTCTCTTCTTCGCGATACAGTAGATTATATAGTCCTTGCATACTAACAAAGGATGTCCAATGGTTCATCTTTGCTATATATTGCAAACGTGCGAATTCCCAGCAGTGCATACTCGACCCACCCAGGTATCGCACTTTCCCCATCTGAACCAGGTCGTGAAGAGCGCGCATTATCTCTTCGGGAGGTGTTTCAGTGTCGAGTCTGTGCAGCTGCAGGACATCGATATACTCTGTATTCAGTCGACGTAGGGATCCGTCCACGGCATCGAATATGTGTTTCCGACTTAGGCCCATTTGATTCACCAGTGGGCCGTCGTTGACTGCTGGGTTTGGTCGTGCATCTAGATCGTCTTCGAGGACAGGATAGTAGAGTTTTGTCATGATCACGACTCGACTTCGTGGGATTGAGTATTTGGTAAGGGCTTTTCCAAGGATGGTTTCTGAGACTCCGTTTGAGTAGGTGTTTGCTGTGTCGAAGGTGTTGATTCCCATGTCGTAGGCCTTTTTTATCAGTGGGAGGGATTTCTCTTCGTCTAATACCCAGGGTGAGCCTTCCCAGCTGGGATTGCCGTATGTCATGCAGCCTAGGATTATTCTTGAGATCTTGAGGCCGCTTTTTCCTAGGTGTTGGTATTCCATTTTGCGGGGAGATGATTGTTTAGTGTCGCTTGAAATCGAGATTGAAGTTTGAATAGTCATTTTAGGTTTGGCAAAGTGGTATTTGGTGAAACTGGGATTTCGGTTCTTCCAAGATGGTTAGTTAAACTATTGGAGGTTATAGTTGCCCCGCCGAGTACTCGGACAGCTCTCCGCAGCATAAGCCATCAATGCAAATAGCCTCCAGGGAAAGGTAAGATCGCTACTTTACCTGAGAAGCCATGTCCTTTCGATTCTGAAACCGCTTGTTTATCATACAAGTCAACATAAACCATTTATAAATTCGTACCAATTACTCGAAGGTCAAATATCAGTAGACATCATTCCCGGGAACGTAAATTCCCCAAAGTCCGCCAACAAAAAGTCATCTACAGGTTCAACAAGTGATTCCCCTGGGAAAGTAAATGAGCTCAGCGGCGGTACATGAGCAGACTTGTGAATATAATCCATAGAGCCAACCGCGTGGCCAATTGACGAAGGTAAATGCCCATCCCCCTGCAACACACTAACACACTCACGTAACTTCCTCGTCAAACCAGGTGTCATTCTGCATATTGGATGTTGTTGAACAGCGGGGATATCCTGGAATAACTCAAGCACTTTCTGGATCAACTCATAATTCTGACCAGGCGCAAATGATAGCTGGCCGTGGTAGTTCTGAGTTACCTCTAACAGGAAATGACCGGCGAAGGCAATCATGATATGGAAATAGTGTGGCATTCCAATGAGACTCGGTTGAAGATCCTCATTGAGAATCATTTCAAAAATTGCCACGGCGGCTTCGTGGGCCATACTGGCCGCTGTCAGGAAATATGGTGGTATAGTCTCGCCGTTCAAGCCTTTGAACACCTGATGTCCGAGGTACAGCTTTCCAAAGTGGTAATGGAGCTGTAGGCCGCGTTTGGGAAAATCACCTATGCGTGGATCCGGCTTGAAAAGTGCAGAAAACTTGGCGAACCACCGATCTAGTTGGCGCGAATAGTGAATGATCTGGTTTGATAAGGATTGTGGCACTCGGGTTTCTTGATCCGAGCCAAGTAGGTCTCGAACTTGACTCATTATCACCAGCAAGGAAACTTGAGATATAATCCGTACATCACAGTCTGTCGTGTCTTCTCGAGCAAGAAATGTTTCTGCATTCAACGCAATTTCTTTATCGCAGCGGAGTAGCGGATCTCGATTGTGAAGAATAGAGAGGTGTTGATCAGAGATGAATGTTAGATACCAGAGTCTCACACGGTCTTCTAGTGCTGCAGTATCGTGTAGGGGCTGGGTAGTCCCATGACTGCCAGCTATCAAGCGATGATCTATTGGGACCGAGAGATGATCAAAGCTGCGATGAAGGCGCATGTCTGCTGCCCGACGGATGGCATCACTCGAGAGAATTCTCGAGGCATCTGACAGCCAGAATGAACTTATGCATAACGCACGAATGTGTTCGATATCGTGCTTCTCAAACAGCGACCGGGACACCAGACGGCGAAATTCGCGATTACATACTTCATAGACACGCTGTCCTTGAGGATCTTGCAATGCTGATACTGTGCAGATAGCAGCAAACAACACTGGGGATGTTGTATGGATCTGTTGAATGCTTTGGTAGCCACTGCATATCCCATACAGATATGGATCCAGCCGCGCAATGTATCGTTCCACCAGAATCTCTGCGATTGTAGCAGTAATGATCCCTTTGCTGACAAGGTCTTGAGGCATTGGGTTCTGCCTATGTCGTGTTGTACTCGGTGGCGTATTTTCCGAAGATCCTGGACTCCCTAGTTTGGCAATATCGAGATATGTATCGATGGGAGCGTGGACAGCAGACGGGGTATCCGGTGGAGATATCTCACAACCATCCAAGTCTTCATCATCTCGCTCTAGATCGTGATTCTCACTTCTCTTCTCGCCTACCTCGACCGGTTCCCCACTTGATGAAGATAACAGAGCTTTTGGTCGAGGAAGGTTGAGATGTTGGCAGATGTTGTCGAGAGTTTTGTGAATCCCTGACACATCACTTTGTAGAACCTCGGTATTCCTAGAAATCAATGAGCTTGGCTCCGATGGCTAGGATGGATGCAAGCAGTGCATTACTCACTTGACCTCCTCAACCAACGACTGCAGACTTTTGTTCAGAACACAGCTGAGATCTCGACGCCTACATCGCGTGCATGGTGGTCCATTGGTCATGTCACATTTGATCTATCCCTGTTAACCTCAACCCCTATCACACTCGACTCATCACATACCTTCTGCTTCCTACATGCACCGCATGCTGTGATCTTCCGGGTAATCCCCGGCAAAACGTCAAGCACGGCTGGCTCCTTCGAGTAACAAACATTTGAGGCCGGTAAGGTTTCCGGATCTTCGTCGGTCAAGGTCCGCTTGCGCTTCACCATGATTTCACTAGAGAGCAATCAAGGAACACAAAGTCAAGAAGGCACCGGTGAATACCCCGAGTTTATGAATTGAGAAGCGGGGGAGCCCTGTGCCCCGGATTGACGAAATAACCTCAATTTCATTCGCTGAGACCATCAGAAAATGCAGATCGCTTCATTCCCGGGACAATTCCCCACAACTGCTTTGATTGGGGCAATCCCCTCATCTACGCCTCATCTACGCCTCATCGGTGGAAAAGACTCCGGAAACCCGCCGATCTCGGACACTCGCCGAGTTACTATGAGGGAATTGCCCTGTCGCGTATTTCATTAAGTATAAGGAAAAACAGACAGCCGTATTCGCAGCTATTAAGCTTTCGTACAAGGATCTAATTACACCATGACTTCTACCGTGGCGAAGAAATCTACCATCATACCACCGGGGATCTACTGTCCGGTCATCTCGCTCTATAAACCTACACCCCGACAGGAAATCGATTACGACGCGTCATACAAATTCTTCTCGTACCTCATCCGCAGCGGTGTCGATGGCCTAGTACTTGCTGGAACTACTGCTGAAGCAGTTTTATTGTCTGCGGAAGAAAGGAAAGAATTGGTCAAAATTGCCAGGAAAGCAGCCGTGGATCTCGGTCGCCCAGACTTCCCTGTTGTCGCGGGAATCAGCGGCCAATCTACGAATGAGTCGATCAGGCTGGCAGAGGACGCATTGAGTGCGGGTGCAAGTTTTGGATTGCTGCTCCCGCCGAGCTATTGGGCCAAGGCAGTTACCAAGGATGCTATGCTTGGGTTTTATCGAGATGTCGCTGATGCAACCACACTACCCATTGTTATCTACAGTGTAAGACCCTCCACCTGCAGTGACATATTGGTTAAACCATTCGTCTAATGCGAAACAGTTCCCCGCAATGTGTAACGGCATTGATATGAACTCCGACACATTATCCGAACTCGCCCAGCATCCGAATATTGTTGGGGTGAAATTGACCTGCGGAAATGCTGGGAAAGTGACCAGACTCACCCAGGAGTATACCCATGAGCAGTTCGCCGTCTATGCTGGATCATCAGACTGGCTTATTCCTTGTCTTGCTGGTGGTGGGGGTGGTTGCGTTACTGGAATTGCCAATGTGTTCCCTAAATGTGTTGCGAAACTCTACTCCTCGTGGAATCAAGGGAAGACCAAGGAAGCGAAAGAACTACAAGGCCTGGTTGCTCAAGCGGAAAAGGCATGCAAGGAAGGTATTGCAGCCACTAAGTTTGCCACTGCTCATTTTGCTGGACCGATGGCTGGTATAACCGATCTGAAGGCCTTTTGGCCTCGGAAGCCATACGCTCCTTGTGGAGAAGAGAAATCGGCTTGGGTGGTGAAGGTGATGCAACATCTCGTGGAGGTAGAGCAGAGTTTTCCGGATGCAGTTTAGAAATTTGAGATATAGACATACCCTTCTTATTGGACGAAGTTGCAAATAAAAGCCTCATGAGCCAGTAAAAGAATCTCGCATACATAACTCTTGAGGTCCCTTGATTATCAGCGTTCCTTTGGCCCTGTACAATCCCGACACCCTTCTTGACTTGTTTACTGAATAGTGCCACATATTATAAGACAATGCAACACTACCAACGTAGAAAATGGTCAATTTTATATAATGAACAAGAATAAATATACAAGCTCATGCCTCGAAAAAGTCTTCTCGCAACTGCATATACTTGATCCGCTGCCTCCAAAAAGTAAATGCAACATGGATAGTCCCATTATCTTCCACCAGAATACTAGGATAAGACAACTCACGATTGAGCTTTTTCTCACTATTGTTAGTCAGGCAATACCCATCTCCTTCCTCTAGGGTCTTCCATTTCCAGGTAGCACCATTATCGTCACTCCAAGCAACAGACAACGGGGCCCTAGGCGCTCCCCAAAACGCCTCCTTCCCATGCTTGGTAGCCTGATTAGCTCTTGTGTCACTTCCGTCACTGATATCATCATAGAGACCATTCCTCCGACCGAGAGCATCCTGCTTTGACGAGTGGTTGTACACCAGAACTACCCGACCCGATGGAAGAACGTCATAACAGATACCTGCGTTCGGGTTCGGGAGGACAGTCTGCTTAGGCTCAATCCAGTCCAATCCATCTGAAGAAGTAGATAGGTAGACGCAGTCCGCCCACCGGCTTCGGAAAAGTCCGAGATAAGACCCATTCTTCAGTCGTTGAATGTTCATATGCACACACCCGTAGCTGCTTGGGATCTCCTTCTCGATCCAGGTCTTGCCCTCATCCTTTGATACCCGGATGCAAGATATATCATCACTCCCTAACCATCGTGTACCTGGCTCGGCGCGGCATTTGAAGATGGGGACAACCCACGCTCCATCCTGGAGTACGACGATAGGTTGGCGAATGAAGGTGCCCGGGTCACTAAAAAGGACGGCTGGCTCTGACCAAGCAGTACCGCTGTCGATGGAGATTAACTGTTTGACGATAGCCGAGTCTTGGTTCCCCGCCTCTTGGGAAGTGTACAACAGTCGGATTTCTCCATTCGAGGGATTACGGAAGAGGACGGGATTTTGTTCGCTGCGTGTGTGGTCGTGCGTCATTTTCACTGCTTCTGTCCAAGAACTATGTCCTGCTGGAAGACGGGACATGTAAATGCAGATATCAGGTCGACCTTCAATGCTTCCGCCGAACCAGGCGCAGAGTAGGTCACCATTTGGGAGCTGGAGGAGGTTGGAAGCATGACATTGTGAAGTGAGAGCAGGAATGTAGGCTTCAGAGTAGCTGTAGGGTCGGGTCGGTGATGGTTGAAGGGTTGGATCGAATTTCGGCCCTTCAAGCAGAGTCGTGGTAGTTGCCATGGTTGCTAGCTGTGATCAGAGGGTAGTGTAGATGCTTGAAACTGTCGGACGACAGCTGGCAAATATTTTATGACCCTTATCTTATCTGCATAGTTCTTCACCCCTAGCCCAAATGCGAAAGATGGTCCCACCCATCGGCTTGCTCCCCGAGATGTAGTTTTGAGGCTAAACTCCGGGGGACAGTCCGAATCCGATACTTCCACTCCACTCCCCCACTTCCCCATGGGGAACGCAAGGTGAAGGTCTCGGCATGCATAGCTACATTTTTGACGTGGGAAATACTAGTGACGTGTTTGGCTGAACACAAATTAACCTTGTCTATATATTGACCCGCACCTCTATCCCACCATTCGCGGTTTTTTTACTCTCGATCCCTACGAGGAATCCTCAGAGGCCTGTGATATATTTCAAATCATCAACGACTGTTGGGAATATCCTCCAAAGCTATCATGGCGGGAGGAACAAGCATTTGGTTTAGCAGCGAGGCGAAGACTGATCCGAGGGAGATTTTCAATCTTCGCCTTCTCTATCTGCTCGTTGCCGTTGCCTGGGGAGGATCCTTCTATGGATTTGACACAGGAAACATAGGTGGAATCTTGACGCTTCCGTCCTTCAGAAATGCATTCGGTTTGAACAACGTATCTCAAGCCGTGGAAGATGACCGCAAGGTAAGTTGACCTTCCCCACTGGAAGCAATCTTTGATAGATGATTGACAATTTCCAGGGAACAATCGCCTCCATGCTTGCAGCAGGTGGATCAGCTGGTGCCCTACTTGCTGCGCCAACGTCGGACTATATCGGTAGAAAATGGTCAGTCTTTGGCTGGGGCATCGTTTTTGTGATTGGTGCGGCATTGCAAATGATTGCCGATTATGAAGTACTTCTTGCTGGACGATTCATTGCAGGCATGGGAGTCGGTGCATCTTCAATGCTCACTCCCCAATTCCTGGCAGAGAACTCGCCCAAATCTGTGCGAGGATCGATGACTGCAACATACAATCTGATGATTGTGACCTCACTCATGTTGGCATTCTGGGTAAACTACGGCGTTGCGAAATGGTCTTTCCCAGGTGTTGAGCATGATGACGCCCAATGGAGATCGGCGATGGGAATTCAGATCATTCCTGGTGCCTTGCTCTGCCTGATGGTTCCGTTCGTTCCAGAGACTCCGCGATATTTGATCAATCATGGCAAGGCCGAGCAAGGTCTGAAGAATATTTGCAAATTGCGGAAACTTCCTGCCGATCATGAATATGTGCAGACTGAGTTCCGTGAGATCGAGGCTCAGGTTCGACATGAGCAGGAGTGCTTCGTGGGACATAACTATTGGATTGTGTTCAAGGATATCTTCACATCGAAGAGCAACTTCCAGCGCTTCTTCTTGTCGGTTATGTTATTCCTCTTCCACAAATTCACGGGTACTGACTCCTTGAACGTGGGTTCCCTTCATTCTTCCTAGTAGGTAGTCCTATGGCTAACGTGGCTCTCAGTACTACGCACCGGAGATTTTTGCCTTGATTGGAGTGAAGAGTGGCTCCTCCAGCTTACTTACCACCGGTGTATATGGAGTGGTGAAGACGGTTGCCACGATTATCTACGTGGGATACCTTGTTGATCGCATCGGTCGTCGGATTCCCCTTCTTATTGGAGCAACGCTTCAAGCCACGGCCATGCTATATCTTGCACTATATCTTCGCTTCACCGATACCACCGCAGATAGTGTTGGCGGAACTCCTGCCGGAGGTATTGTTGGGATTGTTTGGATATATATCTACGCGTTTGGATGGTCTTTCGGCCACTCTGTCGCTTGCTACGTGGTCGCAGCTGAAGTTTTCCCAACCAGGATTGTGAGTTTTCAACAAATATCTCATCTCAGTACAATGAATACTAACAGAGATAGCGATCATTCTGCATGGCTATATGTTTCTTCATCAACTGGATCGTCGACTATGGCATTACGCGAGCCACACCAAACATGATCACTGAAATGGGCTGGGGTGTATTCCTGCTATATGCAATGCTCACATATCTGGGGGTTGTATTTATATTCTTCTGTCTGCCAGAGATGAAAGGTCGGTCAATGGAGAGTATGGACGATTTATTCGAGCGCCCGTTGTGGACCATGTGGAAGCATGCGTACCCCACCGAGGAGGAGAAGATGAGACGCGATGTCCGAGAGGAGATGAACAGCAAGATTCAAGCTGTCAGGGACGATGGAAAGAATCATCGCGTCGAGCATGTGGAGACTGCTTAGTTTGACGCATGATTAATCATCTGCGTAATATGAGACGAGAAATGAACATTGCAATAACCTAAAAGCCTTTTGACTTTTTGCTTCATTAGTCGTAGGATGCGGTATTTCTCCGAGAGATCGGAGGGGTTACGAGTGCATCGACTTACGGCTTTCTCTCCGCTGTCTGGCTTAAACGGAGAGCTCCAGTGGCAGCGCGCTATACCCCGCAAGAGCTTGATAAAGCTAATGTAGTTTCCTGTGCTACGATCATAGGGGACTGAAACGCAATTCACCATGGCAGGACTTCAGAACAAAGCGTTCACCTTGAACACGGGAGCCAAAATTCCTGCAATTGGCTTTGGAACATGGAAGGCTGGCCCTGGCGAAGCGGCAGCGGCTGTGAAAGCTGCGTTCAAAGCCGGCTATAGACACTTTGTAAGTCTTTCCCCCTCTTATTAGCTTACTAGATTCAAGCTGACGTGTGGTGTGGATCTTAGGACTGCGCACCTTTATGTGCGTTTCTATTAAGATAAACGTCGCTCCTACATAACTAACATACGAATATAGATGGAAATGAAGCCGAAATTGGACAAGTGTTCAAGGAAACTGACGTCCCCCGAGAAGAATACTTCGTTACAACTAAGCTGTGAGCTACACTCCATGAGCACAAAGGAATCTAATCAAAGCTGATATTTCCACCCGAATCATAGCTGGTCCTCCGATCACCGCCGCATCACGTCCGCCCTCCAAAAGTCCTTAGACGACCTGTGTCTAGACTACGTCGATCTTTACATGATGCACTGGCCCGTAACGCTGCCCACCGCATCGCCAGAAACATACGGCAAGGAAGACCGTACCACACACGACCCCGACTGGGACTTCACAGACACGTGGCGTGAAATGGAGAAGCTGCTGGCAACCGGGAAAGTCCGGGCGATTGGTGTTGCGAACTTCTCGACCGTGAACCTTGAAAAATTGCTCAAGAGCTGCAACACTGTTCCTGCTGTGAATCAAACGGAGATTCAGCCCTTGCTTCCTCAGAAGAAATTGAATGCTCTCTGCACTGATAAAGGCATTCATCAAACTGCCTTTGGGCCGCTTGGAGGTAGTGGAAGTACGCTTCACACAGACCCCATTGTGAGTGGTATTGCAGATAGGAGAGCATGTAGCTCTGGGAATGTGCTATTAAGCTGGGGTGTGAAGAAAGGTTGGAGTGTGATTCCAAAGAGCGTCAATCCGGCGCGTATCGTGGGGAATCTGCAAAAGTGTTTCATGATGGACGATCAAGAAGTGGCGCAAATTGATCAGTTAGTCAACACGCTTGGAGAGAAGCGTTTCAATCGGCCTAACTGGGGGGCCGTGATCTTCCACGATGATCGAGAAAATGTGTAATGCGAAAATTGAAACATCCATATTAGCGAAAAGCTAGATACGAGACAGGTGTGTGTTTGATCAAATGTAATATGAAAGCTATATGTTATTCACACTACCAATTTCCTATCCTAGTTTCAAGACACACTTCGCGGCAGATCCCATTTCCCTGTCAACAAAAAAAGGCATTGCAACATAGCGTATGTTCATTCATTTTCCGGCTTAGGAGAGTTCGAGTATGGATCCCAGTCCATGTCAGCAGGAAACCCATCATCGGGTCCACGGTTCTGGTTGGATCTGTTGACGTTCACCATCTGAGGCTCAGGGCTACTATCACTTTCAATCGTAATAGCAGTTTCAGCATCGGTTCCCTGCATAACTGTGTCCGCATTGCCTTTCCGCAAGCCCGCAGGAAGCCTAGGAAATCCGAGGGTCGTCGAAAACGTTGGTGCTGGAATTTGACTTGCTTGTGGAGTTTGGGAGGGTCGTAGAACTCGCCGGGAACCTGTCACGTAGCTAGTGGTGCTTGCTGCGAGACGGGCGCGTTGAAGATCAGCATAACTAACTTCAGTTGGAAGGCGAATTGCCCCGGCAATTTCAGACGGTAACTCCCATTCCCGGTATGGCCAGTCTTCGATTGCGATCTCTTCAGGTGCGGGAAGTGGCGGTCTCAGTGATAGCTCTCTTGGACGGCCAATCTCCTTCTCGTACCAATACCACTCCCCCTCGGGAACTTGGCTGTCTGAGCTTAGTGCAGGCGAGGTCGAATTACATGGCAGTGACAAACGGACACGCTGTGATGCCGGTGGACTATCACCAGGATTTGGTGATTCTCTCTTGAGAGGGTTCGCTGAACTAGTAAGTAACGAGTCCTGTAATAACCTTGCAGACAGGGGCTTTGCAGGCGGAGGCTTCTGCGTGGAGGCAGGGTTTGTAGGCGGAGGCTTCTGCGTGGAGGTAGGCTTTGCACGCGGAGGCTTCTGCACGGATGTATAGAACGTAGCTGCTCGGTTCTGTGATTGTGGGAACGAGTCCAGTTGAGATTGGCGTATTTGGTTCTCAGTAGTTTGGTTCTCAGTGGGTCTGTTCGTGCGAGGACTGCTCGTATTCTGGTTATTTGGAGCCCAATGGCCACCACGGCGGTTCTGATGTTCCGAAAGGTGTGTGATTTGTCGTGAACCTGTCCGAAGCCTCTCCTCCACAAGCTTGTACTCTGGGAAGATGATCCTAAGTCTGGCTTCGCTGATAGGGTATGATCCATCTGGCCGCCTTCGTAGGTAAATCCACGCGTATTCGGGCTTCGACTCGTAAGCGAATTGGGAGGTTCGATAGAAAACTTCCCCGAAGTTTTTCATCTGTGCTTGGTCCCCGTTCTCTGCAAGGTTGTAGATCTCCTTTAACGTTAAGGTAGTCCTAAGCTTATTTACCATTGCAGGGAGAGGCCGCTCCTGTGAGTCAAAACTACCTATCCCAGGAATGTTTCGTGCCCGCTTAGGCTCTGGTTCCCGGCCAGTCAGTCGAACACGAGTTGACAGGGGAGGCGCCCTTGGCAGCGAAGGTCCCTGCGGAGGAGGCCCCGCGTTTATCTCTGACTTTCTCTCGAGCATAGCGTCCATGTCTGCTCCGGTGATTCCCCGCAAGGCACCTTGGAGTGTTGCCTGAGAGCCAGTTGTGTCCATTGTATGCGAACTTCCCATAGGCGTAGTATCCTCTCCTTGCGGCACGATCATGGTGCCACTTTCTGGAAGCTGTAATTCCTGGATCAACCGGTCGAAAGATCCGAGGTACCGCAGGTACATAAACTGAGACCTAATCCTATCCCCATTTGTCCCCTGGAAGGCCCCATTCCAGTGTCCCAGGGCATTTTCTTGGCTCTGTCCAATTGCGCTCACCGTAAACGCTAACGCTTCGATCTTAGGGGCATGTGCCTTCTGTAGGCACATCCCGATGTAATGACACACCGTTGCAACCTCTTCACGAGTGAAGCAAGTCGATCCATGTTTCCATTTCGCAAGGATAAACGTGGGATCCGGACGTTGGGCCATTTTGGTTCGATACTAGTAAAATCAAACGTGTTAGGACAAGAAATACCAACTGAGCTTTGCGAGGAAGTTCATAAACGAGAGAGAGTCTGCGCTCGCCATGAACCAAAGTAAACTTGCCTTCTCCGAGAATCGGAGGGAGAGTGAGGAAGAACGTGAGGGTAGCTGCTCTTCTGTAAAGGGAGATTAGACGAGAGAAAGAGTATTGTGTTGATGTGAAGAAATATGGGATGAAAAGGAAGCTTCCTCGCGGCAAGGATTCAAGCAAAGACCTACCTTGATTGGAGCGGAAGGTTGTTCGCGTTTGAGACACGAGAAAAAGGATATCCTGTCTGAATGTGAGATGAAGCTTGCTCGCGTCAAAGACCTGAGCAGAGGGAAGTCTTACCTTGATATGCTGAGAAGCTTTCTCACGATAAGGATCAAGGTAGAAGGTAGAGGAGAGTCTTCTCTTAGTGTGAGAGAGAAAGGTTAAAATGAAGGTCTTGTCTCATGAAGTGAGAGGGAATTTAAGCAAATCGTGTCTACCTTGATGGTGAAGAAAAAGTGAAGAAACATGTGATCTCGATTCAGATTTCAGATGCAAAGTAATAGATCTGTAACTTTCAATTCTTATTAACGGAACTAATCCACTTAATATTCGTCTTAGACTCTTGACCTTCATAGGCTCGTTACTAGTTTGAAAGATCATCGCTATCAAACCATTGCTGCATATCAGATGATGTGTATGCCCTCCTCCTCACTTGTATAGAGATTGATGTAAATAGAAAGTAGATGAATCCTTTTAGCTTTTAGAAGTAGAATATGCCTCATACAGCCCCGAGGTGGCTCTGCATATGACTTAGTTTCATCCATTCTTTACGATCAACGGAGTGACAACTATGAAATGCCTGCTCGAGATGAATTGGTGAATTCCACCACTGGAAATGCCCGGCAGGCCGAACATGAGGGGGCTTTTCAGAGCGAGTCTGTCGGTTCGGTTGAACATCTGCAAGAACGAATGGTGTCTTTCCTCAGAACTTGCGACTACATGGACACAGTCAAGGCTCAAATTCATGCGGAGTTCGGAAACCTGAGTTTCAATCTCCAGGATGTACGCTCTTTGGCCCGGAACAACAAGGAAGTGGGGAATATCTCAAGGAAGTGATTTCCGGCAGGCTCTTAGAGGAAACCACAATCTTGCAGAAGCTTGGGGATCTATCTTATCCCTCGATTTCCAAGATTCAAGAGGATTCTTCAGCCGTCTCCGTTGATTTTCTGTGTGACGACAGCTCTCCGAAGACGAATATTTGTACACGGGGCTACTGTTGCCTAACCTGGACCACCTGCCCTAGTGGAGATTTTGGGTCACGCACTTACCCATGATCTTCCCAGCACTCATAACAACCACCTTCACCAGCCGAGGTCACGGACAGTTTCAGTCTCGTCGTTATCAAGATTCCTTCTGTTTGTGTTTCCTATGAGCGTGATTCGTCCTGTGTGAATCCCACACGGGGGGAGGGGGAGGTCCCTCTGCCCACATCCCATCCGTTGCTCGAGTACCCACCTTCATCCGCGGACTCCACGGGCTACAATTGCATGGGAGCCGAAACGGTAGGTATAATGTGTTTATCAAACGAATTAACACATTGCTAATTCAACCTCTTTATAGGCGATCCCAAATCCCCACAATGCCTATATACTATCTAAGTGATATATTGTAGTGGGGGAACCCGTGACAGTGGCGTATTAGTGGCCTGAGGTATCGCAAATGCCTTAGGAAGCTTGCAAGCAGTCTTTTAGAGATAGCATCATCCTACCATCCTCAATATGACTACAGTTTTTCCACCAGATTCTTCTTTCATGACATAGCTTCATTTCTAGTGCGATAGCTACCTACAGAGACTGCTCTCTACGTCTGCACTGGACATGGGAGTGGTCGGCTGTGCTGTCTCCGTTGATATCGACCCGTCTGCTATGTCAGACTGCCATCGTGCTATCCCCATTTCAATATATATTTTGAGAGGGGACCCGAAAAAAGTGGAGTGGGAAGGAACATTTGGTAGGGGATGCATATTGCTCGGGCAAGCTCAGCGGGTCACCATGACCAAACCATAGCCCGTCTACAAGAAGGGCTAGAAGCTGTGAAACATGACCACGAGGCACTTTATGGGAAGCATCGTCCATCCGAGACACTAGTATTCATACAGTCGTCCAACAAGTGTCTTCCGCGCAGCGGAAGCGCGTTCAGAGCGATACATGACTTTTTCGTTCGAGCTGTTCACGAAGCACGACAGGCGGTGATAGTCATTAGCGGGTGGGATGGTTTGACAACAAACGGGACCGCCTTTACCGATATCTTTGATACACTGAAGAACTCTCTGAGCGCACACACGCACGGAACATTGAGAAAGCGTCTATTTGACCAGTTGCACCGAGCAATTGGGCCATCTGAAATGTCTAATTACGACAGCATTGTTTCTAACCCGCTGGCAACCCGCTACGTTGCTAAATTTAGGGCGATGTTAAAAGACCCCCTCTTATTGATATTCGGACCTCCTCCCTACCTGGCTAAGCCTAATTAGGGAAGGCGTAGTATGTGTATTTCACAGTGTCTTTTTTTAGTATAGTGACATAGCAAATACTTTTAACACTATTGGACAGACCGTTTTTTAGACCGTTTTTTAGACATCTTTTTAGACCCCCTATCACAAACCGAAGAGTAAGTCTATATCATCTTACTTTCTAAACATTGATTGATTGATTGATTGATTCATTCATTTCCGAAACTAGGTTTCAATGTTAATAATCATACCCACTACAGGACATAACTTAGGTGTAAGAACTCAATTGTAAATGACCCTCAGAAATCTTTGCCTTCCCCGCATGATAACCTGCATATTGTCAACAAACAAAGCTGTATATTTTGGCAGTTCATGGGACTTGGTGAGGTTCCCACCGAGCACGCTGCAGACGAGGCCCACGTTGATTTCGAAAATGCCAGGTCGTTTACCTGCGTCTTCAGCAAAGACACGTAGAAAGACGTGTCTCGGTGTCTGAGAGGAACCCTCTCCATAAGGGCATTTATCAGAATCCACTTCATTGATCTTATACAAGAAGTGCCGGAGCGCAATACGCATTGACCTCATTTGTATCATGATCGAAGACCGTGGCATCGACAGGCATTCGTACAAACGTAAGGTCTTCTTACCTGGCCACTCTACCAAGCGATTTGTGGGCTGAGCGGTCCTCTCACTCTCCCACTGCTTCCTCCAGCGGTCACCTCCCGCAAATTCGAGGGCCGTGCATTTCGCATTGCCATCGGCAGCTTCATTGCCAGGCGCAGCTTCATTGCCAGGCTCCCAGACGTGTGTGGGGATCCAACGGAGGGTAACAAATGTCGTCAAGGTTTAGGTAGGTAAGCGACGCAAATGGCCCAGTTATGCGTGCAATACAATAAGGTGGATTGTATGAAGAGACTGAACGCTGGTCCTTCCTGGGACCAGCGAAAATTGCTTATGTACAGACTGGCCCATTCGTGGGCGGTGAGGTCCTGGATCATCGTACGTCCTAAGGCATCGCTATGCCTTAGGCGTCGTCGACCTCCTTAGTTAGGTAGTGGTCCTAATATTATCCGCCGCCTTAGAGACCACGTCCCTAGGGTCTTGTACTGGAATGGGTCATTCCTATCGGCCGCGTTGGTCTATTAACCATGTAGGGCAAAAACCTCCGTCTTTAGGAGGGAAATTCCTATATAGGAAAAGGTATCTAACGCCGACTGGGTCATTTCAGCATGGATGCTTCTGTATAGGAAGTGGCACATCCACGTGGTAGTGGTAATATGTAGGAAGTATGTGATTAGTGTAATGAGAAGGGTCGTTCCGGTAAGCTTTTGTGACTGTCAGACTTGCTGCCTATAAAAGGACCCTTTTCATACTTCATTCCTCTTCTTTCTCCCTAACTGATATGCTTGCAACCGTAGTGAGTGTCCCTTCTCTCATTGTTTCCTAAGATGCTGCATTATTAACTAAGGTATCTAATGCCTTATCATCGACTAAGGCATCTAAGATACTGGAGGTGCTCAGTCTAAGATATCTTGACGCGTTTTAGATACTTAGTTTTAAGGTATCTAAGATGCTAGAGGTGCTCAGTTCTAAGATATCTTAATATATTTTAGATACTCAATTGTAAGGTATCTTATTTATCCCCTTCTTTAGGGAGATCGTCCCTAATCTTGATATTTGCTAACTATCCTATTTAGAATATACCGCATATCCGTTTCCGCTCGTCCGACGACGAGGAGGACTTCCTTCACGACTCTGCTCGACAACGTCGTGGCGCTTCCTAACTAGCCCAACCCGATAATAACCGGCAATCTCGTGGCCCTATCCAGCAGGCCCAGCCCAAGTATTTAGATCCACCCTTCTTCCAAAGCAATACTTCTAGAGGTGTCCACCCTCCAATGCTCCGTTCTTTCGGTTTCTTAGCCACTTATTTCGGAAGTGAATCCTCCGTCGCAATTGTCGATATAGCTGAACCGAAGCACCAAGCATGGCAATGCCAGGGTTGCATGGGTTATACCCAACCAAGCAGAGTTTGGCCGAGCACCTAAGGATCCAGCATACTTCTTCGAAATCATGTACACGTTGCGAGAAGATATTCACCAGGAAGTCCTCGCGAAGGCTTCATGTTCGCACCTGTGGATATGGATTTTCCAAAAAGAATGCACTAGACAGGGAGCCATTGCCATGTCTTGTGTGCAAGAAGCCGTTCCCGAAAGTTGCAAAATACAATATCCACGTCCGATTGTGCAAAGCGCGAGGTCTCCGCGACGAGAGGAGGCAAGACATCAAATGTCACAAATATCAGCCCGGGAACAATCACAACTCTTCCCCTCCGGGTACTCGTCAGACAAACTGCCAGGGAGGGGACGTCTCGGAAGAGACAATGGAGAACAAGATTTGTGACAAGTGTCACCGAATCTTCAAGTCCAAGGCTCTTCGTGAATCGCATGGTCAGTGTGATGGGGTCAGGAAGCGCGCCGATATCTCGATCACCCTTGAATTCCCTCCACTACACACTGACATGGAGATCTGTGATGTTTGCTATCATGATCAGTGTATACTTACATATTACTAAAACCATCAATTATTAGGAAGCGAATACATGGAATTACTTCGCATCATATCTCTGCTGCCATCTAGAATTGCGCGAAAGAAATTCAAATTCTTCCGTAGAAGCTGAGAGGGCTCATCTGAGCATCGGAGACGGTAAGATAAGGAAAATGCGTGGATTCTGCCATAATGGTTCCTCGACTCCCCCGTACAACAGGAACAGGGTGTCCACTCTGACGTAGGGATAATTGTGTGTGGCTGGGCACTCAAAATCTGCGCTGGGATGCGCAACGTGGGTCTGAGGTTGCGATTGTTAGTGGTTTTATGACCACCATAGTGTGGTCTATCTACTTCAAGTTTGCTTTTTTAGTAAAATCCAGCTTATACAATATCGAGCTTGCGATGTGACGCTCTCGGTAGTAGCTATGCGTATTATTCCGCATAATTCCGGTGCATAACCAGGGCGACCAAGCATCATGGGTGTTTTGATATTGAGAACTTCAATTGTTTTTTCAGGCATAACGTTATATTATATCACACACCTATCAATGCATAGAAACAAAGCTATCAAGTACTGGGTCATTGCCCGGGTGATCGGAATTTAGTGGCAACCGTGTGCTGCCGAGTGGCTCCCGCATTGGCCGCGAAAAGTTTTCGGGTTCGGGCCCATCCCTTTGAAATCTTTTCTCCTCTCTCCATCCTCCACCAAGGCTTCAAGTGACCTTAACTCTCCTCTCTTTCTCTTTTATTCTCTTTCTGCTTTTTTGTTCTCCATATCAAAATGGCCGCTACTACCACCCCTGCCCCTCAGATGGGCGCTGTCGACTTCTATGGACGTATTTCATTCGCTGGTGCCATGTATGTCCGGGTTAACACCTCAAGAGCATCAAGAACAATATCTAATTTGTTTTTAGGTGCTGCGCTATCACGCATGGAGCCGCAACGCCCCTCGACGTGTAAGTTATTCGTTATTTGAAGCGATTTGAAGCTATATACAATCGCCGGAAACAAAGGCGGAACTTTGACTAACAGCGGATCGCGTACAGCGTCAAGACCCGTATTCAGCTCGACCCTGCCACCTACAACCGTGGCATGATCGGTGGTTTCCGCCAGGTCATCCAGAACGAGGGTGCTGGCGCTCTCCTGACTGGCTTCGGTCCCACCGCTGCCGGTTACTTCCTCCAGGGTGCCTTCAAGTTCGGTGGATACGAGTTCTTCAAGCAGCAGTCCATCAACATGCTCGGCTACGAGACCGCTAAGAACAACCGCACTGCTGTCTACCTTGCCTCCGCCGGTATCGCCGAGTTCTTCGCTGATGTCGCCCTTTGCCCCCTTGAGGCCACCCGTATTCGTCTCGTTTCCCAGCCCACCTTCGCCAGCGGTCTTCTCCCCGCTATGGGCCGTATCATGAAGGAGGAGGGCATTGGTGCCTTCTACTCCGGATTCGGACCCATCCTGTTCAAGCAGTAAGTCAATTTTTCGGGATTTTTATATCTGACCTATTTTGTGCTAACGCGGTTCTCACAGGGTCCCCTACACCATGGCCAAGTTCGTCGTCTTCGAGAAGGTCTCCGAGGCCATCTACGCTCAGTTCGACAAGAGCACCCTCTCCGACGGCTCCAAGACCGGTATCAACCTCGGCTCCGGTCTCGTCGCTGGTCTCGCTGCCGCCGTCATCTCCCAGCCCGCCGACACCATGCTCTCCAAGATCAACAAGACCCAGGGCGCTCCCGGTGAGGGAACCGTCACCCGTCTCGTCAAGATCGCCAAGGAGCTCGGTATCCGTGGCTCCTACGGTGGTATTGGTGCCCGTCTGTTCATGGTCGGCTCCATCACTGCTGGTCAGTTCGCTATCTTCGGTGACATCAAGCGTGTCCTCGGCTGTGGCGCTGGTGTCGAGATCGGCAAATAGATCATTCGGGTATAATAGAGTCTGGAGGATAATAGAGACTGCCCTTAGAATTCCCTTTGTTTTACGCCTTGTCCATCCCCCACACACGATGTACATTACTTTGTCTCAATTTTTTCAAGAACAGCCTCATCTTATTTTCACATTACCAATTATTTCCTCTGTATTCGTACTTATTCGTAACATAATAATTCCTGCTCTGCCTTCTGACATCAGGGCATGGGTGCGACTAGCAACTTCTAAATCCGAAGTCCTGTCGACCATCTTGCAAGCATCTTGTCGGCGAACAACAGGCCGCTTCAGCGAAGGAATTACGACCGTCTTATGATCAAAATCAGTTGCATAAAGTGTTCTGACGCCTCTAATTGAGGATTCAAGGGTCCGGACATACAGAAAAAGATGGGCGTTGTAGGCGCCGATGAGTACCGCATTACCTGCGTTGCTACTACATGCAAACAATGATCATCCACACCGGAAGCGGCCAGTGGATCACTTAGCTACCATCAAACAGTGGCTAGATTTGACAGCTATCAGTCCCGTGGACATGCTGTTCCCATCCTTACATATGAGTTTATGGTCAACAACCTCTTATAAAGTGATATCGCGGACAGAAAACCCATCCACACCAAGTCCGTCTTCTTTTTCCACCACGAACGAATGGTACCCGGTGTAATATCCATATCCCTCAACTCGGGCTCTGACACTCCGCTGCCCTCTGTCTCCCTCGGCCTCATCAAACACAGACCCAACAAAACCAGAAAGGCCATTATACGCTCGAGTCACTAGAGAATTATAGACTCTCTTCTCTCCAACGGACAAAGCACCCTTGGCACGTGCTAGGGCCACTCTTGCAGCGACACAGCCACCAGTCGGAGAACGATCAATCTGTTGATTAGCGAAGAAATATAGACCTGTTTCTTCGCTAGTTGCGTCCAGTTGGGCACGAGAGGCTGCAGATCCCTCTGACGCATCAACCTGTCCCAAGTTTCTATCTGTGATCATGATGCCATACAAGAACCCTGGCTTCCCGGTCAAGATATCTTTAGTGAGGTATTCCAGATCGGGGTTGGCGACCACCGCTTGCTTCAGCAATTTGGTTGCAATGTCCATCTCTTGGAGTTTGACATCATCCAAGCCACCAGGGAATCCTAGTTCTTCTGAACTGATCATACCATAGTACGCACCCCCATAGGCAAAATCTACCGTAACAGACGCTCTTCCTTTCAGCTCCGGCCACTGGTACTTCTCAGACAATGGAACTTCCAGAGAGATAGCAGTCGCAAACGAAGGCACTGAAATGAATGACACAGGCCTCGAAGGATCCGACTTCCCAGATTCCAAAGTCGGAACAGAAACTTGAACAACACCACAAGGAACATGCAAGTTAAGCGCGGTTGTACCAGAAGCGGCATCATATTTCAACTGCTTCCGACGCGGGAAAATACTCTCATCAACATCAACAAGGAACCTCCCCAGCGCGATCGTCGCATGGCCACACATAGTCGAGAAGCCTTCATTGTGCATGAACAAGACTCCAATATCAGCTTCTCCGGAAGCGACCAGCTCTGTTTCTGGACGTAGAATCGCGCCGTACATATCATAGTGACCGCGGGGTTCGAGCATCAGCACCCGTCGGAATTGATCAAATTGGCTTTTGGCTTGGGCGCGCTGTTCGAGCAGCGCCCCTGTCAATGGTGGGATACCTTCCCATATAATTCGAGTTGGTTCGCCTGCAGTGTGCATCTCTACGCAGGTTATTGGTTTGATAGGGCCCGCGGATTCGAGGGGGCGTATAGCTTCCATGATACAGGCAAATTGTATAAATTGAATCAGAGCTCAACCGATGGAATTGATTATTTGAGAACGCAAATGGTAGTGGTATCAAGTGCGTTGATTTTTGGAGATGCGGAGTCTCCCCTGGAAGCGGTGCTGGCGCGTATCCTTACCTGAAGAGGTAAGTGGGCAGATAAGTGGGCGGATGTCGAACATAAGGCGTGAATAAAAGCTGCATATGTTTCCGCTAAGATAACATGTCTTTGCTTCAATACTTCATATACCAAGCTTGGAACTTTGTGTTCGCTCACTGTCAATCAAATGCTTCCGTTATCGTATTGCAACGCGTACGGTGCTAATTGCGTTCAGATACATCGTTCCGGTAAGCTTTTATGGGGTATTCCGGTAGGGCTAAGCAGTAGTTATATCGAATGTTTGCTTGTTGACTGTGCTAGCAATTGCTATTAGACTTGTTGCCTATAATAGGACCCTTTTCATGCTTCATGATTCTTCCTCTTCTCTCTCCCCAACTAATACGCTTGCAACCATAGTAAGTGTCCCTTCTCTCACTGTTTCCTAAGATGCTGCATTATTAACTAAGGCATCTCTGATGCCTTATCATCGACTAAGGCATCTGAGATGCTGGAGGTGCTCAGTTCTGAGGCATCTAAGGCATCTCATTTATCCCCTTCTTTAGGGAGATCGTCCTTGATATTGACATTTGCTAACTGCCCCATTCAGAACATGCCGCATATCCGCTTCCGCTCGTCCGACGACGAGGAGGACTTCCTTCGCGACTCCGCTCGACAACGTCGTGGCGCTTCCCAACAGGCCCAGCCCGACAACAACCGGCAATCTCGTGGCCCTGTCCAGCAGGCCCAGCCCGAGTATTTGGATCGACCCTTCTTCCAAAGCAATGCTTCTAGAGGTGTCCACCCTCCAATACTCCGTTCTTTCGGTTTCCTAGCCACTTGATTCGGAAATGAATCCTCCGCCGCAATTGTCGATATGGCTGGGATCCGAAGCACCAAGCATAACAATGCCAGGGTTGCCTGAGTTATACCCAACCAAGCAGAGTTTGGCGGAGCACATAAGGATCCAAGCACCCCTGGCTACGTGATAGGTGCCCGGCGAGTTGTGCGACCCTCGTAAACTCCAGAAGCAAGCCAAATCCCAACGCCAACGTTCTCGACAACCCTCACTGTTCGGAGCTCGAGGGCTGGAATGGACTGGGATTCACACTCGAGCTCTCCTAAGCCGGAAAAAAAAATGATTGAACGTGCGCTATGTTGCAAAGACTTTTTTGCTGACAGGGAAATGGGATCTGACGGGAAGTGTGCCTTGAAATTGACAGTATGGCAAGCGTTTCTAGTTAGCTGTCATAAACAACATTTTTACCAATATCTAATTCCATAGTGTGGGTAGATCGATTATCCTATTGAACGCAAAAAGTGTAATCAGCTACTGTAGGCTGCTAGTCGGCTCCACTGCTGCACTTGCTGTTGGCCATCGACAGCCCTATAGCTTATATGTTTTTGTCTAAAAAACATTACATGTTGTAGCTTTAATTAACCTACTGTTATACTGTAACGTCTATTAAAGTACTGTAAATCGCGTGTGGGTCCAGGGCCAGGCAAGTAGCCTAGCCCAGGGGTCCCACAAGTCTTCAAGACGCTGATCATCTCGAGAGAAGACAAAACACAGACTCTGGCACCGTCGAGACGCAAATATAGCACCTGTATGAACCCTACGAATCTACTGGTCCCATCGACCAAGCTTGCAAGACCGACCTACCAACACTGAAGGCGGATCCAGAACTTCAATGTTTCGGTTTCATTTCCCAAATGCTTACAGGGGTCTTCCTCATCACGATGAAACACCCTAGAAAAATTTAGTAGCTTCACGTTGATAAAGCTTGTGGTAAAGCAATAAATGCTTCTTGTTCCGTGTTGGCGTGATTGTCACCATGTAAAGCCTTCATCTCCGCCCACCATTGAAGATTTATTCATTACAGTCCATCCTCAGTCGGCATAACTCCCAGCAGCAAAGCTCCGATCCTCCAAAATGCGTTACAGCTACGCACTCGTTCCTCTCGTTTCCGCCATGCAGGCCATGGCCATCGACCCCGACACATGGTACTTTGGAAACAGTCTGTTCTATCTCGGTCCCCCTTCAGGAAACTCTGCCATCACCAAGGCGACCTATTCTATTGTCCCTCCAACAGTTCCCTCCGGCGCGAAAGTATCCAACACCAAAGATCAAGTCTGGGTTTCTGTCTGGGTTGGCGCGTCTTCGTCTGCCGGCGACGACAATACCAATCTATATCAGCCGATCTTCAACTGGTCCCTGGACCAGGAGTCTCAGTACGTGGAATTTGATGAGACACCATCGGATGAGAGAAAGGGAGGTTTTACTGACTGTGCATGTAATATAGGGGTTGTTCCGCATCTGTTGATGAGTGGTGTGTCGCAGCGAGCACTTTTACCCCATGTAAGTAACTAGAAAACCCGTGCTGTGAGAGCCACTCTTTATGCAACCGAACAAGCTGACCTGATATCTTTTGCATTAATAGCCGGTCAACTTGGTCAGCCCTATGTGACAGTCCCTAACAACACACCAGTGGACTTCGAAAGTGAGTTACTTCTCTTTTAAACGTGCATTTATCACCCAACAGAACATTAGTTCTAATGTTTAACTCACCCCCAGTCGCTGTCGAGAACGAGAAGGTTGTCCAAACTGTCATCATGGACGGAAAGGTCGTGTCGAAGGAAAGCGATGGTGAGTGGAATAATCGAGACTCGCTGAAAACTTCGCTCGACTAACTAGCAACCTCAGCCCTCGACTCCCCCCTCAAATACCTGTACTCTAGCAATGAGTGCTACACCGGCTCTGGAAACTGTGGCTCGCTTGCAGGTTACTGTAAGTCCTTCTTTCCGCAAAGAAACTCACGAGGTGATGACCTAACACGTAACAGATATCAACAACCTGACTGTCACCTTGAGTGCGGCCGACAGCAAGTTTGACCAGGTGATGGCCCTCAATGGTGTCACTGATGATGGCTTTACTTCCTCGGATGGTGGCCTGACCTGGCACACCGAGTGGGTCAAGGTTAACAGCGTTGACTTTGATTCTTCTTCTGCCGTTAAGAGCGACTTCAGCAGCTCTTAAGGCTCCTTAGTGGTGGTGGCTAAATTACTGGGATGTATACTAGTCTAACGTGGTAGCAGGAAAAGCCATCGAGCCTGCCGTGGCTTATACAAGCATCTTGGGCAGGAAGACCGGACTTGTTCATATCAACATATAACTATAGACTATCATTCATAGCACATATCGGAAGTTCGGGTTCTGCGAATCTATTAGCAATTTATCAAAAACCAAGTCAGAAAGCTGACTACTAACCTCGAAATCCGTCAAATCGGCCGACTCATCCACTTCCAAGGGAGCCCCAGACTCATTCGCAGCTGCTGCAGCGGCATCCCTCTGTTTATTTCTGCGGGCCAACAGCCACCGTAGACAGACAGTCAAAGCAGCCTGTGCAGAAGAACATGCAAGGAGAACCTTACAACCGGTCTGATAGATGGGTGCTTCTTTCGCGAGGAACGCGTGTGGCCCTATGATATTACCAGCACAATAGGCCAGGAATACGAAAGCAACACCGGTGGAGCGCTTCGTATATCCACCCAGATTTGTGGCGGGCATCTGCAGCGCCAGGACTAGGGAGCAGACGTAGGCACCGACGATGTAATAACTGAATAGCACGCCGACCTTGTGCGTGGCATGGTCCAGCTTCCACATCAGAGCGATACCAATGATTGTCGGGATGAGGTACGCGAACATGACGATGGTACGGTAATTGGCAAATCGAGATGCAAAGTATGTTCCTGAGAGGACCCAGACCACTTGGAAAGCGCCAAAGGGAATACCCAGTGCGACTGTAGTAAGTGAGTCGTGGGTTAGGCCCTTGATGATCAGCTTGCTGAAGTTGGCGATTCCACCGTTGACAACCTCATTAAACAGAGTGAAAAAGAACAATATCCAGACCTGGGGATCGACCAGGGCCTCGCGGATCTGGTTCCACTTGATTTGGTGGTTGATAATACCAGTGCGGCCAAGACGTCCACGACCGATGAGTAGAGCCTTGTCTTCCAGATTAAAGCGCTTTGCGGAGAGGACGTCACCGGGAAGAAAGAAGAGCATAACGATACCCCAGCAAACAGTGATGCCTCCAAGGATGAGGTAGATAGCTCTCCATACGGCAATCGTTTTGATTTGACCAATACCAAACGTGAGGACTCCACCGACCATAGCACCAACTCCGTTACAACTGTAGAAGACACCAGCGCGAAACGGTTGTTGGGAGCGTGTATACCACATGCCAATAATCATCATAAAACAAGGCGTTATTGGAGCTTCGAAAACACCAAGAAGAAAGCGGCAGATAGCCATGCCGGTAAAGGAAGAACAGGAGGCAGTAATCATGAGCATAGCGCCCCAGGCGACAATGTTGCATGAGACGACTTTGGCGAGGTTGGTCTTCTGCGCTAAGACATTCCAAGGGTATTCGGCGACGAGGTAGGCAATATAGAAGATACTGGCTAGCCAACTGTATTCGTTGCTTGACATGTGTGTCGACTTGAGGAGGTCAAACACCGCAGAGTAAGCCAGTGCGGATTTGTCGATGTATTGAAGCATGTAGGTTCCTGCAAGCAAGGGGAGCAAAATAAGATCTACTTTGCGGACCACGGCCTTGTTGCGTGCTTCATCGTCCAATAGGCCTTGAACGTCTTCATCGGTGAATCCATGTTGACGCAGGAAGACCTCGCCCTCGTCAAGGTCTGTGATAACGCCAACTTGGACGTCTTTCTCGTCGACAGAGTCTACCACGGGTTCTTTTTTGGTTACCTCCATGGCATCAAGTTAGTAGATTGATCAATGAAATGTTGAGATAGTTGAAGGAGCTGAAGTCAGAAGGGTTCGCATACGAGAACCAAATTCCCCCAGGGCCTTTTAAGCTCGACGGTTTGGCGTTATCTATACTTTCTAGAAACGGGACCATGGTGCGGAGCATCGCTGGGCATGCCATTCGGACTTTGGCCGAACGTGATAAGAGAGTTTCGGAATCATGTCAAGCAAGCCGAACTATCTTTTGAGATAAACATCCCGTGTCTCCACTTGGTTTACTTCCCCCCGCACGGCACTACTTCTGAGGCCCGGATAGATAGCGATCCCAACGGTGCTATATCAGACCGCCGAACCCCATCTTGCCGTCTTTCTTGGCTTTGAACTGACCAAGATACACAATGACAGTCGATAGCAAGCCCCCCTCGGTGACCTTGGCCCAAGGCCAGGTAGTTGGCACGCAACTCAAGGACAATTTCCCACAAACAGTGGACGCCTTCTTGGGAGTGCCATACGCGTTGCCTCCTGTTGGAGATCGGCGATTCAGACCTGCAGTGAAAGTTGCGAGCTCATCAGACACTATCGATGCATCCAAATACGGCCCCGCAGCCCCAGGGAAAGCATTGCTATCGGGCGGACCGAAACTGGAGCAGAGTGAAGACTGTTTGACCGCGAACGTTTTCCGGCCTGCCAGTGCTGGAGATGGGCAGAAGCTTCCAGTCGCAGTCTATATCCATGGCGGTGCCTTTAACCGTGGAGCGGCGGCGACGCATGACACCGCGTCTATGGTGGCATGGTCCGAAGAACCGTTCGTGGCCGTGAGTTTTGGCTATCGCATTGGAGCGCTTGGATTTTTGCCATCGAGTCTCTCCGAGAAGGAAGGATTGCTGAACCTGGGATTGCGTGATCAAATTCATCTGTTGGAGTGGGTTCAGGAGAACATTGGCCAATTTGGCGGTGATGCTGGGAAAGTGACTCTATTCGGTCTCTCGGCCGGGGCACACTCTGTAAGTATCACAATTTCCAACCGCATCTTCGAGTCCACTGTTCTAATGGAAGAGTGTAGATCGGCCACCTCCTGCTCAATCGCAACGCGACCCCCTTGTTCCACCGTGTTATCATCGAATCGGGCGCCCCCACTTCTCGCGCCGTTCGCCCATACAATGCGAAAGTCCACGAAGAACAATTCCAAGATTTCCTTCGGGAAGTCGGATGTCCTGCAGATCTATCCGAATCTGAGATATTCCCTTTCCTCCGGTCGTTGCCAAGCTTAACCGTGACCAACGCCCAAACAGCTGTCTTTGGCAAATACAACCCCTCGCTGCGATGGGCATTCCAGCCCGTAATTGATGGGGACACAATTGCCCGCAAGCCCCTAGATGCATGGAACTCCAAGATTTGGAATAAAGTACCTATAATGACCGGCTTCAACGGAAACGAAGGTACCATGTACGTCGACAAGCAAATGTCCAAGGGCTCTCAATTCCGCCAGTTCTGGGAGAACTTGCTCCCAGAACTTTCATCTTCAGATCTGGATACTATTGAAAAGCTTTACCCCGATCCCTCGGTGGATTCATCCTCGCCATATCTTGAAACCAGGGACGGTGAGGGTCTCGGTGCCCAATACAAACGTATCGAGGCTGCATATGGTCACTATGCCTATGTTGCGCCAGTTCGCCAAACTGCGGAGTTTGCGTCATCCCAGGGGGCCCCTGTGTATCTTTATCATTGGGCACTTCCGCGAACACTTGTTGGTCGTGCCAATCATGGAGATAACATGTATTATGAGACATACAACACTAGCATTACGGGGATTTCGAAATCACAAAGGGAGTTATCGGGGACTCTGCATGCTTACCTGACCAGCTTTATTACCAAGGGTGATCCTAATGCTGTCCGCGGTCGGTATGGCGAGAGACCGGAATGGAAGCCCTTCAAGCCCGAGGATAACAAGGTTATGATCTTTGGAGAGGGCAACGAGGAATTGATTGGCGGGGATACTGCTCCTCCTGCTAAATGTGTTGCAGACGACTGGGCAAGGGATGAAACTAAATTCTGGTGGTCGAAGGTTCCAATTTCTCAACTTGCTTGATTCCGACAATACTTTGAATATAGGGCCGCATATAGATACCGTCAATAGATTTCTTTCCTTCATATTTTCACGAGCACTGTTGAATAATCTACCCCCGATTGTGAAGAATGAGCTCCACTTCCGCATCAGCGGCCTCCAAGATATGCTTCGCTGAATATTGCGGTTTCCAGCCAATGTGACGCCCATTCTTGGAGTGCAGTGTACACTGACCATTCAGGAACAGCGGAATCAGAGGACTTGGGCAACCCAGTGCATTTCCCATCTGTTCTAGAGTTTCTTATCTTCCAGCTCCACAGCATTGCCAATGACTTGGCGCTTGGCAAGTGCTTTAACCATGGCGCAGTAGATGTCATACCAAGGAACACCCCCACGGGGGCCCGAGAGAGCACCCGTTCTTCCCGTGCGGTACATACACGATATTAGGCAAGATCTCCTGATAGAACGTTGTAATCTCGATAACATGAGTGAGGGCCGAGTCTGAAAGTGTCTCAGCGACAATCAAACAGATAACTCTGAACAAGTGATAGGTCTTACGAAGAATTCCTCATCCGTTCTATACAATTTTCCAAGCTTTTTGACGACTTACACAATCGCGACCTCTGGATCGAAATGGGCTTGCCCGATCCCTCCACCTGACAGTGAACGATGCACGGCAAGAAGATGTGACCTCGAACACCGAATTGCTTCGCAGTCTCCTGCTGCCATCTAGAATTGCCCGTGTAACGGTATGAAGTTTACTATGTCATAAAAGCAGAATCATTGCAAGATTGGCCGGTTCATCAACTTTCAATGGCTCTCTAACCCCACTATATCTGAGTTGAATAGAAAAGATAGAAAATAGTAATTACAATAATCCGCCATTCATGACCGTAGATAACCTGTTATAAGCGCAATTAAGCGGCATCAGCTATAATAACTTCGGCGGCCTTCTCACTTATCATGTAGATCGGCAGCGCGACATAGTATCCGGGAATCTTTGGAAACACCGAGGCATCCACAACGCGTAACCCGTTTACCCCCCGTACCCGAAAGTCAGAGTCCAGGACGGCTTTCTCGTCACCATCCTCTCCGATAGCAGCAGTACAGCAGGCATGATGACCCCAGGCCTCTTGCTTGATAAAGTTTTTGACCTCACTCTCGGTAGTGACGTTAGGCCCCGGCCAGACCTCGTCGAATCCTCCGTCGAGCGGGATAAGATCCTCGAATATCGTTCGAGAAAACTCCACCGCCTCATACACAGCCTGAAGATCCTTCTCATCCGCATCATTTTCTGTTACTCCGGTATCAAACGAGTTGAAGTTGATATCGGGTACGTCGCGGGGGTCAGTCGAGCGCAGCTTCACTGTACCTGCGTTGTTGCGACTGCGTGCCTTCAATGTGATCCAAGTCCAATGTTGAGCATCTTTGAGACCTTCATATGAATAGTTCGGATAATAGCCGGGGAAATTGACGGGGGCTCCCGAGATCAATAGGTCTGGTTCGTCCACCGCCACGGATGACTTGCGAATGATTGCAATGGCAATTCCGTTGGTGGTATACGTGCCCTTAAACAAAGGATCGTTCTCGTACTGTTCCAGACAGGGGTCGGGCATGGTATACATGAAGGTGCATTTGGAGGTGAGAACGAAATCGGTAGGGGATTTCCCAACTGTACCGATCTCATACCGGTCCTGAAGGTTGGAGCCGACGCCAGGCAAGTTCACCAGCGTGGAGATACCCAGCTCGGACAACTCTTCTTGTGGGCCAATTCCGCTGAGCTTCAACAACTGAGGGGTGTTGAATGATCCTGCGGACAGAATCACCTCACGCGCGGCGTTCACACTACCCGGTATACCGTTAGAGGCTGTGCGGGAGGCCCGGGGATCCGCACGATATAGGCTCTGGCCCCGAAGATAGTCCACACCAAGAGCCCGCGGCTTAGCTCCAGTGGTATCAAACCTGACCTTGGTCACTAGCGTGTTGAGCTGGATGTCAAGATGGTATTTCCGTGAGCCATCAGAGTTGACGGCATTAACAGTCTTCATGAGGAACTCTCGAGGGCCTGTACGTTTGTACTCGGGAACGTCCACAGCCAGGGGCACTTGATATGGGCCGGTCTCATAATCGCGCGTGGGGGAGGCGTTGTTAAGATCGCGTAAAAGGACTCCCGCGAGGCCAGTCACAGTGTTGACCAATTTACCCAGCAGACTCTGACCTGCAGCTGTCGCACCAGCAAGGATCAAGGAAAGGAGTTTTTGGTCTTCAATCACGAGACGCAAGTCGGTCAAACTTGTTGTGAGCCATCCTTCAAATCCGTGGCCCACCAGGCCGCTTGGTATATATCGGTTGCGCTCCAATCTTTCAAAGTATTTTCGCATGTTTGAGGCAGACCACGAGTCATTCCCCGTTAGAGCGGCCAATTGCTCCCAGTCATTTTCGTACGGGTAGATGGTGCTGACAAAACGATTGTTAGCATACAGATCGCCCGGCCTCAGGCTCCCATAGAAGGATAGAAGACTCACATCATGGCATTGTGGGCGGAGCACCCTCCCAAGGTCCCAGCTCTTGGATACAATATGCCCAGAGGCTCTGAGCCATCAGGTGCATCGCGTCCAACATGGAGCTCCCCAGCAGGAGTTCTGTATGTCATCTTTGTATCTTCTTCCTGGCGTGACATATTCGAGTAGTGGTTCACAAAATAGTCCCATCTCATGGGATCATACTCAGTGGACTGAAGCTGCAAGGCAGGGACAATTTGTTGTGTGGCATTTCCTTGGTCATCACCTGCGTCCAGAAGCAGTACCCTGTATCCGGCAATTGCCAGTCGCGCTGCTAGAGGACCTCCTCCAGGGCCGGACCCAACAACAACATAGTCATATTCCGTGGACGTGGCGTTGTCTCCCGTTGTTTTACCGCCAACTGGTGATCTCTTATATGTATCATGATGCCGGGGATTTGAGCTGTGGCCTCTGTAAGATCTGTCAGCTCCTGCGATATCATATTCAGGCTTGTATCGGAAGGAACTTCCATGAAGTTCTGGCACATACGAAGCTAGCACAACTGAAAGAGTGGATAATAACCCAGCCACTGCCGAGAGACGCATGGCAAATGCTCGAGGGAAGACGAAGACCTCAAGTGAAAAGCAAGAACAAAAGTCAAAATACAATAGAGGTCAAACTAGGTAAAGACAGAACATGAACTTCCAAAGCAGCATATATCTTCCATCGCCATTTATTATAAGCCGATACACCTTGACCCCTGGGGTCTTCTACAGTACCATCCGTGACAACGTTACTATCATGTTCTCATTCTACTTGTAGTATGATCGACATTACCATCCTATTTCAAAGTCGGTCTGTTTTTCACAGCGGGTCGTATTCCTTAGCATGGCACCAATTTGGTCTGACTCGGTATCTAGTCCAGCAGCTCCATACGTGTGGATGGGTCTGTCTCGTATTGACCCGGCTGGTATCCCGTTAGTATCCCAAAGAAAAAGATACAAACACCGCTAGTCCTGACCTAGCAGTAGCCGGCCAATCAATAATTCTTTATTGCGTCTCGGACCCTCATGCTAACAGATTAGTGCCTACCCTATGCCGTCTGACGTGCCGATCCTATAACATTACAGGTAAACTGTCTAACGGTAAGGCTAATCCTCTTTTGGCACGATGCGGCTTCATTATTCAGGCCTGCAATTTATTATTGTGGGGAAGGAGGGTCCACAGTGCACCGAAACGGAATGCGCCCAGCACCCCATGGTTGTTTTCTGTATGCTGAAATTGGGACCCATAACGCCTTCACGCTACAAACCTACTAAGACAAGTCAAGGGTCTTATTTCTGTTCTTGATAATCTAGAAGCATTCCCGGTCCACTTGGCGACTAGGCAAATGGGGGTCAGCGGCACTTGAACCCCAACAACCCCTGATTATTGCCGAGAATTTACGAACTGTACCCGTGAATTAATGACATTGTGCATTAATGACATTGTGCAGGGGGTAGGTACCAGCTTCCTGTTTAGGAGACCCGCTACCTCGCTAGCAATTTGCTTGCGGTTTCACCAAAAATGCAGGTTGAAATTATGGCCAATGTGTACCGACCAGTTTGACAGTCAACCCGTGGGTATAAATCTTATTCGGTTAAATTGAACAAAGTATGTTTCGTGTACAAAGACACCTGGATATATAGAATCAAAAGCTAGATATAGGGGCTCCCGGGAGAAACCGTCTTGCGTAATTCACAAATTGACCGACTGGCTTTGCTAGTCAACATGCTAATAGTGTAGCCGGGTATCACTTGAAGTATCCATGTCATCAAGGGGGTAGAAATGCCGGTCACCACTCTTGCTTTGGACGTGAATTGCTCCTTCAAATCGAGACCCGGTTCCATGAGAGCGAGAGTTCACCCCATATGAGTTAGCGTTTTCCGTGTCGCCAAATAATCCAGGCGCGACTCGGCGGAGTAAAGAACGAATAGCAGGGAGACATGAACAAATAATACCCACGTCAACTTCAATGGTAGACCAATAGCCAACGCTCACGTAGTCCCCTTGCATTGGTCAGTATGTTTGCAGCCGTGATACTAATGATTCTGGCGATTACTTACATGTCAAGTTTGTGGTGCTGGCAAAGTGAATGAGTGAGTTTAGTCGCAGGATGCTCACAAGAGTCACACTAAGTTCCAAATCAGTCACATCTCTCACGAATATTAGGTATTCATGGAAACTTACAAGACACCCAGACTAAACATGCACATCACATATACCTTCTTAGTGACGGAAAGATTTAGCTTGTAAAGCTGCCGCAATGGTAGAACCATGACCAATATATCAAGCACCATATTGATAATTGCCGCTGCCCATCCCTGTGCATTGATATGGTTGCATTGAAAATTGCCCTCTCCGTCCCAATGAAGCCATGCGCCAGGTAGTGGCCGACATTGAAACACCGAAATCAAGACAAAGGCAATCAAGTAACTCAAGTTCAATGCGATGGCAATATATGTTGCTATCCGGAAGCGCCGGTCGGGAAAGACGCGAAGGTAGAAGCAGCAGATAGAAATTTTGGTTAGTGGCAGAATTGACAGATAGATCAATTCATCCCAGAAGTAAATCTGCTCGGGTTAGATAAATCTGTATATCCGAGAGCATAAGGTTTGTGCACTAACATAAAGGACTTTTGTGATGTTTTCGAAAGGGAGTGTCCACATATCTCTTCCTAACCCGGCGTCGGCCACTAGCAATGGTCAGTGAGATGAAGGAAATCGAAGTCAGCAGTCAAGGGAATCATACAAACGATCGAAAGTCCAGAGATTGGAACAACAAGACACTGAATCGTCAGTGGCAAGATACTTCATCCCTGAATAAGAGCAAATGGTGCTCACCATCGTCAACATCATCGTCCAGTCATCCATGCCAAAAGTACCACCACAGCATCTGAGGCGTGCCACCATCCGAAGGATAAAAGCAATGAGTGCTAGAATGCCACCACCGAGTCCGAAATATGAAACAAGCTTACTTCGATCTCGAAGCGGAGCTCCACAAGCTGAGCTTGTGACATTTTTGGTAGCTTATCTGTTAGCAAGGGTCATTCCGTGTGATTGAACGTTCACCTACTCAGTGATTGACGGATCGTGCAAGTGGTGGCGACGCATCGCTCAAGTGTCGCAGTATAGGTGACATCCGTACATTGGCACTTCTGATCAGTAATTGCGCAGGAGGATTGCGGCAGTGAAATTTGCATACACTCGAGCTTTTCAACGTCAGTTTTCGTCGAGCTAATATTCAAGACCACGGGGATATTCCACTACCTACCGCACAAGAGGGTAGAGCAGCCGCCAGTTGTTGCAGTTGTTCCTCTCCCGCTGTCACAGAGATGGCGAAAAGCGCAACGACACTGAACGCTACAACGAAGAAACGCATTCTGCTTGGGACGCTGGCAGATGAGAATTGGTCTGATTGTGACCAACAATGCCTAGAGTCAGCAGAACCAACCTTATTGAAGACAGCAACCCCTTAGTTGGGATGAGATAACCAGACGCACCAGTCTGATCGGACTTTTAGAATCTACACTAAAGTCATGTTTATTTTCGCAGGGAGATTAAACACCCGACTTGGCAAGCACTAGAACAGTCTCTGGCTGTGATGAGTTACCCCAATATTCTATCCCTGTCGATCGTTCAACTGTTGCGGCAAAACGAAGTTGTTCAGACCTCCATGAGCTTATGACTTTGCCGATAAGCCCCTGTATGGTTTGGTTTATAGCCACTGAGAGCGATTAAACTATCCTCTGACAAAGTGGATTTGGGGTAAATTATGATCTGCGTGCTATACGAATACCCAGTTCGTAGTCACTTATTGAACGTTTTAGGGCTTAACGGGCCAGACCGGGTTAGGAGCCGAGCTGACATGGCTCCACCAGCGGGATATTTTAACCAGCCGCTGATCTGCGGTATTTTGACACATGAACCCACCAAAGACTGAGCATTTCCCACCAGACAAGATCTTGACTTTACGCCGCAGTTTCATAATTGATTCTCGTCAGTGTGAGCTAAGGGGGAAAAGCCAGCCGGAAGCGACCGAGTGGGCCCCCGAATCCTGCCAACTCAACTACCGGACCCGATCCACACTGTCAAAAACATGCTAGTCAGTAGTCCACCAAGGACAGACCTGCGATTTCCCCAAACTGACCTGATCAACGTCGAGTAAATATTCACTTGCCAGTTGCGGCATGGCCTTGGATGTAGCGTGTTTTGTTTAACGAGGGCGTGTGCACCTCTATTGAATATTTCTGACCTCTCCCGTATCTCATACAATGCGGTCCCCCCTGATCGTGCCAAAATGGTATCAAGCGGAACGTTGGGAGGGACCTGAGGTAGTCCCGCCAACCAACGACAGCCGCCGATCGAATTCCCAGTTCCCCGATTTCCGGATTCAGACTCTACGAGGCGTAGTAGCTTCTAGAGAAAGGAATCCCTGGTCTACAAGGATGCAAATAGATGAACGGCAGCAGTCTTATTGAAGAAAGAGTTAAGAATACATTTCGAAGGGAAGAAACCCGGGTTCGGTGATTATCCATACTTCGTTCCTCCGCTGATCAAGTGTTAAGTGGGGCCAATTTACGGTGTTTATCCCCATAATAAACTATCTAATTGAGCGGCTGGTATTTCCCACGGCTCTGCTTGGTACTGTCTGCGTAATGGCTTCATACATGTATGCTGATACGGGCCATTCAGGGGCCATTGATGGATCAGCCCGGATACAATTTGGACCTCTGCCGAGGCACAAGCGCATGGAAGTGCATATCTATTCGCATGCCACACTTCCAGAATAATTTATTTCATCCATGTTTGATCGTCTTATTTCTCAGTAGTTTGGTGATATCGCCGTTCCAATCTGGGATCAGTTCGTTTCAGTTGTCATGCGCGTCTTCACTCAAGGGCAGTTGCTCTGGTCGTTCTCACTTCTGACCCTTGTGGCAGGATTCCCGGGAGCAGATACCCATGGTGGTAATTTAGCCCACCGAGAATCACACAAACGATGCCCGTATGCCCAAAGCCAGGAACAGACAAGGCCAGAACATGACAAGCGGTTTCTTTTTGATTTGATGGATTCACCTGTTGTTGGTATGACAGACCCACCGTCAATCGTTAATTGGTAGTAACGAAAACATAGTCACTGGGGAACATGCCTTCCACCCACCGAACTTTGAGAATGGTGACCAGCGCGGTCCTTGTCCGGGTCTCAACGCGCTTGCCAACCATGGCTATATCCCACGAAACGGTGTGGTGTCAGTAAGTCATTGGCTACTTGACTTCCATCAGGCATAGGCTGACTGAGAGAAAGTTTGCGAAAGTCATTTCAGCGATCAATGAAGTTTACGGCATGGGTATCGATCTAGCTACTGTTCTTGCACTCATGGGCACCGTCTGGACTGGAGATCCGCTGTCCCTAGATCCGAGCTTCTCCATCGGCGGCCGCGATACAGGCGTCAACAACCTCCTGAACAATTTGGGTGGCATTCTAGGTACGAATGCATTTATGATATATCCCTGCCCGTTTCGGTGATTTACTTATCTTTTTGTAGGTGATCCCCAAGGCCTGATTGGGTCTCACAACTTTATCGAAGCAGACTCCTCCAACACGCGGGACGACCTCTATGTGACAGGCAACAACTACGCACTTAACATGGAGAAGTTTATGTCTTGGTACAACATGTCAACCGACGGTACATTTGATATGGATCTGATGGCCAAGCGTGCAAAGAACCGCTTTGAAGAAACCATCCAAACGAACCCCGACTTCTACTACGGACCGGTTACTGGCCTTATTTCGCGCAATGCTGGTTACATCTTCCCAGGCCGACTGTTCCGAAACCACTCGCGTGAGAATCCCGAAGGAGTATTGAGTACGTGAATCTGATGATGTCAACTCTATATACAAATTTTGCTAATGATTTCTCAGCCAAGAGCCACATCCTGAACTTCTACGGCATTTACGGGGAGGAACACAATTTGACGTATCGCGAAGGGTGGGAAAGAATCCCCGAGAATTGGTACAAAACTCCCGTGGACTATGGCCTTATCCAACTTAATCTGGATACAATTGACTGGTTTGGAAAGTACCCAGAGCTTGGAAGGTAAGATTTACCCCTTTGATTTTCTATGCTTGCACGTTTCTGACCTGTATATGCAGCGTTGGAGGCAACACTGGCACCGTGAACAGCTTTGCTGGGCTTGATCCAGCAGATTTGACTGGCGGTGTGCTCAGCTTGGCCACTCTCCTAGAGGGTAACAATCTGCTTTGCTTTGTGTTCGAAGTGCTGAAGTTCGCCAGCCCCAACGCACTTTCTGGGCTATATAAGACCATTGCTGAGCCGCTGGAATTTGTCACCAACATTCTCGCTGTTCCTTTGCTGAATGTGACTTGCCCTGCGTTCCAGGATCTTCAAATGGGAGGCAAGCCAATTTGGGAAGCACTTCAAGACGACTTCCCTGGTGCTATGAAAAGCAACCGTGCTTTTTGAACATCAAGCTTCATATTTTCCTTGAGCATGCCTCGCTCTTAATTATCATAATCCAGACCTTTTGCTGTGCATTTATGTGCATTTCCTTTTCTATCTCAGCTGTATTCCAGTTGATGAAACGTCAAAGACCGAGAAACGGTGCTTTTGGGGTCAGGGACTCACCAAGAGATTTTAGCAAAACTAAGCAGCATGCCCATCTTTTACTTGACACAATAAGGACCACATCTCACAATCAACAAGTACCTTCGCTGCTTACACTCTACCGCCTTGCCACTTTCGATGCCATTGGGCTACGAAGCTGATCTCCCAATTCTCGCGCCTTCCTTGCACCACTTGTTTTACCAGAGTTATTCAAACCCACGTGTAATTGTCCGGCCACGAGAACTAGTTATTGGGTTGCAAGAGCTGCCTATTACTATGCTCAAGCTTGCGCAAATTAAGCACATAATGCAGTAAGGTAGAAAGAGTTCACGTGTACAAACATGCCTATTATGGAACGTACGGCTTCCTGTGTGTCTTTACCTTTGCTATACCTTCCTAGTTCTTCATAGTTGAATGATTGTGAGTTTATCGCCTCTCAATTATACACAAGACGAAGACTTTTGTCCGACATTTGGTTAGATCATTGATGGAAAGGTTGATGGACAAGGGTCATTGTAAGCATTTTATCAGTACTCAGATCTTCTCTACTTCACGCAGTTTCTCCCATTCATGCTCCAGCATAGAGAAAGAGACCACATCATGCCAGACACGAAGGTGATAGATAGCCTCGCGCTCGCGACCCTCTTCCACAAAGCCCAATTTTCTATAAAGCTT